GTACAGCATGGGCGGGTTTCCCATCGCTAATATACGCCGTTCAACATTCCCGGCTTTGCCTCTTCCTCCCTCCCTCTGCACCGTCTCCGGCTCGCCTGCTGCGCGCCCCTCCAAGGGCTGCTCAAACGCGCCCCGCTTAACAATCTTTTAACAACTCATGTCTGGCGACTTCAACCCCTACGGCCTGCCGCCATCCGCGGGGGGCTCCCAAGCCACTCTCCGCGGCGAGTCACCTTATTTACGCCCGGCGGAGAACAACCTGCCAAAGGAGTCTCTCACGTCAATCCCCCGCGAGTTCGCCCCCTTGCTACAAGAGCAACCAGCCCCGTACAACAGCAGCCCGCTCGCCGGCAAGGAGTCCGAGAGCGGGTACCTGACAGATCCACGGCCCGCGAAGCGCCCTTTCTACAAGACTCTCTGGTTCTGGATCGCCGCGATTATCATCGTCGCCGCGGCCGTCGTCCTTCCTGTCTACTTCGTGGTCATCAGGCCGAAGCATGATAGCAAGACCAGTTCGGGCAGCGCCGCCACCGCGTCGAACTCGACTGGCACGACACCGACGACAGGGAGCGCTCAGGCGCTCGTTCAGTTTGGCGGCGACGGGAGCACGGTCACCAAGGATGACGGAACGACGTTCATTTACAACAACACATTCGGCGGATACTGTGAGCACCTTTTCCCATCTGCTTGTGCACTCGCAGAACATCAGTCTCCCGTCGGGCCGGCTATGCAGCCTTGCCCCGTTGCAATTCACGGCCCAGTCTCATCCCTCTCGGATACACACCGGGATACTAGTGCGTGCAGGTCGGCAGAAGGCTAGTGTAGCTGGAGGATGTAGGCCAGAGGAGCTCGCTGTGCGGGGGGCCGGCCCTGCAAGGCTTGCGCCAAATCGCGGCATGTGTCTTGCAAGGCCGATGTGCATGTCAAAGTGCTCGCCCATTGGTGGTCGAGGGAACCTGAAGCCTCTACATGCTCCGGTTCCTCAAAATAGATCGGCCATGGGGCCGAGCTTTCCGGTGATACTACGACGCCCAAGGTGGCACGAGTGGTGCGACTAAATGAATGGGCGCGCATCGCTGTGACACAGACATAGTGCTCATCGTCTTTTTGCGTGTCCACAGGGGTATCTAACGCCGAGGACCCCTACGACAACTCCGCACGCCCAAATTCGTGGACGCCTCCGCTTAATCAGAGCTGGCGCTGGGGCGAGGACCGCATCAACGGCGTGAATCTCGGTGGACTCTTCGTTCCCGAGCCCTTCATCGTCCCGGAGCTGTTTGAGACCAACCCGGGCGCGGTGGACGAGTGGACGCTCTCTACAATCCTCGCGGGCAAGGGTCAGCTGCAGTCGGTTCTCGAGAACCACTACGACACGTTCATCACCGAAGAGGACATTGCGCAAATCGCAGGTGCGGGCCTGAACTGGATACGCGTCCCGATTCCCTTCTGGGCGATCGAGACTTGGACAGATGTCGGTGTGGACGGGTCGGGCCAGACTGTGGCAGAGCCCTTCTTGGCTAGGGTGTGCTGGAAGTGAGTTGCGTTTATCTTTTTCGAGGTCGTGTACTAACCAGCATGGCGAAGATACATCCTTCGTCTCATTGGCTGGGCACGCAAGTACGGCCTGCGCGTTTTGCTTGACCTCCACACCATTCCTGGTTCACAAAATGGTGAGTATATGCGTCGTTCTCGTTGTGTCCCATCCTGACAAACATGTTCAGGATACAACCACTCTGGCAAGCTTGGGTCGTTGAACTGGCTCAATGGACCTATGGGTCTTGCTAACGCTGAGCGCTCTCTGGACTACATCCGAACCATCGTCGAGTTCATCTCCCAGGTAGGCCAATACTTCCGTGTCCCCAAAACACATCTAATCGCGCATATAGCCCGAATACAAGGACGTCGTCCAAATATTCGGTATTCTCAACGAGCCCTTCCTTCCTACCATTGGCCGCGCCCCCATCGAGTCATTGTAAGCACATGGTCGCATGGTATCTGCTGCGCTAGAAGCTGACATACATGTGTTATACCCTCTGCCCACAGCTACCTCCGGGTCTACGAGATGGTTCGCGAGATCACGGGCACGGGCGAAGGCAACGGCCCGATGATCTCCTTCCACGACGGCTTCGACGCGCTTAAGAACTGGGCGAATTTCCTCCCCGGCGCGGACCGCATTGTCATCGGTATGTCTTCTCGTGCATGCGGTCTGTTGTGGGGCCTATCTAACCCCCCATCCTCCGCGCACCAGATGATCACCCGTACTTTGCGTTCGATGGTCAGCCGAACAGGGAACCTGTAAACATCACTGCGGACGGCGGTGACGGTACACAGCTGGGCGGAAAGTGGCCGCTTCAGGCGTGCAACGCGTGGGGCGCAAACATGAACACCAGGTCAGTCCCCATTGCGCGCTTGCTTTTCCATCTGCTGACCACGGTCTTACACTCCCAGCCGCGCGAACTTCGGTATTTCCGTCGCGGGCGAGTTCAGCAACGCAATCAACGACTGTGGTCTTTGGGTCATCGGAATCGGCGTAAAGCCCAACTACGGCCCCGACTGCGGGTACTGGGCAGACGCTTCGCAGTGGTCGGACGCAAACAAACAGGGTCTGCTCAACTTTGCGCTCGCCTCTATGGACGCGCTCGGCGACTTCTTCTTCTGGACTTGGAAGATCGGCGCGTCGACCACCACGAACACCGTGCAAGCACCACTGTGGTCGTACAAGCTCGGCCTCGAGAACGGCTGGATGCCCAAGGACCCGCGTTCCGCGCGCGGCATGTGCGAAAGCCTCGGCGTCACCCCGCAGCCATTCAACGGACCCTTCCAGCCATGGCAGACGGGTGGCGCGGGTGCGGGCACGATCGCGCCTGCTGCGACAGCAAGCATTCAGCAGTGGCCGCCCACCCTTCAGAACGTCCCGACAGGCGGCGCCTCCGCGTTGCCGCAGTACACGAGCCTTGCCACGCCCGTCACGCTCCCTCCGCTGACGCCGACCGCCACCGCGAGCGTCACAGTGACTGCTACGGCGGGCAACGGCTGGTTCGACGCGCAGGACACCGCGCCCGCGGTGACCCCTATCTCGGGCTGTGCGTACCCCGACGCGTGGGACGCCATCGGCGCGCAGGTGCCGCTCTCGGGCTGCCTCCCTGGCCCTACTTCGACATGATACGGGAGGAGGCGCATGGATGCTGGCGTTCGTTCGCCGTTTTCTTGACATTCGTTTACATTGGACATTTTGGACTTTATACCCCTTTATAATTATTCGGGTTTCGGTGCTGCATTTTGTCATGTGGTTGCTTGCTTCCAGCACACGTCGAACACTGCCGGCGCCGCACGAGATGTACTTACGAGAAGATATTGTGAATCGAACAGTATGCGCAGCGGTCGCGTTCAAGGATGGCGCGTCGCTCAGGTGTCTCCGCGCCGCCACCGGAAGGACCGAGTGCTGGCTGGTGTTCTCAATCAGACTCCAAGAAAGACAGCAAAGATATCATGACAAATGCTAGCACGACCGCTGTGGTCATTATGGTATATTATACATGGTGGGTATGATTACAGGCCTCGCGCATAGCATGCTGAGCCTAAGCTAAATTTGTGAAATGACAGTCGTGGACCGCGCCAGGTCTACCAGAAGCGCGTGCTCTCTCTAGGGAAGCCGTTTGCCAAGCGCATCATGACTGCGTTTGACGTCAATGTCGAGAACTGCGAACAGCAACGGTGCATCAGCGCAGCCCCTGCGGAAGAAGATAAACTCTAACTTACCCCGTTCCCGAGGAGTATCTGCGCCCTCTGGGCGATGAGCATGTCCACCGCCTGCGAGACATACTTCTGCTCCCAGTTGAGGACGAGGTCGCGGCTAGTCGCAATCATCTCCCACCCGCCGAGCGTCCACAGCGCGTCCTTGAGGTCGCGCAGGTACTCCGGGCGGCCGTTCGTCATGATGTACAGCCGCCGCACCCCATGCGCGGCGGAGGTCGCGCGCACCTGCGCGACCTTTGCCGTGATCTCCTGGATGGTCGGCAGGCACCGCTTGCGGTAGATCTCCACGTTCTCCGGCGTGTTGTTCCCGTACTCGGTGTGCGGGGGCACGGTGAAGGGGTCCATCATGTCCGGGAACGCGTCGACGCTCACGAAGTCTTCGGACCACATCGCGAGCGTGCGGCAGTGCGTCGCGTAGTCGCCTTTGCGCACGTGGAGCACCATGAGTCCGGGGATCGGAGCGTACCGCTCGGCGTTTGTGGTGTAGGACATGCTGGAGAGGTGCGGGACGACGGTGGAGGAGGGGACGAAGAGGTCGTGGTTGTTGTCGAACGCGAGCTCTACTAGTGGTGACCAGCCGAAGTGGGTGAACATCGGGGAGCGCACCAGGTCGGGCCAGATATCGAGAAGTGACGACCGGACTCCCCAGACACTGTGTGAGGATGAGCGCGACTGCATACTATGCATGCAAGGGATACGTACTCGTGGTGGCTGAATATGGGTCCCGATCCCCGTGAGGCCTGCACGCAGGGCTCCTGCATACCTTTCAAGGTGGTCGCCCACTTCTCGGTCATTTCCTGCGCAGAGTTCACATCCGAGAGCGTTGCGTGGATTCTGCTCCTATCAAGGTCGACCTTATCAGGGCAGAGTTGGTCGAAGTAGTCCTTGGTTACAGCCCGAGGCGCGAGGTCGCCGCGCGGAAATGGGTCGCCGACGATGGGTCCTGTTCACTCCTGTTTAGATTCGGTCACTTACACACAACCCAAATACGTACCATGAAGCAATACCGAGTAAGGAATCTGCGAAGGAATCATCTTGCCAGTACCCTCATAGTCGGAGTACACGGATCCGTCGTCGTTCCATGTGAAGTTGCCATATACGAAACTATACATCCCGGATCCCGTCAGCGCGTGATCGCGACCAAATGCGGGTTCCCGGAGAGACGCACCTTCTGCCGGACTTGTATGCCAAGTACGCGTTCAGAATGTGTTCCTGGACTGCATTTCCCCATCCCAGTCCTAAAATACACGAGGCGTCAGCGGTGTATTTCAAAAACAGTTTGTGCCGCGTGCGTGACGTAGCATGTCGTATGCCACACTGACCTCTTGTGTGTCCCGCAACGAAGAAGAACTTCTCATGTGGTGCAGGCTGGGTCCGACTCCAGTCCTGCTGAGGTTGTCGTAGCTCTGCCGAATGATATGCAGAGTATACAGGGGGCAGGATGTGCGGCGAGGGGGCGTGCCAATTCGCCTGATCGACCTCGGCGGTGCGTAATGGGGGTAAGCGCCGCGGCAAAAATGCGTCGGCGTGTCTAACGAGAACGTAGCCCGTTATAATTAACGTGAAGCCCACTACGATTGTCAGCTGGCGGCCTTTGGCGGGGTGCCGATAGTCAAGACGGTCGAACATTCGGAGCAGGATGTGGATCGAGGGCAGGCCACAACGTCGTCGGCGTCGTCAAGACAGGGTGCGGTGGAGGAAGGATGGTGCCGAGCGTGGCGGTTCCGCGTTCGCGAAATGCGCAAGATACTGTACCATTTCGACCTAATGTTCAGCCGTTGTGACCTGTGACATGGGTGAACCACGGGCGGGAAAGTTCAGACCCCCCAAAAGCTTGTGACACACGCGAAATTTTGGTTCAAAGGCCCTCCAGCCCACCAAGAAAAATTTTGGCGCGCGTGATCTTCTGGGAGGCAAAAGTTCAGACCCCCCGGTGACCTGTGACACCCGAAGTTCAAAACCCCCTGTGACCTGTGACCTGAACATTAGGTCGAAATGGTACAGTATACTTGTGGCTTCCCATGCTGCGGGGGTGCGCTCCGCCGAGGAATTTGATCGCTCAATGTTATACGGCGCTCTTTTGCCGTGCAGCCGTGTGCCGGCAGCGGCGTGCTGTGTGTTCGCAACAGAGAAGGCACAGCCCAAAGTGCGATGTGCAGGCGCTCACCATAACCGCTTTTAACCTGGGTACGCTCGTGGAGATCGCGCAGGCATACCTACCCACATCTTCATACGCGACCTTGATTGACGGGCCGTGCAGAGCTTGGCAGCTTTTGCAGTGGTACGGCTATGTTACAGCTGGCATTCGCTCGTCAGACGGTGAGGCGAGGATACGTTAGACGCCCTCGTGTAATTTTGTAGTACGAATGGATGAGAGTGTCAGCAACCCTCTCTGTCATGGAATCGCGCCCCTTGATAGATATGGTGTTCCTGGACGAACAGTGTCGACGCAAAAATTGCGGAAAGGGGAATATCTCCTCCGGGAAGCAACGAGGCCGAAGCTAATGTTGCCCCCTGACCTCCTTGAGGGCCTACAGCATGAAGCGAATGTGACAACGCCGGCGCATCGTTGACGACGCAAGGTACCCGCATACGCCGTATTTCGCAATGGTATTTGAGCTGTCTTGATCAGTTTCCGCTGGTCGGTTAAGAGTCTATCCCCCGAGCTCTGATCATCATACTGGTGAACCACAGAAGGGCGATACGGATACGAATAGCACGGCGCGCCGCGCGGAACGTTGCCTGCTGTAACCTGTCAAGTTGTGGTGGCGCTGTTCTTGATGGCGCTCAGCAACTTTCTAAAGTCGGGTGTACCCAAGCCAGTGACCTGCATTGCCTGCCATTAGCTCGCAGTACACTGCAGAGACCCCTATCGTAACGCACCGGATCCCACCCGTCGGTGGCGGGAAACCCATCGGTGCCGCAGCCGGAGTTACTTCCTTGCGTTATATCGTTCAGCGTCCCGACGGCATCGGTCGAGTACAGAAAGGGGTTCAGAAATCCGACCGGACGGCCGCCCTCCTTGAAGATGGCGTCGTTGATGAGCGCAACTACACTCGCGACCGTGGGGCTCGCAGCGCTGGTGCCGGCCACGGGTTTGACCTGCCCATTCACGAAGACCTGGAAACCTTGCGCCTGGGCGGCGATGTCGGGAAACGCGCGCCCCGAGGCGTTGAACAGACCGGCGCTGGTATTTCCAAGGCCCTTGAGGTACCCGCTGACTGCGTCGGCTTGGTATGAAGGCCGGGGGAATATGTTAGAGAAGCTGCCCGAAGAGAACGAGACAGCAACCTCAGGGCTGAAACCGGTTGTACCGCCGACGGAGGTCACACTGCAGTCTCATCAGTCACCGACCCGGAGCTTGCTCGGACGCGAACTCACAAGGGGCAGGTGGAAGGGAACGTTGGGACGAACGTAGTACAGCCCGGCGTCGACTGGATACCAGATACACCACCGTCGCCGGCGCCGAAGAGCACGGTGGTCCCACGCGCCCCGAGCTGCGCGTAGGCGTTACACAGGTTCCTGGCGTTTCGATCACAGTTGTGGCAGATGAGGAATCAGACGCCATGCGGACTACTTGCCTTGCGAGGGCCGGAGGGACTTGATTCTCGTTGAAACCGAAGCTGGTGGTCAGAACGAACGGCACCTCGTCTTGCGCGAGCAGGTTGTTGATTATGTCGAGGAATCCGGCGGCGCCGTCGGTGTTGTTTGGACCTACAGACACGAACGTCGTCGGAATGTTCGTAGCAAGCCCAGCAGTGTACTGTATGTCCAGGCTCTATCAGGTTATGTTAGTATCGAGTTCCACTCCATCTATCCACAAGGATACATACTGCTTCCGTGGTTCCCCCGACAAAGTTGACTGTGCCTCCATCGATTGTTTTCACAGCGAAGTTTGATGAGGCCGCCTTGATGTCCTGTCGAAACTCGCCCAAGAAAGCCTAACGATTTGTTCAGAAGGGAAGGAACCCGTATCATCTAGATATCTACCTTTAGATCCGATGGCTCAGCGGACTCTCCCGCGAAGCTCGCAACGAAGAGATTGCTGCGGTTACTGGAGGCAGGTGCGGACGGAATGTTGTAGATGGACTGTAGACACTTCGGTGTGATCTGTGTCTTGCATGAGTCATCGACGGCCGCAGCGACTGCTGTTGGCGAGGACTTCTGCGAGGTCGACGTAGCCGATGCTTTCGTGCTCTTCGCCGTTGAATGTACACCCTTACGACTACCCTTTGCGGCACGAGGGTGACGGAAGGCATGCACGGCCGGTGACAGGCTTCGTGGCTCGATAAAACTACGTAGGGCCATTAACGACAGCGCAGAGGCTTGAGCGACATGACTCACGAGGTGGCAGGATGTATAACATCGATATGCTCCTTCACACTAGCGGGCAACGAGTACGACAGTGTACGGGTCACCTTGGTGCTCGTTTCCTCGTGTGCATACTCGCCGAATTGTGTGCCCAGCATGGCATTCGCTTTCGCGACCGGTATTTGCACAGTGATCCAATCTCCGGCGGCCGACGTAGCCGTAGTGGTGATGTTGTTCCTCGATAGCCATGTCTTTACTGCATTGGTGCTGTCGGGCTTTGGGGTAACGAAAGCTTGGGCCTAATCTCCTGTATCAGCTGCGGAATCGGGAAGCTGAACGATGAAACTCACTTCGGCTTTACTCAGGTGCTGGCGGTAGTTCTTGCTTCCCGGCGTGCTGACGTCATAGAGCGCTGCCTCCAGCCCGGCGGGGTCACCTTGTGCGACAGCAATGCGAAGACTGAGCAGGGCATTGGGATCGGCTTTGCCTAGATACTTGAAGCCGCTGGGAACGTCAGATCGCCGCTCGTGAACGTGAAGCTCGTCTCGCGCAGTGGGCCGGCCAAGCGCAACAGAGAATAGAGCGAAGAAAAGCAGGCCTGCTGCGACCATCTAGGCCGTGTGAAGAGTGGAGTGGTGGAAGGTTCAAGGAAGTCGTAAAGGCGGAGGGGCAGCGCGCCCGACAACGCATCGCTCACCACTTTATTGCGGGCTTGCGGTGCCAGGTACGCTGAACAGTGACTGGGCAGCAGACATCGCATCTTCGTGATGCATCACTCCTACGTGCGCGATTGTTGGGGAAGGTGAAAGGCACACGGACGCATACAACTGCACACACTCATTCGAGCTGTTCTTGAAAAGTCAAGTGTATGGGTACTCCGACGAGATACCTCGCTACTAGTGGAAACTGTGCAAAAGCAAATTAAGATGTCGATACGTACGGTTGTGTGAGAGCGAGCTCACCTTGTTGAACAGCCACCGGTCGATCAGACCTTTGCGATGGTATCAATCTCGACCATTTCTCTACATCTCAGCACCAGCGTTGTGCAAGACAGACCGTCGCAAGGCACGACATAGTAAGCGCTGAGCATAATCTAGGCTCTGTTCGTGGAGAGGAGGTGGTTGCTAGTCAAGCACACGAGGAGAGTCGTTTCGCGGACGGCGGCTCGTCGTCGTCGTGGCTGTGCAAGTGCAACTCAATATGGTAAGCGCTGTGGTTGCAGTACCTTCATCACCTCCTCGGAGTTGAAGGCCGTGTGTTTAAATTGAATAGCGAGCAATATTGGCACAGCGCATGACAGTGGGGCCTCACGCGGTAAGTTAAAATGCATATATCAGGAACAACATGTGGGCGAGACATCTATTTTGTCTTCGCCAGGCGTCCTACGCTCCGTACTATTACTGGCAAATAATACGATCTTTGCATCTATGTCAGTCGTGTGTATGCGTACAGTACAAATAAAGTAATATGTATAAAGCAAATGTCCATCTCTACTCGTCTCCACCGTCGCGCGCCCCCTCCCTCTCCCGTTAGCTCGCTCCATGATCCCGCTGGAAGAACCCGAGCAGATGCTCGTACTCGAACCCCGTCTCCGCCTGCCACGTCTCGATCCGGATCTTCATCACCTCGTCCCAGAAGCGCGTCGCCGTCTGCTCCCCGCCCGCGAGGAACTTGCGCACGTGCCGCTCCCACTTCTTCATCAGGTAGAACTTCGCGTCGTGCGAGCGGATGTACGCGCCCTGCGCGTCGAACGGCGGCAGCCCCTCCTGGTACGCAACGAGCGCGACCTGCGCGACCCAGTAGAACGGCAGCGCGTTGAACAGGAACCGCTGCTGGCTCTCCGGCAGCCCGCGCGGCGTCTCTGGGGACGTGAGCCAGCTCTGCAGCCAGTGGTGCAGCAGGATCTGCACGTGGAACGCGCGCGCGCGGTCGACGAAGTGCGGCCCGGGCTGCACCTCCGCGCCACTGCCGCTGCTACACCGCGTGCCGTCTGGTTGGAGGAACGGGAGTCGGTCGCGCAGGTAGAGCTCGAAGAGCTGGCGCATGATCGCGTAGATCATGAGGAAGTGCGCGAACGGCGGGATGTTGAACGGGCGTGGCGCGTTGTCCGGGTTGTTTTGCGTGAGGTAGTAGTAGAGCGCCTTGAGGTAGGTGCCGCACAGACGGACCTCGATCGAGCCATACGGCGAGGGCGTCTGCAGGTGCATCGCCCACTCCGTCGCATTCTTCGCCGTCCAGAGCGCGTCTTCGCAGGGCAGCCCCAGTGTGAACTGCTCGGACCGGAACGTGGGCAAGAGGTTGAAGAATATTGGGTGGCAGCAGTCGTGCAGATAGCATATCCATATCGCCCTGCGCAGCGCGTGAGCACGCTCCGTCACCGCACAGAACATCTGCAGAACGCAGCTCACCTCTTTGCGGACTCGTGCGCAACCCATGCTCTCCATGCTCGCTCCATAGCGGCAGCATCTGAAAAGTCTAAAGGCTGCTCGAGCTTCCAATCGCGCGCTAGGTCCGCGAACCCGTTCATGCGTAGCATCTAAGAAGAATCTCAGCGACGCGCAATGCGAGGCACAACTGGCTAAGCTTACCATTACGATCATACCGTGGTAGACGTTGGATCTCGCGCGCTGCTCTGTATCGCGGTGGAAGAGCCCGATGGTCTGTATCAGCGCCGATGCGGTTGTGAGCTGTGAGATCTCGTTGTAGCTCTTGCTATTTGACGACGACTATGCCAGATACGTGTGAGTCATGCAATAGGGATGTTGACGGATTAGGCAGGCGACTCACCAGCTCCGCGATTATCGAGTCGCGCGTGGTAGCTAGCACATCCTCGACATACTTCGCAGCGGTCGGTGTAGTGTCGTACATGGCGCCGCTCGCGCGCATGGCGGTAACGAGGATCGGGAGGCTGGGCGATTGAAGGAAGGTCGGGACGTGGACAATCGGCATGTGATGCAAGTATATCGAGAGGAACAATCTCACTAGCACACGATCAGAATTCAAATCAGCAGTAGCAAGGAGGGATATACCAGTACTTACTATACCCGTCCAGTTCCGCCAATGTGGGCTGTACTGAGGAGATGCCCATAGGAATGTTCGGTTGCAGCGCATCAGGAGACACAGGCAGTGTCAAATTCAACTGCGGTATGTCGTACGCCGCGAGCTGTTCTGTCAGCGGGACGTAGCCATTGGACGAGATCCCCGCCGAGTCGATACGGTCGCTCAGCATAGCGGTCGGGTCCGAGTGGAAGTATTGCCCGGGAACCACAGGATTCTTCTCGAAGCTGGAGGTGAAAAGGTCGGCGAAGAGGCCGTCGTACATCTGGCTGGAGACGAGCTCGCTGAGATAAGCCTTCGAGGAACTAGATGCGGTGTAGCTGACCACCCTGCTGGAAGCAGGCGTGGAATAGCTCGTGGATGCATGGGAAGATGATAGCGACGACGATGAGCCAGATCGTGATGGCGGAAGACGCGGATGTGGATGGGTCTCGGCGAGGGCCTCGCTCTGCGTTCGCGGCGACGAAGCTGCGGAGGAATCTGCGTGGTGGGCGTCTGGAGAGGGGTTGCTAGTTGGCGCTTGCTCCTCTTCGGGGACCGTGCCAGAGGTGTTCACGTAGACGCAGTCGCGGTTCTTGGCCTGACATCGAGAACATGGCCGCTGCAGGTCGCATTTGACCTTAGAGTCGGCGCAGCTCTGGCATGATTTTCGCCGCGACCGGTTCGCGATAGCCCTACATGCATACAACGACAAAGAGAAAGCTTCATGAGTATTGCTATCTTCCGCAACGATCATGATGTGCGGGCACTTACGAGTCACAACAGGTACGCTTATGTCGACTCAGCAGATCACTCCGAGTGAACTGAGCATTACAACGCTGAACGACGGGTCAGCGAGCGAAGTGGCGCATTAACAATGCAGCCTACGTCGCACTCGTGCAGCCGTTCGTTGGAATCTGATGCGACGCTGCATTAGGGCAATAGGGGGATGAATATCTGAGCCTACTCACGGGTTTTCAGGTGGCGGTTCAGGTGGGTCGTCCGCGTGAATTTCGCCGGACACAGGTGGCAGAACTTCGTCTGCGGCAGCGTCGGGACGTTCCCGCGATGCGCTCGCATTTTGGAGACATTCCCGCTCTTTGTCAGAGTCACTGGCGCGGAGGCGCCCGGCTTCGCGGTGGCGTTTGTCGCGGGCGACGTGGAGGAGCCCTCCTGGACGTCGACCTCGCGTGGGGGAGAATGCATGGCACTGAGCTGAGCCATCAGGGACAGGACGAGGGGGGAAAATCAGGCTGCAGACCTTTTGAGCGACTGAAACAAGAGCAGGTTACGGCACGGGCCGCACGAATATTGGCCATCATTGGAGACATGCGCACGACTCGGTTCAAGCGCCCACGTGAGATCATCAAAACTTGCTGTACCCACAGATCCCCCGGCAACCTCGGACTCTGACACTGAGGGACACCCGGGACACCAGGGCTCGGGTGGGAGCTGCTCTTTCCTATGTTATGAGGATCATCGCTCAGCCTGTGCCTTCAGCCCATCGTTGCACCCGCAGGCCCCGCTCAAAACACGCAGCGTGGGCGTGTACATCATGTTTGGAGTGTCCCGCCCGATATTCAAATAATCGCTGGGAGATCCGTAGAAGACCGGATAGGGGCAGCGGGTGTGAGACGCATCTATATTGGGAAATGCGATACCAGACAACACCGCCGCAGTTTGTCATCCTACGGGACAACGTGTTCGGGTGCGAACTGTGTAGGCTTGTTGTACCACATAAACACCCGGCGGGACTCTCGTGCACACCCGGGCATGGAAGCAATAGCAATACCGGAAAGGGCGTTGCCGATCCTGACTGTGCCGATCTTACGAGTCACACTACCGAAAATCATACTCCTATTTCCACCCATGATGTCACAGGTTTACAATCAACGCCTCCGAGGCCTTCACCGCGACGCTGAACGCGTTGTTCGATACCGCGACGGCCTCCGTGCCCTCCGTACCTGTCCTCGCACAGTTTGCGCCGAACTTGCCGCTACCGCCGATCGTGACAGCAGCGCCCTGATCGGCGAGCGACGTCGCAGAGGGCGCCGTCAGGCGCTTAGCCTGCTTGGTTCCGCTCGCAGTCGCGATTCCGCTGAAGCTGACGGTGTTGCTGGATCGCGTGCCGGTGCCGTCGAAGTAATTCGTGTTGAGGACGAGCAGGCGAAGAGGGGTCCCCGCAGCGGAGTAGACTGCGTAGACAGCCATGCCTGTGTCGGTGTCGCTGAGCGCCGCGACTTTGGCTCCGTCGGTCCCGAGGAACTCGGAAACGAACACGGCTCCGTAGTACGGGGAGAATACGGCATTTTGTCCCCACCAGCAGTAGGCCTGATGAAGCACGGTGAGCTATGTCTCATCGGTGCGTATTGGGGAAGACACTCACGCAGTTACTGATGGTGCCATGGTGGAAGTAGAGGCGGTCGACGCCAATAAGAGCACTTTGCAAAACGTAGTCGATGATCCAGAGCGCTGCACCGAATGTGGGGCTGATACCACCACCACCGCAGGTTGCTGCGGCCACAGTAAGTTTCGCGGGTGGTACATGCAATAGGATGATATGTGCGTACCCGAGTTCGTCTCCCCGAGGAAGAACTTCTTCCCAGCATTGTGCGCTGCAGTCGCTTCTGCCTTGTACTGGTTCACATATGATACTATCCCTCTGCAGAAATAGGATTTAACCTCTTATATGCTCAAATTTGAGGTTAACGGAGACTCACGCGTGGTTCATCAAGTTCGGAAGGTTGGTGCTTGCCCCACCACATGCCGACTGAGGGTAGGAGTGCCGCGAAATTGTCTTGATAGTGTTCAAAGCAGCGCTTCCAATGCTCGAAACGAGCTGCTGAGTGTTCCATGAGAGGTAGACCGCGCCTTGGAAGATGTTGCCTAGCTATAAGGAACATATCTGTCAGGACTGAAAGCTGGGCGTCGCCGGCACCTGAATACTCACAGTTGGTGCTAACGCGGTGAACCACTTCGCTTCATTGGAAATGTCGATGGACTCGCTCCATCCCGTACCCGAGGCGATGGGAGAGCTACTTGCGTACACTAAGAGACATTGTCAGTAAGCAGCCTTTGCAAACAGCGCGGAACTAGTGCGGTCACATACAGTCTGGCTCGTTCCCAAGTTCGATCGCGAATAGGTTTCCCATGCTCTGCTTCGCACGAGACCCCGCGGCGAGCGAGTTCGCTTGGTTGTTCAGCTGGCGATTAAGGCCTACGGTCACCTGACCCTTCAACTGCGAAGCCAGCGTGAAGAACGAGGGGCCATATGTCAAGCTCAACGGCGCATCCGCAGGAGTGGCAACGGTGTAGTTGACAGCCGACTGCAGGTTTGCGTCATACGTCGCGCGATCTCTGCAAACGAGCGAGCATGAATACCGTGCGACCTTTCCTTCGGGAGGGACACTCACTGAGTGGTACCGCCGATACGGATGGCAGGCTGGGCGCCTCGGAGTGACGCAAGGTTGTTTAGACAGTTGTTCGTGCCGCTGAGCTGGGTGTAGCCTGGGAACGCGAAGAACTCCATCGATATGCTGACGAGCGAAGGATCGACGGCTGCGGCGCCAGAGGGCGGACTTGATGGTACTACGATTGCATGCGCTTGACGAAGCCAGAGAAGTCCAGCAAGGATTACGGAGAGTCGCGCCATGTTGAAAGAGCAGAGCTGGACGGGTTGCCAGCAGAGCCATGGAGCGGCGAAAGTCGTTGTTATATACAGCGGCGCATCACCGGACGGAGATGCAGGAAGCACCACGAAGTCGTCGCCAAATTCGGCTATTGGCGACTTTACTCCCGCCGTCGGGCCGCAGACGGGACGATGTGCCTGTCTCGTTAGCAGCCATATGACCGAGCATGAGTAGATGGGACGTACTGGGGGCGATTTTCCGGACGCTACGAACTGATGGTCGAACGCGTCACTCGAGTGGGATTCTTTTATACATTCCTTTGCGGTCATATGCACATTTGTCGCTAGCTACCACGCTGCGTTGTGGGCAGCTGGTGCGGAGAAGAGCGACCATTTGCGTCCGTAGCCACATGGACACACCGGGTCACTGGCCGCCAGTGGGTCGTACCGGACCGACAGGGAGATGAATCCCCCAAGAGAAGAGCTGATGGGACTGTCGAAGGTTATAATGGTCTGACATATGTAACGAGCCTCAGCTGGATGAAAGGATGTGAGATACGTCAACGACGTATTTTGAAAAGTCTCACCTGCATGTAAGTACAAATGATACAATTCGATCTCATTCGATAAACCCAGCCTACCGAGTACTTACCGACAAAGTATACACGGACCGCCTTGGAGCACGCATGCAATGGGGGGGCACATGTTTACCAGAGTAACCCCCGTGACCGGTATCGTCATCATCATACTAATTTGTTGCAGCAAAGAGAACAATTCAGGTCCAGAATTTGACAGCTCAAAAACGTCGAACAAGGTTGTTGCGCGCGTTGGGAGGCTATAGATTGGTGGATTTTGGATTCGATGTCGAGAGGGAAAGAGTCTGGGCAGCACAAGCGCCGTTCGTGAATGAGACGTAATCTCGATTGCCGAGATGCCGGCGGTCTGTCATTTTTGGGAAACGGGGCTAACGCCCGTCCGTGTCTCTGTTCTTCACCGTCATTATCCTCAGCCTGAACGTTGTAACTTGCTTTACCAATCCATTAAATATGCATGCAAAAAGAATGAAGGTCTAGCAGCGACCCTTTACGACGTTTACCATCGAAAATCCCCTCAGCGCAACTCAGGGATAGGCTAAACCTCGCAGGTTGTGAGGCTTCATCCTCCCCGTACGGTACCTTGAACTGCAGTGCTCGAGAGTCGAGACGCAGCAGGCATCTCCAGTGACCAGAGGTAAGTCTTTTGATGTCCGGGATTTCACCCAAATCGTGTTTCCCACTGATATTGATACATGTTCACAGATACGACGTTCCGTCCTCGAATGATGTTCGCAACCGCTCAATGCTCACTGCCCTAGCCTGGCCGCCTGGATCGCGAGCACCTTCGCGACAGCCGGGCGCGCCTCGAGTGCCTGTTGCCACCTGTATGCGCCCCCATGTCAGCAATTATTCTCGCACCACCGCACAGCCCCCAAGACAAGACAAGACGCGAAACGCGCGACTCACTTCCAGACCGCGGGGAAGTCCTTCTCGGGGTTGACGTCTGTGCCCTGGAAGATGACGTAGATGGCGGCGCGGTTCCAGGTGATGAACGAGATGTCCGCGATCGTGGGCTTGCCGCCGACGAGCCACCCCTGCTTCGCAAGCACGCCGTCGAGCACGGTGAACACGCGCTTCGCCTCGTTCTGGTAGCGCTCAACCGCGCTCGGGATCTTCTCCGAATGGTACTTCAAGAACCAGAACGCCTGGCCGAAGTACGGGCTGCCCGGGCAAAACACGCGTCAATTTCTGGTCATCATCACCAACCGCTACTGATGAAGGACGCACCCCTGGCCGGACGCCTGGAAGAAGAGCCACTGCAGGAGCGCGTACTTGTCCTTCTCGTCCGTGACGCTGAGCTTGTGCTCCGGGTCGTAGCGGTCGACGAGGTAGAGCAGGATCGCGTTCGACTCCCACACCGTGAAGTCGTTGTTCTTGTGGTCCACGAGCGTCGGGATGCGCCCGTTCGGGTTCAGCGCGGTGTGCTCCGCGCTCTTCTGCTCGCCCTTGGCGAAGTCGAGGTACTTGCTCTCGTACGTCAAGCCGAGCTCCTCGAGCGCGAACGCGACCTTCCTGAACACGGACGCAGTGGTCAGTCGGTCTGCGGGCACGGCGCGATGGTGCGCGATTGGACTCACCAGCCGTTGGGGCCACCGTTGTGGGTGTAAAGGGTGAACTGCTTGCCGTGCGACATGGTGTGGTTTGGTGGTGGTCGGAGGGTGGAGGGTGCGTTTGGAAGACGAGGCGGACGGTGCTGGTGAGTGCAGACACACGCCAAACATAGCGCGAGTATTTATACGTGCGCACGCAGAATTTCGAACGTTCCAGTCCGACCCACAGCGGGGACGCGCACACGGCAGCGATTCCGCACGATTACTGTGGACGCGCTGGGAGGCAGGCTGACAAATCGTGAGAACGGGGAGCGCGTTCTAGCATTCAGGAGGAGCCCCGCGAGGGTGGCGGTCGCGGCGTCCGTGCAGGAAGCGTGCCTATCGCGCACGGTTCCCTCCGCGACACCGCCCCAAATGAGGGCACGAGGAGGCCGATATGGTGGAAGTATACCCCTTCCGGCCGTGTATTTGATGTTCGCGGCGGATGGAAGCGTCGCGTGGAACCGGCAGAAGTGCTTGTGTGTCTGCAGACTGGCCTGAGTAAGCAGGGCGCAGGACAAGCTACCGCTCCCGCTGGCAGCTGTAAGTGGGTGCCATGGGAGCTTCGGATTGGCATTTGCGACGTGCGCGAACGTCGACCGTGCGGCGGCCAATCGGAGCCCATCCTGGAGCGCGTTTGAATCGATGTGCGTATTTATGAGCAGAATTGCGAAGCAGTGTCTAATGCTATGGCAATATAGACACACAGACACCGTTAGCTGCGCAAGGCCGCGCGGAGAGAAGTCGTTCTGGAGATCGATGGACCCGCGTACGCTGCGGCTCCATAAGACGTGCGCCTGACGACGACCACTCCTCACGACAGGATATAACATCTAGCTCATCTCAGTCAGCCTCTTAGTCATTTATTTCACCGTCTACCACCGATCGATGGTGCGATTCCATATGTACGGACTTTATTCGAGCATCATGTGGACGAACAGAACGCTTGATGGCATCGTTCTCGACCTCAAGGTTCAATAAATGTAGGTGTTGAGCGTTCCGGATGCAATGCTGATGAATGCATACTCCTTGGAGAAGGATAGTCTGCCACAATCCGCCGCCGCAGTGTCAACGCTTTTACGTGAGAAGCTTCTCGCTAGGGTCTGGTTGAACCACAAGGTGTCTCTAATACCATATAGCACGTATAGCTACCAGCCGCAGCGCGTAGTGGGAGCCTGCAGTCTGCCACAACTCCGTAGCTTGAGGCGTGGCCGGTCCGTACTTCCGAAGTACATGTACTGGGCGCCTATCATGAATGTACCGAGTCTCTTTCCTTCAAGTTCTAACGACGTTGAAGTTCCTCCTCATCTTCTACACATACGCGACGCCCAGTTCCAGATTCATGTGATTTAGGTATGATTAGAAAGTAACCCTTGGATCGTCATTAACACCTCCCTTCGTACTGCAGAAATCACGCTCGTGGCCGATGCGGCATGGAGTTGGTGGATCATCGCGCAAGCTTAGCCAGTGTGACGTCAAATCCACGTCCTGCTGCCCATAACTACCACAGCACGCTCGCCTGCCACATTAATCATCGGCGTACTCGTTTCTTGTTCATCTCTTGCACAGAGCTCAACGAAAATCCAAATCGCACACCGTGATGACCCCTGCGCGCGCTAGCATGCTCAGCCACATCGTCCGTCCAAGCATCCGACCTCTTGTTGGCATTCGCCCTGCTCGAGCTATCCATGGCACTGCGACGCGGCAGACCTCTCCTTCGAATCCACCTTCCTCCTCTGGCACTCACCCGTTCTCGTTCCTGCCTGCCAATTCACTCGAGCCCAAGGCGACCCGCACCAAGGGCCTCACCGAGATCCGCGGGCCATACTACGCCCCGGTCACGAAGACCTACCTCGACGAGCTGCTCAAAGACTGGGGCGAATACGTCGATGGAGTGAAGTTTGCCGGTGGCGCCTTCTCCCTTATGCCCGAGGACAGGCTGCGCGCGCTGATCGACACCGCTCACGACCATGGTGCGTTTCGCTGCGGAACTGGGTAGGCTCGAAGCAGAAACGCTAAGTATGGTTCAGGATGCTACGTGAGCACGGGCGGCTTCATCGAGCGCGTCCTTTCCACCTCCGGGGGCGACAAATCCGTCATCTCCAAGTATCTCGCCGCTTGCAAGAACGTGGGGTACGTCCTCAAACGACTGTATCTCCTTTTTTGGCTCGCTCATATGTAATTTCCTTGAAGGTTCGATGTACTTGAGATTTCCTCCGGGTTTCTCTCCATCCCGACGGACGACTGGGCGTCGCTGATCGAGTTTACTGCCGCGCACGGGCTCAAGCCCAAGCCCGAAGTCGGCATCCAGTGGGGTGCAGGAGGCGACGCGTCCGTCGAAGAGCTCGAATCCGCCGGGACGCGCGACCCCAAGTGGCTCATCGACCGTGCGAAGGCGTTCATCGATGCGGGTGCCTACGTACGTCCTCCCCTTCTTTAGGCCTCACAAGCCTTGCTCTCGCTTTTCTGGAAGGCTGACCGACGTGCCCACAGATGATCATGATTGAGAGCGAGGGCATCACCGAGAACGTGAAGAACTGGCGGACGGACGTCATCTCTGCCGTCACCTCCGCCCTGCCTGCGGAGAAGATCATGTACGTCCCCTCTTCCCCCTTCTCCTCCCTTCTTGAACCCCCGCATCCTGCGGATCTCCGGGCTGAGCGTGCTCTGGTAGGTTCGAGGCTGCAGACCCAGACGTGTTCGCGTACCACATCCAGAACCAGGGCGCGCGCGCGAACCTGTTCATCGACCACTCGCAGGTCGTGCAGCTCGCGTGCCTGCGCCGCGGGATCTGGGGCACCGGCTCGACGTTTGCGCGCGTCGTCACTTTTGAGGGCGCGGGCGAGCATTTCCGCAAGGGCGGCAGGGCGGTGCACAACGAGCCGTCTGAGAAGTACTGAGCGCAGGACAGTAGTACAACCGTCAATTGCAAAAGAAAAGGAGAAGTCTTGACGTAGGATTCAGTCAGTTCGCAGTGTACCACGTGTATCATAGCTTCCTTTCAATGCTTCCTTATATCAAAGTATATCTCGTCGTACAACACGCGTCACATTAAAAACGCGAAAAGGTATTCTAACATACATGGCAAACGTTACACATAACTCATGATTCCAAGCAAAAGAAAAGCTGAATCCGTATGAGCGGGGCGAGCGGTACATGCTCGCCCTTCACCCGCAGAACTCGAGACCGGGGCACCCGATGGCCGTCCCGAACACTGTACGCATAATGGTCAGACGCGCGGGGGACCAAGAAGAGCTCTGGTACTCACGGGATCCGTCCACCTTCGCGATGGCGAGGAGCGCCTGGAGCACACCGCCGAGACCCTCCCCAGCAAGCATACCCGCCTGCAACACGATCGTCAGCTACGAGATACCAGAGACAAAGAATACAGGACGTACGGCGACGGCGAACATGTACATGTCGAAGCCCTTGGGGTTGCGCTTCGCCCAGAAGTAGTTGAACGTCGAACCGATCGCCATCGCGATGGAGAACGGAATCTGGGGCGCGACGAACGCCTGGCGAGACGGCGGATGAGCAAAGGGGGTACCGGCTGCAGGCATTATACGGGAACTTACCAAGCCGACGGCGTTCCAGTTGGGGATGTACTGCCAGTACTTCTTCGGCACCCAGAGGTGCTGCAGATACGAACACATCAGTGTGCTGCGGCAATACAGAGTGGCTACATGCGGACCTTGGCGACGACGGAGATGAAGGTGAAGATCGCAAGGCCGATAGCGGTAAAGCCAGACGAGGATGGGATCGCTAGTGGGCGGGGTAGGTTGCATGAGCACCACTTCCACCACACGTGTATGCGCTGGAACTCGACTTACGCAGCTTGGGCGACGTGACAGCAACGGCGACGGCGACCCACGCGCTGACACTAGGAGCCCCGTACGGGCAGTGCGTATCCACATCGGGGACCCTGCCCAAGCAAGCATCATCAGTGTCATGGCGGACGGGTGCGCGACTTCGAGACGTACAGGATACACCTGCTTGCGGTGGTGAAGAGGATGAAGAGTCCGACGTTGAGGAACATTGCAACGACCGCGCCGCACAGCTGCGCGACGAACTGGTTGCGCGGCTTCGCGCGGAGGAGGTACCCGGTCTTCAAGTCACCTGCATGGACCCAGCGCACAGTCAGTAAACCAAGTAGAAGGGCGAGATGAGGAAGAATACACACCGGTCATGTCAGTGGACTGCGCGGCAGAGCCGGCAGCGATGATGCCCGCCGTCAAGTTCACGGTTTGCGCGGGCGCCTGAGCGAGGCCTGCGCCCTTTGAGATACCTCCGAACACCAGTTGCGACGCCTATGAATGTCGCTCTTAGCACGCGCACAACTCTCGCGCTAGGAAAGAGAGCGCACCTTCGCGACGGCGGTGACGGGGTTCACGTCCGTCGTACCCGCGCTCTGCACACCGATGAAGGAAAATGCGAAGCCGAGGATGAGCGAGAGGATCGCCTCGCCGACATTCATGTTGAACATAGTCGCGAGGATGGCACAACACATGATCGTGCTGGCTGCGAGTCCGAAAGTCCACCAGACCGTCGGCACGCGGTCCTCGACCGGGCTCTCGTCCTCGTCCTCTTCGTCCGCGTTCGCGGTGCCGCGGAACCACTCGCGCGGGTTCGCGTTGAACTTGAGGTTGCGGAGCGCTGGGGTGAGGTGAGGAACTGCCACTTGGAGTAATTGTCAGAGTAGCTCACCGGTGATGATGAAGCCGGAGTTCATGCCCAGGTCGGTGAAGGAGTACACCAACATCATGAGGATGCCGGGCCCTGAGTCGGTGTGAGCGGTTTATTTAGGGTCCGTTATAGCAGAGACGCTTACAGAGCAGCCAGTATCTCGGGGAGGGTGCACTCGTGAAGTCTGACGGGTCGTCGAAGCTGAGCGCATTATACGAGACGAGCGGGAATTCATCCGAGACGGACACTCCAACGGCCAGCTTGTTCTTGATCAATGAGGGTGCAACTGATATCCGGATTAGCATGAGTGTATGCTGGTAACGGTGGTCACGTACTGATTCCCCAAGCCAGGACGGAACCACCCACTGCAAAACGGCGGAGTGAGCACTGCACGACATAGATGGTAAACATGGACTTACGGAAACTCCAACTCGCGTTCAATCCAGACAACATGCCAGCACCGAAAAACGCAGGAGTAACTGTGGGCCAATATATGAGCCATATGATCCACGAATTAAGGAGAGGAAACGCATACATTCAATCCACCACCCGTAGTTGTCCAGGGCGATGATACTGGTGAATCCGATACGGTACAGCGTCCAGCCAATGTGCCAATCAAACAGCTGCACACATATCGCGTCAGTCGACGCACGTCCAGCTAACCACCGAAGACAGCCATACCAGCCCAGGCGCGTAGCCGCTGACGACCTTGAAGCAAAATGCGACAACGAACGACCACATCAGCGCAAGCGACTTCTTACGCGCCGCCACGGCACCCGTGCGGCTGTTGTGCAGCGCACGGATTGTCACCGCTGTCGCGGCGGGCGTGGGGAACGTCAGCTTCTGCTTCACGATGTAGTACTTGCGCAGGGGAATGACGAAGAACACCCCGAAGAAGCTCGCGCACGCCGTCAGCGCTATGAGCTTCCCAATGTCCGATTTGGGGAACTCGGAGAGCAGGCCGAGTCGGTAGAGGGCAGGGACGGCGCTGACGAATAGGATACCGATACCGCCCGCAGCTGTGAGAGTGCACAAGTGGGTGTGAGGATCCTATGAATACGGCGGGGAATCCTGGGTAGGAAAGCTCACCGGTGGCCGCACTCTGTACTGTGCAATTTTCCTTGGGTCCGAAGGGGCCGCCGAAGAGGCGACCAATGATACCTGATTCCGGGAGGGCCTTGGAAAGAGGTTTGATGATCGCGAAACCGAAGATGGCCTGTAGTGACAAGACCTTTAATTTCACATCGTGAATATGAAATGAAGCAGGAACGTACGCCGAAGAGCTGAAAAAACCATCGCTGGTTAGCAAACGCACGAAATGGGCACACGACTGGCATACCTGAGGGCCGAAGGTGAAACCAGTTTTGAGTCCGAGGTAAATATTGGAGGCTCCGACTGTACACCACTGTAAGCAATGCACATGATATCTAATAGGCCTAAATTGCTCGTACCGACTGCTCCGAGACAGCACCCCACAAATACAGCCCTGGAGGAGGTAGGTTGAGACTGGAGGTCGCCAGACCACATTATCCAAGTACTTTACCTGATTGTGAGTTGGTGGGTCTCCACCATTTCATCTGGGTCTCGAGGGAACGGCCTTGAACTGCAGTTGCAACAGTGAGCTATCACATCAAAAGTCTCGTCGAGCGGGGGGCAACGAACATGTCCGGCTTCTCCATCTCATACTCGTCTTCTTCGACTACAATCCGCTCCTTCTCGTTGGAAGAGCCCAGTGAGCTCACATTCCTGTGAAGCACGTTCACGTTGGGGTCGTCAAGGGAGGCCATCGTGAAGACACAGCGCAAGTCCGAGGAGATGGGAGTCGGAGGAAACCTGACTCCACCCGGGGCACGTAGTTTTATGACCGTGGTCGCGTCCGAGCGCCCCGTCGCGAAGCGTCAATCTGCCGAATGCGATCCACCGAGTCGGCGCGACGTAGCGAGCACAAGGCACACGCCACCTGGCCAGACAGGAGCCAGCACTCCGCCTGAGAAGCGAAGGCCCGGCGCTGTACGCCGTGAGAGCGCCTTCCGAGCCACAATACCACCCAGGGACGAGGGCGTGACCGCAGCGACGCTATCTCTGGGAAAACACGTCTGCGTCCGAGGGAGTCATCGCGACGGATATGTCGATATCCCGCCACGATGCGCTTCGACAGTTCGTGCACCATGCAGACCTATTAGGAGTTAGAGTATGCGAGGGAATGCGTTCGAGACTCGAATATTTCCGGTGGTCACCGGGGTAAAAGGTTGCGGGCGGGGAGCACACGGCCGACGCAATGAGAGCGCTCACCTGATAGGTCGAGTTCCGTGGGTGAGGCATGCGTAGGGCGGTAATCATGCTTCCGAATACTACTGAATGTGGTGCAACTTCGGAGCAAGCGACATCAGTAATGATCAGTGATATACATACGGTGGTTCCACTGCCAAGTTGATAAAGTGGTGGATGTTCTTGACAGTCGCCACAGCTGTGGTACCTCTGCATATGCCACACAGGCAGTTCTTTCCGCCAGGACGGATGTTGAAAACATCGTCGATCTGTGCTTATCCTCGAAGGGTGTGTGTACCATGCAGGGTCATGGATGACCATCGTTACTTTGGAGAACGATGTTGTGCGCTTTAGGGGGGCTCGCAGCAGAGACAAATGGTACACGCGCTGAAATGCCAGAGATTCGAGGTTGCTGGCAGGAGGCAGGTGCTGGAAAGATGAAGTGAACGGGCGCCTGAAAGGCGGCACTTGCCGATGCGTTCAGTATGCGCGCCAGTCCCTTGGCAAGAGTCTCAGTGTACTGCCCTGGGTGCGTACATGGTAGGCTCGTAAACCAGCCTCACGTTCGGAGGCGGAAGACAATCGTTCCTCCCGAAGGGAGGCTGGAACCTCTTGTGAGGGGGGGTGGTAGTGACCCCCGTGGGAACGACGCGCCAAAAAGTGTCTCGAGGCCTCTCCTCGCCTCTCCTCGCACGCCGATCTACCCAGCGAATATTCTTGAAAATAAAGGGGCGGACTCACAGCACCGACTGTTCGTGATAGAATATTTTTTGTCATGACATTCTGCACATAGCCCGTCATGCAACTTTCGACGACGCAGGGCTTCAGCCACCCGTTCAATGTCCGCTGACATCTCTCGCCCAGGAATTGCAACTCAGCCGTTCCCACGGGGGTCACCACCACCCCCCCTCACAAGAGGTTCTAGCCTACGTACATGGATGACTTGAACCACTGCAAGAACTCCAGTTATCACTAGAATCCCCTTGCTTTTACGCTTGCCGCGCTGCCAATACGGCAAGCAGAGAGTAGAGCAGGATGACAAGATAAATTAACTTCCACCTGCTACGTCGTGGATCCGAGGCTGTATCGCGCCAGGTGTGTACTGTCGACGTCGACGTGAAGACATGTGCATTGTGTCATTTTCAATCGTTCTGCGCATCGTCGCATTGACCGAGTATGTTCATAGTGATTATTTAGGGTGCCATGACCCCCTCGTTTATTGGCGTAGGTCTTTACGCCTCCTGCCCCAATTGCTGACTAGCTTCCTCGCTCGGTGGACGTCTCCGAAACGGCCTCTTTTGCCTCGTGAAGACAGAAGAGGACGCTCACGAGAGTTCAACGTTCAGGGCCCATCCTCGTCGCCTCTAGCAAGATGTCAAGAACTCGCCGTGAGCGCATAGGACTCCGAGCCGAGCGAAGAACTTCGCATCGTCACCGAGAAGCATACAGAGCGTTACGCTCGGAGGTAGAGAGTAAGTTATCCCCGCCCTGGTTGAATGCGCCAGCCTACTATTCAGGCGCGGTACCATACAGCTGGCACTTGGTAGGACGGGTGGGTTGTATTTAGCACGCCGATCCTATGGGCCGGACATGGCCGAAATGCCCGATAACGACACTCTCACGTCGTATGGCCAAAACACGGCAGTGCACTCCACCAAAGTCGCCGGACAGACATGATATGAACGCCATCGCTGCATCGCGTCCTCCCACCACACGAAAGCTCTTGTGTACAACCTCCGCTCGCGTTGCTTTGACGAGCGCTGCGGTATCACGCTCGCACACGCCCAGGAAATCACCAACCGCACTTCCAGCCTCTTCGCGGACGCCGCCTTATCTTTCCTCCATCCTCTGCAACACCCATTCGAGATCTTACCTCACCATGGCATCCTCAGCCGCACCCACGATCGCAGTGATCGCACCAGGCTCCATGGGAGCAGCGGTCGGCCATCGCTTCGCCAAGGCGGGCTGCACGGTCCTCACCACGCTCGCAGGGCGCTCGCCCGCCACGATCGAGCGCGCCCGCGCCGCGGGCATGCAGGACGCGTCCCTCCCTGACATCGCGGCGCGCGCGCAGTGGGTGCTCAGCATCCTGCCCCCAAGCTCTGCGCTCGCGTTTGCGGAGTCCTTCCAGAAGGCGTACGCGGAGGCAGGGACGGGCCGCGGACTCGCGTTTGTGGACTGCAACGCGGTCAGCCCGCAGACTGCGAAGACCGTCGCGCGTGTGTTCGAGGGCAGCGCGGTGCGGTTTCTCGATGCGGGAATTGTGGGGGGTCCGCCGAGTGATACGTACAATCCTGCGTTTTACGCGTCTGCCGAGCCGGAAGATGCGGACTTGCTGGATGCATTTGTGGGTCTTGAGAAGTGGGGCCTTAGAGTCGTGCCCCTCAGGGGCGAGGGCGCAGGCATCGGTGACGCGAGTGCTCTGAAGATGTCTTACGCGGTTAGTAGAGGCTCTGGCGTTCAGATATCGGCGTCCTGACATGCTGGTTATAGGGAATTTCCAAGGGCTTCACCGGCTTAGTGTCGACGATGATCCTAGGTGAGTTCTGCGCGAGCCTACAAGTCACTGACAACTAACTTGTGTACCCCCAGCTGCGCACGCATCTTCTCCTGCGACCGCGCAGGCCCTGCTTCACGAGCTGCACGACTCGCAACCATTCGTTCTGGACCGTATTGTGAAGGGCGTTCCTAGCATGCTTCCGAAGGCGTACCGGTGGGTGGGCGAGATGGAGGAGATATCGGCGTTCGTGCGCGAGGGTCTGGGCGAGGGGGAGGCGCACATCCACCACGGCTTTGCGCACGTGTATGAGCGGGTCGAAAAGTCGTTGCCGGAGGGAGATGATGTGGCCGTGTTGAAGAAGTTTGTGCAGGATGCGAAGGAGGTGATCAAGGAGTCGAAGGCCAAGTAGGCTTTCGCACTGGGTACGTTGAGGACGGCAGTAGAAATAGAAGATGTGAGCTCTGTATAATACCACAACGCAACTGTGCCTAACTGTGCACAGTGCTGTTCGTTACAGTAGTCCTGACACTGACAATGGGCGGCTCGAGTTTGAGTTTTTATCACGGCCGTGTGAGAGCTTGTCAGCTGTCAGTGCAATGATAGCGCAGCGTACCTATATGAAGATGCCGCAGAGCCCCGAGTTTGAGCTTCGTTTACCGCCCCGCCCTCTCACCGCACACCCACTTCGCTCTCCGCCCCCATGATCATGGACATGCTCGACCGCCTCCCGTATGATATCTGGCACATCATATTTCAGCTAGCCTGTACCGATGGTGGCAGGACCGGCTGTGCCCTAGCTCTCACCTCCAAGGCATGCCGCCGGGCATCCTCGTCCGCCCGCCTCAACTCTGTGCGCCTCCACAGCCTCCGCCATGTGCGGAACTTCCTCATCTGCCTCGAACGCATCCGCCGTTCCACGGGCGAGGACCCGCCCGTGCGCCACCTGCTCTTCTTCCTTTTCCCCGAAACATGCGACGCCCCCGTGCGCGCCTTGCGCGCGCACTGGACGGACTACGCGCGCAACGAGCGCGCGATGCTCACGCAGCTCGTCAACGAGCACCGCGAGTGGAACGCGAAGAAGATCGCGTGGAACCGCGCGTTCGTGCTGCACGTCTCCGCGCTCCTCGCGCGCGTCGCGGACACGCTGCGCACGCTCCTCGTGCTCCAGAGCCGCGAGGTCCGCCTCCCGCTCGTGCGCTGCCGCCTCCCCGCGCTGCGCGAGCTCACGCTGCTCGGGGACGACCGCATGTTCGTGCGCGTGCCCCGCCCGGGCATCCTCGTCCCGCGCGAGGGCGATGACTCAGACTTCGCCCTCTACGACGTGCCGCTGCCCAGCGCGGACGGGCCCGAGGGCGCGCCGTTCCCCGCTCTGCGCCGCCTGCACGTCGTCTACGCATTGCCGAAGCTGCACCCCTGGGAGGACACGCTCCCGCGCTGGGCCGCGCTCGCGCCCGCGGTGACGCACCTGCGCATTTCACAGGGTAGCGCACAGGTGGCGCAGATGATCCGCGACATGCTTGGGCTGCCCCCGCCTCTGGTACCACTATCAGGCCTGTCTGGCGGTCGAAACGCGGCCGAGGACGGCGATGGGGATAGCGATGTTCCAGGGTCCCCGGAGTCATCTGCGGTGGCGGGCCCGACATACCCTAGCTTGCGACTGGTGATCGTGCAGCTGAGCCGCGCGCCGAAGTGGGCGAGCAGCGCTACGGCCGCGGCGGTGCTTGCGCAGAGGCGCGAGGTCGAGCAGGTCGCGGAGGCGTGTGCGGATGCAGATGGGGGCGCGTCGCAGGCGTGGGTGTCGGTTCTTCGGAGTCGTCAGTACGACGACGAGTACTGGCCGCGGCGGTTGTTGCGGGAGTGGCGGCAGCGGATGTCGGGCGGTGGGGGCTGCTGGACGGAGGACGAGTACTACGAAGACGAGCGGTGGGGTGTGTCCGAGGTCGGGCCGCTGCCGAAACGCGAAGGCCCGCTGACGCTCGACTTGCGGAACGACGGCCCAGAGGAACGAAAGGCGGCAAAGAAGTGGTGGCAGGCTGTGTTCTCGCTGAGAAAGCGCAAAGCTCTATGATAGATTTGAAGTAGGGCTCTGGAAGTAGGTTCAGTCATGGTCGAAGTTGACCCCATCTAAGGCCAATGATGCGTGTTGATAGGGAAGTGCATAGGGCGAGTTCAGCTGGGAGCGAGGGATCATGTCTTCAGCCCACTTCACCTTCGCGGCGTAGCTAGGATACCCCATACCCTCGAGGAGTTGCTCCGTGACAGGACACCATGAGTCATGACGAGGAAATGCGGGTTTGGCGTTCGAAGATACCGAATCCCCATTCGGAACGCCCGTATGTCAATGGAAACATAATCCCGGCGGCTAGCACAGCCCGAACTCTCTTGCCAGGGCATGCCGTACACTCGGCGTCGCAGTCGCACCAACAGGACGGGCGACTTGTGATATTTAGACTGCAGCCCCTGTCTAGGCGGAGCTTCCAACAGCATCTGCCTACGCCACCTCTGTCTCGTCGCCGTCCACCAACCGCCCGACATGCTGCCCTCGATGGACAAGCTCCCCCTCGACCTCTGGGACGACATCTTCCGCCATGCGTGCACCGACGGGGGCCGGACCGGCGCCGCCCTCGCGCGCACCTCGTCCTTCCTCCGCGCAGCGTCTGCCCCATACCGCTTCTACTCCCTCAAGTTCACGAATCTCGCGCAGATAGGCCGCTTCCTGCTCTGCCTGGATCGCATTGAGCGCGCGCAGGCCCCACACGCAGGCGTGAGGGACCAGCGCAGCGTGAACACCCGCCACCTGCTCCTCAGCTTCTTCCCGGACGACTGCGAGTCGCTTGACCGCCAATGGCGCGGCTGGAGCGAGTACTCGTCCAGGAAGTCGAAGCGGCAGCAGCAGCTCGCCGAGGACGAGCGTGCGTGGCATGCCACGAAGGGCGCGTGGGACCGCCAGTTCCTCTTTCTTGTGCCGCACCTCCTCCGCCTCGTCGCACCAACGCTCGAGACGCTCGCGATTCTGCAGCATCCAGGCATATCACTCCCCTACGTGAAAGTGGAGCTCTTCGCCCTGCGCGAGCTCGCCCTCCTCGCAGACGACGGGATCTTCGTGCGGCCGAGTCCACGGGTGGAACTGCACGTGCAGACACGCCGAAGCGACTTCGACGACCTCGACACCCGCGTGCCCGCGTCGTTCCCGTCACTCACCCATCTCCACATCGTGTACGAGAGCGGCGCGAAGCAGCACTCGTGGGAGAAGACGCTCCCGCTGTGGACCGCGCTTGCGCCCGCCATGACGCACCTCCGGGTCTCGCAGGCGAGCAATCTCATCCCGGAGGTGCTTGAGGCGATGTCGACGCGGGCCGTGCCGCGGGGCGCGAGGGGGACGCTCGAGTTCCGCGCAGCACTCGCGCACCCGCGGCTGCGGAAGATCGTCATCCAGCCCTTGGTGCTGCAGCCAGTGAAGGGGCATGACTTCCGCGAGGAGGCGCGCCTCGTGTCGCAGGCCCCAAGAGGTCGCGGGGGCTCGCGGATAGTGGTCCTTCGTGGGAGGTGGTATCGGCATGGGTACTGGAGAGATAGGCTCAGGTGGGAGTGGGAGGACAGGATGGTGGGAAAGGCGGGCTGCTGGGCAGAAAGCGAGGACGACGAGGGCGAGTGGACGCACGAGCGCAGAAAAAGAGCAGAGGTGGCAGCGCAGAAGGCGAGCAAGGTGCGGGCAGGAAAGGCGCCAGGTCAGACCAAGGACTGGATTCGGCTGGACAACCCTGAGCGTATGTTTCGGTCCTTGAGTGGAGGCTTTTTGCGCCGGGGAGGAGCGAAGTGTCATGGACGCGCGGTTTCGGTGTGAAACGTCAGGGTACAATCTGAAGCACCACAGGACAGTTACGATTAATTATGAGTACTTTAGCAAACAGAATCAAAGCAGAGTAGTTACGCGTTGTGCATGTAATCATAGTGCTTTGGCCACTCGTCATAATGCATATATCTGAGAAGATACCGGAGAAGCATACGCCACGCTGCATCTGCAAGCCATCATAAAGCCCGGCAACCAATATCCCAACTGGTGCAATAGTAAATTCAAACTCACCTAGATTGGTGGCAGACAAGGCTCACTTTGGTGAGAACGAGCATCTATGACGGCGGTTGAGGGGTCTCAAACTCGAAGGTTTGCGATACGTTGTTTGGTGGTGTTAGGATCCAAGGCCTCCGCCTTCCCAAACGGGGCAAAATTGACGCGTTGCACTGATTGATTGCCCAAACACCGAGGTGGTCCGTGCGCAGAGTCCTCCGAGTATATATGCCTGCTCGCGACATTGTGAATCCTTACCACTCTGGCCTTTTGGCTTAGATCAAGTGTAGTATCTGTTCTTAATAGTTTAACCACTATTATGGGGCCACCGGCCCCATTATTGGTTATCTAATTTTTGCCGCCCCTGTCCCTTGGGCTCTGCTTGCAACCCGAGGGCGCGATGACCTTGCCACTGCAGTACCGGCTTGTGTCGTCGGGGGATCTCACTCTTCCTTTCATTGCGCTCTGTGACCGGTCATTTGACCGCGAGCTCGGTGGTTTGAATGGATGATTGGGACTTTGCTCTCTTGATGCCTCGTTTGGGATGCGGTTGTATGTGCATTTGTTATACATTGGTTACTATGCCCGTGGTGTCTTGTTCGAGTGCACTTCTGTGTGCTGATCATCACTCCCTCAGAGAGGCACTTGCTGGTTTCTGCGCCCTAGCAAGCCATCCCAGATGGTGATAACACAAGGATGGTATAGTCGCAATTATACAAGGTAGTACACGATGTGTGTGTAATCGAAACAGACCCGGATGCCGAGCTACACAACTAAAAATTGAGGGTGTAGAGGGCAACAAATGAACACGGCAGCAATACAACAGTGTCGCAGAGAAGGGGGCGTCGGATATGAGTGCAACTCTTGCGGTGGGGACGGTACAATCGAATAAGATGAAAAATAAATCAAGGTAGCCTGTCAGACGCGCCTGGCACCTGTAATCCTGCATGCAGAATGCGCCATGGCTCTGTCAAAGGAAGACAGCGGTTTGAAGATTGCTTCGTTGGATGCCCTCGCGCACTGCGGGGTATCGACGTGCGTTAGTTGCGAACATCCGAAGCTGCCAGAAAAGACACGTACCTGCAGCAACCGTGATGCGCGTCGCCTTCGTGTCCTGCAGAATGGAAAGACACGATCGGTGTGAGTCTCCATTCAAAAGCGGCATTCGCAGGCCAGAAGAGAATTGGAGATCTGTCCAATCCACAGCCAGGGACCTTCCCTGCCAATGGGATAGGCAGAACTCTCACAGAAGTCATGTCCGTGGGAGCAAATGCGCACAAGAAAGGAGAAGGCGGAGCAAATACGTGGACGTGGACACGCCGGAGATCAGGCGGAGGGGTGGAAGAGACGTACCACTACAGACGTGAGAAACGAATAGAAGACGCGCGGTTTCGGTGAATGTCGTGCAGAGATGTCCTTGAACTGCGAGCGGAAGTCTGTACGGACCGAGATTAAACCCATCGTGAAGGGGTGACCTGAAACGACGGGGCTTACAGCGCGTTACGCTCTCGAGGTCGTTCGGCTTGCTTCCATACGTAGGCACGTAGTCAACGACGCGCACCCCGCGGGAGAGCTTCTTCTCCAGCAAGTCGCACTTGTTTAAGAACTGCCCAATACGATGCGAACCATTAGCACGCGCGCCTTCTCGTCGTCTCAAGAAGCACGGACCAATATTAGCTGCACTCCAGCGAGAAGGTTTGTCGAACAGACGGCCTTCCAGAGCAGCAAGCTGTCCTGGAGACGGTTCACCCGCCGGTCTTCCGCGAGCCGCTCGTCGAAGCAGCTGATCGGCGCAAGGAAGATGATCGCGTTGATATTGTCAAAGTAGGGGTACCATGCGTTCCTCTGTGCGAAACATCCAGGTAAGCGCACCCGCAAGGTTAATTGGCGGCCGGACTTACCAACGACCGCGCACCGCCGACATCGTAAATCAGCCACTCGCTCCCCGCATCTGATCCTAGACATGGCTGTGAGGGGATAGCAATGACCAAATAGCGCGCTCCATACCTTTCTCGAACGTTATGCGGTGCTCCTGCACACCCATAGTTCGCAGTCGTGCGCGAACGACATCGTCGTCCGATGGCTGGTACCCGCGAGCTGCGACCCGGGCGGCGTCGTTCAGGAAGCTGTGACGGGTCAGCGCCCATGAAACACGGCCATCTGTCAAGGGTACTCACAACCCGGGCCCCTCTTCGGGGCGCATGCCCCGCATGCTGAGAACCGTTCTGACGGCGGGGTCCTGCCACAGTGCGGACATATCCTCCGCGCAGGAAGCAATAACTTCCGCCGCGTCCTCAATGTCCGCGTCTTCCATCTTCTCGACGGCGCGCTCGGGCAACGAGACTCTCGCCGCGACGGAAGGCCGCCGGCCGCCTGTCTGCATCCCCATCAGCGCCGGGTGCTTTGCCAGGGGAAAGCCTCGCAGCCCACCTTTGCCAGTGCAGGGGCAGGGGAAGACACACGGCCCTCCGGCGAGGACGCTTCCGACCGCCTCTCGTGCCGTCCGATGGTCGAGTCGATGGACTTGCGGCCCACCTCGCGGATGCGCCCGAGCGCGCCCTTCCACCCGCTGCGGCTCGTGACGGAGAACTCGCGCGCGCGCCAGCCACCGCCCCCGAGACTCCACGGGGCTGCGCCGCCTGAGCTCGCGGGCTGTTCCTCGGAAGATGCGGCGCCGAGGCTGCGCTCGAGGTCGCGCTGTACCTGGCGCAGGGGTGAGAGCCGGAGCATGAGCTCGCGGTGGAACTCCGTCAGGGGGCACGCGGAGGGGTCGCCGGAGGGCTCCGGTTCTTCTGACTCGTCGTCCGAGTCTGCGTCAAGGGCGCCGTGCAGCTCTGTCATGGGGGTGTAGGGACGCGCGGGCGCGTCGGTCGGAGGGCTGTTCGCAGAGATCTCTTTCCAGAGGATCTCGATAATGTTGTTGACGGAGCGGATAAGGTTGAGGTGGATGACTGCACGCCAGGCAGCGCGCTCGGCCAGGAACGCATCGTAGGCGTACGCGAGCTGGAAGTCTAACCAGGTGCGATGATCGTCAGCTCCAGTCCCGAGTCCGAGAGCTATTAAGACCACTCACTCTTCACCGTCGTGGATTTGCCACTTTCGCTCTGGCCGAGCAGCAGGAGCCGCATCGGCGGCCTGCGTTTCTTCATGGCTAGTTTCTCCGCCCGTATCTGCTCGTCAATCTGCTCACTGATCCTGCGCGCCGCGGCCTCGCGCTGCTCCCTAGCCCATCGCTCCGCGGGGGTCTCGTTCGGCGGCGGCTCGATGGCGACGGCGAGCGGGTCGGGAGTCTCGAGGGCGCGTGCCATCGCGTCGAAGAAGAGGGGGCGTGGCGGAATGATTGAGCCACCGCGGCACGCCGCGGTATAAGGCAGCTTTTGAGAAGGCTCGACATGGGTGATGGGAACAGCAGAAGCTGATGATGATGAGAGAATCTGTGGCAGGTGTGTGCCCGCGGGTGGACTGCAGTGCGCAGCGCATGTGCGGGTCTATCAGGCGCACAGATGCGCTCTGCAATGTCGCATTCATTTCCCCATTCACTCCGGCGCGGTAGAAGCGCGGGCGTCGGCTGTCTGTCACTATCGGGATGAGTGTGTGCCCGTTCCTGGGGGCGGGCTGCGCCGCTCTCGCCCAGCAGATGCGAACCTTCATGTACATCTCCCGACATCTTCTGTGAGCCTTTTCAGGGGCACGTCAGGTATGTTGGCCTCCAGATCGGCCCAGATCGCCGGTGGTCACGGTTTGAGATCGTAGGCCCTCTGCTGGCTCCGGGCTGGCAGGCAATCAGAATACCTGTGAGGTGTACATACCGCCACAACGATGCGCCACGATGTCCGACCTCTTTTGAGTGTTGGCCACTCATGAGCTGCATCTGGCCTGAAGTGAGGCCACGACCGCGAGCTGTAGTGTGAACCATCTCCACCCATATCTTTCGGTATCGGCACCAGATTTCCCTCGGGTTCTGTTGCTGACGCTCACAGGCTCGCTGATGCAAAGGCTCCGAGGATTGGTCTCCGACGCTTTGATCTGCGACTAGCGCTATCAGCAGCCTTGCCTTTTGTATTCAGCACTCACGTGGGTGGCCGATGGAATACACGAGCAGCTGGATATGTCACGACAGTGAAAACATACGATTATCAGCAAAGCATAAATGCTGCGCACCTGGAACACGAGCCGGCCAGACAGGAAGCCCAGGGCACCGCGCCGAGCGCCGGCTCAACGTCTTAACTTGCGCTCTATTGCTTCCCCCCATAAGAATTTACAGAACCCTACCGATCACGGTCCAGTAGCACTGCAGGCGAATAAACCGTGGGTATGAAACAATCCAGAGACGACGGACCAGATAGCTCAATGTATGAATGTATATGTGTATGCGCAATGAGCGAATTATGATCAAGCACGGGCGAGGCAGAGAACCCAGGGATAGATGCTACAACAAGGGATGTATGGATTGCGTTTGAGTGAATGTAGGCCATTGAAAAGGGCAATAAGTATGGTAATGGATGGTAGCGGCAACGGATCAATGAAGAACACAGACCGCAGTGGATATTACTGGAATCGGTAGGGTATGGACGGCTAAGTATATACAAGGGGATTAGTAGTTGGGACGGTGGTGACGAGATTTCGACTGGCGGGGAGCGGAGGGGGTCGCCGGCCGAGGGGAGATGGCGCCTTGCCCGTGGGTGGGCACGAAGTCGGAGTCAACCTCGGCACACTTCAAGTGCAGCAAGAGGTTGAGAACGAACGTTTGTTCGTATCTTTCGCATAATCGTCAGTAAGATAAATCATCAAAGGACACTGTGGACGACTCACTGTGCATTGGTGAACACGACTAGCATAGATTCTGAGTTGCACCGTAAGAGATTTGGCGCCATAACAAGCGCGAGGTTCGGCGCAGTCATCTTCGTCACGCTCTGGATCTTCTCCTCCAAGAACAGCTGCAGGAAGCTGATGACGAACAGGACCACGCGGCGGTTCATCGTCGGAAGCCGCTGTACGATCTGCACACACGCATCTGGGTTGTGCGCCGACGTAATGCAGTCGTTGTACAACTCATCGGGGACGAGGGGGTCGCACAGCTCGCGAAGCCAGAGCTTCAGGAGCGACGCAAGGACGTGAGGATCGTCTACGCCTTCGAGGCTGTAGTACCCCTTGTCGATGCGCAGCTTCAGGTCCGAGACAAGGTCGCCGTCGCCAGGCACGCGGAAGATGCCTTCGTGCTTCGTGCCGCCGAGCGCGAGAATGCCATCGGCGAGGAAGGGTAGGATGATCGGCACCTTCTTGTCCGGATAGTTGCGCTCTTGCAACCTGAAGACGCCGTCAAGCGTCTCTCCAAATATCGACGGATGGAAGGCGGCATCCTGATCGCGAACTGCAGTTAGTCTCACAAATCATTGAGGATGGTGTTAAGCATGCTCACCGAAGCGGTTTCTATCTCTGCGACAGTTGGTGGTTTCCCTCTCGGTCCCTTCTTCGACACGTATGCAAGGCGGCGCAAGCAGTACTTGGCCATGACGTCGATTCGGCCTTCGTGCTGGTTCGTCGCTTGTTGAATGTACGAACGCAAGTATGCCTCGAAGTCCTTGGAGGGCGGGAACGTGACAAGAAGCACGCAGACTAGCTGCCACCCCTTGAAGATGCTCTCTCTGTCGCAAGTGACGGCTGTCAGATATCGTGACGCATGTTGAACGGTCAAAGGATACGCACTTGCTTGGATTGCCATTTAGCTGCTTCATCACTTGGCAATAGATTTCGTCCCGCAGCTCTCCATGACTTAGCCCTTCACCAAGAAGCCACCGCTCTTCTTCCACTAGCGCGTTGGTAGACACGCGAGGGAGCGACGTTGTAGACCCGTTGAAAGACTTCACAGGCGACGATGGGTATCCCCCCGTCCGCTCGCGTTCGCGGTCACCCATGAGGCGTTGGATGACTTTGAATGTCTTTACGGCGTCTTTGTGCAACGCACGGTTCAGGTTAAGGAGAGGTACGGCGATGGCCGTCTGTTTGGTGACTTGAGACGCGATTCGATGTGCAGGTAGGCAAACGGGACGCACCTTCTGCCAGGCCATAACCTGGGCGACGGGGACTGTGCGCTTGAAGATGAACCCAGTCTTGTGTGTGGAGAAGTAGCGATGCGCAAAGTCCGATTCGGCGAAGCGTTGGATGTCTGACACCAGGTCATCAGGAAGAATCGGATATTTTCTACCACAACGTTAATATGCTGTCAGAGCACCGAACATCGAGAGAGTACGCACCCTGTGTCCAAAGAAGCATCTGACTTGCGTCCAGCGTTCTGGTAGATGTCAATGGGTATGGGTGTGCCGTTATTTCGGTTGATCAGTTGACTCATGTGACGAGTAGCCTCTGCGTTGTCTCGTCAACATACGTGAAGGCCGGAGTGCAACTATCAACGCACCAGGATCCAGAACGGGACTACTAATGAACTTCCCTCGCAAATGTGCAGCAGCTGGACCAGAGACACTACGCCTAGGCTGCGGCGCTACAGGGGAAGGCTTCATGGGTGTAGAGGGTACGCTGCTCTTGTCCTTGCCTCTGAACTTGAATCGTAGAGGTGTATCAGGAGGGGTGCTGGAGTGGGTCTGGTCACTGCGAGCAGCGACTCCAAGAAGGTTTGGGTCAGTGTTGATTCTGACCCGCGGAGGCGATTCCTGTAACGACGGAGTGGCGGAGCGCGCGGCATGACCGCTGTCAGATCCGTCAGGCTTGTCGTGTGAATTAGACGACTGCGAGCTGGACAGTGCGATCATCTCGAGGGCGGCGTTGAGGCTCTGAGGCTGCGGGGAGCGGTATTGCGTGTAGGAAGAAGACTTTGACCGAGATCGGCCAACCGTGGAGTCATCGGCGGTGCTCTTGCGCTGCGGAATGCTGTCTTTTTTCGGGGTGCCTGCGCGCTGCCCGTTTACCGGTGTACCCGACATCGACTTGCGTCCACCTACGGACGGGGCTGGTGAGGGTGCCGCGTCGGTGTTGTAGGGAGAGCCAGGGATGGGGTCGAGCGGATGTCCTTGTTCGTATGCAAGTGGTCCTGCTTGGGAACCGGAGCTGTCATGCTGGTGATCAGGACTCGACACCGATTTGCGACCGGATGGCGGGCGCTTGGAAGACGAGCCGGTGCGCGGGGAAGATGTATGGGGACTAGGAGGGGGATGCTGTGTGCGCCCCGGAGAGCTCCTCGTGGATGACTGTGACGGGCGCGGGTTTAGGGCGCCGCCACCGCTTTTGTACGAGCGGCCATTCTGCGCGACATCCTTGTCCGACGTATACGAACGGGAGCGACGATATGGCATCCGTTCTGGTGTGTCGGAAGGCTGCTTTTGAGAGCCTTTGCCATTCGTCTCCCCGCCACGGTCTCGCATAGACAGCCTTCGCGCGAGCGCGGTGTTTTGAAGTACGCCTAAGGGAATCACGAAGGCGTTCGGACGCTCCCAAACAGTCTCCCCAGATTTGGTTTGATAGTAGTAGTTGAGACCGCTGGCCTCGTCGGACATCTCCCACCATTCGCCATCGGGACTAGGCGGTAACCTGGCGCCGCCACCGTTAGTAGAAGCATGTAGAAAGCGGAGATAAAGTTCTTACAAGAAGTTTCCAGCTGGAGGGTCCCAGCTTACCTCCCCTGTGGCGGGACATGCGTAGAATGAAACCTGTGTCTGAACAGGCGCGTATTAACATCAGCTTCTTATACCGCCCAACGATACAGCAGACAAGGGGCCCAGTTTGCTCATCGGAGGGGGAATACAGTCGTCTTTCCAAATGAATAAGCAGCGAATACAGCCACTGCACTCCCATACAGAACAGAAGTTTTCCCCGCGGCAGTGGTTAAGTGCCATTCTGACACTCTATATTGTCCGGGCGTTGCGCGTGATGGCTCTCAACTCCGACACAGCTGCGTTGTTGGTAAAAGCCCCGGGATTCAGATGTTACCGCAAGAAACGCGGCTAGCCTGAAAGAGAGCGCACTTGAGCAACGCAGAGTCTGGTACACACCTGTGGATCGATGAGAGTAACCCAGAAATTCGATCCCCATCCAGGGTCTCCAACTGCACCGGTCGCGGGCACGCCGTGCAGACTGGAGGCGCGTCTTCCGTTAAGACGGACCTCCGGCGTTGGCGGCATGTTTTCGTTTTGAACCGCACTAGCTCCGGGTGGCGATGTTTGTTCTGCGGTCGCATTTTGCGTGGGGGTATGCGTTGCGGTGGCACTTGACATCGCTGAGACGGTACGGGTATCGTTCTTCCACAGTTTTTCCTTCTTGCGAGTTTCGAGTGTATGCAAGCGGGTCCAAGCAGCGATGCGGAAGCTTTAAAGAGAGTCGGATGCTGGAAAGCAGGTATCGGAGGAGAGGGTATAATACAGAGTTTCTGAGCGGTGACGGGAGGAATCAAGAGCGCCTTCCGGAATGCGCGGCGGGCGTCGGCGGTCGCTTCTTCATCCCGGCCACGACGATGGTCACGACGATACCCGCGTTCATCTAGCCATCTTCCATGGCATATAAGGGTCATGTCTGTTTCCTTCACCGTAGCTACCTGGAAACGAAGGCACGGACTCGCCTCGTCTAGGAGTCTGATCAACGTTTGGACAGTGGAGACTTGGCACGTTCTTCACTCACACCACCTGGTGCGTTTCCACTGCCTTTGAACCAAGGATGCGAAGTCCCATTCGGCCCATCGGTCTATCGGGGTATCAGGTCTGTTCGAAGATGCTCATGCTGTCGACTCCTCACCTCAGCTCACATACCCGGTGTCCTGTCCACCGGGTGCCTGTGAGCACGTCCATTACTCTCGAACCCTCCTGGGTGCAATGGCCCTGTCTACCCCTGGTCCTGGCACCTCGCACGGTACATGGGAATACCGTTCGGGGAGGCTATACGTAGGTATGTTCACCAATATCGGGCTTACATTGTGGGAGACGGCGACCGGACATCTTTACTTACGGAGAAAGAATGCCGAGTATGCGCTGACTTTCCTTCCTCGTACAGAACATGCATGCATAGCTGAGTATCTCCTCATTCATGAACCCTCTGCGGGATGGACATCCACTCTCCTGTCACGACCGGGGCTCACGGATGCACTCCGCTTTCTCTTCACTCCTTCGTATGTCTTGCCCCGCAGAAAATCTCATCTCTCCTGATCAGGTGTACTCCTTCATTCTGCGAGCTCCCGCATCGAGCTCGTGTCTGTGGCGTGTTAAGTGTCTCAATCGCAGAGGGAGTGTGTAGTTCGCCGAAACGCACTGACAATTCGTACTCCACATCCAAGGTCCCGACCTCCTAAACGCGCTCATCTATATCAAGCCCTCAGTACTATTGAGTCTACCACCGCGCAAATAAGTTTGGGCGAGACCTCTTAACAAGCAGAGCGCGTGCCGAGAATACACCATCAAGCACACCGATGATCCCTTTGAAGCCCGATGTTATTCCACCGCATCCACACCGCATCTCATAAGCGGATCCGAGCCTTCTTTTCAACAGCTGTGTCGCTCGTTAGAAACCCATGGATATTTTCGGGGAAAGAGGTGCGTGCAACACGCGAGGTTCCACTAGAATCCACTTACCGGTAACTCAGGCAGGCTGTACACATGGATTCCACCTGCCTATTCTCCTCGCGACATATTGGAAAATGGCAATACGGCTGCACTGACTTCCCGCGTCGCCAGTGCAAGCCGCGTGCTCTATTCTGCTCTACTCCGGCTGTATAATCCGGTACAGCCTCAATACGCCTGTGAACCCAACCTCAACCCCCTCCTACTAGGAAGAATCCTTGAGAACGTCGTTTGTGGAACTCCTCCGTGATATATTGGTGAATAGTGCCTTTCTCGCCTACGGGGCTTGAAATGTGCATCGCTGTTGCTAGGCGCCCTCGTGCTTGCTAGCCGGCGCAACTGCGATACAGCCTTACAGGTGCATAAGTATGGTCTATATCGTCTATAAAATGCCCTCCCTCGACAGAAGACGGGAGGCATATACTACCCCAAACACCCCGCACAAAGACGCAACTTCGTTCACGACCTGTCGAAACCACAGGTGAGCCACACTTTGTACCGGTACATGCTCGAACGGGAGTAAGCGCTCATTATCTAGGTATCCATGGCTAATTCGCTCCCCATCGAGATGTGGAAGGATATCTTCGAGTTCGCATGCACCGACGGAGGCCGTACCGCGAGCTCTCTTTCGCACGTTTCCAAGGCCTTCCGCACAGTCTCCGCCACGTATCGATTCCGCAGCGTCCGGCTTTCGAGACTACGCGACATCCAACTGTTCTTGACTCACTACGAGGCTGCCCTCGCCACCGCATCCGCCGCCGGCTGCGACCCACCCCGGGTGTGCCATCTCCTTCTGTCTTTCCTGCCTGGGGAGACGGATGTCAAGCTCCTGGACGCTGGGTGCCACATGCACGACTTCCATGCGTGGCGCAACATGAAGGGCGCGTGGAACGCCCGCTGCGTCGACCTCCTTTCGCGCCTCTTCGCGCTCGTTGGCGCGCACCTCAAGACGTTGACCGTCCTACAGTCGCTCAGCATCCCTCTCCCCTTTGTCCGGTGCACACTCCCCGCGCTGCGCGAACTCACCCTACTCACCGATGATCGTCTCTTCGTGCGTCTCCCCAGCGAGGCGGAAGACCATAGCTCGTGGATTGAGCTGTCAAACACCGAATTCTACGCCGCCGGGACACCGCTCGACCTCACCGAAGTCGCCGCGAACCCGCCCTTCCCTGCCCTCGAACGCCTGCACGTCGTAGACGTCAGCGGTGAAGCTGTCGCGTGCAAACGGTTGCCGTGGGCGACGACGTTGCCTGTGTGGGCGAAGCTCGCGCCGCGCCTCGCCGTCTTGCACTTCTCGCACGCCGACGCCGCCATTCTCCGGGACGTGGGCGACCTGCTCCGCACGACGCCGCTCCTGTTTTCCGCGCTGCGCACGCTGGCCGTGCAGCCGGCGATGGAGGGCCCGGAGGGAGCCGCGGCGGTGGACGCATTGCGGGAAGCGTATGCGAGTGTAGCTCCGAGGCACGAGCTATCGCCGATACGGGTGGACTGCGTGGACGTGGATCCGACCATGGACAGCAGCGACGGTGGGTATTGGCCCCGAATGCTGGCGGCGGAGTGGTCGAGACGGATGTTGTAAGCTGGCCAGATGTTGTCGCACCAGAATTCACACCAGATATTTGTTTCGTCTAGAGGCTCTCGTGGCCTGAGCTCGCCAGAAACGTTGACCTTGCGCACACGCCGCAATCAGGTGCCCGGGAGCTTGCTGAGTGCGTCATCATATGTTGCAGGTCGACCAAACATGTGGCTGGTGAAGTTGGGTTGACGAATCAAGATTGGGCGGCAGCATATCCTAGAATTCTTCTCAGGAACTATCAAATGCCGGCAACCCACCATACCCCGCATTTCCCCACATTCCTGACCGACATTCTGATTCGCTGACTTTCGCTGTGTCCTCTGCTTTACACTGAAGATATATCTTCCATGTTGAACTTAGCTCAGCCCGGAGATGGAAGAGTGCAGCTCGCTGGAGGCCTTGCCCTGACCGCGTGATCAGTGAGTACATAATTCCTCATTCACACCAGTGTCTACCGTACCACCTCTCCAGTTCTCCAACCGCCACCCTTGCGACCGCACGCACTGCGACCTGCTCGATTACGTTCAGTTCGTCGATGCCAGAGCAGTTCAGGCAGTCTTCTCGTACCTCTCCACGCGCGGGACATGCTGCGTTTCTCACTGTCGGCTATTTTTGTCGCACGGCTCGCAGATCTGGTGGGGTGCTTCTCGAGACGCCAGGCGGCGCAAGCGTCAGTAGCGAGCTATTTAGTCTGCCGTCACAGGATCCCACCGCGTGCCCCCGGCCCCGTCCTTTCTTCTCGCCGCCCCGTTCTACGCGCGCACGCACCAGCATTGAGCAATGGCCGCCAACTTCGACCCGCCCAGCACGCTGAAGCCCGCCCAGGTCGCGGCGGCGATGATTGAGCATGGCGTCGTGAAGCACCGGACCCGCGCAGACGTCGTGTTCTTCAAGGCGGTGCGTTTTGTCATGGCGCTTGGGTGACGTGCGCACACTGAACGGGGTTGGGGCGGACAGGTCGCAGCCGGCGTGATGCTCTCCTTCGGAGGCCTGCTTTCTGAGATCGTGTCGGGCGGTTCGGCAGGGATCAACGCCTCCAACCCGGGCCTGGTCAAGTTCCTCGGGGGAGCCGTCTTTCCCGTGGGTCTGATAATGTGAGTCCACCGGTATCGCTGGGCGGGCGGGGTGCGAGAATCTGACCCCCGGTATGATAGGATTGTACTTCAAGGACAAGAACTATTGACGAGCAACATGATGGTCAGTCACTATCTGGCAGATGTCGAGCTTATACTCACCTGCGCTTTCAGATCTATCCAATGGCATGCATCAGAGGTGCAGTCCCATGGTGGGGACTGCCCTACAATTGGCTCATCGGTATGCCCTCACACTCAACTTCTGTTGTGAGGGACTAACTGGGCGCTCAGTCACTTTCGGAAACCTGTGCGGGAGTCTGTTCTTCGCGTCTGTGTTGACCAAATGTGCGTTCAAAGACCATCGCGCGCCCGACAAGTATTGACCCGGCCGTGAAGACACCGGTATCATCTCCACGCCACCGTACAACGCGTACGCTGTCACGTTCGCCATGTACGCTCCCGAGTACTATTCACATACCTGTTTGCATTGCTGACTAGCTTTCAGGCACAAGGCGGTAGAGCCGGAGTGGCACCAGATATTCTTGCGTGGGATCGGCTGCAATTGGCTGGTTTGCGTGGCTGTCTGGGTATGGATCAACATCTTTGTCGCTTCCCAACTGGCTCATGACCTCTTACCGACCTCTAGCAAGCCGCAGGGGCGCGCGACACGCTTTCGAAGGTGAGTTATTGTAGATGGACGCGAAGAAGCATGTGTCCTGACCGTGAGCTTGCTCCGAAAGATCGTGGCGCTGTGGGTCCCAATTATGGTGCGTTCACATCATCATTCCGTGTCCCACTGGGCGCTGACGTCGGGTGCCTTGGGCAGATTTTCGTCACCTGCGGGTACGACCACGGTAAGCATCCGCATTCGCCGGACGTGAAACGCACGCTTGCTCACCACATGATGACGCGCAGTTGTGGCAAACATGTTCTCCGTGCCACTTGGGATCCTATTCGGCGCGGACCTCACCGTCGCAGGGTACATCCGGAAGTGCGTCATGTCGAACGTGTATAGCTTGTGGCCACACATGTCTAACGCCGCACCCTGCAGATCGCTCATCGCCGCGTACCTCGGCAACATCATTGGCGCCCTCCTTGTCGCCCTCCCAGCGCTGTACTTCTTCGCTCCCCAGTACACGCCCGCCGGTGCGCTGCGCCAGGTCGAGGAGGGCGAGGGCTTCAACGGCGGTGCTGGGCCCTCAACGGGCGCGCGCGGGAGCTCTTCCGAGGAGAACGTGAACGAGAAGCGCCCGGCGGACGTCTACGAGGTTGACAGCAAGCGCTCGCAGTAGATGCGCCTCCAGGCGGCCTGGTCGTTCCTGTTTGTTACGTCTGCATGCTGTCTTCGCTCTGTGTAGATTTGTATTGTACTTTTATCTGATACGTTGATCATCGATTGAGGGATTTGTGCCGTCGAGCTTTGAGGTGGTCTGGATCTGGTTGTATGCAGTGTATCGGCTTGTCCGCCGAACACGCCGCCTCCGCACGCACGGAAACGCAATGCTACCAGCGATATGGATACGTACTCGGCAACCCTGACTGCGTGAAGGTCTACTGAGTCCGGGATGAATTTGTAGATCGGAGTTGCTCACAGTGGCGTTATGAAGTGTTGTCGCAGCACATATTTGCAGCTGTTGCAACGTTGTGCAGTGTATACACGCCGCGTGCCTGGGGTTAGAGCGGGCCACGCTTGTAAGTCGTGTTGTCTGATGCTACGTTTATTGTCAGCCGATCGGTCACACCGACGCTGAATTGAATAGCATACGTTGAACTGTCGTGACGAGCTCGGAGTGCGCACCCGGGACCCTTTCGAGCCAACGCATTGCCAGTACTTCCTGTCTGGAAACGGCGTACGGCCCTCAGGCTTCCGGCTGTTCACAGGGCCTCGTAGTTTCCCCATCCACCGAGAGCTTAATAGTGGTAACATGGAGCGATCACAGATCATGGCTGGGATATGAACGTCTGAACTCTGTCTCAAACTTTCAATGCACTGGATCACGATGGGATAAGGAACGAAGACACTACCTTTAGAGCCATTCGTGATGCCGACATGCCTCCGCTGCCGCAGTACAAGCGTAGCGGTTTGTTACTAGTCGTCATAGCTGATAGCTCGACACACAGCAGCCACCCTGAGCATGCAGGCTGCGACGGAGCCCCGAGATTCGCCCATCGGTCCCATATAGGCGAAAAGAAAGTTCAAAAGCGATGCATTCGGCAACCCAACTGCTCAACACACAAAAACGTTCGCGGAACGCCGCACATACACCGGCACCTGCGCCCGAGACAGGGAAGGAGCAAGCGCGTCATGACTGCGTAGCAAGCATCTGCATGCGGCGAGTCAACTCGTCTGCGTCGACCGTGCCCTTCGCGTTCGCATCGGCGTTCGCCTCCGCCCACGCCCTCCGCTCGACAAACTTGTGCAGCTGCGCCTCCCGGAGGCGCGTCACGCGCTCGAACGCCTTCAGCTGCTCGACGAACCCCGCGTTCGGCCTCACGACGCGCCTTGCCGCACGCGCATGCGCATGCGCCTCCGCGAGCGACATGCAGTGCGCCGCGATGAGGTACGCGATCGCGACGCTCGCGCTGCGGCTCATGCCCCACACGCAGTGCACGAGCACGCGGCCGCCCCCGGCGAGCGCGGCGCGCATCCAGTCGACGGTGCCGTCGAGGTAGTCGAGCAGCGCGGAGTCGTGGTGGTCGTCGATCGGCACGCAGAGGTGCTTGATCACCTTCGGGTAGCGGTGTGCCGGCTTGCGGACGACGGAGACGACGTGCGTGATGCCGAGCCGCTGGAGCACGGCGGGGGAGGTCGCGGTGTAGAGGTCAGAGACGAAGAGCCCGGGCACGATCTCGCTTGCCTGGGGGAGGAAGTCGTCGATGGGCGAGCGCTGGGTGCAGATCTTGTGCAGGGCGCGGCGGTGGAAGTAGTCGTCGTCGAGCGTGAGGGAGCGGAGCATGGAGACGACGGTGTCTGCGCTTGGGGGTGAGCTCGACTTCAGGAGCACTGAGCACTATTATAGGAGGCGTGAGCGCGAGGCCTGTGTTCCCTGAGTGAAAGACGCACCTTCTCGAGTCTCCCGAACGACAGGTCTTCGATGGTCATAACGGGCGCCATTGCGTGGGATGTTATTCGAAGGTTGGTTGATGGAATATGTAGGAGTGCTTATGGGTGTAATGTGGGAGCGTTGATGGCGGTGGGTGTGGAAGTGTTGATGGTGTTCGGTGTGTGATGGGGCTCACCTTCATATACGTGCAAGGCTCGGATAACAGGGGGAGGACTGTCGTACCCCGTAGAGTTATAGCCGCACCGCCGTTTTCAGAGTTAGGTGGATTGGGCGGCGTGAGGGCAGGGAATCGTGAAGCGAGTTCGGATATGGACCGAGTCGGGGAACCCGATGGCGGCAGTCCCGATGCGGATAGCCACCACTTAGTGGCGAGAGAGCATTGCGGAGCCGACAACCGCCCCGACAGGTTGGTCTTCTAGCATGGAGGGAGAAGCTACGTACCCGTATCGTACCCAGAGGTCACAGGTCTGACCGACATTTTGGTTGAGTTCAGTCGTCCAAAGGTTAGCAATCGAGGAACGCTGGCGCAGAGAATAGCCCCTATTGAGAGACCGTCGTGGGGCGTCGGTCGGATTCCTTGGGCCGTAATAAAATGTAGCCGTATGTCAGTATAGAGGCTGAGAGTGTTGGTTTCGGGAGCGGAAAATTACGGATAATTCCGGTGCAGGGGGGCAGAGTCGTCGGCGGCAGGTCGATATTGGGAGCTCCTGCAGCAACATCCCCAAAAATCCAGACAGACAGAGGGAACCGCCAGAGTCCGGGTGTGTGGCCATGGACGCTAACGGTATCCGCGTCTGACCCAGAGAGAGGGGGGGGGACCATGGGGGCAGAGTCCAAGAGGGAGAGCCAGACAGTCGGATGTCCGAATTCGGTGTCCAATGGTGACCCGTGCGGCTCGATCGAACTCGGAGTTGCAAGCCGCGTCGCGGAGTCGACTCTCTCGTCCGGCCGCATGCACACATTCGCACCCCCTCCTTCCTCCGTCCGGTAAACAAGCTTTCGCCGCATGCAGCACGACATCCCAAGGCCGCACCTGTATGCCTATCCTGCGGCGACCCGATCGTCCTGCCCGCTCTCGGCCCTCCAGTGCAAATTTTCAGGCAATGCACTTGCGTTGCGGTCAGGCTGCCCACCCGCGACTCTGCGGCTCCGCTATCGATGGGCGACGAGCAGGGCCAGCCTGTCGGAAAGTGTTGAATGTGAACGTCGGATGTCCGCCTGGATGCGTCCTCGTGTACCGCGATAGCGCGCCGTAACAATGAGTAGCGGCCAAAATGGGCAAAGCTCGACGGTGGCGCGGACGACGTTCGAATGTTCGTTTTGAGGCGCCGGGCGTGGCGATCGCCTGAGCTCTGCGGGCTGCTGGTGAGTGTGCGGGTGCTCGGAGATGATTGGCCACCGCTGACCGACCTGCAGGATCTACGGGACGACATTGCTCGCCAGGTGTTTCCCCGACCTTCCGCGCAGAGCATTAGGGGGCGCGCGCGTGCACACGGGACCTGTATGCACAATTCCGGAGATCCAAGTCCATGCTGTCGCCGGACGGTGGACTCAGTGCTAGGACAGGGCAGGTTCCCCGTGGCATCGATAATCCGCGAAACGGAACGGCGGCGCTGTCAGGCTTGCGCAGCTCTCCGAACCGACCGCTCTATAAGAAGGGCGGCATACTTTACGAGACACCCCAAGTCTCTCCTAAGGTTCCGCCAAACCCCCGATGTTATACGACTATTCCCTGGGCGGCCACCCAACCTGCCGGTCAGCTACTCTCGACTATCAAGCTTCCGTGGCGCTTCTCGGACCCGGCAGCGGGCTTGATTTGTACAGAGGTGCGTTCATGCTTCTTGGGCTCGAGTTCGTGTCCTGCAAGGCGTGCATGTGCTCGGACGACGATATGATGGTCTGGGTCCCCGTTCTCATATGTACCAGCATGAAAACCCTCTAGCTAGGGCATGCGTGCTGGTACATACCATGAGAGTGGAAGAGCCCAGACCATGGTACGCCGCCCGTGACGAACGCACTTCCAGTCTGAGCAGACCACTCACCGGCGCTCCGCGACCCGCACGGCTATGCAGGCCGCGCAGAAGGTGAGGCATGGGGACCAATATGGCCTACCGTTGCCGCATCCTGCAGCAGACGAGCGTATCATGCGACCGAGACCCTATCCGCACCCAGAACAGGCAGTCAGAGAGCTCTGTTACCTGTTCTGGCGCCAGGAACAAGGACCGGTGTGATGCTTTCGTTGCAGGGTAGCCCCAATATCGGCGGGAGCGCGCCTCGCACAATGTTCTACGGAGTGAAGTGGTCGCGCGGTGAGCGCGCGGGGAGCGTTTGAACTTACTGGGGCCGTCCGGTGTTGGTTTGCGCCATGCCGGGCTGCGGTGGGCGCACATGTACGCTGCACGAGCTCTCCGATTGGCGTGACGGGCGCGCGCCGCGATGCGGATTAGGCTTTAGGTTGCCTGGCCATCCGGTGCGCCGATTGACCATACCAGGCTGCCGACGGTGCGTACGTAACGAAGCGCGCCGCCCCTCTGGCTCAGCACGGCCGGCTCGACCACCACCACCATCACCACCACTCTCATAATGTGCTTTCGATGCTCTCGTCCGAAGACCCACGTATTGCAGTTCTCGTCTATTTGCACGGGACACGTCTCGCTTTTTAACGGTGTACCGCACTCGCTCTGGCTAACTAGACTGGTGAACATTGCTCATTCATCCAGTCTCTTTATTCCGCGTCCACCATCATCATTAGAGCTCTGCGTCTCGCTCTCCTAGAACCTTGATGATTCGCACACGCCGCTTAGCATCATCCTCCTGCAAATCCTCATGGCCCTCACCTTTTCACGTGGATCCGCTTTTGGGAGGTCTGCTGCTACTCTCTGTCCGCGTTGACGTGCGCAAAAGCAACTAGTGCGTATAGTTTCCGCGTCAGGTAGACCACTACGCTCTCTTTTTCACGAGGACCAGCGCCTCAAGTACGTCGCTGATCTCATCCCGTCCACCGTCATTGACACCCGCTGCCTCAGGATCGGATTCAAGGGCTCCGCCACCTCCCACCTTCTCGAGGGTATCATGTATCTACGCCTGTCTGCACCTTCATTCACCTCCTTGCCCTCCAAGCCTTCCTGTATTTGCCAGGGATGCTGGGAGGGCCCCTTCGCTGCCAGCCTTGGACTCTCAAGAAGCATACAGCCAACCATGCGCAGCGACAGCGAAAGATTCCGCACCCATCCGGATCGAGAGGATTCGTGTTCATACAATATTCCCCAGACGGTGCTGGCGCGTGGTGGGGCCGCTGGATGTATCTGGTGCCGTTTCATATCTACAATACCCAACATCACAACAACAGGAATGTCGTACAGGACTTTGGAACATCTAGACCCTGCTTTCACACATGTTCCCCGCGGGATCTCCTCGCTAGCGAAATGTACACAATCACCGTCAGACGCTCCAAAGACCCGGACTTCATGTTCAGTACTCCGAGGAATGCGCAGGTGCTGTCGGTTGTCGTCGGCCGGGGTGTCTTCGCTGGGGGTGTGTATGCGGATGCGGGTGAGCAATATCATGTATATTCTTTCCAATACTGACGAACGAAAGAAGATGATCCCTCGGCAATATATATCACCGCACGTAAACCCGTGCTAGATGTTGGCTCCTCGCGAGCGCTCTCTCTCGCAAAGACGTACATCACCCAGTGCAGCGAGGCCCACAAAGCCTGTGAAGCGCTCTCGATGTCCTTCGACCAATCCCTCCCCACGCGTCTTATCGACTACAGTAATCCGGATGCCCCCCGTCTAGTCTTGACGGGTGGCCAGCGCGGCAGGTACCTTGCCCTCAGCTACGTGTGGGGCGAGGAACAAAAACACAGCACTACGACACTCAACGAGTCCACCTACTGCGCCGATGGAATCGACAGCTCTCTTCTCCCGCAGACCATCGTCGACGCTATACGCGTCACATACGCGCTTGGGGTCAAGTTCCTGTGGGTCGATAGCCTGTGCATCATTCAAGATTCGTACCAGAACCAGCGGCACGAGTTAGGAAAGATGCACATCATCTACCGCAATGCCTACCTCACCATCATCGCTGCCAGCGCGTGGAAAGTCAGCGACGGCTTCCTCCACGATCGGCCGCCGGCACCTGCCCTCAGCCTTCCTTTCATCTGCCCCGCTCCGTCACCCCCGTGCAGCAACGACCCGGGGGCGTGCGCTACAACACCGCAGGTGGGCACGATACACATCGCCACAACGCGGTACAGCCACGCCCAGGAGCCTATCAGCGCGCGGGGGTGGTGCCTGCAAGAGTACCTGCTGTCCCCGCGCGCACTCATCTTCACCTCCGAGACGCTGCAACTCAGGTGTCAAACCGAGACGCGGAGCATCGGCGAGGCGTTCTACTGCCTGCACGGCGAGCGACGGCTGCCCATCCTGCTCCTTCTCCCGGATCCTCCAACTCTGCAATACGGCACCGCCCAGTGGGGCGTCGCCCACGACGAGTGGCTACGCGTGGTAGAGGACTACAGCAAACGCAGCATCAGCGACCCGCTCGACAAGCTAGTCGCGTGCGGCGCGATCGCGCCGGGCTTCCAGCGCGTGCTCGGCGCGGAGTATCTCGCGGGTGTTTGGCGCGACACGCTGCTCGTCGACCTCCTGTGGCGCAAAGCGGAGGACAAGGACGCGCAGCTCTCGCGCCCCGCGCTATACCGCGCGCCGTCGTGGTCGTGGGCAGCTGTTGAAGGACCTGTCCGCATGGTGGGCAGCGTGTGGCCGAGGGCGAACTCGCGGCCGTGGGGGGCGCGTGATCACGCGCAGGTGGTTCGGTGCAACATCGTACTCGAGGACACCACGCTTCCCTTCGGAAAGGTTACGGGTGGATCCCTCGTCCTCCGCACGGCCTTGATGACCTGCGTGTTGCGCCCTGATGGGCTTTACCGCGCTGAACGGCCGGTTTCGTCTGGGATGCAGACGCCGCATGGGCTTGTTGGGGGCTCAGATCAGGAGGGCAACGTCTTGGAGAGGTTGGGGAAAGTGTACGTCGACATTGAGGCTGATGCGGGGATCCAGAGCACACTGTGGGCTGTCTTGCTTTCATGTGACGCTTCGGACCCGTTCAAGAGCCCAGAGGGTCTCCTGGTTACAACCGTTCAGACGGAGGGCCCCAACCCTGATGCAGAGCCGGGGACAAAGAGGGGTACGCCAGTCTGTCGGAGGGTAGGGACCTTTCGCATGGATAGGTGGGATGCGTTTCGCGATGTGCTATGGGAAGAGATCGAGCTAGTATGAACACTCTGGAGGCGCGTGAAAGGCATCCAATAACTCATCCCATCTTGATATTGCTCGCGCAAGGACGGTCAGTTGGACGTCCCGCAGCTGGTGTTTTACGCTTATTGACTTCGTTGTATTCACAGATGCCTCCGCGGCGCTTAGTCATTTTTTCCGTACTTGATACTAATACAACTTGAAGATCATTCCAGCTATCATAACATGTCTCGTCACACAGGCGCCCATACCCGTCCTCATCGACCAACATCCCCCGCGTCGCGCGCCCCGCGCGCCATTCATGCACTCGCGACCTTACCACTCAGCTCACGCTCTACTCGCACGATGTCCTGGGTATGCTGGTGCGCCCACAGCGCGGCCACGGCTTCCGGCTCAATCGGCGGCAGGGGCCTGCGCGGGCTCCCACCGTACCCATAGAGCTTCTCCAGGAGCGCCTTCGTGCCGGAGATGGACGCCTTCGCGATCGTGAAGTCGGCGCGTGCCACGACGCCCTGGAGGCGCTGTGCCTCAGGCAGGAGGGCCGGGTCCTTGAGCGCTGCTTCGGAGAGCTCGTAGAGCCTCTGGATCGTGTACTGTGAAGCCGTGGTCAGACGACAGCTCACCTAGTCGGCGAACAGGACTCACGGGCGCGACGTTAGCGAGGCCGGTGATGGCCCCGTGAGCATTGACGAACGTCGACGGCAGGAGGAAGTCGATGAACCCGCCGAGCACGAGGAACGGCGCGTGTGCCTTCCGTCGCGGATATTTCTCCGCGAAGGATGGCTCGGAGACAGTAGCGCAAATGCGGGTGAGTTTTCCTACGTTGCCACATCTGCAGGGAACGTGTCAGGCTCATCGCAGCGCTCAGCCCAGGAACAGGTACCGACGTGAGCTTCACGCCCGTGAGGTTGGGGCACTCCGTCGCGAGCTCCGTGATGAGGTCCGAGTCGAGGTCGATGCCTCCGCTCGCGCCAGGGTCTAATGTGGAGCCCGTGTCAGCATACACGAGCGCGAGCTGGGAACATCGGTGCGTACAGTTATAGATGATCACGGGGAGCGGGCTCTTCTCAGCGACCTCCGCCCAGAACGCCTTTAGGGCCGCCCGGTTCGTCGCGAGCGCCCCAGCGTAGTATCCGCTCAGGATGACGATCGCGTAGTCCGCGCCCGCGACCGACGCCTGCTTGCACAGCTCGACCGTCTCGCGGGTGGAGCCCGCACCGGTCCCGGTAACGATGGGCACGTCTTTCAGCCCAGCGCTGTCGAGGGCGCGTCGCGCGGCTGTGATGAGGATGAGGCGTTCGGCGTGCGTCAGGTGGTGGGCCTCGCCCATAGAACCCGCGAGCAGGGGCCGGACGCCTGCCTTGGCCACACGCACGACGTGCGTGGTGAATGCTTCCAAATCTGTTACGAGGCACTCCTTCTCAGAAATTCAGGTTTCGCGCAGCTTTAAAGGTGCGTACCAAGCTCTTCCGTGTCGGCGTGGAAGAATGTGGGGATGGGGGCGAAGATGCCGGGCGTCAATGGGCGCGAGGTCCCCGAAGCGCCGTTCACCCCGTTCGCGCTGTGTACACCGTTCGTTCCGTTCGTGTGGGATTCGTTGGATATGGGGGGCATAGCTATGGTTTAAAGACGTGCGAGAAGGAAGGAGAGGTTGCTGGGCGGTCGACCCAGCTTGCTCTGGTCCTTATAGCAGCCTTGTGGGGACCGCTACGGTCCGCCGGCCCGTCCGTACGACGGCCCTTCGTCGTTCGCGGGCCGTGTATTCACGGTGCGCTCCGGCTGCTGCTCTGGGCACGGCGAGATTGTCCAGTATCGCCGTTCTAGCGCAATCATTCTGTGTTGCGCACTGCGTTCCCGTCAACCTATTGAGCCGCTCTCGCAGAGCACTTTCGACGATGCTATCCATAACGTCCGAACGCGTCAAATGTGAAGCAGGAGAAGCTTGCGCACAACTTACAAGACACGGGAGCGACTCGGCCAAAGGGCCCGGGCAGAACAGATATGCTTGACTCAGCTTCGTGCGTTCGATGTGCGATGTCAAACCCCCGCTGCCGTCTACTATGTAGCGCCGTCCGGTCAGTGGTTTTCCTGGAGGCCCTCTCACGTGCGTTCGAACGGGCCGGAAGGTAGTTCGGAGTTCCTGGGGAATACATTGATCAACGCCTTTTCAGTAATTCCTGTGTTCAAGGATCTGAACGTCTGAACGTGAACCGTGAAACCACCGTCCCACCGTCGCGTCTGCGCCACAAACGCGACTGCGAAGCGCGTCGCGTAACCGCCGATGTCACGTGCGCGTGGTATTGGGCGGGGCTACGCCGAGACCATTCTTCTTCTCTTCCATTCAAGGCTGAGGTCTTAACTACACGTAGGCCAAACATCGAATCAGCCTTGTGCAGCATGAAGTCGAAATCCACGCAGAAGGTAAGAATACTAAGTACTGTTCCTATCTACTCGGAAAGATGCAGTACTTGGTGGCTAACGCATTGCCAGACTTTCGGACGCAAACTTCCGTACCAGAAACGCAAAGACATCCAGTCTGGTTCCGTAAATTCGAGCAGCAAGGCCATACAGACATCTTCGCTTTCGACTTCCCTGCCATCGACAGACGCCGCGTCTGCAGCTCCGTCGCCTTCGCTTGGACTGGAACGCGCTCGCGAAACATACGTTGACTCCTTCCAAAGAAAATATCCGAACATGGAACCCCGCAACGACTATGAGCTACTCACGCTTGCACAGCGCAAAGTGGAGGGGGCCCCGGCCGAGCTCCGTGCATGGGTGGACGACCAACTGCTGATTGACATCCAATGCGTCGGAACCAAGGAGGCTGTCTATGCGGACGCCACAAAGGTACTGGATAATATGGTAGGCCAAACGGGGGTACGTCGCGCAGTGTTCGCTCCCCACATGCTTGCGTTGCTTATGACCCACCCCAGCGTAAGCCACGCCCCGGCCGCGATATAATGCATACCTGTCAAATTCCGGGAAGCAAGTACTCCATCCGGCTATGGCCGGGCAACCTCTACGTCAACGAGTACTGCATGGATTTCGTGAACACCGAGACGAAGGAAGCGGTTAATACTCCATTTGAGCTCGAGCTCTGGGCGGTCCCCGACCCCGATGCGCCATGGCTGGCCATGTCGTCTGGTCGTCTCTACTCCCTGGAACACCACTTTCACGTCGCGCGGGACAAGATCCTCCCGGGTTTGGAGAAGTGGGTGCTTCGCGACGGGCAGACGTGTTTGCTGAAGCGTCCAGGGAAGAAGGACGTCTTCTTCCGCGTTCCCGTCCGCCGGAATCCGACTACTATCAAATACGATGCCGACGTCCTCGAGTTCCCGAGGGAGGTGTAGCTGCGGTGCGATATCGTCGGCCTTGCTGTCGCACTCTGATGCTATGCCCACTTCTGCTGTATGTACCGCGCACTCACTGTGTGCAACTAAACAAGGGACCCTTGCTAATACACGTGGTTGCATCGTATATCTGAGCGCGGGAGAGCGGATTGATGATCACCGCTGAGCACATACACGAACTGTGGTCTGCATGGAAAATGGGGTGAAGGATGTGTGACGTTGTGGTGGTCAGTGGGTCGCACGGGCGCTGATTCTAGTGGGCTATTAGGCCACGGCAACCTCGCGCGCGGCTTACGTGACAATGCACCACTCTTCGACTTACTTCCATCCGTCCGCTGCTCGTTATCCGAAGTTAGATTGCGGCTTGCGCCGAAAACCATATGCGTGGCGCGATGAAGTCGAACTCTACTCATAAGGTTAGTCGTACAACTTGTTGTCCCGCTCAACAACAATCAGGCAGTGGCTAACTTGAGTAGACCTCCGAACGCATGCAGCCTTACCAGAGATATAAAGGTGGACGGACTGTCTCCACGGTGATGGCAAAGACACAGGCTATTCAGATCCCCTCTGGCCCTTATCTGCCACCCTCAAAGCCCGCGTCTCCAGAGTCTCCGCCACTTTCCAACGGACTGGATACCGCGCGCGAGATGTATATGGAGTTCTTCGAGAAGACGTACCCAAACATACAGCCACGCGACGACTACGACTTGATAACGCTCGGGTCGACTAGGCGAAAGGGAACGGCGGCGGAAATTTACGCATGGGCGGACGACCAGATGCGAATCGATATCAGGATTTTAGGCTCTCGGGAGGCCGTCCTTGCGAATTCGACAAAGGTGCTGGATATGGTCGTAGGTATCACGGGGGTACGTCGCGTAATGCCTTTCCTTTGTACATACCACTGAAGTGACGTCCGACGTCAGCGTAAGCCGCTTCCCGGCCGCGATATTGTGCATACCCGTCCGGTCCCCGGAAGCAGGTACTCCATCCGCCTATGGCCAGGCAATCCACGCGTCAACGAGTACTGTATGGACTTCGTGGACACCGCGACAAAGGAGGCCGTCAATTCTCCGTTCGAATTCGAGCTCTGGGCCGTCCCCGACCCCGAGGCGCCATGGCTATTCATGCCGTCCGGCCGTCTCAACTCCTTGGAGAGCAACTTCCACATCCCGCAACACAAGATCCCCACAGGGGAGGAGAAATGGGTGCTCCGCGACGGACAGACCTGTGTACTCAAGCGTCCAGGCAAGAAGGACGTGTTGTTCCGGGTTCCCGTTCGTGAGAAACCCCAGGTAATCAATCCTGTCGACTATGACGTTCTCGACTTTCCCCGCCAGGTGTAGAGGCTGTCCGACGTTGTCGCTGCATATCGTCCACCATTCTGTTCGCCTTCTTCTCGTATACCGCGTACTCTTGTACAACTACATTAACATGTATGGACTATCTAACTTCCTCAAATGTACCAGCTCCGTTCAATTAAACCAGTCAGGATCGATCTTCGCGCGCATGCAAGCGTCAGCACTTGCAGCGCGTCGACGCCTCGCGTCTGTGCTACAAACGCGAATATGAACGCAATTTCCACGTCGACCGAGACAACATTCCGTTGTACATCTGCTCGCATTACCACTGCACCTAACCTAAGGATACATGATGCCCCGGACTCGCGCACGAGCTTCGTCCTTACATGTCGAACTTCACGACCTGCTCACCCGCCCCGCGCTCGATCTTAAGCAACCGCTTCGCCACACAACCATACACTGGCTTCGTGACCGCACTCCCGCCCATCAGACCCGCACCTCCAGCGCCGATCGCAGCGGCCTTCTCCGCGAGGGTATCCTTCAAGACGCGTAGGGTGAGAGCGTGCCCGGGCGCGCCGAGCAGCACGAGCAGCATATGGGCGGTAAGTATCTGCTGGGCGGTGGGGGTCGCGCCCGGGCCAGACGGCGCGGCGCCGGAGAGCGAAGAGAAGCTAGACGCCGAAGGGGAGGCCGGGGTTGGCTTGTGCGTGGAGAGTTCTTGGAGATAGGCCCTGTAGTGATGCGGTCAGTTCGAACGGACCTTAACATACACGGCGTACGCACATCGTCTCCTTCGCGCGTGGGGGCTTGCTCTTGTTCATGCTCTTCCCCAACGCGTCGAATGGGTGACCGGGCATGACGATCTCGCCGACGGTTGCCCACATTTTCTCCTGCATATATCACTGTCAATATTGCCGAAACCTCGTACTAGAGTAGTACGTACGACAATCCGTTCGAGCTCAGTTGTAACTCTGACCTTCGGACGTTTCGGGGTAGCCCTAGAGCCGGTGGCGACAGGGCTCTCTGCGGAAGCCACTGGGATAGGCTCTGGAGGTGGAGACGGCGCCCGCGGCTCTTCGGGTGGTGAGGGTAGGGGCGCCCCCCGAAGCACGACGGTAGGCTCAGCAGTCTCATCCGCTTCACCGTCCTGAAGAACGCTTTCGACCTCGTCCTCTTCATAGTCATCATCAGGCTCCGGAGCCAGCTCGACGGCCTGGCCGACCGATGGCCGATATCGCGCAAGGAGCCCTGACCGGGGCGTCTTCTCTGCTTTCTTTGGCGGGAGAGCAGGTGACCCGAACGACGATGCAGACACGTCGTTGATGTCTATTTCCTCGTCCAAGAGCGAGTCTCCCGTGAAGTGCAGCGTGCGCGCGGTCGCTCCCGGTGTGTTCCAGAAAGTCTCTTCGCGCTCGTCCGCGGCCGATGTTGGCTTTTCCCGGACAGGCGTCTTCTGCTCGCGTTTGGACTTGAGTGGGGCGCGGACTTTCTTCTTCGCCAGCTCCTCTTTCTATATGACGGATCTATCAGCGCACTTGACGCACCGGTAATGGAACGCACCCGTTGTCTGAGATATAATATCTGTGATTGAAGTTCCTCAATCTGCCGCTCCTCCTCCTTGATGGCAGACTTGGGCGACGACGGGGGATTCACGGCGTCCGCACTAGAATGCTGGGCTTAACGGTTGGAACGACCCCATGCACGAAGCAGTCCACTTACTTGCTTGAGTTGCTCGCTCAAGGCGTGTATGCTCGCCCTGACCTCCTCCAAACGTTCGAGCATCTGCACCGCCTGTTCCGAGGCTCGCGGCATGGGGCGAATCGACTGACTGCTCGTGCTCAGCGCATACACCCCATGCAAACCGGAGATTACCCACTAGCGCTCCAGGTACTTCAGGGTAGCGTTTGCGTACACCTCCGGATCGTGTTCGCGCGGGCGCGGTCCGTCCGGCTTCGCATGCCTAGACGAGGGCGGCTTCCGCAGCGGTGTGGCACCTAAGAACTCGACGCGCCCGATCTCGACATTGGTCGGTTCGACGTCAGGCACCGCTGGCTGTTGAGGCTGAACGAGTGTGAACAACCCAATCTCTGAGGGGTCGATATCGCGAATGAGGTCGCCGAGCGGAGTGTCTAGGATTGCGCGGGTGAAAGGGCCAGGAATTGTACGGCCGAGCGCTGGCGAAGAAGCAGCGCGAATAGACTGTGCGATGTGCGAGAGGCGGTCAATATGTTCGGCGAGAGCAGCCATCGTGATCGCTGTTGCGCACGTCGAGCGCGAGTGGTTGCTTGTCGGTGGCGGCAGCGAGCGGACAAGCCGCCTCGATCGCGAGCAACACGATACGCGCTCTGGCCTGCCCTCAAGTGGTCACCTGATCTCGTGACGCGTCCATTAGCCACGGCCCAGCAAGGTCCGGCAAGTAGGTACTCTCGCTCATGTCGCTGCAGGTAAGTCATTGGCAACTTGCTCGATGGTGACAATAGGTATACATGTGCAATTGAGTAAATTCCAATTTTTGATACATATATCTGGCCCTACGAGACAAACCTCCGAAGCGGTCGACAAGAGCTGAGACAGCATCGCGGAGGGGAGGTCCGGAGTAGAGGGAGAGACACATTGTGCGACTACTCAACCTTGGGGAAGTCGAGGATGTCAACGTCGTACTGGACTGTCTGCGGTTGCTGACGAATAGGCACGGTGAACATCACGTCCCGCTTGCCAGGACGCTTCAGCAAGCACGTCTGTCCGTCCCGCAGAACCCACTTCTCCTCGCCAGGAAGAATCTTGTCCCGGGCAACATGAAAGCTACGCTCCAGCGAGTGAAGGCGTCCGGATGGAAGAGCCAGCCACGGAGACTTGGGATCAGGAACGGCCCAAAGCTCGAACGCGAATGGGGAGTTGACGGGTCGGTTTGTTACAGTGTCCACGAAGTCCATGCAGTATTCGTTGACGAATGGGTTTCCGGGCCATAGACGTATTGAGTACTTGCTGCCGGGGATGGGTCTTATGTGCGCGATGTCGCGACCGGGACGCGGCTTCACCTAGTATCGAAGCATAAGCGGGTGCGGGCGAGAATGGCGACGGAATCACATACCCCTGTTACGCCTACGATGCAGTCCAGTAGCTCCTTCGCGTTCGCTAGAACGGCCTTTCGTGACCCGAATATCTTGATGTGGTTTTCCATCTTCTTGTCCACCCAGGCAAGGATCTCTGCAGTAGTTCCCTCGCGCCTAGTCGACCCGAGAATCAAGAGGTCGTGATCGTCTCTCGGCGTAATGTTGGGGTAGACCTCTTGCATGAATTCAATGTACACTTGACGGGCAACCTGAGATCCGGGCAACGACGATTCCACTGCAGATGTGTTCGAAGTGTTGCTTGTACTTGACGACGCCAACGAGCACGGCTGGGTAGACATGGAACCCTCCACGTCTTTGGAAGAATTCTTGACATCTTTGGGTCTGCTGTACGGCTGCTTACGCTTGACCGGCGTCTTGACAGACATCAGCTCATGAGCATATGTGGCTAGAGATGATGTAGCACCATCACATACCTTGCGAGTGCATGTATCCTTCATAACTAGCAATTGTTAGGGAGAGCCGACGGAGAGTGCAGCAGTTGCGTAAACGGAGTCCTTGGGTGGTGGTGGCGGTGGTGAGAGAACAATACCGAGCGCCACAAATGACTGCGCGTCAGTTATTTCCTACATGTTGGCGTACACCTTCCGACATGTGGTATACACCTTCGCGCAACCTCGGTCGATCTATCTTTGCATGTCTAGACAATATAGGCTTCGGGAGTCCTACGCACTGACAAGCAGGACATGGCTGGTCGCGTAGTTGATTGCAATAGTCTCAGGAACGGCGAGCTCAGGACCTGAGGTTGCACAAGTGCGAACAAGCATATTTCCGCGGGTTCGACATCGTGAAAGAGGTGTCCGGGCGGAGTGTTCGGAATCGCGCGACTCTAAGGTAGCGGAGCGGCGACACCGATAAACAGTGTGTCCGTGCGAGGGCGTTGATGTTTGCGGCAAGAGCTGTTGCGCGCAGGGGTGGTCGTTGGAGGCAGCGAGCGAAACCTGCGCGGGCGCGGCACGAATCGCGACTCGCTCGCTCGACGCGACTACACCATTTGGCCTGCCCTTAGTTAGTCACATGGATATCAGGCGACGCGTCTCCAGGATCGCGGCAAGTTCGACGCGCGCGGCGTCGGGAAAGACTTGACTGGGACCAGCTTGGACGCGTGTGGCGGTTGGATGAAGCTTCAGATCTTCAGACTCTCCTGAATGACGGCACGGCGAGAGTACTGGTGTTAGCTAAGAAGATCGATCTGAGGCACGTAACAGAGGAGCAGATACATTGGATAATATCGAAACAGTCCAAACAGGTCTATGATATACAAGTGTGCGGTATATACAACGAGAGCGAGTAATAGCATCAGAATGGTGAGGGAGACAAAAAAACGACTTGGAAGTGCAACTACACCTCCCTCGGGAACTCGAGAAGGTCGACATCGTACCGAACAGGTCTGATCTTCCTGCGGACGGGAACTCGGAACATCACGTCCTTCTTCCCTGGACGCTTCAGCAGGCACGTCTGCCCATCGCGGAGCACCCACTTCTCCAAGCCCGGAAGGATCTTGTGTTGTGGGATGTGGAAATTGCTTTCCAAGGAGCCGAGACGGCCGGACGGCATGGAGAGCCAAGGTGCATCGGGATCGGGGACGGCCCAGAGCTCGAACTCGAATGGGGAGTTGACGGCCTCCTTCGTTGCAGTATTCACGAAGTCCATGCAGTATTCGCTGACGTAGGGGTTGCCTGGCCACAGTCGGATGGAGAATTTGCTTCCGGGAATAGGACAAGTGTGCACGATATCGCGATTGGGACGGGGCTTGCGCTAATGTCGGACATGAGCAGAGGACGCGGAAGTGGACGCTGTGCGACGTACCCCCGTGAAAGAGACAACAGTATCCAGCGTCCTTGTCGCTGCCGCGAAAGCAGCCTCCCGGGTGCCAAAGAATGTGATGTCCACTTGCAGCATGTCGTCCACCCGTGCACGGATCTCCACTGTAGTTCCCTCCAGTTTGCGCTGTGCGAGCTTGAGCAGCTCATAGTCGTTGCGGGGTTCCATGTTTGGATAGTTCTCGCGGAAGGACTCGACATATGTCTCGCGAGCGGTTTCCGACGCAAACGAAGGAGGTGGAGATGGAGAGGGAGTATTTGATGATGATGCTGATGCTGATGAAGTGGGGGAGGGGATCTGGACGGCCCGAATCTTCGTCTTCACAGAGCCAGTTCGCCCGCCTTTGGGTCTCTGGTACGGCTGTTTGCGTTCGGTGGTCTGCTCCAGTTAGCCACTGCACCATTCTCGACGCGGACGAGGACAAACCTTTTGGGTGGATTTGGACTTCATTCTGTAGAATAGGTAGATATCGTCGGAGTGGAGTGTATTGAGGTATCAGGACAGGCCCGAAGACAGTAAGATGGTGAGGACGGTAGAGGAGGTGGTGGACGGAAGGCAAGTGTTGGTGCAGATAAGCGCCTTGTCCGCACTGAGATTGATACCGGCGCTTCTTCGATCTGTGTGCTCTCACGTGATCGCGAAGCTCTCACGGTGATTAAGTCGCGCTTTTTCCTTTTTGCTCCCCTGAGTCTCGACAACTGCCGCTACGTTCTCTGGCCCTCACCGCTCCTCGCAAGACAGAAAAGTGCGCTTTCGACTACTGCATCATAGAATACAGTTGATACACATGGAAATCAGCTGCGTAACGACGGTTGTACATGATATGCTCGGAGTTCAAGGTCAGTGCCACCCTTCCTACCCCTCAGGCATCTGCCTCGTCTGCACTGGGTACCTCCTTGATCCGGCGGAAGTTCTGGACTTGTGTGCCATAAGTGATGGTGCTGAATACGCGGTGGCTCCCTCCGGGCTTGATAGCGGGAGGCTCCGCGCGGTGGTGTCTGCGAGGGAGATGTTGATTATAGTGGAGGGGCGGGTTTCCAGGCTCAGAACGACGAAGTTCGACACGGTGATGCCACGGTATGTGAAACCCTTGAACCGCATGGCCGTTGACAATGTACCCGCCCACTGCAGGAAGAGGCTGCCCCACGGGGACGTTTGGCAGGGGCCCTGGGGGGTTGAACGGATGTATGCCGAAATCCTGGACGGCAATCTGCTGGAGTAGCATGTCATCGAAATCCCAAGGACCAGCCCGCTGCACCGCCCGTTGAACCACGGCGATCGACATGCCCCAACCCACGCAAACGACCGTGACCCGCCGCAATGGACCCTCCCCATTCCAGAAGTCGTCAAAGTATATATCCACGGCCATTTGGTCCGTGAACATCATCGCCGACGCGCCGAGCAATACGTTGCGTCCCCTGCGGACGACGGGATTGACATTGGCCATTGGTGCTGCTTGGATGTGGCCGTGGTGAGTTTTCGTCCGTCACAGTTGCGTGGGTAACTTACCTGAGTGTCCTATGTATAGCAATCTCCAAGCAGGATGTTGTACCGTGCGGTAGTCAAAGATACTGTTGAACGTTGCATCGTCAGTCAGAGGTTTGTAGAGGATGGCTATTGACAGTACGCGTCGCGTTGCCACAGATCTAGGCCATGCACAAGGAGGGGAAGGCACTCACGTCCTGGGGTACTGGGGACTATAGCTAAGGTAGCGAGTCATTGCCTCCATGTCGCAGGGACTTATATATACCTTCTGGAGCTAGCCACGCTTGGTCCGTTCCTGCCGCTTATTATCCATGTTCCATGCAAATATGGACAATGAGATATCTGCCGCAGCCTCTTGGGCTCATCTATGCGAGCATGTCTGGGTAGGACAATGATAATTTGCGGCAACTTGTCTGTGAGTAATCTCTCTAGCCAAGAATTATGATGAGGCGGCCATGGCGCCACCACGATCCTACCTCGCGCACTGCGCGGTCGAACATACTATTCTTCGCCATACCAATGCAGTAGCTTCTGAGTCACAAGCACCCCAATGGTACCCGGACTTCCTTCGCCCTCGAGTCCCAGGGCTAAACCGTCGTCTATTGTGCAAGACCGCATGGACGACAGCCCTTTGTCTGATCCGACGCGGCACAGGCAAAATGCTATATGTATCCCCCGCAGCGCGCTTTGCTCGGCATTATGGTTGGACTATAAGTAGTAGTCGGTAAGTGGTGGACATCCCTCATCTCGCTTCTTCCCGTCTTACCCCAACCACCACGACTCACGCTGCAGCGAGTCGATTTCCGTATTTCAAGTCACTCAGCCAGTCATAATGACCTCGGGGAGCACCGTACGTTGAACGATGTTCCTGTCCTCCATCGTCCGTCACTTTGCATACTCACACGCAATCTAGGTCCCGTTGAAGAGGAACCTGTCCTCCACGTCCGATAGCGACCGTGCTGAGTCTGGCAGAGTAAACCCTCCGCACGAGCCTCTTACGCCACCCGCCAGCTCTCCTCCGAGAGAGCCTCCCAGCGTTTCGCAAGAGGTCGGACCTGAAGTTGCCCGCCATGTCTACCTGGAGTGTGCACAAAAGGCCCATCCCGATATCACGCCGATGGACGACTTCGAGATCCTCATGTTGGGAGGAAGCGATCTGAAGGGCTGCACCACCGTGGCCGAGAAGCGTGGCTGGCTGGCGGCCAGGCGCACGGCATTGGCGGAGGCGCTTGGTTCCGCAGAAGCGGTCCTACAGGGAGCCAAGCAGATGTTGGATCGCACTATCGAGACCTCCGGGGTACGTCAGATCTACCACGACAACTTTTTGCACGCAAGCTCATGTCGCATTGTAGCGCAAGCCTGATCCTGGGGACCCCAACGTCTACATGCTCCCCATCCACGGTAGCGACTATACCATGCGGATGTGGCCGGGTTCCTTCGCGAGGTCGGAGCATTGTCTGGATTTCATCGAGACTAAGACGGGGAAGGCTATCAACGCGCCGGACGATTATTCGATCTGGTTCATGCCAGACCCGTCCGCTCCCTGGCTTCAGGGCGCCGGTCCCGTCGAGCTCGTCTCACTCGAGCGCTCTTTCGGTATGCAGCCTGCGGATATTCCCGAGGGCGAGGAGAAGTACGTGTTGAGGGACGGGATGACGTGCATGCTCACCCGACCTGGGGCGCGTGCAGCCATCTTCACCGTACCGCTGCGACACCGGCCGCATACACCGTATCGCAACCTCGACTTTATCACGCCAACTCGGGGGCACTGATCATACTCGAATGCATCGCCTTCTCCCTGACCGTCTCTTACTCATGCGCAGTCCAGGCTGTCTAGCACGTTTTGTATCGTAATCTCCAAACGAATTGTCGTATCTTCTTGCACGAAGTTGAACTTCAGTGGCTCGGGGGTGATTGCAGTGGCTCGGGGGTGATCATGATTGCAGTGGCTCGCGCAGTGCCTGTATCCTGGGTCTGCTCTCACGACTGTAGCGAGCCCTCTGGCTGTGCCGATGGTTTCGCTCGGACAGTGAAATCAACTACATAGAGCGATGTGCTAGCGATAAACACAGTTAGGTGACATTTCATAGTTGTTTCGAATGCAACTGGTAAGATTGAGGGCTATTACACCTCCTTGGGAAAGTCAAGGATGTCAATCTCACAGTCGGCGGCGGGCGACGGATTCAACTTGCGCTTCGGGACAGTGAACATCACGTTCTTCTTTCCAGGACGCTTGAGTAGACAAGTCTGCCCATCGCGAAGAACCCACTTCTCTTCGCCCTGAAGGATCTTGTCTTGCGCGATGTGGAAGTTCCGCTCCAGCGAATGGAGACGACCGGACGGCATGCCAAGCCACGTCGCATCGGCACTAGGGACGACCCAGAGCTCGAAATCGAACGGGGAGTTGACGGCTTCCTGGGTCTCCGTGTCCACGAAGTCCATGCAATACTCGTGAACGTATGGGTTGCCGGGCCATAGTCGAATGGAGTATCTGCTTCCCGGGATAGGACGGGTGTGAACGAGGTCGCGGCCGGGGCGTGGCTTGCGCTGACGGCAGATATATGAGCTCGCACGATGGCAGATATATGAGCTCGCAATATACAACATACCCCTGTGATGCCTACGACCATATCTAGCGCTTTTTTCGTGTTCGCAAAAACTTTCTCCCGAGAGCCTAACAACTTCATAGAGACTCGCAGCTGTTCGTCCGCCCACGCGAAAATCTCTGTGGGCGTTCCCTCGCGCCTGTTCGACCCGAGGATCGACAAGTCGTAGTCATGGCGTGGTTCCATTCCCGGATACGTCTTGTTGAAGAACTCCACATACACGTCGCGAGCGAGCCCCGTTTGACCAGTAAAATGCGCGGCAGAGGATTTGGCTAATGCCGACGATGGCGTTGCAGTTGCGGTCGGCGGGAGAGACTGGGAGGGGGCTGAAGCAGTTTCCGAAACTCGAGTGGGAGACTTTGTCTTCGAGGAGCGGGCTCTCGCAGTCGTTGCAGATTTCTCGTACGGCTGTTTGAGCCGCATCGTCTTCGAGCAGTTGAATTAAGAACATTGGTCAATTATGGAATGGGTAGGAGCTATGTCGCCGGTCGGCGCACCTTGCGAGTGGATCTGGTCTGCATGGCCAGTGCTAAGACGACTTATTCGCAAAATTCGTACTCTCGGTGTTCGTAGGGGAATAACAGGGGCGATGTCAAGGTCTGAGAGATCGGTCAAGCAACAGGATGATGGTCTTATAACTGCCGACGATAGCAATCTGAATTCGCCCCATTGTTCCTAAAAGCCGAGCACTGAATAGGACTAGGGCTGCTTGCCACGTTAGCGCACTCAGGTCTGAAGCACTGTGCTACGCACCACCACATCGACAAGCTGAAGGGTCCATTGGTAGGAGCCACCGCTAACGCTACATACCGAATTGTCACTAAACACCGACGATATACTTAGGAGAAGAGAGGACTTGGCAAGGGTCAGCATGGGCCAGGCTGAGGCAACTTGCAGGCTTCCAATGCACGTGCTACGAGACGCCCACTTCGGACGGCTAAATTAGTGCAAATCCGGTGGCGGCCCTCATTACAGCTCGAGGATCATACACCCTATGGTTCCTGCGCCAATGGCGCATTGCAAATATCGTTTGTAGAGTAGACGATGCTCGCAATTATGGCCACAGAGGCTCCTTGGTCGTCGAAGTTGATGCATACAATAGTGAGATCTGATGCCTTGATGCAACTTTGGGCGCAGTGACTGCCATAACCCATCTCTCTTCCCGCCACCAACGCCAACGTTCGCTATTCTCCCGTTTGTCTACCTGCAACGATCCTTAACATCTGCTCTACTACTTACCAGGCTTATCCCGAACAACTTGATCATCCGCGCGTCGATTGGAGGCGCCGTGATTGTCGCAGACGCCGTGACTGTGGAAGCCCTCCCGCTCTTGCCCTCGACCTAGTCCTCGACGCCTTGCCCCCGCTTCGCTCCTCGACACGGACCTCATGGGCGGGACAGCCGGTCCACGCAAGGGTGTCTGGGAACCCCTCCCACTCATTATTTACGGCTACGCAGTCCATCCTCTATCTCCGGTGAACCGCAGGGACACGAAGCTCTCCAGCCGCACGCACATCTCGACATTTACGGACGCCTCTGGAGATGAACACCTCGTCCACAGGGACGTGGTATCACTGGAGGTAGGGGACAACGTGTACGCGTTCGAAAAGTACACCCCGAGGGATAAGGAAGTCGAAGGCGTATGGTATCGAGGGTGAGTGTTATGTTTCCTGGCGCGGCACAGCTGTCCAACAGAGCATAGATATGTCGTATGCACCTCACGGCGCCCCCAAGTGAACTGGTCGCTGTCCTCAGACGCATCTACCTCCAATGCCAAACCCACAGCTCGCGCCGACGAGCTGCAGCAAGTCTTCATAGGCATATTCCCTGCGTCCCACATTTTCGTGCGCGACGAAGTGTCAGACGCCGAGGGCCGCCTTACGGAACTCTTCAATGCGCTCAACAGTGGAGGGGCAGATGGACGGACTTCAGAGGAGGTCTTCGCGAGCTGGAACAAGTCTATGCGAGAGATGGATCCCCCGCGAGAGGAGGACGAGGATAACGACGCAGCCACGCGGAAATCCTTCAAGCTGACCCCACCCCCGGACCAGGCACCGTCAACAAGAGCTCGCCTGCCGGTATACCCAGCGAGTATCCGCTCCGCGTCGCCCACCGAATCGCAGTTCAACAAGCCCCTCCCCCCACGTCCTACGCTCACGTCCGGCGATGACACACTCTCCGGGGCTGCACAGCCTATCATCGACGAAATAGCATCTGCCCTCCGCGAATGGCACGCGCTCATGTTCCAGTACCTTGCTCAACGCGATTACCGCCTCTTCCACATTGTACGCGAGTACATCGAGGTTCTACACCTTGGTAGGCGGCAACTGCTATCACAAACGCTCAGCTCCGAGGAGACCGTCAATCTGCGACGAGAATGCGTCGCCCGGTTGGTCTCCGGCAATCTCCTGCAGGGTCTCGACGTGATCGTTCGTCATCCAACGTGGGGAGGTTTGGTGAACGTAGACGTCGAGGGTGAGATTGACCCGCGTAGCTGGATGAGCGCGGTGCGTATGTATGCTCTGCAGGCGGCGTTGGCCCACATGGACGTCTCCCCTCCTCCTAACCATCCGTACAAGATTCCCCATTACGGCGGTTCGATCGACTACACAGCCGCGCCGACACCAGTCCCGCTCTCCGCATCCGTTCACTCCGCATTCCCAGACTTGCCACGACCTCGCGGCCATTCCCGTCTCATCGGATCCCTTTCACCTTCTGCTCCCACTCCTCAAAGGGCGAAGTTTTACCATGTCTTCTTCGACCTGCGCGCGTTTGTCGCGTCCCCATGCGCTCCCGGCGAGACAGCAGAGCTCTACTTCTCGCTATTCAACAAGGCAGATGGCCGCTTCGTCTCCGAGGATTTCTGTGCCGTCCTCAACCATAACGGCGTACTCGCACGAGATCCATCTGCGCGGATTCGTACGTTATTCACAGATCTCGTGCAGGCAGACGCCCAGGACCCCATATACCTTGTCTGCAAGATTGTGCGCAACGGGTCGCTCAAGATGGGTAACAACATGGGACCAATTTCCGAGTTTTCGGGAGCGCCGACCATAGGGTCGAGCAACTACGCCAGCTCAGCGCTCTCGAGCGAATCCTTCTCGCGCAACAGCTCCTCGTACGCGTCGCAACAGTTCCGCAGGCCCTTTGGGTGTGCCGTCCTGGAGCTCACACAGCTGAGCGCGATGGCCGCCGAACAAGCGGAAGTCTCGTCAACCAGAGAGCACACGATGCCGATCTACGTGCCGACAAACGAGACGACGTTCTCCTGGCTCCACCAGGACATCCTGAATCACAATGTCCGGGAGTATGAGAAGTCTCCGAGGTATGTCGATTTCACATGCTCGTGTTAGCTTGTCTGACGACATATTAGGGCTGAAATGCTGGCCGTCTCCATCAAGATTTTCTATGGCGACGCAGAGACCATCGTCCGCGAAAACTCCTCGTTGCTCCAGGACACCCCACTGAGCCTCCGCCTCGGGTTCCCTGATGTTGTCTTCCCTGGCGACGTCCGGAACGAGCTGTACATCAAGCTGTGGAGCGGAGACTTCTCCGGGTCTCAGAGCACGAACACGCGCCGCAATGTCGCGAACTTCGCGCGCGGTCAAGTCGGCTCGCTCACTGGGAACGTTCAGGTGACGATGGAGGTCAGGGACCAGGACGGCCGGACGATCGACCGGGTCATCACGCAGTGCAGCGGCGAACCCGAGGTGTCGCAATTCCACTCGATGGTGTTCCAGCGGACGACGCAGCCGCAGTACTGCGAGCTCGTGAAGATCAGGCTGCCGATGCAGGGCGCGCAGCAGTGGCATTTGTTCTTCACGTTTCGCCAGCGCAGTTCGCGGGAGCGCAACCGGGGCGTTGATTCTTCGGAGCGGCCGTTCGCGTTTGGGTATCTCCCGCTCTTCCCCGACGGGCGCGCGTTCCTCGAGGATGGGAGCCACACTCTGGTGCTCTACCGGGCGGACCGCATCGGCCAAGTCTCATCGGAGATGTATTTGAGTGCGGCTTCTTGGCAGCCTGCGAATCAGCGGCCTGAACAGGTCTACGTACCCACCGAGCTACAGAAAGTGGCCCCTCCACTGCGTGATAGCTTCGTCGTCCGGTCGTCGCTATGCTCTACGAAGTTCACGCAAAATTCTGTCCTGCTCAGTCTACTCAACTGGGAGCAGGTGACTGACAAGGAGCTGCTCTCGACCATCCTCAGCAAGTTCACCTTTGTCGGCGAAGTGGAAATCGTCAAGTTCCTCCGCGACATCTTCGATTCCCTCTTTGCGATCCTCGTGTCGTCGAATAACCAGTCAGGCGAGATGGATCACCTTGTGTTCAACGCGTTGGTCACTGTTCTGGGCATCGTTCAGGATCGCCGCTTCAGCAACTTCCAACCGGTGCTAGATGTGTACATCGACAGGCACTTCAACTGCGCGTCGGCGGCCTCGCACATGATCCACTCTATGAACCGACTCTTGCAGGACCCCACCGCGACCGACACCGCTTCGTCGCTACGCGCCGCGCTGAAAGTCTGGCACTACATCTTCAAGTTCATCGCCAGGTCGCGGGAGCTACAGAAGGCGAAGGAGCTCGCCGTTGGCGGTGGCGCCACCGCAGACCATCTCGAGGCGACTTTCAAGCGCGAGCTACGTGCCCACCTCTCGGAGGTCAACCGCATGATGTCTACAACCTCTCCTCCGTCTATCATCGGTACACAGACCATCGCGCTGCAGCACTTCACGTCGATCCTCCCGGAGCTGAGCAAGGTTTTCACAATCGCGGAGCTCGTGCCCATCGCCACCACCTTTGCGAACGCGATCGCGTCGACCAAGGGCAAGATCGTCATCTGGAAGCTCATCATGTATCTGCAAATCGTGAAGGGCTTCCTGTTCGACAACGCGCAGTCCCGCTCGTTGCTGGTCGAGGCCGTGGTCATCTGGATCAAGCCTCAGTTTGGCCGCTTTGACGAGTATACGCAGACGCAGGCTGGTGATACGGAGTCTACGAAGGACGCAGCGCGCGTCACTTGGCTGGAGAGCGTCCGTCTCTCGGTCACTGTAGTGGCTATCATGCTCGACAAGCTGCAGCAGTGTCTGGTCTATCCTGCAATTGCCTCTGATCGCAACGCGCTTAGGCAAGAGCAGTACAATATCGAGTATCTGCTGTCTCTTTTGCCCAGGTAAGCCATCTCAGATCGATGCTGTCGTTCGTTCTGACGTCGCTTTAGGCTCTTGGACTCGTATCAGGAATACCAGAACCCCGTCTCGCTGCGAGCAGTAGAGCGGAACCGTTCATCCACACCGATCACCAACAACTTCCCCGTAACCTTCCCCGAGTCATATCCATTCTCTCTCGCCACGCAGCTTCCGAAGACTGGCGGCATGTCGTCTGGCTCTCTCGATGTGAAACCCGAATTCAGCCCTGGCTTAGGCGAGGTCGCCATCGTCGTCTTGGTCATGATCTTGTCTTCCCCCAAGAAACACCTCATCAACTTCTTGGAGTCTATCTTGGAGATCGAGGGGCGAGACCGTCTTGCTGCACTCCTCTCGCAGTACTTCAGCGTCGCGGGGTCCATCCTGGACAACGAGGCGTTCTCGAAGAACTGGCTGAACGTGAACATTCTCGCACACCGTGTCCTGCTGAAGATGATTGATCCTGTGGCGACGATGTTCGAGCGGGAATTCGTGCCGGACGAATCGTCGGGTCAGCCGTTTGACACCAAACTCTGGCGGGACTGCTTCTGCGTCCTGCTCAAGCTATTGTCCTCGGAGCATCTCGTCATCGAGGAGTTCAGTCCTCAGGTAAGCTGAAGTGGGCGGATCATAGTACAGGGCTGACCTCGGCGATAGAAACGGCGAGCAGTGTGGCGACTTGCAGGGGATATCAGGGGTGAAGGTGCCACGCTTCTGCTTCGCCTGTGGAGTGCGTTGGGTTGGCCGGATGAGACAGCAACCGAAGAGATCGCATTGGCGAGGTACTCTGTACGTCGTATTTCTTGCATTTGCACCTCGACACCAGTCTCACTGCTTGTCAGAACTACCAAGCGGCGCTCAATCCGCTTGTTGGACACATCGTCAACTTGTGCCTCAGTCACCATGACCAGTTGCGGGAGAACGCCGTGCAAATCCTGTACTGCATGATCATCTCAGAGTACCACACCTCCCAGACGTTCGAGCATATCGAAAACGAGCTCGTCAGCAAGTTGGACGTGCTGTTCATGTCCGACAGCAAAGGCGACGACATCTCGCGGACCTTCTTCATCAGCCACCTACGACACCTGTTCGACTCGTCAGACGTAGACGAGGAGCTGCGGAACCGTGTAACGAGCTTCCTGGAATCTGTCAACGTCTTCCTCCAGCTTCTGCTGAGCGTGCGCGCTCTGCCGGAGGGCGAGGAGTTTGCGGATGATCGCGTCATGGCAACGGTGCGCCTATTGTGGCCTTTCCCGCATACACCCACACTGACATTGTCCCTCCACAGCTGCGTTTGATGAACTTCATAAGGCGGATTGGACGAGACGAGATTTACATCAAATACGTCCACCAGCTAGTCAACGTGAGAACAACTCTTCTTGGAGGCTTCTATTCAAGGCTGACAGACCGTGGTCCAGATGCACCTTCAATCTCAGAACTACGTAGAAGCGGCGTTGACACTGAAACTACACGCCGATCTCTACGAATGGGATTTGAATTCCTTCTTGCCGCCCATGGAGGATCTAGGATTGCCGCAACAGTCACAGTTCCATCGAAAAGAGACGCTGTGTCTGCTGATACTCGACTATCTAGGTAACTTACTTCCTTTCTGGGGGAGAACGCAGCTAATAGAAACGCTAATGCAGGGAAGGGGAAGGCATGGGAAACCGCGTATCAGATCTGCAAGGATCTCGAGAACAAGCACGCCGAAGTCACGTTCAATTAGTATGTTTCATTTCCGCTCTTGCTGGGACTGACGAGTTGACGATGAGTGATAGCACACGTCTCGCCGAGATCCTGCGGCACCGTGCAGCCCTGCTCGAGCATATCATCACCGACCAGCGATACTACTCTGACTACTTCCGCGTCGCCTTCTACGGCACCTTCCCCGATGCTATTCGGAACAAGCAATTCATCGTGCGAATTTTTTTCTGCTCGTCGGCGCCACACTCACTCACGTGGGACTGTCTACAGTACCGCGGCTACGAATGGGAGAAGTTCGGTGCGTTCTGCGAACGGATGCTCAACAAGCATCCGGGTGCGCAACTCCTCAAGACGATGGGCGATCCCCCTGTGGATATTCGCTTCGGCAACGATCAGTATATCCAGTGCACCGCTGTTACCCCGGAACCCCGCCGCGACATACCCATCTTCACCAACCCCGACGTACCCCCTCAAGTTCGGGCGTACTACGAACACAGGTATGCTCTCTGTTTATTATGCGTGTTGCTACCTTCTCACCGCCTTTGTAGCGACATCAACCTTTTCAGCTATTCCCGACCGATATCCAAGATGGCACCCGACGGCACGGAGGAGGTTTGGGTCGAAAAGACTTACCTCACAACCGAACAGTACTTCCCGACCGTCCTTCGTCGATCGGAAGTTGTTCACGTCCAAGTTCACTCTATTTCCCCTGTCGAGACGGCGCTGCTCGAAGTCGAGCAGCGTACACGCGAGTTGGCCGGTCTCAACCAGAAGTACTCGTCATTGGCTAAGACGGCCCAGCATGTCTCGACAAACGTCCTTGCTATGAGCCTGAACGCTGCCGTGGACGCCCCGCTCAACAGTGGAGTAGGCGCCTTCCGACAGGTCTTCCTCTCCCCCGACTATGCAGACAGGTTCCAAGATCGGGCTGAACAGGTCGAGAAACTGCGTGTTGCGATCGATGAGCAGGTGTGTGGATGGCATTACTGTCCTGACTGTAACAGTCATTAAATACTCCCGCCCTCAGGTTCGCATGATTGACAGCTGTCTCAAGCTGCACGGGCAGCTCTGTCCTCCGGAGATGCTGGCGTTCCATGCCACTCTGGAGAAGTTCTTCCGCAAGAACTTCGCAGAGGAGATTCAGCGTCTATCCGTCGACTACTCACCAGAGCCTCGCGCCCTGGATGCGATCCCCACTTCGGCTCGCCTGCCTCCCACTGCGGCGATGCCGTCGCCCAACTACGCGAATCTGTACGTCTCCGATCTACCTCAGAGTGCCGCCGTACTGATATGTGCACCCACAGCCGCCAGCCGCTCGCTGTCGGGCCCATCCACGTCGGTGGGGTCACCCCATCGACGTCCACCTCGCCCCTATCGCCGCGCTCACAGGAGAACGGTGCATACAGCGACGCGCCGTGGATGAAACAGACGCCGCTCCAGCGCCACCTCGCGCATCTCGCGCGGCACGGCTTCAACGGCGTGTCGTCCGGGCCTGGCGACAACGGCGCGAGCGACTCCTTCTCGGAGGAGTCCCCGCGCAACTCCGTCGTCACGGTCAGCAACGGCGCGCCCGCGCCCGTGCTGTCCGGCGCGGCGTCCATGACGGCGTCCACGCTCGGGAGCATGGGGTCCATCAAGGGGCGCTTCTCAAAATTCGGCAGCCTCAGCTTCGGGCGGCGGGAGGGGTGATCGTGCGCCAGTGGGGCGCGCCGCGCTGCGCTTCTGCTGCGTGGTCCGATCGGTCCGGGGACGGGGATGGAGACGGTCTTCTTGCAATTGGATTGATTCCCCTGCGCGCGCGCGATCTATCGTATACCATCGTTTGCTTTCTTTGTCGACCGTCTGCCCGCTGCTGCATGTATCTGGATCTTTGTTGTCTAATGTTGTACAGTGTAGCTATTCGCGCATAATATCATTGCTTCTATATACAGCCACTGTTCGGACGGCCGCAATTTGAACATATAAAGTTGGTGCGGCGCAGGTGGGCTTAATGTTAGATTGTGGACTAGCGCGTCGATCCCCCGTGTGGCACCCGGACGCTGGGCAGCGGCCCACAAACCTAAAGCGACTGCCACCGCGTATCGATCTCAAAGATCCGGCGCCCCGCGGAGGCACACAGCGTGCCGAGCGCACGGAGGGAACAGGTAGTGAACAAGACAGAAGTATATTGCATTATGAGCATAGTACAAGCCCGCGCAAAGGCGAGCGACAACTGTGTGTAAGATATACGGGAGACGAAGACTAGTAGAACATAAATATCAGGTGGCTCCTAAGATGTCAGAGGTATAATGATAGCCAGGCGACCAGGGAGGGGAGACTCGGCGGGCGCGGCGCATGATGAGGGAGGAGGGGGAATGACGACCGGGTGTCTAAGGCTACATGTACAGAACCGAGACCGAGAATTGCGTGTAGACGAATAGAGATGCAGGAGAAGCAGTGTTGAGGGGAGGCGTATGTGCAAAGAAGCGGCGGCAGACATGTATAGTGTACGGGGTCACCGCTGTTTTACAGGTAGGCGTGAGCGTCGTGGAGGTCCGGACCAGGCGATATCTTCAGGCCGTGGGTGTGATAGTCTACGTCGTATGCGCCAGGCCCCATCGCGTAGACGTTACCCCCATATGCCTCGTGATCCATCAGAGACGACTGATACAGCGAGTGCGAGGGCTCGATGTACTGCTCGGCCGTTGAGGGGTACTGGAGGGACATCGATGAGCCACCCGAGAGGTGGGGCGAGTCGTGGGGCGTGGAGATCAGCGGGGAGGGCGTCGGAGTCGTGGTATGTGATGGGAGAAGGACGTCGTAGGCCCCCGCGGATGATAGAGAGGTAGCGGTGACGTAGGAGCTGTCGAGAGCGTCGAGGGAGCCCGAGATGTACTGCGTCCGCGGGTAGTTGGGAGGGTGGAAGGAGAAGTACGACTGGTCCGTGGGCGGCGGCGACGGGTGGCCCGGCTGGGGTGACGAGGACTGGGAGTACGGCGTGGCGAGGGAGGACTGCGACATGTCGGGAGACATGGTCATGGGGGTGGTCGATGCCTCCGAGGAAGAGCCATCAGCGTCCTGCTTCTTTGCCGCCGGGTAGAGCGTCTGCAAGATCACGGTCAGCGGGAGCGCACAAGGCGCCAGAGAAGAAGCGAATGATGCGCACGTATTTCGAAATGATCTTGTCGAGTGCCTGGGGAAGCACCGCCCAGTCAAACACCTTCACGTCCTTCTCAATGTTCCGGGGCTTCGGCGCAGGGAAGTCCATGATCTTCTGGAAGAACTCCTCCGTCCCCACCTTATTCTTCGACACCGTCTTCGGACGGAAGCCCTCGAGGTTCCGGCGGATCCGGTTCTTCTCTTCGATGTTGAAGATGTCGCCAACGAGACATTCAAGCAGGAAGATGATGTCAACGGACGTAATGCAGCACTTGGAGACGGGCGGATCGCCCGCACCCGTGGCATCCGCGGGGCGGTAGATGCACGACACGACGGTGTCCCCGTCGGCATACTCCGACGGGAGGATCGCCTCGCAAGTGACCCGTAGCACGCAGCCCTCCTGGACGCGAGAGAAGCGCACGAGGCGCCGGCCGATGCGCCTCTCCTCAGGATCCCAGTCGTGCGGATCGGCCACCGTGTCCAGAGGTGTCTCCAGCCGCAGGACAGCACGGAATGCGCTGTCGGCGTCGTCGTCATCGGAACCCGACCGCCGCGCGCGGATCAGGGACTGTTTCTTGAGCTGACCACGCGCTGATTGCGCGTCCTTCGAGGCCATCGTCGCGTTGAGAGCGCGTGCACGGGCGGTGCCACTGCCTGGCGTGGGGCGCGAGGACTTGCGCGTAGCAACCGGCGCCGCGGGGCCAACTGGACGGGCGTTTAGTGGACTGGGGGATGGAGATGCCGAAGCGAAGTTGTAGGTGTCCACGATCTCCTCCTTGCAGAGCATGGATGGGGACGCGGCGACGCCTGTAAGACATACGTTAACGGATCGGATCGTAGGAGGATAAAGGATGCCACATACGATGATGGGAATACGTGAATTTTCCAAAGGTGACCGAGTCGAGGGTCTCGTTGGTGCCGTTGAGGGCCTGGACCGTGAGTGGCACCACTGTCGAGGGCGATGATGGCCCCAAGGACGCAGTCTCGAGCTCTGGGATCATCGCCTCGAGCTCCCACTCGCCGAATCGACGGTCCTGAGCCTGCCGTACGGTGGTGCTGAGGGCGCGGTGGCCGACCACGATCCGAAGAAAGGTGGTATCGGCGCTGGGGAGATTGAAGTGGACGTTGACGATGATGGACGAGCCCGCAGGGCCCTCCGAGGGGGTGTAGCTGTATACGCGGAACATTTGGCCTGGCGAGAGAATGCACCTGCGCGTTCTTAAAGGCGCGGCACCGTAGGGCTCTGAGTGCGGGGATGCGCGTGAGCCGGTGGCCGAATGGGGTCTGAAACAGGAAAGAGGGCGTACCAGACATCATCGGGGACTTTGCGAGCACCTCCGCGGAATGTTGGCTAACGTGCTCCCCGGTGGAAAGAATGGAAGAGGGGCGGTTGTAGGAGCAGGAGGGTCCGTTGTAGAAGGTGTGCGGCGGACGTTGTTGACTTGATGCGAGCGCGGAGATCATCTTGGTAGAAGCTCGAAGAAGATGCGCGCCGATTGGCGTGTCGAAGAGAGTTGCAGGAATGATTGACACACGAGATGCGAGGTTGATTGAAGCGGAGGGAAGGATCGGGGACACCGAGAGGCGTGTCGAAGTAAGTGGGCGAAGAGGCGCGTGGGCGTGATGAGTGGCTGGGGAAGGGGCGCCGGGAAGCACTGAGGGGGGTCAAATAAGGCGCGCCGGACAAAAAGTCGGAGCTGATAATATACGAAAGAGGCAAGGCGGGGAGGAGGGAGCTGGCCAGGAGCGGAAGGTTGGAAATGGGGAGATGATGTATTGTTGGCGGCATGCTAAGCTGAAGGGCGAGATGATGATGAGCGGTACAAAGCCGGCGACGCGATCGACGATCGAACAGCAAGCTCGGGCGGTTGCGTGGCTGGTTTGGGCCCATCAACCAAGGCACCCAAAACACGCTGGAAACCTGCTGGAAAATATTTGGCCGCTGGCCGCTCGAGGCCGAATCAGCGCCTCCCGGAAGCATTTCATGCTGCTAAACTGTTTCCCTGCCCGACGGCTCCATTGCTGCCACGCAGCCTTCCCCGCATCGGGTGTGGGTAGGCGTATTTTTGGGGATTTGCTGGTTGGAGTGAGAGGGAAAGGGCCTCACGGGAAGGGCATCGTCCGCGGGGGGTCCGAGTGCGCAGCTCGAGGTGCAGCGCTGATTGGGCGGAAGGGATCAGCACAAGTCAGCGTGGCGAGATCCAGATCGCGAACAAGGTCCGAGCACGTGGCCCCCGCACATGCAGACGCCCATTGGGCGCCTCTGCCAGCGCTCATCGCCATCCGCTGGTGGTGGCACCTTGGGTGGCACACTCGTGCCCGGCCTGCCACTGGGTGAAGCGCGGGGCAGCGCGGTTGGGCTGTTCTCCCCTGGAGGGCGAGGCCTCGCGCTGCCCCTCTCCTCATCCACGGATCCTACGGCCATCGACCAATCCCGCGCACCCCTGTAAGTGCCATCTCCGACCCAGCCATCCGTCGGCATATGAACGTGGTGACGCCGTGCTGCAGTGCCATCAGTGGCTGATTGCCTACGGCCCATCCTGTGTCCCCCCGTCTGGACGATCACAGGAGCGCGACGCGGCGAGCGCAGCTCCGACGCGCCCCCTGCGGTCCGCCGTCCCGTGGCTCTGCACTTCGAAACACGCCGCCCACGGCCTCTTCTCCGCCGATCTCAGTTCACGGAGCACGATTGATTGGGTAATCGGTACGCCCCCGGTCCTATCGCCATCCATGCAAGGACCCGTACGGCGTGGGCCGTGCTGTCTGGCAAACATGCAGTATATTGGAGCCTGCGGGATACAAGGCGGAGAGAGGGGTGGCACTTGACAATAAAGTCATATCGATCGTGCCCCTAAGCCGTAGATGATAGCATCCATCTAGACCCCAGAATGTCAGATACGACGTACCGGATAGTACCCGATGGCCGTCGACGGCAGTCTCTTGCCCAGGAACTAGGCTACCGCCATTTGCACGCAACATGGTACGCGCCCCACTCCGAGGGAGAGTCCTCCCCAGGCTCTTTCCGCACGCGCACGGAAGGTGGCGTGTGCATCTCCACGGAGAGCACGCGTCCACACACAACGCATGGCTCGCTGAACAAGTTCTCATACGCACATAGCAAGCTCTGTTCAGCCGTTAGCGCAGGAAATATGACGATCCTACCGCTAAATACGTTGTACCAAATACTAAATAAAATACGACTTACCACGATCGCTTGTAACGGTGCCCAGGGCTCAGACTGCAGCACTCGCGCGAGCTGTTGGGAGAGCTGCCGATACACGGTGTAATCGGACTGCGAATGTGTTGCCTTCTAGAACACAAGAGGCTGTGAGCCGCCCCTTCATCGACCAATCAATTATGCCCGCACGTACCTGCTCGCGGGGACCAAATGCCGTCGCGCTCTCGACCACGAGTGCCTGTTCCTCTGTGGCGGACCGCTCTAGCGTGAGGTAGATCGCGACCACGTCCGGAATGACAAAACGTAGCACGACTGGGCAGGACAGCGGCCGGCCTTTCTTGGGCGCGATGACGTGCAATTTGCTGCGGCCGGTCTGGTTGTGCGCGCGGATGTACGCAGGCAGGCCGTCCAAGCCCACGGGCACCGTGCCCTCCTCGCCTTCCGGGAGGAACGCGTTGCTTTTCGGCCCTGTCGCGCGGTATGGCTGCGGCGAGTCAGGCGATGGCGGACGTCTACAGATAGGGACGGGACGCGTATGGAAGGAGAGGGGGCTCGCATTCAAAACGTTACGCGCAGCAGAACAAGACGGTCTGCACGTGCCTTCGTTTCAGATTTTCCCTGCGGACGTCGAGTCCTACCAGTTTGGGTTCCGCCGCCTCGCTCTTGCGTGCAGCCTTGAGTGCGTCCTGCACCTGCTCGGATCGGACGGACTGCGCGATCTCCTTCAGCTCCTTGAACTCGTACTCCAGGACCGAGGTCGGCGGTAGCATGTGTGATGCAGTGGCGGGAGGTCGCATCAGCAGCGCAGGGAAGTGCCGCAGAGTTTGCAGTCGACTGTTCAGGTTCGCGAGCGTGTCTATGTGGTTGCGCAGGGTCTGCAGGTCTGAGAGCGGCGGGTTGGTGGCGGAGGCGGTCATTATAGCGGTTTCGGGGACTACCGAGGGAGGCAAGGGTGGAGGTGGCATGGTGGTGGACGATGATGCCGACGTTGATGCGGCGGGATCGACAGCGGGGGTTGCGGACGCGGTGTTTGGGGTGGTGCTCATCGTGGTCGACATCGTGCGCGCGATGCCAGGAAGCGCCCATACGCGTCGGAGAGCCACGTTCAGGAACCTTGCCGATCGAAGATAGATCGGCGCGCGTCTAGACCCCCGATCGGGCGTTCTTCCCACCTTTCCGATTCACCTCCTCTCGGTTTTGGGGCTCGCACTCTCCTCCTCGGACTTCGAGAACGCGGTGAGTTATTGTTTTTATTTTGTGCGCATGGGCATATTTATTCAGGTGTTCCCTGCGCTTGTGTCAGGAGACCGCGAAGCGCCAGACTTTGGAGTGCTTACCTTCAAATACTACGAACCCAAGCTTCATATTGCTTCCCGCCTTATTATGTTTCTACAGTTCCTCCGGCAGAGAAACGGCACTGGTGGTTAAATAAGCTTACCGAGTAGATGCACTGCAAGAGTGTCCATCTCTTGAATGAAGGTGCTCTATCGGGATCGGGTAACCGTTCGTGACGCGAGATCCATTACCGTCCATGCTATTAAATCACTAATCTTACCTATTTGCAGAACTGGCCTATTTCGAGCTCTCCGGGCTTTAAATACACCGCTAGGGCGCTGCGCGCAGCCACATTCCGCCACGGTGCGGTCGGCATACACAGTAGCCAGGCTGTGTCAGCCGTCGAGGATTGCACCCGTGGTGCGGCTCGAGGCGGGTCAGACCGAGGACCCCTTCAATGCACTAAGCGGCCCATCCTGCTCCGTGGAATGCACGGAGTTCGAATGATCATGCAGTGTCTAGGGATGAGGCCGGCTGGGATCCGTTCTTCAGGATACTCTGTTGACAGCCCTGTCCCACAAGGTCGCCTGGGCTATTGTCATAATCACATTTACATAGCGGCTCGCTTCTAACTTACCTGTTTTCTACATCTTCACAGCGGTCGATCCTCTCCATTACCGGACTGAATTACGCCCGTCATTAACATCCACTTCCAAGAAACCCAATTAGTTGTGTGACCAACTTGCCGGCAACTGCCAAGCACCCTCGTTCCTGCGTTTACCCTGCTCAGTCACCTCAGGCCTCACGCGCCGCTGGGTGTAAGTATGATCATATGCACGATCGGTGCACCTGGCCCAGTGCCCACCATCCGGTCGCTCCCCTCCATCCCATCGGGGAGCTATCGGGCGAGATAACCACCAGCGAGGAGCCTTTCCCAAACGCTCTCGTAAGCCGCATGCTGAAAATATCCCGACTCCCTGAGCGCAGCCGCTGCCGCTGGAGGAGCATAGCGCACTCTACAATTTATCTGGGAAGCGCTCGGCTGTTTGCTCGTCTCCCGCCTCGGCCCGAGACGCTCAGACCCTTGATGGCGGGTGCGTTGAACCGCAGATGGCGCTCCGACCCGCCCAGTCGCCCCTCTCTTTCTTGATCCACACGCGCGGATTCGCTCGGGATTCGCGCTTCGCAATTGACGTCGCCATTGATATCGGATATCGCCTCACCATTGGGTCTAGCGCGGGGCGCCAGGCTGTGCGGCAATTCTACATATCATCAAAGGGACGCCCAGGCGCCGGCGGCCACGGCAGAACGGCCTGCAATCCTTCCACGAGACGGAGATGGCAGGCACAGTGGGGCACAGTGTGCACTCACTCGCAGCACGCGGAAAGTCTGACTGCGCGAGTCGACGAATCAAGCATCCAGGGGCCAGGGCACCCGTTGCCTGACGAGGCCCACGAATGGGCGCATCATTCTCGCAGCTCGCTCAACAGGCTCCAGGCACACATACAATGTCCGAGGCATCACCGTCGCAGGTGCTCAAGCTTCTCGCGAAACGAGCGCGCTACCCGGGCTGCCCGCAGGCGCACGTCGCAGCCCCTGCGCCCGCCCCAGCATCACCGTGCACCCAGAACCCATGTCGCGGAGGCCGCAGAGCCCAAACGTGCGAGGTATCCATCAACGAGATCAGCAACTCGCGGGCGGCCTCCCGCCGTTCCCTTGCGCGAGCACTCCAAAGCTGACGGCTGCGAGCCCGCTCACTGCTCGCCACGTGCAAGGCTTCACTTGATAATGATGATCGTCGATCTCCCCGCCGAGCGCGGGAGCGGTCGATGCGAGGTCCACGCATCATTTACGATTCGCGTCGCGCGTCCGAGGGGCAAGAGCAACGAAAATACAACGCATGGGGGCGGTGCGAAGATTGTCGCCAGGACCGGTGTGCGGCAGTGTACGGCGCGCGTGGCGAGTTATTTCAATTTGGGGGCGGGATACACCGACGCGGGGCCCTGGCTATAATTGCATAGCCCCGGCCTGTGCGGATCGCGTCGCGGTTTGTCAGTGCGGGTGCTGGAGAGGCATACATATCATGTGCTGTTGGTGACGCTTGGGGGCATATGCCGCACCGGGATCTTGCTCATCTGTCGGCCCCATCCCGGTCAGGAGAGACGGACGGCGTCTTGATTTTTGCGTGTGCGTGTGGAGACATCCCTCCGGAACGTTGAGGTCGTGCTTGACGAGCGTCTTCATGTCTCATCCTTGATACGCGCATGTATCACGAGTACGCACTCAAATGCTCTTAACCCGGTCGTCAAATTGAGGGTCGCAGAAGCACACAAAGACAAAGGTTTGACGATGAGAATCGAAATCATCAATAGAGTGAAGCGGTGCCGGTGCACGTTCCTGCAGATACGTTCAGTCAAGCGGATTTGTCCGGGCTCGAAAGGGAAGTAATACCGGCGGTGCACAGCTTGGTTTCATATGCAAATCATCCCCGCATGAAGATTGAACAGGACTATGGGCGCCGATTTGAGTTGAATCGTACCTATACACGGATGCCGTCAGTAAATCAACGACGTCCAAGAGGGCTGGACTGACTTGCATTCAGGACTGTACCCCTAGGCCAAGGAGACCCGCGAAGCCTGACTGGCCCTCGGAGTCAAAGCGGCCAAGCAGGAGATACACGCAAGGATCGCTGCGTTGAAAGGAGAAGATATGTATGTCCTGCAAACGACCGAGCAGCTCGCGCAACTGGATAACTGTAGGATCCGGGTGGGCAGGGCTATGAACGGTGGTCGGAAGCCCCGTGTCCGATGATAATTTCACCTCCTACCGACCGGTAAACTGAGTATCAGAACACATCCAAAACCATGAATGGCTGGCGCACCTTCACCGGGCCCGCCACAGTTTCGAACCCAAGCAAGGATAGCACGTCGAGCTCATGTCCTGGGCTATATTCGTCCGAGCCCAGCCAGACCGCCACATCCCCGTACTCATCCGTTTCGCTGGTGTGTCCGGCTAGAATGCTTCCGCATGCGAGGGAGGCGGCTGCGGCTGCGGCACTCCGCGTCAGTTGCCTGAGATAGTTTCTTGTGGACGGCGCGACTCCGTTGGCATCGATGGTCGATGAGAGCACGGCAAATGGCTCGCCGCTGTGGGGAGAGCCCTGCGATTCGGCGCTTGGTCCGCTTGTAGATATTGCACTGATTGTCGCGCGTACGGCCGCTACGTCTGCGGTTGAATTGCGCACCGACTCCTCGGAGGAAGAAGGCCCGTCTAAAAGGATCTGCATGGTACAAATAGTTTTGAGCGTCGCTGGTTGTTGGTGAGGTTGGTGACCGAGCTAAGGAACTTGCGTTAGTGATAGTTAGTCAACGTTTGTGCTCGTATAAAGTGGCACCCGGCGGCCCCCTACTGCCACGTTAGCTTCGAAGTACGACGACGTCATATCCTACGGTGCTGCACAATAAGTGTTCGTCCCGATGAGGAAGGTGAGTACCTTCGACCTTCGAAAAATGTAAACGTCGCGCAGTGAATATAGAGATTCGCCGTCGCTTCTTAAGACAGCCTCACTGGGCGCAGATGGCAGGTAACAACACATTGAAGGCATGAATAGGCGAAAAATACAGTAGCGAAATACAGGTTGAATCTTGATAATGCAAGGCCCCGGGCCATACCGAAATCAGTTGAACGACTGAAAAATAGCGGCCGTGTGAATATTCAATAGACATCAGAGATAAAGGCGGGCTGTCTTACAAGTTGTCCAAATATTGGCACGTTCCTAGACCCCGGCTTCTGCGAGTCCCTCATTCTATCCAACGGGTGTTCGTGTCAGCCTGGGTGATCTACAATGCATAACGGTTGAGAAGTCTAACCAGCGCAGCAGGCTCGCCCCAGAAGTCCTCGCCAGTGTAAGAGAACCAGTTGAAGTTTCCACTACACTCTACTGTGTCCGCCAGGCCACGTAGGAGCTCCATATACCGCGCTTCCCGCGGACCGAGGACGGCCCCGGTTGAATACATGCGGTAAGGGTTCAGAATCCCAACGCGCAGTCTGGCAAGGCGCTTCCCCATCGCCGTTCTGGCCGCCAAGCATCTCGCAATAGGCTCTACAACCTTCGTATCCTCGTCAATCGTTGTCGCGGCCACAGCGAGATCGGTCAGATTGGAGCACACAACAGCTGCACCTGGCTGTCTGGAAGCGAGTGCTTCCAAAAAGCTCAGCATGGTACGATCACTGGCCCAGGGAGCGACGGTGACGACGGCAAGGCGGCGGAGGAGCGGGAAGGCGCTCAGGAGGCGGGTCCAGTCGACGGCAGCCAGCTGTCCTGGGGTGATTCCGGATATCTTCAGCTCGACGAGGGGAGCGTCGCCGAAGATGGCCAACAGAGAGTTGCAAACGTTCACCAAGCCGCCGCGTGAGACGACCTGGAAGCTCGTCTGCCCACACTCTCCGCTGAAAACGTCCTCCAGGCCGTCGTACGAATCGCTGGAAAGCTCGACGTGGACTTTGTCGACGGACGACAGCAGGGGCAGCTTCGTCCTGACTTTGGGGAGGCAGGCGGCTAAAGTATCCCACGCCGGATCTAGGTCGACGTCGGCAAACTCGAAATCTCCGTCACGGTATTCGGCAAGCCTCGTAATGGATACGCTGGAGGTGTCCGGTATAGAGAGTGCGCTGAGGAATCGTGCGGTGTAAGGGCTGACATCCTCCAGCCTGAGTGAAGATAGTGTCGGGGCCAAGGCAACATGAGGAAGGGGATGCGACGCGTGCTTAATCCACGCCAGTATGGAGGGGTCATCGAAGCGATATCTGTTGAGCGTGAGGTGCTCCAAGGTTTTGCACTCCTTCAGAAAGTCGAGCAGCCGCGTAAGAGGCACACCATCGCAGATCGTGTCGCTCAGCCGCAGACTTTTCAACGACGGGGCGAGTGCTGACATGCTTTCCAAAGATACACTCCGCAAGCAGAGCCTTTCGAGGCGAGGAAACTGACCCTGTCGCGGCGCAAAGCGGAAGAGAGCCAGGCCTTCGTCTACATATTCGAAGGGGTCCGAGTGGGTGTCATCCTCGCCGTCGTCGACCATCTCCTCCGGGAGCACGGGTTCGTCGCAGTCGGCTTCCCAGCGGTATTTTCCAAACGACAACTCCAGATTGGTGAGGGCGGGCATGTTGCCAGTCTCCAGGAAGCTGCTGATCACGGCAGCCTGTGACCGAGGAAGCATGCAGCACTGGAACTTCCGCACGCGCGAGCGGTGCTTCTCTAGGTCGGCCAGGAAGGGCTCCATTTCGTGCGTTGCGGTGAACGACAGATCCAGAGAGGTCTCCGCGGAGCGCTCCAGAAAGAGCCGGAAGAAATCCGGGTGTCGCTTCGTCCCGACGTGGACCGTCCGCCAGAGGAGCGGTGTTGTGCAGGCGATCACGCGCCAGGCGTGACAGACGCTTACGAGCGAGAGCCATGAATCGAGCTGCTCCTCCGCCTCGAAAGGGGAGATGTAGTATTGGCCGTTCTGGACGGTGCGGAAGATGCGCACGAGGATCTCGAGCGGGAGGCGGTTGACGGGGACTGTTGAATTCAAGAGCAGGCGGACGCCGCGGATCCGGTCATCTAGCTCCTTCCGCTGGCTGAGGAGATCTGTGTGAACGGCTGCCAGGTGTGCGTGCGAGGAAGTGATGTTTGTTTGTCCTTGTGGGAGGGACCGGCGGTCACTGCCCGATGCGGGCATGTTGATCTGGAGAGCTGATTCAATGCTTGCCTTCCTGTTGTGCAGACGTGCGTGTTAGTCTCAATTGCACGAGTGGTCTCGAAACCTGACTCATGTGCTGGCAGCTCGATGCGTGTCGCAAAGAAACCTCGCGATTCGCATGGGTTTCGACAAACCCATGGAGTGTATTGAATAGAGTCTGACGGTACTATTAGTACTGCACTCACCACTGTTTTTCCTGAAGAGTTGAGAGAACCGTGGTGTTTCTAGTGAGTAGGGAAGTCTGCAGGAACAGGAGGGCGCGGCGGGCGAGGACGTCAAGAGCAAGTACTTGCTCGCCGCGTCTGAGACGTTCGCGCTAGGGCGCCTATTTGCATACTTTCGAACCACAACAAGATAGGTCTGAGTGAACGGAACGGGCTGGCGCTCGCTCCTAAGGCCTAATCATGTAAGTAAGAATCGGAACGGTGGTCCAGGGTGCAACGGCAAAATGTCGTTCGGTAGGATCCGGTACGAACAGTAACCTTACACCTTCACTCAGTGAACGCGAACAAGACGAAGGTGAGTCATTGTTGACTCGTCGTCTGAAGCGTGCTGGTGCAGCATGGTGTGGTGAATTTGGTACGTGAGTAGACCGGGGGGAATAAGGTCAAACGCGGACTGGCGGGTTCTGAAATCGACATTTACACGGGCTTGAAAATATCTTGCGTACCTCTCGAAGTTTCGCTTGCATGCTGCAACGGAGCGGGATAGTTCGGTAAGCATCTGCCGTGAATCGAATATATAGGACAGACTCACCATTGTCATTAAGTTCGATCTCTTGAGCGACGACAACTGTTTCCGATCCCTGAACCATAACTTACGCATATATGCAGCCTGGAGCCAGCATACCACAACCACGGCGTCGAGGACCGCAAACTCGAAGCGAACGCCCGTAGTGTAATTGTTAGTGTAGCGTACGTCAACAGGACACATGCAGAGAGTCCATAGGTTGTTCATGAGATACGGTCCCCTATTCGTGAGAACGTCTAGAAACAGCAATCCACGTGGTATCTACAGTAGGTGTGGTATCAAGTCCAAGTGCGATATATGAAGCGTGTGTATGCAGAGATGGACGGTACCAGATAGTAAGAGCGGAGGCCTTGCCTCGCAAATTGTCTTCATTCCACACGGGTCTCCCAGTCCGCAAACCAGTCCTGAGCCTCGCTTTTCTGGTTCGACTCCCGCTGCTCCCGCAGGAATGTGACGTACTCGACCAGAAAGCGCACCTGCTCGTACGTCTCGATCGCCTTCGGGCTCCGCCGTCGCCGCACCACGCTGATCAACCGCTCGACCAGGTGCATCGTCTCGGCGTCGATTTGGTCGTCCTTGGCTTGATGCAAGCTCGCATCGACATTGGCGTCGAGCCATCCGCACAGCCCGAGCTTGAGCATCCAGCAGCACGCAATGATACCCGCACGCCCGACACCACCACGACAGTGTACGAGTATCGCAGACCCACGCAGCGTGTATCTCTCGATGAGCTTGGTAAGATGTGCGTCCAACGTAGCGGGGTCGTTCGGAGGGAGACCTTCCGGTATAGGTAATCTGTACGAAGGTCAATGTGGCTTGGCTCGAAGTGATAACTGGGTGACGTACCGTAGCACATCCATTCCAAGCTCTGCGGCGACCAGCACGTAGTCTTCCCACGTAACGCCGAGAGCCTGCAGCTCGTGGTCGTCGAGAAGGCTGGAGGTTGATTTAGATCACCGTCGTGACGTACGTGAGCGGAACTGCTCACCAGACCAGACAAGCAGTGCCGACGTTTTTGATGCGCTCCAGGTCAGACCTCAAATCCCTGCAGACAGTGCCACGACCTCTAACAGGACCGTCGAGCCGTACTAACGGACGATCAGCCACACCGGTCGCGATCTTAACAAGACGAGCTGCACCTTTTTTGCCCGGGCAGGACGATAGATATAGGTTGCCAATGAGTTTGGCCGTGCCTATGGGTGGGATTCGGGGGACTTCAGGGATTGCGATGCCCGGTGGGTGGACGAGGGCTGCATTCGGTAATCGCGCAGGGTGCGGGCGTGGCACTGCCAAATCAACCTGCTGCAGACTGGTGTATCAGTGAGCCAATGTGTACGCTTGATACAACTTCAGATCACCTACATGGTCGACGACACGCTTGTCTCGAGCTCCTTCTTCTTCGTCTTGAAGATGTTCGGCGACGAGATGTTCCGGGCAACAGACGGCCTCTTATACTCCAGCGGCAAGGCCGGATACTGCACGGCACTCGAAGCTCCAAATGAGGCCGGTCGCGGACGCTTCACTATGCTTGGGCGAAGAGCCGGCGCATCGCCTAGGAAGGCGCGTCTCACGCTCGGATGGACCCAAAAGAAGGTTGGTAGCTTCAGGCTCTTGGTGATAGAGTGGGAGCTTGACGTCCGTGGCGGCTGAGGGCATTGTGCATGTGAAGGGGAGCTGACCGGGGCCGGAACGGGGATGGGCGCAGGCGGCTCCACACGTCGGGGCATTGCACGGTCTAGCAGGTGTGACCGCGGTAGTCGGAATATCGTAGGGTAGTCGTCCGTGCAGCGCTCTAAGTACGACGATATGATAGGCAATAGTTCGGAGGGTATGACTGTCGATATTCTAGTCTCGCGTTAGTATATCTTTCAAAACAACGGGGGTAGGAATAAAAAGACTCACACAATGGGGTGTGTTTCGGACGTTTGCCAGCCAGCTTGCGGCGGTTGCGGGATAACGAGAGGAGCAGATATCGCTGCCGACAATTCCTCGCACAAGTCGGGCTGAGACGGGCGATTTTCGCTGTGCCACCAAGCTTGCCGCTCCGAACACCGCAATTGATAGGCCTGCATCTCCTTGTAATGGTCGGGCATTTGCACCGAGTACGGCACATACACCAAGGGAGAGCCTTTATGCCGAGACTGCGTTTAGCACGGGTGTCCTCCTGCAATGAGTGACATACCCTTGCTTCCGAACTTCATGCGGTTATAGTCACTTGCATGGTGTTGCGAGGCCAGTTGCCCGAGCTTTGCAATACGAGAAGTTCAAGAACGGTGGCGGGCGCCATCTCGTTGTCGCTCGCACCTGCGCTACGAGAGGGTCGATTGCCTCTGGTTGGTTGGTTTGTGCGCTTGTGCGTGGCTCGTCCGCGATTGCTGGAACAGGTTCTGACGCGACACGAGCAATTCTGGGAGACATGGGGCGGGATGCAAGGGCAACGGCCGCCATTGCAACGAACACGACGCGTGCGGTGAGGGAGAGGACGAAGTTGGCATCAGCCCGCCCTGCGGTACTTCACGGTGGCGGGTGGCGCGCAAGAAGTGTTGATTGATAGGAAATAGGAAGCGATCAACATTCATAGCACCCATCTGTCACTCGTACCTAATGATGCCTATCGGAGGTTACCTAGCTCCACTGACGGGTGGTTATCGGAGCTCCAATCCGTCTGTCAGGGCGGCCTCAGCGGTTAGCTCGCTGTGAGCCGACGGGCGTTCTCGTCGTTACCTTCTTCCTCGTCGTCCTCGTCGTCGTCGCCGTTGCCGACGCTCCCCTCACGTTCTTTCCCCCGACGCTCCTCGCCGTGTCTCAAACTGCCTGTCTCTCGTTTCCCCCCTCCCTCCGAGCATGTCTGCTCCCTTCCGACCCAAATATGATCCCTCCGATGTCCCGATCCCAACCTCAAGGCCTTTGAACGCTTCGGCCACGACAGTCCGCCGTGCGAAGACTCTCACTCGTCCCGAGCGTAGCGTCGCGCCCGTTCCTCTCATTACCCCGCATGCTGCGCCGCTCCCTGGCAAGCCTCAAGCACCGGAGTCAGAAGATATCCCGCTCGACGCGTGGCGAATATTCTCCCGGGTCGTCTCCTTCTGGGCGCCCGACTTCTTGCTCGAGTCTCTTGGCGGACTCAAGGACAAGCAGAAGCGTCAGGCGTGGAGAGAGAAGATCGCGCTCTGCTTCATCATCATAATCCTCTGTGGTATCATCGGCTTCCTCACCGTTGGCTTTCAGAAGGTACTATGTCCAGATACCACGGTCAAGCTCGTGAGCAGGTTCTCGTCGAAAGGGACGGTGCAGGGTGTCCTGGGTGTGCAAGGCTGGCAGATGAACATTACCAAGTATCCCGAGCTCCCTGGTCGTAACTTCGTCGACCTCCTCAAAGACCCAGGTCAAGATATCACCACCCTCTTCCAGCGGGACAACAGTCTCTACCCTGCCTGCAGTGGCCTCTCCTTCCGCGCTGCCACCGAAGCCCCTTGCGCGAATACTACGAGTTGCCCCCTCCCCACGATGAACACCGCGACGATGCAGTCACTCGGATTCATCAACACCACCTTGGTCGTTGGCTACGATTGGGACCAGGTTGCAGCGTTGCAGAACTACTTCGTCCTCGACGGCGCAGTCCTCAACCTCAACTCGTACATGAGCCTCCATCCCAATGCCATTCCCTCCGATACCGTCGACGCCGCCATTCGCACCATTCTGCAGACGATGCCAGGAGACAGCGGCCGTGACGGTACTCGCCTCTTCTTCTATCGCTCAGACCTCCGTCAGGCTGTGCCATGTCTTGTACAGCGCTACTACGCGGGTAACATCGACAAGGTCACCCCTGGTTGCGTCATCTCGCAACTCGTCCTGTACGCTGGCCTCATAGTCGTCATGAGCTTGGTACTTGTCCGGTTCTTCATGGCCTGCATCTTCAACTGGTTCATGTCTTCACGCCTGGCTGGCCCTCCGGACAAGCACACCCTTAACCGCTCCGCCATCAGCCCAGCGGTGATGCCGGAAGGAGCGAATATCTCCATCGACAACCTGCATGGAACGGCACCTTGGGCAGGCCCTGGAGGTTCGAAGAAGTTGGCGAAGGGCTCTGGGAAGGGTGCTCGTTCCCTCGCATCGTCGAACTCGACCCTCGTCAACGCTGACTCCAGCGGCGTTGCACCCGTTGTGAGTCTGGCCCAGATAGGCGCGGAGCTCTTTGCCATCTGCTTGGTGACATGCTATTCCGAAGGCGAGGAGTCTCTTCGGACAACACTCGATTCCATCTCGACCACTTCGTACGCGGACGCGCGGAAACTGCTGTTCATCGTCGCAGACGGCATGATCACCGGAGCGGGCGAGAAGCGGAGTACACCAGACATCTGCGTCAGTCTCCTGGAAGCCGACCCGCGGTTCGGTAACCCGGTCCCTATGAGCTACGGCGCTGTAGGCTCGGGTGCCAAGGCCGAGAACAGAGCGATGGTCTATGCGGGGCATTATAGTGAGTCTGTCTGCCCGCGTCTCTTCAACCTGTTTTCTCACGATCTGCGTAGCCGTCGCTGGTCGTCGGACGCCCACCGTCATCATCGTAAAGTGTGGAACGGAGCACGAGGCTGCAACAGAGAAGAAACCCGGCAATCGAGGCAAGCGCGACAGCCAGTTGATTCTCATGAATTTCTTCTCCCGCGTCACCTACAACGACCGGATGACACCCCTCGATTTCGACCTTTTCCGTAAAATCCATATCCTTATGGGAGTCACTCCCGATTTCTTCGAAGTTTGCCTTATGGTGAGTGTGTTCTGAGGCCATGACACGTCTCATAACTAAAATCACGTCACCAGGTGGATGCCGACACGAAAGTGTTCCCCGACTCGCTCAGGTACCTCGTCAACTGTATGCACCACGATCAGATGATCATGGGCTGCTGCGGCGAGACTCGTATAGCGAACAAGCGTCAGTCGTGGGTGACGGCTATCCAGGTCTTCGAGTACTTCATTTCCCACCACAACGCCAAGGCCTTTGAGTCCGTCTTCGGTGGTGTCTCTTGTCTGCCTGGTTGTTTCTCTATGTTCAGGCTGAAGGCACGGAAGCAAAGTGGCGACGACTGGGTACCTCTCATCATCAAACCCGAAATCGTAAAGGAGTACAGCCAGTGCGTGGTCACGACGCTACACGAAAAGAACCTGCTCCTCCTCGGAGAGGATCGTTTCCTGACTACGATCCTCCTGCGCACGTTCCCCAACCGCAAGATGATGTTCCTCCCCCAGGCGAAGTGCAGAACAGTCGTCCCCGATACCTTCGCAGTTCTTCTCTCCCAACGCCGGCGATGGATCAACTCCACGATCCACAACCTCATGGAACTCGTCCTCGTACGGAACTTGTGCGGCACGTTCTGCTTCAGCATGCAGTTCGTCGTCTTCATGGACCTCATCGGCACCGTCGTTCTCCCCATTGCCATCTCTCTTACGTACATGCTCATCATCGGCATGGCGCTCAGTCCGCCACATAACTTCGAAGAGGCAATCCCGCTCATTCTCCTGGTCGCCGTCCTTGGTTTGCCCGCCGTTCTCATCTTGATCACCACCCGGAAGGTCGTATACATCTTCTGGATGTTGATCTACCTGGCGGCGCTACCAATATGGAACTTAGTGCTCCCGGTGTACGCCTTCTGGCACTTCGATGACTTCTCGTGGGGTGAGACCCGGTACGTGTTCTACAACCCGATTTACGGCTGGCCAGTCCTAATATCAGGTGATCCACAGAAAAGTTGAAGGTGAAGCGAAGGGCGAGGCCCATGGTGACGGTCCTGCCGCATTGGGCGCGAATAACGTTCCTATGCGTCGATGGGAAGACTGGGAGCGCTCACGGCTTCGCAAGATCCGCCGCGAGGAGAGGCGCAGACGCGATTTCGAGCGCACGCACGGTGCATACATCGGCTCGAATGGTGAACTCACCACAACGCGCAGCGAGGTCTACAGCCAATACGACGGCTCCGACACCGTCTCGGTCGCTTCTTCCGACGACGACCATTGGGGTGCGCAGATCGGAGGATACAACGAGAACAGCGCGCAGTACCCACCACCACCCATCGGCCTCAACGCGCAAGCCCTCGAGAGCGCGGAGACTGTTGCCGCCTCAGATTTGGAAGCCATGCTGGATGCGGGATTCGATGACCGACCTACACACGGGCGTGTCCAAATTTCCGATGGGCCGAAGTACACACCGCTTTCGCGAGCGACAGGCGGACGAGGGACGGCGCTGTCACCAACGACGCCGATGGCCCCCGGCGAGATGGGCGCGGTTAGCTCCGCAGTGGCGGACGAGTGGAAGACGCACGCGAAGAAGCGGAGTGGAGGGCGGTCAGGAAAGCACGAGTACGGGCCACTTGGCCCCTTGGACCCTGGGTCGAGGTTCTGATGACCCGTATCGTTTCGCGTTGGCACACGAAGGACCATCTTAGCATTATCCCGTTCTCGTCGCTGTCTTAGTAGTTATACCCTCCCCACGCTCGTCGCCACACGCATCCACGCCTCCCACTATCCCCATCACGCATAGCCCCTCTCTCTCCGCGACTAGTAGCCCTCTCTCCCACACGGAACGTTACCCCATTTCTCGTAATACCTCCCGCCGTCCGCCGCACCCCGCGGCCGCTCTGCTTCTTCCGCACATTTGGGGCGACCCACCCTCCGACGACACACATTCGCCCCTCACGCCCGCATCGCATGACCCTCTTCGCTCTTGCCCAGGAGCGCCTCCACCTAGGTCGGACTCCTGCTAGTTAGCTTACTTGTTTCGAATCATAGACTATCTCTTTCTGTGCGTTGTACGGAGGCCGTCGAGGCAATAAACAAATGGTGAGATCCCCGGATATGTCGGTGGTCGGTGTGAAGGCGTGACGTCAACCCACGGACGCGTAGTTGTACATCAGGTATGGGTATGTCTGGGTGTGTTAGGGTATGCGATCGCTTGCCAAAGTTGAGTTCGAGCAGGGTGGAGGGGAAGGAAAAGAGTCGCAGATGTCGGCCATTCAACATAAGCATTCCCTCAGAGAACACATGTCATACAAGGTAATATCATACGAGGGCCCGATGCTGATGAGTGGGGAGGGTGGTACAGGACTACATGGTCTGGGTATATATGCAAACCTCTCTAGAGGCAACCAGCATTCCGTCTCACAGGGTGTCAAGGAACGCCTTGACGTCCCGCAGAGCGCCGCCGCCTTCTTCCCACTCGTGTGTAACAGCGTGCGTGAGCGCGACAAGCCGCTCGCGTTTCTCCGCACCGTCGGGTCCATACGCTTTTGCAAGTACGTCGCGGACCTCCTCTTTGATCGCTTCGATGGTGGCCACCGGCGTGCGGCCGTTGCGGTAGATCGTGTGGAGGCCCGCGGGCCCGGTGCGCACCTCGATGAGCTCGTATCCGACATTGAGCTGCTCGGAGATGTGGACGGCGTTCACCGGCTGGTCTCCGCCGAACGGCCAAAGGATGCTGTGAACAAGCACAACGCAGTCAGTCAAATGTGGGCGGCGCAAGATCGAGAGTGGACTGACAAGGGCACCCCTGCGCATACTGCCTCCGTCACTCCGTTGTGGCCACCATGCGAGAGGAACCAGCCCGTTGCCTGTAGGAATGTGTTGTCTGAGTGAGAGGTGGTGCAATGCAGCGTGTCGTCTTACGGGGTGCTCGAGAATGGTCTGCTGAGGAGACCAGGGAGACAGGAGACCCTTGCCATAAGCCTTAACCTTCTCTTTGATCTCGTCTGGCACCACCGCCATCGGGGATGCATGGCTCAGGATCTACCGCGTCGGTATGAGTGTCGTGTACTTATATTGTGCGCATGTATCATCGGAAGCACTTACAAAGGGAATACCGCGTTCCATCACGACATCCAGGACCGCCCACATCTTCTCGGGGGTCTTGACCGGCCAGAAAAGCGAGCCAAACGAGATCTGCACGAACATCAATCTCTTCCGCACACCGAACGTATCCAGACAGACACGTACGTATAACAGAGACTTCTCGCCGGAGGTCTTCAGCGTGGTGTCCAGGAACTCCTGAATCTGAATCGCCTCCGTCGACTGCTGCTGCTCCTTGGCCGTCGCCGTTGCAGAGGTAGGGGGCAAGAGGGGGCCGCATACATACACCGGGCGTCCGGTCTTTCCAAACCAATCTCTCACTGCAGCTACTGCCTGGGGCTCGTAGGGCTCTGGAGTGATGAGGAAGACTCCATCGCAGGACTCCATCGTTCTGCGTACATAATATAAGTGTGCTAGTTAGTATATCGGGGACAGAAAAGACGTACTCAAAGATATAAGGGAATATAGCGATCCCGATTTCCTTCGGGATAGGGAACTACCTCGAGCGTCAGCGATAAGCCTCCCGGGTGTCCAAAAGCGAGGAATCACCTCCTGCGGGTAGTACTCGTAGTCATACATGGGTGGCAAAGCAGGGACCTTGACGATTTCACCTTTAGGGATGAAGGCCATCTGCGTTCCGGGAGAGATGCGTCCGAGTCAGACCACAGCGTGCAAGGCCCCGCAACGAAAGTGCGCACCTCCACAACTACTTCTGCGAACGGACGACCCGTTCGCTTGACTTCTGCGTCAACCTTTGCGGCGATGTTGCCCCTCCCGCCGAGATTCTCGGGACCGAAGAGATAAAACATCGCGTTGGTGCCGCCAGACATCCAAGAGAAGATCTTTGTCGACTTCCCGCTGAGCTTCCTGATAACGCGGACGGGCTCGACGGCGAAGAACTGTTGAGTGCAGGCCAGGGGTGTCATGTCTGCACTAAAAATTGAAGAGGGTAGCAGCTTGGAGACACTTACGTCGATGATGATCGCCTCGGGGACCGGGAGCGGGTCGAACCGAGTCGCGACCTTCGCACATACAACCGCCTCTCCAACAGAGATCTTCTCCCAGGCCGACTTGAAAATACTGTCGATGACGTTGGGGGTGGTGACCTGCACGTCACCAAGGGACACGACCCTTCGTTGCCACAAATATCGTCTCAAAGAACAAATGCTCGTACGAGGCGGAACCATACCTGATCCTGCTTGCGAATTCTTCTTCTCCAGGTACAAAGCTCCGCGCAAGCTCACAAACGGTGCGATCATATAACTGGTTTGTTGTGAGCAATGTGACGGTGATGTTGCGTAGCTTCACCAGACGCCCCGCGAGGTTGATGAGGGGGCGGGCGTGGCCTGCAAGACGAAAGTTAAGCCCAGTCATGACCACACAAACATAGACGCAAAAGAAGATATACCCCAGGCTTGGTAGGGGAAGGCAACGATGTGCTTCGGCGTAGTAGTGGCCATGGTGTTACGGGAGAGTTGCGCTGCGGGGCTTGGGGGGATTTGTATGGTTGCGATCAAGTTCCCTCATCTCGGAGGGGATTATATATCCTGTTGTACCACACTAGCGTTGCCAAACGTCGACCGCAGTTGCTAGCCACGTCCCGGACAGTGTCTGCCGCTGCACCGCGCAAGCTCTTCAGCATGCCATATGTGAAGACATAAGACCACCAACGCCTTCTCACCGGGTCATGCATATTTGTCGCAGGAACCGAACTCTAGCAGATTTTGGCTGCAAGTAACTTGGCATTGGTTTTCGGCCTCATGCTTCATGTCGGAGACATCGGACTCTCGTGCTTTGCGGAGGACGTAAGTGGTACGGAGGCGTGTGCCGCTGTACACGTACGCGGACGGCTCGGAAGATGTCGGCGTCAGATGGCAGATGAAGGAGGACTGCAGTCTGCCAGGGACTGCCGCGATGACGACGCCCGTATTCAGTCCACAACTTCTTGATGGGAGCACATCGAGCCGCCGCAATTTCAGTTCTTCCTCATCATTCCTGCATATAACGGACGAGGTACCCGAGCGTGGGGTACTGCCCCCTGATACGACAGGTCGGGTACGCTTGAGGCACAATGGGAGGCTCGTCGGGCGAATCTGTGACGGACCTGCGTTTCGATATAGCTATTTGCACTCACTGGTGATGCATATGGATGTACAGTAGGTACGAGGGTGGTGGTAAGCATTGAGGCAGGTCAAGTTGGTTTGCCGCAGACCCGGGCCAACGCCGCGGTCCAGAGGACGCGACGCGTTTGACGCTCGTAAACAGGAGGCCGTGACAAGGACCAAACAAGGACACAGTGCCCGCAAGGCTCACGGTGAATGTTGAACTCCACTACCGCAACGGCGCAACAGACCGCAACCGATCTCACAGACTACTTACATGTTAAGTAGTTGAGGTAGAATGACCTAGGACTCCGAGAAGAGTCTGACGAGGGCGCCAGCGTGTGCGGCCCCGACTCGGAGGGTGAGCACTTTAACTTGATACTCATTTCGGTTGAGATGTACAGTAAGCTATTTCATGAGCAATCAGTAAATAATTTCAAAGCTCAAAGAGTGTCAAGGAAGGCCCTGACGTCCCGCAGAGCGCTGCCGCCCTCCTCCCATTCGTGGGTGACGTCGCGCGTGAGTGCGACGAGCCGCTGGCGCTTCTCCGCGCCGTCGGGTCCGTACGCCTTTGTGAGCACATCGCGGACCTCAGCTTTGATTGCCTCGATGGAGCCTACCGGTGCGCGCCCTTTGCCATAGATGGTGTGGCGTCCAGCGACCCCCGTGCGCACCTCGATGAGTTCGTACCCGACCTTGAGCTGCTCGGAGATGTGGACCGCGTTGAGCGGCTGGTCGCCGCCGAACGGCCAGAGGATGCTGCGGACCTGTCAGTCTGGAACGAGACGAGCGAACAACAATGATGCTGAAACGAAGTACTGACAACGGAACACCGGCGCACACCGCTTCGGTCACACCGTTGTGGCCACCGTGAGTGAGATACCAGCCTGTAACCTGTAGGAGAGTTGTGTTTGAGTAAGCGTTGACGGGAGGCAGCGTACAGCGTGCCATCTTACGGGGTGCTCGAGGATCGTCTGCTGAGGGGACCATGGTGACAAGAGGCCTCTCCCGTAAGCCTTCACCTTCTCTCTAACTTCTTCCGGTATAATGGCCATCGGCGACGCGTGGCTCAGGATCTTCATGCACTCGGTTATCAGCCTTCTGTATAATCAGTGCACGTATGAACAGAAGCACTCACGAAGGGAATGTTACGTTCCATGACGACGTCCAGGATCACCCACATCTGCTCCGGTGTTTTGACTGGCCAGAAAAGAGTGCCCAATGAAATCTAAATGGCCCGAATGTCAGCCTTGTCCGCACCAAGCCAGCGCTGATCAGCACGTACATAGAGCAAAGCCTTCTCGCCCGAGTTCTTCAGCGTGGAATCCAGGAACTCCTGAATCTCAACCGCCACCGTCGACTGCTGCTTTTCGTTCGCCGTCGATGTCGTGGAAGAAGGAGGCAAGAGGGGCCCGCACACATACGCCGGGCGTCCGGTCTTCCCAAACCAACTCTTGACCGCGGCCACTGCTTCGGGCTCGTAGGGCTCGGCGGTAATGAGGAATGCTCCGTCGCAGGATTCCATAGTCCTGAGAAACCAATGTCAGTGTTACCAAAATAGCAGACACGGATCGAGACGAACTCGAAGACGTAAGGGTATATAGCGAGGCCGAGGTCCATGACCCGGGGGATAGGGAACTGTTGCGAGTATTGGCGATGAGACGCTCGGACGTCCAAGAGGACTCACATCCTGAGGGTAGTACTCGTAGTCGAACATAGGCGGCAAAGCGGGGACCTTGACAACTTCGCCCTTGGGTGTGAAGATAAGCTGCGTTCCGGTGCGGCGATATTAGCTCACATTGTGCAGGGCTCCCTCTACGAGATCACCTCTGCAGCGACGTCTTCGAACCGACGGCCCGTCCGTTTAACTTCCGCCTCGACTTTGGCGACAATGTCGCCCCTCCCGCCCAGGTTCTCGGGTCCGAAAAGGTGAAACAATGCGGAGGTCGCGCCAGGAACCCAGGAGTAAATTTTTATTGACTTTCCGCTTAGCTTCTTGATGACACGAACAGGCTCGATCGCGAAGAGCTATCGAATGCATGTCAGAGATATCAGGGATGCCCTTCAACCTGCTCAGAGATACTCACGTCGACGATGCTCGCCTCGGGAACCGGAAGCGCGTCGAACAGAACCCCAGTCTCTGCACATAAAACGGCCTCTCCGGCCGAGATCTTCTTCCAGGCTGGCTTGAATATAGCGCCGATGCCGTCGGGGGAAAAGGCATGCGAGTCGCCGAGGGACACGACTCTAGATTGCATCGCAAATATCAGACCAAACTGAAGATAATTGATGAGAGAGACCACACCTGATTCGGTTCGCGAACTCCTCTTCACCAGGCACAAAACTCCGAGCAATCTCGGAGATGGCGCGACTATAGAGTTGGCTCGTCGTGAGCAGCGTGACGGCGATGTTTCGCAGCTTCACCAAACGCGCTGCGAGGTTGATGAGGGGGCGGGCATGGCCTGTGAGGCGAAAGTCTAGCTCAATCATCGTCACATACCAGAGAGCTAGCGATGAACATACCCCAGGCCTGGTAAGGAACGGCGACGATGTGCTTCGGCGTCACGTCAATGGCCATAGTAGCGAAAAAGGGTGAAGCTGCAGAGCGGGGGGAAGTTCGTATGGTTGCAATATTCCCTAACTTCGCAGGCATTATATATACTGCTATGCTGCGCAATTAGTGCCATTGCCAAACGTCGGCCACGGTTGCCCAAAGCACCAACTAATACGTGCAGTTGAACTTCAGCTGCTCAGTATGCCGCATGTGAAATGTGAAACCACGAGTGCATTCTCACCTAGTCATACAAATTTGTCGCACGGAACCGGATTCTAGTATGTTTTGGCTGCGATTTCACTTGTGAGAGATTGGCAGGCGGCCTCCCTGAGACCGTATGTCAAACGTTGGAGACGTCGGACTCCGATGATCTGGGGACGGTGAAAGTCGGCCGGGATCGTGTGCCGTTGAACGCATATGCCGACGGCGGGCAGATAGTCGATGTCAGATAGCAAAGAAGGGAAGGACTGACGCAACATCCGGGCCCGCGATTGTGACTGATTTTCTTCTCCATCTTTACCGCTTACGACGGACAGACGAAGTGCGCAGCCACAGTATAGTGACGAAACTGAGTAGCACCGAGTGAAGCACGGGCGGAATTCTTCGTTCAGGTGTAGTTTGGCGAGTGAGAGACACGTTCAAGTTGCTGCATCATTACTGGCGCTCGCTGACGGTGGTGACCCCCCGGTCCCAACAAGGACAAATTGATGCTTCTTTTCCAGTGCGAGTATAACGGAGACCAGTATTCTCCAGTTTGTTGATGGCGCAGCATTTGTAGGTGCAGGATGTCGTTGCCTGGGAGCGAAGTCAAGCGTATTGCGCGACAACTTTTGTCTGCAACGGGTTGGGTTGCCTGAACGGAGTGCGCGAGTTTTGCCGCAGGAGGCGAAGCCGCTATTGAAAGCACTGCGATCCGACCTTCATGACTCGAAACTGCCGGTGTCCGACACGCCGAGGAGGGTCAACATCAGACCGGTAATGGTTGCAGGCGTGTCGTACGCACGTCGGGTTGCTACGCCGTGTGGTCGAGCTGCTGCCGGTGATTCATGCCAAAAGCCACGCACTGTCACATTGCGGCCCTCCGCAAATTTAGCCTATCCAAGTCAATGACAAACTTTTCCTATGAGTCACCGAGTAACCGAAGAGCACATAGAGACTGCGTACGTACCAATCTCTCCTTTTGAAACGCGCAATGCGGCCCCTTTGTGACACTTTGGAGATAGGCACGCGTGTTCTGGGTGGATTATAGAGCAGGTCAGCTCGGATGATCTATTGTGATGTACTGTACGATCATTAGCCAAATTCCGCTGGGCCAGGTAAAGTGCATCCTTTTAGGCTTGATGTCCCAGAACGCCACCTGGATTGTATCCGGCAAGCAGACGGTGCCACATGTGCAAGCATGCAAATGCTGAGCAAGCTGGGCGTTGATCGTCCACTCCGCCACGCCCTCAGCCAACGCCCCATCCTGCCTAGCACTGTTGGTGTTTCATAGGAGCCACCCACAGCGCGTGTTGCGATGAACAAGCTGTGGGTCGGAGAAGTACACATGGGCCCGTTCCCCACTGCGGGCTGCAGTCCGATTCAGACAGCTCCCGGTCCTCCCCGGACACCTCAAAGTCCGCTCGCTCAATCCGGTAGAAGCTAACGACAGTGGTCAAACTCACAAACTTCACGGGAAATATCCAGGATGATATTGAGTTGCGAACATTCGTACAGCGCTAGAATACAACAAGTTAGAAAGCAAATAGTGCACGCTGCTCAGGTCAAGAAAGTGACGTACCTGAATCTCCTACACCACACAGTACATGCAAATAGCTGCACCAACATATCCCGTCACCCGCCTCACACCTCAGCATCGCGGACTGCCAACGTCTTCTGCAACAACTCCTCAAGCCCGTCGAAACGCCCGTTGAGAGCGTCAAGACCCTTGACCACGGCAGCGAGCTTTTCCTCAACGGCTTCCAGACGTCTGTCAATGACCGCCTGCTCGTCCTGGAATCTAACTACGCCATGCTTCCGGGTATGGTTTTCATCTTGGAGAAGTTTGTACTTGTCGCATAGGAAAACGTCTAGAATGATACAAAGTAAGGACACCATTCTCGCTGCAGCGTAGCATGGTATGAAACAAGCCTTACCAGGACAACTGATGCACGCCCAGCAGGGCAGCAGCGCGGGGGAGCCACAGCCACAGCACGACATCTACCACGAAATCGAAAGATTTAGTAATCTTCCTGAAAGAGCATGACTCGTCGCGTACCTGTGCGCCGATGCGCAGCGAATTCCTTGCCGCTCGCAGCGTGTCCCGTGCTTGGACGTCCACCTTCGCGAAGTCGCGCAGGTGCAAAACAGGCCTCACTTTGAACATAGCATGTGTCGCCAGATGCGGACTTGCAAGGTCCGGACGGAGGTCCAATCCGATCTTCGCATCCCTGCAGCGCACACTCTGGCAGAAGTTGACGGTCTTGGTGACATCCATGCCGCAGTCCATGCAGACAGTGCGTGCACCCACGACGTCTCGGAAGCAGTTGGCGCACCTGATGTCGCTGTTACCATCCGCGAAGAACCAGCTGGTGAGGTATATCAAATGAAATCAGATTGAACCCACTTACAAATGAATGGCGATTCGCTTGTTTTCCGATGTAGAGCGAGGCAGCTGCTCCCCATACGTATAGTAGAGGACGTCTTCCGGATCGAGGTCCTCCTTGTTCTCGGGTCCATAGAACTGTGCATATGTCACTCTCTGAAGATTGCGACGAGACCAGACGGTCGAAGGATCATGCCAGTAGTCGAACTGATCCGAAATGGACACGTTGAGAAAGATACGACAACCGCGCGGGAGAACGTAGGCTTACCAGCCCGCATGCGTACTCCTTTAGCTCCTTGGCAGAGTCGCAGGAACGTTTCTGGAATAACCCTGGAGTGGTTTCCGTGAATTTCTAACATCCCCTCTAACGTTGAACGTGCAAGCGGTCCTCACCGTCCAGATAGTCATGACGAAGGCCTGTATAGCGTGGAAGAGAGACTCTAGGCTGGTTATGGCGCTCTCGAGTTCATTAGGATGCAGCGGGACGGTGAGGGACTGTCTGAGTATGGAGCGGTGATGTTCGAGATGCACCGCAATCAACGGGAAAAGACACTGGTTTCCGGACGTCAGCAGTCACACTGTATGAGATACGATAGGACCTTGCCTGCTCGATGCACTCGGTTCCGAGAAGTTCATAAAGGCTGCTGCAGTCCGCGACACGATACCGGATAACGAGAAGCTTGTCACGAAGAAGCTGCACTTCGGCCTCCGTCCGCGCCTTGAGTTCGGCAGGGAGTACACCCACATCCACAGTGCGTTCTTGATAGAAGGAACGAGTGAGAACGTGAATCCTTGGCCACGCCTTGTGCAAGTAGCGATCCACGTGTTCGAGGTTCTCTGGAAGCGTCTTGTCCTTCAACCAAAAGAATTCCGCGAGCATGGTATCGATCTTGTCCTTGAATACCTTCGCTAACCACTGCCAGGCTAGTAAACAGACAACCTCGTCAGCGAGCGCGCGTGCAGTTTACATAAGTCCTTCCTACCTAATGTCTTAAATGCGAGCCACCGTATAGGACTGTACTGCGGTGTAAGCGGCCATCAATATCGACAACAGGAGACTGTGGCAACCCACCTCCAAGTGCCCGGCCTTTTCTCACAGAATCTGTTCACTTCCTCGAGCGAGACAAGTCCGGATAAATCTTCATCGATCGCTTCAACTATGAGTTGCGTGGGGGCATCGATGATCCATTACACCGCCCAGCGATCTTCTGCGGAGCTGTAACCCGTCAATAACACTCCCCGGATGAATAGATGAAATGAAGAAGCGCTTACATCTCGCAACGCTTGTCTTTCTCCCGGTAGTGCTCCCTCAATGCTCGGGAAAAGTATTGTGAGTCCTCGCTGCGGCCCCAATGCTGTTTCGTAGCACGTCAATCGGTGTTAGAGTGTATAAGTAGTTGAGCGTGCTGAACACACTTGCCATTTGTTCCCATAGTAGTTTCATGTCCTACGGAGATGCATGTTCAGTGTTGCTCAAGATAGCGATAATCACCTACTCACGTCGTCTACAAGCTCGTCGTGCGGACCCGCGCGGAGGCTCGAGATAACGCGGTCGGCTTGGGCGGTGACTACATGCGTGAGATATTCTAAGCACCGCTGCTGTTCCCGCCCGAAGCGGATTTCGAACTCGTTGAAACTTCGGGCGATGGCCGCGGCAGGATCTTCGTAAAGCTCCTTTGTGTAGGTTTTTAAGTCGGGGAAAGCTACAGGTGCATCTGCAACGGGCCCCTCGCTGACTCCCACGCGGGAGCGTTCACGGCGCTCAATCTCGTAGATCTCGAGAGGCGCTGTTTTGTTGCTCATCAACTCCTTCACGCTTCCTTTCTCGAGTACGCGCTGCCGAAAGGCTTGTTCTGCCGCCGAGGCCGTATTCTGAAAGTACATCCGCACGTTCTTCGTGCTGATTTATCAACGACAGAAGTCAGATCGTGCTCTCAACTATCGGCTAGTGACGCAAAGGAGAGCGATCCAACGCGCACGCACCTGACGCACTGCTGTTTCTTGAACACCGGCTGTGGCGGAGACCCGAGGTTGGCCTTGATGTCGTTGACGCCGGACATGATGTGATTCAAAATCTCGTCGCGAAACTCCGTCTTACGAGTGCGGAAGACTTCGACGTGTTGAGAGAGTCTCATCGCCCATATGGGACTGAGGAAGAGCTTCGATGCCCATGTCTTTTTGGTGTAGGTTGTGCACTCGTGCGAGCAGTGCTTGATGTCGCTCTCGGTCTTCTTGAAGAGACGTTGAAATCGTTTCGTGATAAGGTTATCAGTTTCCTGTCGGGGCACACGTTGAAGACTGAAGCACTTTGTTAGTGTTGTACACTGGGAGATAGTACTGCGACCACAAACATGATAAGTTCTTCCATCATATAGCTCATCTCTACATGGAGGAAGGTGACCTGCTTGTCATTCTCCTTCCGTCCGACGTAAAGTTTGTATGCGGCGTGGAATGCGGCAAACGTAACTGACAAAAAACGGATAATCAAGTCGCAGAGACTATGAACGACAAATTTTCTCACTCTTCGCGAATGGATGAATATCTGCCACCACTTGCAGTGCATCTAAGAGAGCAGGCGCGAGCTGCGCGAACTGGGATGCAGCGTCTTCGATGTCATTGAAGTCGTCGCCAAGGGCATCGGTGTACGCCTCTGCAGTATCGACCGTTGCTTCAATGATAGCACCGACGGTAACTCCTTCTAACGAGCAGCTCAGTGGACGCGAATTCTGTAGTGAATGATTGCCGTACCGTTGTCACTGTGATCGGGCGGTTCCGAATCATGCCTCTCTGGGGTTGCAAACAGGCTCGGAGAATGCCGCTACACATACCTAAGTCTCCGGTTTTTCCTACAAGATTGTGGATTCTTACCGTCCCGGTCCACGGCCCGTGCAGTGGATGCACGGGCTTGTCGGCGGAGTGATCCAGTGCAGCTGAAAGGACATCTCGCAATATTGCATCGTCTTGAAGAACTGCCTTGGATCCCCCTGCACGCGCGATGATCTTTTCAAGGTGGCGTTCCTCTAGCGACGAGACACTCTCAAAACGCGACGTTATCTCAAAGATCCTGCGATATGTCAGCGATATACGAACCCGCCATTGAGGCATCGGTGCATTCACCGGTTACTGATAGACGCAATCCTCTCAGCAGTCTGCAGCCCAAGAAGCTGCTGAGCCTCCGCTTTGCGCACTGCGAAACGCGTGAGGAAGTTTTTGAACGTCTCCTCCCACATTCCATTCTTTAGGACCCTCGAGATGGTCGGTTGCTTGACGTATACGTCGCATGCATTCGCACATTCCTTGATGTCTGTGACAGCCTCCGTCATCACGCGGCGAATGTTGGTCGCGGTCACGGTGTCGAGGCTATTCGGCGAAAGTGTGTCGTCAAGGCTGCTATGCATCAGCATAAATCCTTCCGAATGCACTTGGGACATATACTCACAGCCTGAGGGTGTTAAGAAGATCGTTCATGGCCGCCGTCATAGGGAGCAGCCTCTCCCTCCCAGGGTGCGCATTTGCCAAACGGCTCGCGACTGCAATCGCACTTCGTAACATATCGCGCTCCCATAATGGCTCTGTCAAATCGTAGACCGCTATAGATATACGTGTCATCTCTCACAGCCGATCGTGCTTACTGGCATCAAGGATGGCATCTTGCAGAAAGGTGAATATTAGCACTCTGCTATGACGTGACACTGCGGCACTTACCTAACACAGCAAACTGTGGTTCAAGTTTAATGGCTGATGATCCGGCGAGATTCAGTGACTCAGAAGCCAGGCGCAGAGACTCCTTGAGCTCAGAGGCAGCGGTAGACATCCCAGAAGTGGTGGATCGATGGGATGATGCGCAGAATATCACTGAGCTCGTACGGCACCCGTGGTACCAATTTGGCGTGGGAGGCTAGTGTGCTACCTGACCTGCTTCACGTCATTCTGTCCGGTGTGGGCCCGGGGAGTTATGCGGCTGTAACTAGTGTCATATTGATGCTTTGAAGAGATAAAATGGTGGGAGCGTGCTTGGATCCGTTCGGTATGCTGCGCAGGGAGTATTCCTGTAGTGTCATGGATCTTCAGACATAGTGTGAGGCTCAGCATATCCTGCCATCATGCGAAAGCTGCAGTCGAAGATGATCGTGGGTCAGAACAGTTTCACGAATCTCAGAGCTGACTCGCGACCGGAGGGGATCACTGAGCGCGGTCTGGCCAGCCAGATAAGATAAGATCAAACTTCAAGCCGTCTCTCCAGCCGCGCTGAATATTGAATCCTCAGCTTGGCTTCAACGCCGACCACTTCGTGCACCCCTCAAACGTCTGCAACCTGGTGACGACATGTCTGCGTTCGTGAAGAGCAAGTTGAAAGCTGCCAAGGATGCTATAGGCAAGCAAAATTACGAGAAAGCGCAGGAAGCGGCGTTAGGTGTGTTAGAGTATGAACCAGACAACTATCACGCGTAAGTGGACCTTTGCATTTATATATGTGGTTATTGACCATGTTTATGTGTAGAAATGTGTTCCTTGGTCTTGCATACATGAAGTTAGGCGATCTCGAGAAGAGCGAGCAAGTAACTGCCACTTCGGACTGTGATGCCATAGCATTGAGTGACCTCCCGCGGCTTTGTAGGCATATCGCAAAGCGATTGATTCCAACGCCGTCCAAATTCTCGCATGGCAGGTGACGAAAGCGAGTCCGTATTTAAAGCTATGAGAGGTGCTGACGCTCATGCAGGGGGTTTCCCAACTCTACGAGGTCTCCCGAAAATGGGGCGAGTATGCGCGAACTTTGGAGAAATTGGCCCATCTTTATGCAACTGCGTACATCGCTTTCTCCGCATAATTTGTTGCTCGTGATGCTCACTTGGATCCAGGAATGATGCCACTAAGTGCGCGGAAGCCGTTCAGAAGCTCCTCGAGCTCCGGCGCGATGAAAGCAAGAGCAACCGCATACAGCTAGCGGAGGCCTTATCCCTTCTACTGCCTGAATCGCCTCTATATTCCGCCCTTTCGTCCCTTCCTCCGCCAGACCCAACGAATCCTATCTCTACGAACATCGGAGAAACGCAGGCCGCGATCCACAACTCGTTACCCGTATTAGAGGAGCTCATCTCTATCTACGAGCAAGAAGAGAACAACACGGCGCAGAACGAGATCTCCAAACGCAGAACACGTTTGGGTGCTCCGCCACTGGATCAGATTCACCGCGATGTCACTTTGGAGGTCCTGGGCTCCTCTCAGGTAACTTTAGTGCACGCTGCACGGTCTGGATCATGCTCATGATATCACGAAGCTCCCGCGCCTCTACGACGAGATCCTCAACCATCCGAACACCTCGGACGACCTACGGCGTATCACCGAAGCGAAACTGCTCCGAACGAAGCAACGCCACCTTTATGCCCTTCCTGTTACAGGAAAGCAGCAGGATCCCAAAGCGCGACTCGCTGCTGAAGTAGAGAAGCTGATCAGCGGAATGGTTCTGCTCAAGATTCCAGATGACTTGGCGTGGTCGTTGTTCATCGAGGGCAAAGACGTTGATAGCATAGGTAAGTGTCTATCGCGCTCTGATATTTTCACTGCCTGACTATGCAACAGAGGGTTACGATTTCGGGACTTTAAGACAGTACATCGAGCTGTTTCCGGCATCGCCTTTGGAAAAGCTACTTCGAGCATACTTCGAGTACATGACCATCCCCCTAGATGACGACGATGAAGACGAAAGAGGAGCTGCTCCGGAACCTGACACGGAGGTAGACCATGTCGAAATTATCATTGTACGTTCATTTTCTCTGCATGAGACCCATCTTTATAACGTTCCGTTGCAGGAAGCCTTCGCCGAGCTTGGCGAATCGTTGCTCGCTCATCGTATTGTCGCCGAGCTCTACGAGCAGGACTCAGACTACGAAAACGCGATCAAGGTATCCGAGAGCGGGCTGGAGCTCGTCCGCCGCGCCGAGTTGAACTGGGGCAGACCGTTCAAACAGTACGTTGCAATCAACAAATGTGGCCCACTCATCCTCATTTGTATAATAGAGTCACGAAGGCCTTCAACATCGTATTGGCGACGTCGCTGGTGCATTGGTTCCCGCCAAAGAACCACATTCGCGCTCTGAGAATCATCGACGACATCCTCTTGGAGGATCCCGACTGTGTTCCCGCGCTCATGGGCAGGGGCTTCATCCTTCAGTATGCAAAGAGGTGGGAGGAGGCAGCAGAGTTTTTCAGCAAGGTGGTCAAGCTGCAACCTGAGGACTTCGACCAGGCGAGCCGTTCCAGGGAGGAGCGGGCGTGGTGTCTCGCTATGTGTGGTCGACTACAAGAATCTGCCGATGGGCTGAGAGAAGTCATCGACGCTCTTGAGAACATCGAAGGCCATGAAGAAGATAAGGCTCGATGTTGGTGGAAGCTCGGGCGATGCTGCTGGCAGATGGGTGGTAAGTGTTTCCTGCGCCTACGGGACTTGAGTACGTCTAATAGTCTATCTAGACAAGAACCGAGAAGAGGCATACAAACACTTCGTCACATCGCTCAAGCGGTCTCCGACGTTCGCGCCTGCCTTCACATCGCTGGGTATCTACTATTCGGAATACGTCTCGCCGCCGGATCCCAACAGAGCCTCGAAGTGCTTCCAGAAAGCGTTCGAACTTGACCCACGTGAGGCGGATGCTGCGCGCAGACTAGCGGAGGGCTTCGCGGAAGAAGGGGAATGGGACCTTGTGGAGGTGGTGGCGCGCCGCACCATCCTGGGTGAAGGAGGCCTGGAGGACGGCCCAGAGGCGAGAGCTTCCCGTCGATACCTCCCGATCAATGCCTGGGCATGGAAGGCTGTTGGTGCAGTGGAGCTGGTACGCTTTCAGATACCTCGGGCATCTGTCGACGAGAAGATCCCACACTGATGTCCATGCATAGACGCGACGGAACTACGTTGCTGCGATCGAAGTATTCCAAATCGCACTTCGGGCGGATGTCGACGACCACATGTCTTGGCTACGGTTGGGCGAAGCCTACAGCAAGGCCGGGCGGTTCGCGGCAGCATTCAAGGCACTCGAACACGCACGCGAGCTGGACCCTGAAGACTGGATTGCATCATACTTCATTGGCGAGGTGCAGCGGCAAATGGGGCAGTACGAAGAAGCTATCGAAGCTTTCCAGTCGATCCGCGCTAGCCGTCCACAAGAACTGGGAGTGCTTCATTCTCTCGGGCAGAGCTACCTTGACCTAGGCCGCTTCGAGCTCGCAACGGGCTTCTCAGCGAGAGCGGAGACGTCCTTCCTCTGCGCAGTCGACGTCAGCCTTGATCTCTTGGACGCAAGCTCGGGCTTCCGGCGCGTGGCATGGAAGACGATCGCCGACGCGCTGTTCCATCTGTCTGGCTTCGCAAACATCTCCGACGACGATCTCGCACGAGAGGTGCTCTCGCGGGTTATCCCGCTAGTGACGGATCATCCTGGAAAGGGCCTCACTGACATCGTTTCCTACCCTTTGTCCGTGGTGGACTCGAGTGACCTCCCGCTTCTTGCGCTCGACACAGCTCTGACAGCATACGATTATCGCTTGACCCTCGGCGCCGTGGATGACGCGGCCAAAGCAACTGTGTACTACGACCTCGGCTCCGCACTGTCGACGTTTGCTAGGCGGGCTACCGATAGCGCGAAACGTGAGCACGCCCAGCAACACGCCATCGCACAGTTCAAGGAGGCGCTGCGACACGAGCTTAGTAATGATGCATTCTGGGTGGCACTCGGGAACGCAACCTTCCTGTCTCAGCCTGGTGTATGCCAGCATTCTTACATCCGCGCCCTGGAGGTCGACTCTAAGGTGCGTGCCCGCTTCGTATATCCTTTGAGAACCTTCTCACCGAATATACAGAACGCCGCGACGTGGTCAAATCTGGGACTGTTCTATCTCCACCACGAGGACGCGGAGCTTGCCAACGAGGCATTCTACAAGGCGCAGACTCTAGATCCGGACTACGCGCTGGCGTGGATCGGACAGGGCCTCGTCGCGTCAGTGAACGGACACGATAGAGAGGCGCGCGCACTGTTCGAGCATGCCACTACGCTGACCGCAACAGTGGTAAGTTTCCGTGACCCGCTTTTGTTCGCCTCTCTGACATGAAGTGTGCAGCCCGAGGCGGATCTGGAGTTCGCAACGCGTCTCTTCGCAAAAATCAACCAGTCGACAACGTCGCGCTCCGGGACCCAGGAGGCTTTCCTACCCGCCTTCTTCGTGCTCGACCGCTTCTGCAAGCAGCGCCCGCACGACGCCTCCGCGCTGCACCTCTTCGGCCTCGTCTGCGAGCGCGTCGGGCACATTGACCTCGGCATTGAGCTCATTGGCCGCGCCATCACCGTGCTCGAGGCCGCGTACGAGGAGTCGGAGGACGCAGCGATCGAACGCCAGTTCACCGTCGCGCACACGAACGTTGCGCGCCTGCGGCTGTCTGCGGGCGACTTCGCCGGCGCGCTCGAGTCGTACCAGGTCGCGACGGGGTTGTTGCCCGACGAGCCTAGCGAATACGAGGCGGACACGACGGTGCTGCTGGCTCAGTGCCAGTTTGGCGCAGGGCTCGCGCACTTCAAGCTTGGGGAACTGCCGGAGGCGCTCGCGCTCTTCGAGGCGGCTATGGCGACGGCTGCGGACCAGCCCGTCGTGCGCGGTCACGTTGTGGTGCTGCTCGCTCAGACGCTATGGGCAATCGGGACAGACGAGGCGAAGGAGACTGCTAAAACGCAGCTCCTGCAGAGGTACGATCGATTCCGGGTTCTCGCCCTTGTGCATGTGGCCCGCTGACATGTCCTCTCTGCGGCGGACAGCATCGAGTACGACCCCGAGAACCTCATGGCGATCAACACGCTCGCCGGGATGGGCATCCTCACGGACGACGACGGTCTCGTCGACGCCGCGCTCTCTGAAGTCCTCTCGCTGCCGCTCAACCAGCGGCATGAGCGCGACCCCGAGCGCGACGTCACGTACCTCCTCGTGCAGCACCACCTTGGCCAGGTACTTTCTCCCCTCTTGGTACGCTGCGCACGGCTTGACTATACATTTTACACAGGGAGACCCCAAGCAAGCACTGTCCGTCGCCCAGAAGGCCGTGTTCGCAGAGCCCGAGCGCACCGACGTCCGCCGCTCGCTCGCCGCGCTCACGCTCCGGAGCGGCGCACACGGGGCGGCGCTCGCGGTCCTCGGGTCGCACCCCGAGGGCGACTTCGCGGAGCTGCGCGCGTCACTTGCACTGCATGCGGTCGCGCTGTGCGTCGAGAGCTGGGAGGACGCCCCGGGCGCGCTCAGGCTCGCGCAGAAGGGCGTCATGCTCTCGCCGTGGGATCGGCGTGGGTGGGAGACACTCGCGTACGTCCGGAGTCGTGCCACGCCGTGAGCCCTGCGGAGACTGTCAGATGAACGAGACAAGAACCTGTATCGATTAGCAGCATGGAGTAGTCAAGATAGTTGTTGTAAGCGCCAGTCGCGACCACGGAGGATGAAAGGAATGTAGTCGTAAATTGAGCTGTGAAATACACCGCGATTAACCCGCCGTCTATGGTACGTGCCAGAGTATGCTAAATAGTGCGCAGATGCGCTGCGGCCGCTGGTCCAGCCGTGTCCGTCTATGATGACGTGTTATAGCGTGCTGCTGCGTGGGACCCTACGCCTGCGCGGCGTCGTGCTGCCCGATTGCATTGCGCGCGATAGCCAGTACACGCGTGCGGACCAGGTCGCTGTCGGTGCCGGTCTGCGCGAGCCACCATCGGAGGCGCGCGCGTTGGGCTTCCGTCGAGAGACCCTCCGTGACACTATGGGCACGGGAAGAAGGCACGAGTAAGACCGAGTGCCAACGATAGAGAGGGTAAAAGATGTACGTACATTCCGCGCTCCTCCAGCGCATCACGGAGCTCGTTCACGGAGAGCCGCTCACCCGCGTTCTCGCGAGCCAGCAGCGCGTCGTCCGCCGCGAGTGCCTGCAGATGGTTCTTTATCCTGCGCAGGCGCATAGGGGGGATGCCGAAGGTGGAGAGCGACAGCACACTGCATGTCCATGTTAGTCCAATTGCATCCTGCGGCAGTAGTAGTTATGACACAAGACATACCCGCTGAGTGAAATGAGCGCAAGGCGGTCGAGCAACGCGTCAACAGATGCCGCGGGCTCAGCGAGCGCGCGTGCGTGGACCTGCTCGAAGGTGGGTCGCATAGCAAGCGCGAACTCACGCTGCTTTTCGCGGCGCTTGTTGTCGATGCGCTCCTTCTGCGAGGGGAGGAGGCACGTCGAGGGCAGCAGGAAGGGCGTGTAGATCACGACGAGAGGGATTGCCTCCTCCGCGATGATTATGATGAGTGCGAACGGGATGAGCCTATTCAGCGGTCAGCGCAGCTCACATGTCTTCACAGGGGATGGAGGGAGGGTGGAAGAAGCTCACTTGAGGGCGTCCCGCTTGTAGTTCGCGATGAAGCGCGTCTCCCAACGGGACAGAGGCGCCCCGCCGGCTGCGACGCGCGCATGCATAGCGCGGACGCGCAGGCGGTTAGTGTTAATCAGCTTCACGCCGTTCCAGTAGAATTTCTAGGTACCGGCAGGGTGAGTGAGTGAACGGCATGCGCAGTGGCTGAGAGCGTACGAAGAGCTCCTTGGCCTGGTGGAAGAGCTTGCCGGCCCAGGACGCGTCGGCTGGTGGGGGCGTGAGGATGCCGTGCTTCGACGCCTCCTCGTAGTCCTCCTTTGCGACTTCGATCACCCCATGCGCATGGGTTGACGATGTTGTACTAGCGGAGCCTTCTGAGGTGGATTGGGAAGTGGATGGTGTGTGTTCCGACACGGCAGAGGCTGCGCTGGAGGCAGAGGGAGAGGTGGAAGCAGGAGCAGAATCCGAGGATTTCGTCGGCTTGACGGGACCTGGACGGAGCTCGACCTTGTGCTTGCGAGGTGCGGATCCCGGAACAGTCGGAGGGATCTCCTTAGAGGTCGACACCGTGGTGGGAGGAGGCGTAGTGGATACAAAGCGCGAGGCGAAGGGGTAGATCGCCACTGGCCCGGATGACCTCCATGACGAACCGTCGAGCGTACGCACTGACAGAGTGATATTCCGAGAGCTATATCTCCTTGCGGTAGTTGCCCGATGGTGTTTGGCTACCGCACGGCTGAGCGAAACGAGTTGCGTTTGTGAGAGGTGTGCGCGGCCGCGGAAAGACGGAGAACACACACCTATCCACCAGGCCATTCCGCCTCAACGAAGCAAGCATTAAAAACGAGTCCTAAGGGTCCTAGCAGGTCCACGTCTCTCTTCCAGTGTCGTCCAGGGTGATCGGAGTGAGAGCAGTCGAGGAAAGATGGTTGGTCGGAGAGGATGAGTGGGAAGAGGACGGAATGGAAATGTTCACGCGCAAGCCTGCGGCCGGCACACAATTAGCGCCCAGTGTACACGCCCCGCGGAGTCTGCCGGCGCGCGCATACCAATCGTTTCCCGGGCGTCTGTCATCGTAACGCTCTTCCTCATGAATATCACCTTCAAACGCTCGCCCTTCGACGTCTTGCTGCGAGGATCCCAGAAGGATGGCGTTGTGGCAGTGAATCGTTCTTGACACAGCATATCAATCAGAGGCGCAAGGCGAAGGCGACCGTCGCATCTGTTGGATTCTGGGCTGCTTCTTGCGGCGCCGGCAATGTCGCTTCAGTGCATTCAGCAGCAGAGATGACCGAAAGATGATCAGCAGGAGGGCATCCCAAGCCGTGTTCTGAAACGACCCTGCGCAACGTATATACCTCCTCACCTCTCTACATTCCTGTACGCCCCTCTTTCATCGACCGCCGTCGTCAACATGCCCGAGTCTCTCCTGGACGACCGTTCCATTCACTCCCAGCAAGAGTCCGACTTTTGTGGCACATGCGTTGCCTTGTGTTGCGGATGCTGTTGCTGTACGTCTACGTTGTCCGTTATCCGTTCCTTATGCTGATTATCCAAAATCAGGTTTCTCTCTCTTTCAGTCTAACATGTGGTGCATTTTTCGTACGTCCCTTGCTGATGGATGCTCGCTTTCTCGTGCCGTGGCGTGTCCTGCTCACTTGCTGGCTCATAATACCCATAGGATCTTGCAGTGGGAGGCGGGTACCTGCCGAGGGCGAACAAGACGACGCCGCCTCTATCACCTACCCTGATGAGCCGGTCAAGAAGAGCGCGAAGCCGGCCGTTGAGCAGCCCGCGCCTCAGCCTTCCATGACTCCCGCATGACCCTTCCTCTCTCGTCGTTCTGGCTGCCGCTCATTTCCGGGGCTTGCATATACCATCCATGTCTGTTAGACTCCGCCATTTCCATTTGGGTTTGTTCATGGATAATACACGGGTTCCGTCTCTGCACGTACGTCTTACGCGCCATTGGAACATATGTGCACCCTGCTCAACATTTGGCTTGGCGTGCATTTGCAGTCTGCCTAGCCAATGTTGACATCTACCAGCAGCAATGTACGTACCCGAAATTTGATCGAGTGGATCTGGTAGGACGGGAAAACCTAGAAAAACCCGCCAACGAGCAGCCCGCGCCGCAACCATCTATGATCTCGGGCCCAGCTTTACATGCTTGAAACATCCTCGCCTGGCCTTTCACTTCCCGTCATTTTATGGGTTTAATGCTCGTCCTTCGTCCTGTTAAATGCACGCGTACGTACGGCTCCGGGGACCGGGACTCAACGTTTGTCCTTGTTAGGACCGGGTGGTCCCGGGGTTGGCAGCTCGCGCCAGTGCGCGGTGTAGTGACTCCGAGTGCTTTGACAACGACGACACTACCTACCAACCAATATGCCGCTACAAAGTTTCTTCGCTCCGTGCTTTATGTTGCGTACCCCGGGTTCGGTTCGTCCGTGGCAGCGGAAAAGATGAGGAAGAAACGCAAGCGCGGCGGGTCAGATTACATCCATCAGGTTGCGGTGACTGATGACTACGAGCGTCGTTATTGCGGCAGTGCCCAGCTAACAGCATGGCAGCTCACAGCTCTTCGCAGCCCTCGTTCTCTGCCATCGATAATCTCCGCGCCACCGGCGTATGTGTACAACGGCAGGCGACCCACACGACTTCCATCACACCACATCATGGTGGGACCGACCCTTTCGGCGCGCTCTTTGGAAATTGAAGACCATGCCAAGTTCTCACAACTGAGATCGCAGCCAATGCCTGCCAACGTCCGGTACCGGGCGGAGGGACCACGACAAATATGCATGACCGGGTGTGAATAGGTGCGTGGTCTTGCCTATACTAGGCGTAGAAAACGTGCCATGCTGAATAGTTGAAGCTTCTACGACACATGCCGGAGTTGACGTGTCTGGCGACACAGCAGTCGACGTTTGGTAGCGCGGTAAACAGGTATATATACCCCCTCCGCCACCGGGGATCGTCGCGCTCATACTACAGCTCCGCAACTCGACCACGCCGCCTATCCTAATCATGTCCGCGGCACCGAAACATATCGTCGCCTTCCCATACCAGGCCTGGGGTATGTTTGCCTTAGTGTCACTCTGACCCACTATCTCTGTAGCAGTGATCTGAGATCATATCTCTATGTTCCAGGTCATGCGCGTCCTCTCATCAACCTCACGGCGAAGTTGGTCAAGCTGCGCAACATCAACGTGACCCTCCTCTCGACAAACGAGTTCTACGATCGCGCGGTATCCGAACTTGCGCGGAGCTTCGTGCCAGGCGAGGAAGAGTTCGCAAAAAGAATCAGGTATGTATTGCCATGTACGGACGTTTCGTTCTGATTTGACTCTGCGGTGCAATACAGGATCGTGTCGCTCGGCCATTCGCAGACTTTCGCTTTCAACGGTATCGATGACAGTTTCGAGGCGGCGTGGGAGAAGATCGCCGCCGGGGAGGCACTTGTTTGTGTAAAGAGCGCGGCGCGGTTCGAGCCCCTCCCGCTTCCCGACGCGGTCGTTATCGATGTCGGTATCTTCGGGCTGTTCTGTTAGCGAGTATCTCTGACATTGGGGCATGCTCCGAACAGTTCTTCGCCGTCCAGCCCATCCGTGCTATCAAGAAGATCAGCGGGAAGTCCGTGAAGATCTACTCTTGGATCCCCGGCTCGACCTACGCGGTCTTCTACCTCTTCGGCCCCGACAAGCTCGGTGGAAGGGGCGACATCATCACCAAAGTGGAGGCGGAAGTCAAGCGGTCGGGCCGCCCATTCGAAGAAGTAGCTGGGGAGGTGCGATATCAGTCTGGAGGCTCAGTTACGCCTCATGATCTGACGCACTCATTCTGGCAGCTTGCCTTCATACCCAAGGGCGAGGTCGTCAAGGTTCCTGCGCTGCCGCCCATGTACGATTACGAGTACTACCCACAAGACGTGAGTCCCCGCTCTGGCTGCCCGAACTGCTTATCACTGATACTCGAAACAGTTCCCTATCCCGATGGAACTAGCCATCGCTATCTTCCCTTACGTCTTCCAGTCCGTGGTTCTTTCCTAATCTGGTATTTTGACATACCTCATGCTGTGTTTTCAGAACGATGGAGTCCTGCGATGGGGCACTCCTCATCACTGCGGAGCCGTACGAGGCAGAGGCCGTCGCTGCAGTGAAGAACTGGTACGCGGAGACCGGGCGCCCGGCCTACGTGTGTGGACCCCTCTTGCCCCCGACCTCGGCCACGGCGACAGCCAAGGAGAAACAGCAGTCGACGGAGGCGGTTCAGATTCAGGAGTTCTTGGATACCACACTAAAGACCTCGGGCGAGAAGTCTCTGCTATACGTACGTCTCGGTCTGCATACGTCCGGTGTGCGCAAGAGACTGATGGCGAGGTCATGCAGATCTCTTTCGGCTCCCTTTTCTGGCCGGTGAAGACGCCAGAGCAGATCTGGGCGTTCCTGGACGTCGTAATGGAGCGTGGCATTCCCTTTGTAAATGCTCCCGATGGTTCACGCACACAGTATACCGACACTGACACCGGTCATGTAGATCCTCAGTCATGCGTCACCGACGGCAGTTGTGCCAGACGAGATTAAGGAGAAAGTGAAGGCCTACGGAAAGGGCCTGTTGTCTCCGTGGTCCCCTCAACAGACCATTCTCGAGCACCCCGTAAGACGACACTCCACCTTTCTTCTACTGCTACTGAAACATCGCGCTTTCGCAGGCCACGGGCTGGTTCCTTGCTCACGGTGGTCACAATGGCGTAACGGAGGCAGTGTGCGCAGGAGTGCCCTTGTGAGTCCCCCCTTCGTGCCGCGTCCCAGATCTAGCTCCTGAACACTCCGCGCGTCCTCAGCATCCTCTGGCCGTTCGGTGGCGACCAGCCGATGAACGCCGTCCACATCTCCGAGCAGCTCAAGGTCGGATACGAGCTTATCGAGGTGCGCACGGGGCCTGCGGGTCTTCACCAGATCTACCGCAACGGCCGCACCCCGAAGGGAACCATCGAGGCGCTCAAGGAGGAGGCGCGCGATGTGCTCACCAAGGCGTATGGTCCGGACGGCGCGGAGAAGCGCGAACGCCTCGTCGCGCTCACGCGCGCTGTCAATCATGAGTGGGAGGAGGGCGGATCTGCGCTGCGGGACGTGAAGGCGTTCCTTGAGAATCTCTAAGGCCGCTTACTGCACATTGCTTTAGACTGGTAGAGAAGTTTGTTTGTGATTTGTATACCTAGATTGGAGTAGACTTGTGCAATAATATCGGTTAGACCGGAATGTTCGATTCCAGCCCTGTTCGCACCCGCAACATCCTTCAGCCGCTTCGATAAGAAATCTACTACTGGGAACAACAGATGAAAATACCTGGTATTAGGGCCCGCTCTGGGTACTTGTCACTTGACCGCGCTTTTATCAAACGGCCACAGATCCAGGACGTCACCTGCTAGAAGCTACGCCCACCATAGCCTGGCACGCCGACATGTAAGTTTGTAGGTGTTGGAGTTTCGCCGATGTGGGCGGTCATCCGCAACGGTCGACAAGACGAGACGAGACGAGACGAGACGACTCGGAGACTAGGCGCAGATGATGCTCATTAGGAGGCGGTGCTTGTAATTCGACTCTAGCAGTGAGAGCTAAACGTACTGGTACACGTATGGAGCAGGGAGCATGAGCGCTGCAAGAAGAGTGAATCGAGTACTGCAGAGGACTAGATCCAGATGTACTTAGGTGGTGCGGCCCGCGAAGCTGGAAACATAGCAAACTCTAAAGCGGCAAATTCGTCTCTGCGATGTCCTACTGGCATCGACTCTATTTGAACGAGAAATTCTCGGCCACATCCTCCACACCGGTCAGGTCCGTGTCCCAGTGTACCTTCAGCGCGAGATGTCTCAAGCGCGGCATCCCGCGCGCGACACGGGCGCGCAGGAGCATCAGCGGTATCTCCATCGGACGCTCTTCAAGCTCGAACGGTACCTTGGTGGCGATCCGGAGGACCTGGAGTAGGGGACACCTCGGAGCGGAGTCCTTGGAGCCTGCGAGAGATTGGAGGATCAGGATGGGGAATTTTGGAGGATTGTCGGCTGGGGAGCTTGTGTGGGTTTGTACGAAGGTGAGCGTCTGCATCGCCGGGAGGGACTCGAAAATGTCATCCCACACGTAGTAAAACAACCCGCCGCTGGAGACGTGCAGCGACGACAGCCTGGTAAGGGCGGTGGTGGTAAGAAAGGACTCGATGATATGTGACAGGCTGACTGTGATAGACATGGGCCCCGTGGCATTTGCGGGGAACGCTAGTCGATACCAGGCGTTGTTGGGAAGGGTGAACTCCGCTGAGCCGCCAGCGAATTCCCGGAGCTCAACGGGTAAAGCCGAGACCCGGCTCAGGGAAGGAAAGCGACTGAGATCGTCGGGGAGTAAGGATGCGTACGTGACGTTCTTACTGTTCGTCGCTTCCAGGGAGATGCAGCAGGAGGTGGAAAGACCGAGATGCGTCATGAGCTGCACAATGTGCGCTGTAGTGTCTTTGATACCGCAGACACTCAAGCGGGGAAGGTTGATGAGGCGCCCCTGGAGCGAAGAGGAACTTTCCCAAACCTTGCAGAGGAAGCGGTCCAGTTCCAGGGACCGGAGTTGTCGGCCTTGCTTGAGGACATCCAGGAAGCTCGTGAGGGAGAGCGTGGCAGCGGAGGGGACAGTTGACATTCTTGCAGGGAAAGAGATTGCATATCAGCTAAGAGCGACTTGCTCCGACTTATTGAGAATTGGCTGAGGTGCAACGATGTAAGGCGAGGATAGCGGTCTTGCACAAAGGTAGGAAGAGGGATGTCGTGTGGTTGCGATACGGGGATGGTGAGCTTCGTGAGAATGGGGAATGTGCATTCCAGCAATGGCTCGATGAAGTGCCCCGGATCCATGAACGCCCCCTGGGTGTCGAGGTGTTCGATGCGATCGGCATGGGGTCTAAGTCGTGGAATGGCTGGAAACGGAGCACCACGGGGATGCAGTGTGATGCGGACTGCAGACTGGCCAAGCCGCTGCAGGGCAAGGCTGAGCCACCGAGTGTCGTCGAAGATGGCAATGTCTCTCCAGAAGGATGTTGTATTTCTGATCAGGGCGCACCAGTGTCGACAAACGCCCATGAGAAGCGTCCAAGGGTGTAAAACAACACTCCGCCGGGACTTGCGTTCAACCTTTGACAGTGGCATCACGAGCGAATACTCGAAGATTTCGAGGAGGATCTCGGCAGAAAGTGTATAGATAGGAACGCTGGCATTCCACATGGCGCTCATGCTTAGTAGATGAAGCTTGAACTTCTGACACAGAGCGTGGATGTTGGCCTTGGCTGGTTGGTAGCAACAGCCTGCTACCAGGGGAACGTGATGGGAATCAAGAGCAGGTAGGCCATATAGCGGGCCTGGAAGTTTTTCGTCCAGGAAGATGAAGGATGAGGGGAACTCGGCGCTGGTCATTCCGATAGCCAATGGTACGGCTAATAGACGGCTTAGTGTTGTCAAGGTTGCTCTTGGATATTGCTTACCGAGTTGATCAGTAGCCGAAGACTACTATGGAGGATATGGGTGCTGGCCTAGGATCCCGATGTACGACGATGATGGCGGTTGAAGACAAGACCATAGCGCTCAAACCAGCACGCTAAATAGGCCATAAACGCTCGTCTCCGAGTAAGTATCCTTCCAATCTTGGTTCACACCATTTCTGAAAGATGCGGGATGGGAAAAGAATTAGAGAGCACACCAGAGCACACGTCGAGAATAAGTGAGAAACGGTACAGTGCGCAAGTCCAGAATCAGCCTCTTCAAAACCCCACTACCACACGCCGCCACCGGGCTGGATTTTCCGCAGTGGGGTTAGGGAGCTGGCAGCTTAAGGTCTGATAATTGACACACGCGCCTGTTCCATATGAACGTCGATGGCGTGGCCGTCTTCCATGCCGTGCTGCGATTTGTGTACCCGGTAAGCAAGAAACTGAGGATGACTACGTGAAGGAGACGCACCTCTGCGGTGTAAATGTCTACCTCATGAGGATTGGGGTGTCCATCCAGCCGGCCGACAAGACGCGTCCGACAGTGCCCTCTCATGTAGACTAAGTACGTAGCATGGTCCGGACCGCATGCAATCGAGTCGGAGCGCGTTATGACATTCCGCGCAGTGTGCTAGTCCTGGAAGAGGCCGTCTACGAGCAAAACGATCCGCGAGAAACGGCCCCAGTGCGAATCCGTAGTAGCGACAATCTCCACGTCACCATCGGGCGCGACACGGCGGCTGCAAAGCGGTGGTAACGGACAGTACTAAGGCCCGAAGCGCATACGAGGCGCTGCTCGACACAGAAAGAGGGGGCTTTGATGCAGCGCCTTCTTGTAACTCGTTTGTAGAGGAGCACGATAATCTAGTAGGGCAGATTGGTGAGTTCAAGTTGGGGCCCGTTCAGTCTGTGCAAGACGTTCCACGGACACCGTCCCCTTGCCACCGTCCACTCGCCACCTTCACATCATCCGACGGCCACGGACACCCTCGGCAACATCGCGGGATATCGTATCTGAGTATAGCTTACATAGACTAGTTGGCGGCTGTTCCGGCAGCATCGCTGTTGAGACGATGTGGGAACGTCCAGCAAAAGACCGAGAAACTGTAACTCCATTGGAATCCTCCCGCACGGCCTGTCGCGTAGTGAACACGTACAAAGAACGCGTGGACGTAGACCGAGCCCGAGCACCGAGCCGCGTAGCTCCAAGACGTCAACGTTTCAACACCTAGCATGCAGCATCGAAGCACGCCGGACCCGGCGGGCACTGAGTTTCCGCCGCCAAATCTGAGAGGTTCACATTCGGTTTAAAACGATGAGCGACTAGGCGTAGTATCGACCAGTACTGCGACAAGCGTCGAACCAAAGACGTTGAGTTCAGCGGAAGTTCGGCGTATGATGACAGCGCGAGAGTCTAAAGGTCCAAGTGCAGCAGCGGAAGGAGCGCTGAACCTATGTCGGACGCGGCAAATCCCGTGTACTATCTCTTTTAGGAAACTCGTCATGTTGCAGCAAGCTGGGGAAAGTTACTGATACTGAAGTTGTGTAGGGTGTTCAGGGATCTTGATAAATAAGTGTTTTGGATGCCGTATGTCATTGAGCGAGGCCCCGAGACAGGGATGTCGTTGGATTGGATATTCTAGCTAAATTGGACCAACTCAGGGGTCGCTATACAATAAGTACCCGGAGTGTAAGTAGAAGCCACCCGGGTATTTGTGCTTGTTAGGATCGGGTGGTCCCGGGACTGGGCTGTGAACACCCAGATGCTATTGCTGCAAATCATTAACCACGACCACGTCCTTTCAAAAGTTATGCTGCTCGTCTTTCCCCCCGTCATGTGGAATATACTGAGCTCTTTGATACTACCGGACTCTAGGCGGGAGGCTCGTCGGGGACCCATGTGCTTCTATCGGTAGCTGACTGATTGCGAGCGACCGTCGCAGACGCGGCAGCCTCCCGAGTCTTTGGGCGTCGATATTTGGCGTACGTGTACAGCGGCATCCTGCAGATAATACGACATCTGCCTTCGCGGAAGCCATGCGAGTCGACATCCCGGCGGTCTACGCTTACTTCCCGTGAGAACGCTGCCAAAGCGCAGCGCTTGCGGACAAATACGTATGTGTCGGTGAGAACGGTTAGTCTTCACTCCATTTGGCTCACATGCATACACAGCGCGGTGTGCTGAACGCTTAACGCTTCCGCACACGCACTGTGTCGGCTGGTCCAGTCAAGGTAACCAGCCGACATGACTTCGCGCCGTCGCGGGCGCCGGGTTAACATTGGACGGTGCGGCGCAAAGATATATATATATCCCCTTCGAGAGCAGAGTACTTAAACTCTCACCATACACCATTCGACCTATCAAACTCATCATCCGCTCAGCATGTCCACGTCCCCGAAACACATCGTTGCTTTCCCGTACCAGGCCTGGGGTATGTGCCACACTTCATCTTTTTTTGGTGGTGATGATTGACCGGTCGCTCGTGCACTAGGCCATGCCCGTCCTCTCATCAACCTCGCGGCGCGTTTGGTGAAGTTGCGCGACATCAACGTAACTTTGCTCTCAACAGACCTGTTCTACGATCGTGCCGTGGCTGAACTGGCGCGGAGCTTTGTGCCCGGCGAAGAGGAGTTCGCTAAGAGGATCAGGTGATTTTGCGCGTCGCAGGAATATTCGAGCTTCTAGCTAATTTTGTGCCGCACCGTAGGGTCGTATCCCTGAGCGCCACGCATGTTATGGCCATCAACGGCGTTGACGATAGCTTCAAGGCTCTATGGTTGTCGATCGCTGCCGGGGAGGCGGTTACATGTTCCAAGACGGGGACTCAATTTGCCGCGCTGCCGCCTCCTCAGGCAGTCATCATCGATGTGAGTATCCCCGGACCGCTCATTAGCATGACAACGTGCCAGCAGACACTGATAGCATGCGCTCGACAGTTCTTCGCTGTCGAACCTATCCGTGTTATTCGGGAGCTCAGTGGGAAGTCAGTGAAGATTTATTCCTGGGTCGCAGGCTCGACATACTCGCTCTTCTATGTGTTTGGCCCGGAGAGCCTCGGCGGAAGGGGAGACATCAACACGATAATCTTAGCCGAGGTAGAGCGAACTGGCCGTCCTTACAACGAAGTAGCTGAGGAGGTGCGTACTCATCTATCTAGGCTTTGCGCAATATTTTCTGACATTCGTCTCGGAGCATAGGTTGCTTTCGCAACTAAGGGCGAGGTCGTGAAGGTTCCTGCTCTGCCGCCGATGTATGACTATGAGTATCACCCACAGGATGTGAGTCCTCGAGAACTCTAGACGTCCGAACGGCTGATCTCTGAGGCTTGCAACAGTTCCCTTTCCCGAAGGAGCTTGCAACCCTACTATTCCCTCACGTGTACAAGTAGGTCATCATTCATCGTTAGGCTGTTTAACGTTCTCATACCGTCTTTCAGAACACTCGACATCTGCGACGGGGTACTGCTCATGACCCCGGAGCCCTATGAGCCCGACGCTGTCGCTGCGGTGAGGAAGTGGTATGCGGAGACAGGGCGCTCGGCGTACGTTTGTGGGCCCCTCCTGCCCCCTAAGTCCGCAACTGCCAAGGCCAAGGAGCAACAGCAGTCGAAGGAGGCGACTGAAATATCGGCGTTCTTGGATACGACTCTGAAGACCTCCGGCAAGAAGTCCCTGCTCTATGTACGTCGTCACGAGCCAATTCAGCTGACGGGGCATGCTGACACACGGGACACGTAGATCTCGTTCGGCTCCATTTTCTGGCCGATCAAGTCGCCGGAGACTATCTGGGCGTTCCTGGATGTCGTGATGGAGCGCAACATTCCTTTCGTGAGTCCCGCTGGTATTTTTTGCGTGCTGATGGTACTGGCGGCTCATACCATGCATGTAGATTATGAGCCATGCGTCGCCGCTGGCGACTGTGCCAGACGAGGTCAAGGAGAAGGTAAAGGCTTACGGCAAGGGTATCATGTCGCCGTGGTCTCCCCAGCAGACGATTCTCGAGCACCCCGTAAGATCACATATCGCCCTCTGCCAGCGTCTTACTTACATGTGCTCCGTCTAAAGGCCACGGGCTGGTACGTCGCTCACGGCGGCCATAACGGAGTGACCGAGTCGATTTGCGCCGGCGTACCCTTGTCAGTTCTCCTCGTCGTCCAGATCTGCTTTCGATCGACTAACCACGCTGTACTCATGCCCAGCATCCTCTGGCCCTTCGGTGGCGACCAGCCGATGAACGCTGTCCATATTTCCGAGCAGCTCAAGATCGGGTACGAGCTCATCGAAGTGCGCACTGGGGACAAGGGCCGCCACACCATCTATCGCACCGGCCGCACCCCTGTGGGCACCATCGAGGCGATCAAGGCGGAGGCGCGCGACGTGCTCGCGAAAGCGTACGGCCCCGACGGCGCGGAGAAGCGGCAGCGGCTTGTCGCGCTCCAGCACGCCATCACGCACGAGTGGGAGGAGGGCGGTGCTGCGCTGCGGGATATGAAGACGTTCCTCGACAGCGTTTGAAGTATGATACAGGGGCTGCAGCTTCTTTCCGAGCGGCGTTGTATGGTGCCAACGTAGCATTATAAGTAGACGAGCCCATCAAGAAATGTCAAAGCTGTACAGGACTACTGCCGCATCCATCTGTCTGGTTACTTCTCCTTGCGCAACGTCTTCGCGGGTGACCCTCTCGAGATTGCCCCTTTACTGGGGCTCGACGTCGCCGTGGAGGTTGCGGTGCTACCGGCGCACGACCTACTGGTTGCCGTCGCGCAATTGCTCTCCGTCGTGGATTCTGATGAGCCCTGGTCAGCAGGAGGCTGCGGCTGGTCATCCTTCGTCGAGGCAGAGGCAGAGGCAGGGGCGCGGCGCAGTACGCGCCCAGCGAGCTTCGCAATGACGCCACATCCGATTAGCAGCGTCCAGCGAGGGAAGCGCTGCACGAAGTTGGATATGTGCATTGTCCAGAGCGCGTAGTAGTGCATGACCCACTCCCTGCCAGTACAGTTCAGCAGAAGTTCAAGAAGCTTCGGACATGAGAATGCTTTTACCTATTTCCGCCGGGCGCGAAGTCAGTCTTCCATGGCGGGGTGTTGCGCCAGTGCTCATCGATGAGTAGCCCGCGAAGAAGCTCGGCTGTAACGCGTACACGGTCTCCCTTATAGAACCGCAGCGTCTGGCCTCTGTCCGTGATCACAACTAGATAAGGTCCTCTGCAGATCAGCTTCAGTTTCTGAGATGACGAAGAGTGCACATCATAGTGACGCACGACCAGATGCACCACTTCGTAGTGAGGAAGGTGACGCTGTTGTAGTCGACGCGGCCCCAGCGCACGTGCGGGAGGTCGCCTGCGGCGAGGGTCTGGTTGTACGCCTCGTCGAATTACTGGTCGACGAGCTTTGAGATCGCGCTATTCTGGCCCGCTGCCACCGAGCTACCGCACGCGCCCCCAATCAGTCTCAGCTGCAAGCATCCAGGGGGTCCACGTACATGACCAGGAACCAGACGCGCGCCGCCTCTTCCTTGGGCGTGAGCTCCTCGTGTACGATGATCTCGTCAAAGTTATCGTCCGTGATGAGGGGAATGCGCAGGTCCCATGAGGACACGGTGCTGGGCGCGATCGCCTCCGCGACGTTCACGCCCATCTTCCCGAAGAGCGAGGCGACGGGCCCGTCTGCGTCGAGCAACCGGTTTAGGCCCAGCAGCGACGTGAAACTCTTGAACATGCTGACGAGGTCGCCACTTGCAGGCGGCGGAGGTTGCAACTGGGGCCCCGTCGGCGCAGGCTCCTCCGCAATGGGATTGAAGGTCTGTGCAGGGGGCGGTACATGGAGAGGTTGCTGCTGCTGTTCGGGTTGCCAACCTTCTGAGGGATGCTGTGCGCTGACAGAGACGACGCACAGCAGACAGGAGAGTAGGATGGCGGGCCTCATCGCTGTTGTGTGCAGACGGTCGTGCGCGTCCTCGGCCTCTGGCGGGCTGCATCTGGTGGCAGCCTTTATATTGCCTCCCAGGCCAGGTAAGGGCATGCGTGTCCCTAGCTCCAGTGGAGAATCAAACACGATGTGGACGCGAGGGCGGATCTATGAAAGGTGCCGCAGAAGGTTGGCCTCCCGTTTGTCCAGTGAGATACCTAGATTGACGTTAGGCGAGCGCCTTGGGCGAGAGACAGAGGTTTCTCCCGAAGAGTTGATGGTTGTATATGGGAGAGCCTCGGGTTCATAGCTAAAGCTCAATGCACTAGCAAGAGATCTATGTAGAGAGGTCAAGTCCAGAGAAGTTGGCAGGAGTTGCCGCGGAGGTCACGGTCCCGTAGTGATATCCGAAAGGTTCGAACTTGTCGGTCTCCCCGCGTCAGTCTGTGCGTGCCCCCCCAAAGATGTCATGTCCTGGTTGGATATGTTGAGCTGCTAGTACATCTCAACGTCCTTTGCGAGTCTGACTTACGTTGGAAAACGGCGTAGTAGGAGGAGACTGGAAACTGGAGTAGAAGGGAGTTGAGCCATCTTAGAACTCCGATGTTCCCACGGTCAATGTCTGTGTTGTTGAGATTAAAAATCTCCATAATAATAATCTGCGGCGTGCTGGACCGTTCGTCCTCCGTCCCATCCCCTCGAGCCTCTAAGCATTTCCGGAGATCATGATCGTTGTCGTGCTATCCCGGTCACTGGTATGAAATAAAGCTAAGCCGTGATGATCACCTATCGACACGCTCAACTTGAATAGGACTCTAAGGACCCAGACACCCATCATTGGCAAAGCTCGTATGATACGAGTGCACAACCAATCGCAACTGGCGGCGATGAGACGTGCATTCACAATTGGGGATAAGTAAGACCCGGGTGAACTCCGCAGGATCACAAACTGTCCACACAGGAGCCTAACTCGGGTATGGAGGTGAGTCTGTCGAGGGCGATGTAGATCTGGAATGTTTACTTACCCGCACTAGTACTGAAAGGCACACTATTGTCTTACGAGGGGGTGCTGACTACGCGGGATTCCTCCGCGAAGGAATACATAACACGTTCTGCTGAAGGGCGCTGCACTGCATGCCGATTGTCGTACCTTGGTAAGCACCGGTACCGCGGGCAACTTGACACAGTGTGTTTATGTGATGGGATGATGTGCAACAGGTACTCGTCTATGGTGGCGTTTGGCCGGGTAGCGATGCAGATGCGGACGCATCGATTGGACTTTGACCCCGGACTACGTGGACGCGCACCAAGGACGTCGTGTTTCCAATAGACGCTTGCCGTCGTATAGATATCCGTGTGCATGTCTGAGCTTCCGCCAGGAACGGCGCGCCCTCTCATCTATCTCATCGACGATCACCTCTACGAACATGGCTGACCCAGTTCAGAAACATATCGTCGCCTTCGCCTACCAGGCCTGGGGTACGTTCTTCTTCCTGTGTACCCGTCGTGCATCTAGATGCCCATATGCTTACCTCGTGGTACGATTGCCAATAGGACACGCTCGTCCTTTGACCATTTTGGTGTCGCGGTTCGTGAAGCTGCACCCTGTCCAAGTCACGCTGCTCTCGCACGACGCGTTCTTCGAGCGCATCCAGACCGAGCTCTCGCGCTGCTTCGAGCCGGGCGAGGAAGAATATGCCAAACGTATCAGGCGAGCATCGCTTCTCGTACGCCAGCCACCGTTCCATCACTAATTAAAGCACGGATTGGGTCTCACCAGAGTTATTTCCGTCGGCTCCGCGTTGTTCCTCACATCGCGCGAGGCAGACGAGAACTTCAAGCTCGTCTGGGAGAAGCTCGTTGCGGGCGAACCTGTGACCTGCGAGAAGACGAAGGTGGTGCATGCCGCGCGCCCGAAGCCAAACGCAATCATCATCGACGTGAGTGCCGGTTTACTATCCGCGTTTCGGAGAGAATGAGCTTAACTCAAATACCGCGCAGCTGTTCGCCGTGCACCCGTTCAAATCTATCAAGGCGGTCAGCGGGGACAGCGTCAAGGTCCATGTATGGCACCCCGCGCTTACGTACGAGATGTTCTGGTTCTGGGGCCCGGAGAAGGTTGGTGGACGGGGCAACATCCGCGTGAAGGCGGAGGAGGAGGCGCGCCTCACCGGCCAGCCGTACGCCGACGTTGCTAAGAAGGTATGATTTTCGGTCATCTGTGTGTCCCGAATGAGGCTGATATCTGCGAATACAGATGTCGTGGGGCGCAAAGGGCGACGTCGTGCGGATCCCCGAGTTCCCGCCTTTGTATGACTACGAGTATTTCCCTCAGGAGGTGAGCAGCCCCGCCGTCCAATGCGCGCGTAGGGGAGCGCACTCACGCCGAACTGTGCTAGTTCGACATGGATGAGAACATGCTCATCAATGTCCTCCCCTACGTTCACGAGTATGTATCTTTCCTCTCCGTCAGAACTGTGATTGACTTCCGCGCCATCTGCCGCAGGACGTTGGAGGCCAGCGACGGCGTCCTGCTCTTCAGCTCCGAGACGTTCGAGCCCGGGGCGGTCGCCGCGGTGAGGGCGTGGTACGCGGAGACGTCGCGCCCCGCGTACATCTGCGGGCCGCTCCTCCCCTCTGGGTCGCAGGCGGCGACGAACGAGAAGAAGCTGTCGGCGGAGGCGGAGGAGATCCAGACGCTCCTCGACACCACGCTCAAGACGTCGGGCGAGCACTCCCTTCTATACGTATGTCAGAGCCTCCTTCGCACATTGGCAGACGGCGAGGCTTACCTTGGTTGCAGATCTCCTTCGGGTCTATCTTCTGGCCGAAGGCGCCCGAGAAGCTGTACGCCGTGCTCGACGTCGTAATGGAGCTTGGCATCCCGTTCGTAAGTGCGAATCCGTTGTATGAAAGGCTGTCGAGGCCAACGCTGGTTCGGCCGTAGATCCTCAGCCACGCATCTCCCTTCGCGGTCGTCCCAGATGACATCCGGGAGAAAGCTAAGGCGTACGGCAAGGGCATCATCTCCGCCTGGACGCCCCAGCAGATGATCCTCGATCACCCAGTACGTCCTCTTCCCTTTCACCTCCGCCAGAATGACGCTCCTGACACAACATGATCTAGGCTACGGGCTGGTTCATCGCCCATGGCGGCCACAACGGCGTCATGGAGGCCATCAGCGCCGGCGTCCCCCAGTCAGTGCCTCTGCCTCTCTAGCACGTTCGCACTGCTAACGCCCCCCGCAGAATCCTATGGCCGTTCCTCGCCGACCAGCCGCTGAACGCGATCTACATGACCGACACGCTGCAGATCGCATACGAGCTCATCGAGGTGCGCACCGCGCTCGGGCTGCACGCGATCTACCGCAACGGGCGCACGCCCGTGGGCACGCTCGACGCGGTGCAGGTGGAGGTGCGCGACGTGCTCGCGAAGGCGTTCGGCGCGGACGGCGCGCAGAAGCGCGCGCGGCTGCTCGCGCTGCGCGAGAAGGTCGGGCGCGACTGGGAGGAGGGCGGGCCGTCCCTGCGGGACGTCACCGCGTTCCTGCAGAGTCTGTAGTGCTTGTACTTGCGTTTTGTTTTAGATAGGTTTGATCACACGGGGGATTTATAGACACTGAGGACGACTATATAATATAATGGCATGCGGCGCTCGCGATGGGAGCGCTTTTCGTGGAGGCCAGGTATATACAATATGTATGTACTGAGAACACGCGCAACGATAACGGAGAGATCTGGAGAGATGGGACAGCGATAGCGATACAACATATGCAGTACATAGCGGCAGCACAGCAAACGACGAACGAACGAGTCCGGAGCAGCGGGAACACGGACATATCCGACTACAAGTATACACGATCAAAAGCCCGCAAACAGAAAGGATCAACGAGACGCGAGGGCGCGTCCCGCCAGGCGGGAACTACATATGTCATGAACGGGACGCGCGCGCGTAAACCGGCGGAAAACGAGCGAGGATCATGAACGGGGCCAAAAAAAACATTCGTGGGTGCGGCGCACCAAAGCAGCCGCTGGACGCGAGGTGCAGAGCACGTCGAAAGCAGCTCCAGGCGCGGCAGCGACGGGCACTCAGTAGTCCGCGTCCCGGTCATCCAGGTACATGCCATGGGCAGACCCGCGCGACATCCCGCGCCCCCGCGTGCGAGCATACGGCCCAGACGCGGAGGAGGATGCGACAGAGGTCGTGCTCGTGGGCGAGTACTGTGCGGCGCGCGTCGGGGACGACGGGCCCGCGCCGTGGAGCGTGGCGAGTTCGAGCGTAGTGCCGCCGAGCCGCGCGGGCGCGGGCGCGAGTGCCTCGCCGCGCTCAGCCTCCGCGTCTATCTCAGACTTCGTGCGGCGCTTGCGCTCGTTTTCGCGCATGTTCACGCGGATGCCGTACATCGAGAGGAGCTATGCGGAATTGCGGGGGCACATTAACAAGATATCCCGATGTGGAGCGCTGGGCGCTGAAGCGGGATGCGCGGGCGCACGGGCTGACAAGACTAACCTTTGTGAGCGCGGTCGAGGGAGGCAGCCCGGGAAACTCTTTGGTGGAGTATACCTTGAAAGACCCGCCGAAGCACTCCGCGAGGACGCGGAATGGACGGGAAGTGCCAGTTTGGGAGGTGAGGTTCATTGTGCGGTAGCGCAGCACGAACGTGCCCTCGACTTTGACGGCGAGGTCCTGTCGAGTCAAAGTGAGAGGGGTCCAGGCGTCGTTCGCGGACAGGAACGGTAACTGCACTTACAGAAAAGACGAACATAGCCTCCTTCTTGCCATTGTAGTCGACTATCTCAGCCTGCACGAATGTTGCGCCCGCGAGCATGTGGCTGCACTTCTCGCTCTCGCAAATCGGATGAGATCCGAAATAGGCGACGGGTGCTTCGGCGATAAATCCTGAAGCTTGCGTTCCACGCGCATCGCAGGGGTACCTTGCGATCGCGGCGAGGGATTGCACACCAGGGAGCATTGAACCCTGGCCGTGGCCGGCGACCATGGGGCTGGAGTATTGTGATGATGGCCCTTCAGGGTACCTGCCAGTTGTAGCAGGTTGGAAGGGGACGTAACCCTCTGGAACCGGCATTGGCGGTAATAGACCCTGCATGATGGCCGAGGGAGGAGGGAGGCTGGAACTTGAAGCTCCGTGCGTGGATGGCAGTATGCCGTCTGTGAGGCGTTGGAGGGGAAGAGAGACAGAAGGTAGGGGCCATGATGACGATGCTTTGGCGGGCACGTAGTCCTGATAATCGGGCGGCACAGGGAAGAGATCGACGTGACAGACAGCGCCGTAGGTCTGCGAGTCGCCGTGAGTACACGGAGAAGTGCTGAATTTGGTGCGAAGAGTGTGCTCACCGCGGTCTCAATGGGGAGAGGGTGTTGAAAGCCTGGTGCGTCATGGCTGGTAACGTTGGTAAAGCTGCAGATGACGACGGGAGGGGGGTCGAGCGGCCGCTTGTCTTTGCGTGCATATCTTGAGGAATACGAAGGAAGACGCCCAGGCAACAATGGAGTCGATCAGGGCGCAGCGCGTGGGAGAGGTCGGGCAGGTGCGTACTTGCGACCGAGATCAGCCTTCTGTGTTTCCTCGATCTCTATGCGAACTGTGAGGCCCGCGAGAAGACCGCTGGTGAAGGAGGCGGGCGGGTTTGAAGCAGAGTTGAGGCCTCGAGGCCTCTGAATGGGGCAGAAGAGAGATGGAGAGGTGAGCATTGGGGGAAGAACGGGTGGGAGCGCACTGGATAGGGGGCGCTCGGTTCAGCCGCCATGGAGGACTATCACGATTGCAACCGGGGAGTTGGCGATGGTGAGCGAGGGTGGGCGTAGCGAGCTAGTTACGAGAGGAACGCACTGAGTATGGAGCGCTCTGCTCGGACGACATCGATGGGGGCTAGGTCAACCACCGGGGATTTGGCTGCTGGGCGTGGGTGCGCGGGCGAAGGCGCGACTGTGGGGAATGTGGGCGTTGTGTGAGCAGCGTCGGACGACACAAGACGCGGACAAGGGGCGACGGGGAGAAGCAGAAGGGCCGTGCACTGCACGCTGCAGACCTGGGTCGCCCAAATATTGGGATTAAAACGAAATGAGCGCATGCGGTCGGTGCAAACTTGCGCCTCGTCCTCTTCGCTGTCCGTGCACCTACGTCGTTTCTTAGTCACCTATGCCTTATCCGGCCGTAGGTTCTGTCAGGCCGCTTCACCCCCCGCGAATCTGCGATGGTCCGCCCTTTCCAGGTCCGACCTTCTCTCGGCCTGAGCGCGCACTCTCTCCTCATGGCGAGCCGTTCTTCTAGTCCAGAGTCGCAGCAGCTTCGCCGTCGGTAGTGCGCACAGTGGTTGGCCGAAGATCACTGAGCGCTACCAAGCGGGGAATACACTTTATGTAACGGGAGGGCGCTTATTTGAGAAAAACGCCGCGCCGTCCGGTGACACCTTCCGGGTCCGCACCCACAATCCGTCTCGAGTGCGCAGGCACGTTCGTTATCGTATTTGGAGACGTCATGGCCATCAATACCCAGGTCGTTATTGATGTGCCCTCGTATGGATACACACCAGCGTGGCCACAGGTTTCGAAGCTCGACCTGAAGCGAGTAAGTAACCATGACCACGCCACACCACTGGCACTTGAAGCTACTCCAAGAGGCTGCCCCGTCCCATTTCCGCTCTGACACTTGTCCAATTGGCTCCTTACTCACGTCGAGCAATGGCCTGGCCTTTGCACCCAGGCCTCGGTATTCTGCGACGACAGGCTTCTGACCGGTCTAGAACCTGTCCCCTTCACTATGAACCTACGTAGGTACTATATTTGACGACGCTGCGAAGTAGGTACCCCCTTCGCGTTTATTCGGACGTCTATACTCCGTGACGGTTCAATGCAGTGCCCCCGTCGGAGTTGCTTTCGTGCTCAGCGCCCTCTTGTCAAGGAAAGAAACCCCGATATTCATCCTGCACCCTGGCCCCGGCCGAGCCACGTCCACCGACACCACATCTAGACCCTGCATGCCTGTGTTCCTGCTGCTCTGGCCGGGACTCGCTCGTCGTTTGCTGTGCTGCCGCTATATATGTGCAGCATATGTTGTGTCGCTGTTGCTGCCCGGTGAAAAGTCGGTCTGGCGAGCGCGGGCAATAGCTGTCCATATCCGGCATGCCAGACACAGCCATAGCTCGTCAGGAATTCCGCACTATACCAGCTTTTTTCCAGGCGGGATCTGGCTTCGACCCGGCATATGCTGGCTCAGTCTGTCCCATACCGGCACGTTCTGGCATATCAGAAATGAGCCGAATTAGCTGGTTCTTTGCCCTGGGGATCGACTTGCCGCTTTTTTTTCTGGTTCACACTGGAGATTTCTGACCATATCTGCTATTCTCGGAACCCTATTCGAAATCGTCTACGAACAGTGTAATTATAACCAGTAACGCATCCGGAAGGGGGCTTTGGGGGCTGCTCTCTCTCAGATGTCCTGTATCCCTCCGACTCGTCTACAGGGCTCCCTACTCGCATATGCGTGCCCTCGAGGTCCCTGTACAGGTAACATTGTCAGAATACGCGCACAAAAACACCAGGAGAGCCGCATATACTCACATGTTCGACGATAGGACCCTTGCATTCTCGCAAACAATCAGTATACAGCATCGGAGATAGACTTATATAACTCACCGTTGACGATCTTGTGAGGGATATCAAAGAAGCAGCACAACGGAGGGACGAGAAGGAGGGGGAGAGGGAGAGGGGGGCGCGGAAGGGGATGGTCATGGTATGGAAGAGAGAAGAGGTCGCGACTAAAGGGACGGTTTCAACGTATTTATCCTGACGGTGTGGATTATGTTAGCAGAGCGACGGCGAGATGCCAGACTGTGCCAGGTTCGGACAGGACAAGGCGAATAGCGTAGTAGGGTGAGGATCTACTGCAAACCCCGTGGTTGCTTCGAAACCAGCGAGACACGAAACATATCTGTTCGGACTCCGCGACGCGGGACTCGGACACCTGCTTCAAACGCGGTCGCGCTCGACGAAACCGTGGCTCGAATGGTTCAAGCGTGGTCTGCGCGATCGAAGCAGCTTGAAACGAGACACCATGCTGGAAAACGGCAGATCGCGCCAGGAAATGCTGCACGTACCAGATATAGCCCGTTTCTGCCGGCGCCTGCCAGACCGACTTTTCACCGGGGTTGCTGTTCTATCTCTCCGGTGCCCTTCTGCCGCACGTGCTCGCAGTGCATGCTATTAGGCCTCCACCTGAGCTAACACTCCCATCGAGAGCGCCGCATGCCACCATATAGTCGTGCCCAGTACTTGTATATTCCGAGACCATAATGCCAATCATGCGATAGTTCAATATAGCCACACATCGCAGCGCACTCCGCACCAGGACGTCTCTCAAGCACTCACCCTCGCAAACCACGCATCCGCCGCCTCCCTCACATCGCCCCCCTTGCGCCGCCGACGCGCCGCGACCGCCTCGTCGTCAATAAACAGCGCGAACCCCACCGGCACCCCGTCCGCGCCCTGCTCAAACCGCACGCGCCCCTCGGACTCGCCCGTCTCCCACAGCTCGAACGCGCGCGTGTCCGCCCCGTACCCGTGCGGGAAGAGCGCGGTGAGCGTGAGCGCGAACTCCGAGTCCGAGGGGAGCGGCGCGAGGCGCACGTGCGTGGCGAAGACGCGCGGGTATGCGCCGTAGAGCCCCGGGGCGACGGGCCCGAGGGATGCGAAGGCGGCGAGGACGTCGGGGCAGGAGGCGGAGGCGGTGGTGGTGTTGGTGGCGGTGGTGGAGGCGTTTGAGGCGGCGCTCGGGGCGCAGAGGGTGAGGGTGCCATAGCCGGGGGAGGTGTAGGTGCCCGTGTATGCGGAGAGGTCGAGCGACGCGGGTTCGCTTGCCGCGTCCGAGTCGTCGTCGAGGCGAGGAGGCTCTTCGTCAGCGCTGTGTATGCAGTGTCAGAAAATGCTCAGCCATCGATCATGACGCTACCGGACGTACGCTTCATCGAAGGGAAACGCGGAGGAGGCACGCCCGAGGACATCGTCGAACGCGCGCTTCAGGATCGCACGCGCAGGCGTCGCCTGCTCGTCCGCGTTGATCAAGATGATGACCCCGAGGTTGCTGCTCGGCGAGAACGTAGTGAACGTGGTGAAGCCAGGGATCCCGCCGGTATGCATGACCATCTGTGCTCGGCGCGCTCAGTCTCGCATGTCCGACGCGTTATTTATAATGGAAAGAGTCACCTCGATGTCTCCGTACGTCCAGCGAGTCCAACCCATGCCATACCCCACGATCCCGGCTCCATACTGCTCAGTCGGACGGCCGGAAACAATATACTGGGCGGTGGTCACAGCGTCGTAGACGCTGCGTGGGAAGACAATGTCGCCAGACCCGGGATCGACACCCTTATTGAGCAGGACCGCCAGCCAGTTAACCTGGTCGAACAACCGGGTCCCTGTAAGCCGCGAAACTAGCGCCCAGGATGGTAGGTTTACTCGCCATGTCCTCCGCGCTGGAGATGATGCCGCCCGCGCCGGCGTTGAGCGGCACCGCCTCATCTGTGAACCAGAACGGCGTGCGCCTGCCCGTACGCGTCCACGCTTGCGAGAGCTTCCCCGACGCGTGAGCCTCAGACGGCCAGAGCGAGGTCGAGGACATGTTGAGCGGCTTGAAGAGGCGCTCCGTCACGAACGCGGGGTACGACGTGTTTGCGTACTTCGCGACGATGTGCGCGCCCAACATGAACATCTGGGATCGAGTCCATGAGTATATGGACTACCGGCGCGGCGGACGTCCTGACCTGGTTGTTGTACGAATACTTTTCGCGCAACTCATACGCGGTGCGGAGATGGCGCATGCGGAGCACTATGTCCTGCGCGGTGTCTCCGACAGCGTAAGAGAAGTCGTGTCTGCGGGCCCGCGTATCAGCCTGAGCTCCGCGCACGATGGTGAGTATCCATTCTCAGGAGTCCCACGTACCGCGGCATCCCAGACACATGCCCGAGCACATCACGTATGCTCGCCGCGCGTGTCGTCCATTCGTCGTCGAGAAGCCATTCGTCAGGAAGAATGGCCGCGATCTTGGTGTCCCAGTCGAGGCGCGCCGTGCCGGCGGGCAGAGGCGTTACGTTGCGCCCTTGCGCAAAGTCGTCGATCAGCAGCCCGACGGAGGTTGCGAGGAACGCCTTCGAGCACGACGCAATGCCGAACAATGTCTGTGGGGCGCAGAAGTGTAGTTGGTTCAGCGTCCCGGGCCCAGGTGGTCGGTGACGATTTACATATAGTACTCACATCTGTGGTGAGATCATTGGCATCTCCGTCTTCGGTTTTGCGGCCCCAAGAGGCCAGCTCCACCTGTGGCTTTGTGTTGTCTCCAGAGAGCCGAACTACGCCGACAGATATCCCAGGGACTGAGGCATTCTCTCTGACCTCGTCCACGAACGCATGGAATGCCGGAGATAAGATAGATCCATCTGAGCGCATACTCGAAGCTGCGCCTGGTTGGAGATGTTGCAACGGCACTTGCAACGCCGCTACCGTGACCCTAGAAACCAGAACCAGAAGAGCGAGAGTCCCCGGTGCACGTAGACCATACATGGTGCTGGCTGTGTCTCCGAAAATGCTTGTGTTGCAGCTCAGAGGGATGCTGACACGTTCAGCGCGGGCATATGTATGCCGTTGGCTTCGGCTGCGCGACTGTGCAGGCGCAAGTCGAGGGATCCGAGTCACTCGCACAGATGCACAGTGATGGTGTGCCTCAGGCCGGTGCTGTCCGTCGATTTGAATGTGGCATCTGATGTATGGCGGGCGCTTACATTCGTGCGTTTTGGTGAACCGCTGTACTTATTCGAACTTCAAGGAGCCTGTGACCTGGTGAAGCCGCCGACTCAGGCTGGAACGTGTGGAGCATATGAGAGGGCAACGCGGCCATAAAAACTACCTGGGTGATATGGTCCGCGAACGTGACTATGCTGCGCCGCCAGTCTCCCAACCGCCCGACTCCGTTGAGTCATCCCCACTTAACCGGGACTTGAAGACTAGTGGACTCGGAAAAAATCCGAGTTGAGCACGGCCCAGTGGGTAGAGGATCCGGAGAGTGGATCCATGGCAAGGCTGTCCACATGTACACGGCCGCGTGTATATTCGGCACATTTGAATTAAGTCCTCCATAACGTAACTCACTGGCACAGAGTCGGATCCACAAAGCAGCATCTTAATACATACACGCGCTGGACACTGGCAGGCAAGCCAGCGATACCTCACCCACAAACGAAGCTGCTCGCGCTATTCGGGTCTCCGCCCTGGTAGCGCACCGTCGTCGGGTACTAGCAGCCCACACTTGTCAGTTACATGCAAGTAGAGTTCGGCAAAAAGGCCGCGCACCTTGCATATCGGACGGGTGAACGCGATGCCGTTCGAAGGCAAGTCATTATTGTACTTGACGCCGACGATCTGCGAAGGCGCGACGCCGTCCTCGACCCAGCGGACCATCGCGGCGATGATGTTGTGCTCGGCGTCGAGGGAGAGCGGCGCTGGCTGCGACACGGCGCCGAACGCGTTCGCCGCTTGTCCTCCCTATTTGAATACATGTTAGCTCACACAGCCCGTATTAGCACGGAGGCGTGGGGAAAGAAACATACAACGCTGGGGGGGGGGGAGTTGGTCAGCACGACTGCGAAGGAGGGAGCATGTCAACGTGATGCGCACCAGTGGGTCATCCCGGGAACAGGGAAGAGGCGATAAAAGTCGTCGATAGCGAGCGTGCTGTTCTCCTGCGCAAACGCGTGCACGGTCTCGTAATAATGCACGCTGTACCCTGCGCTGATCAGCTGGTCCGCCCAGCCCACGTAATGCAGCACCTTCCCGTTGTGCGGCGCGCCTGCGAACGCGGTCAAGTTTGGAGAGATCGCCTGCGCAACACGAGTGTCAACAAAGGTCTCTACAGGGGTGCGGTCAGTATGGGCTTACGTCGGCCTGCCCGGGGTTGACCTGCTCTGAGAGCGTGATCAGGCTCGCATTGAACTGGTCCGGCGTCCACTGCGTATCACTGCATATGCTTTCAGTGTCTTGTCCTCCCGCATGCGCGCGAGAGCGCGTACTTGGTCACGAAAAACCGGAACCAGTCTTGGAGTAGCGGGAATGGCGCAGCGCCGACGAGGCCCCTCGCGTACAGCTTTTCGCCGCCGGGCTGGTATCCGCCGAAAATGTAGGTTTGGTCGGCCTCGTAGTAGTCTGCGTATATGCGATGGAGCGCGTTGATCTGGTCGCCCGTCAGACAGGTCGACGTGTCCTGGCCCGGGGTGCAGGTGAGGACCTCCGGGCGAAAGCTTTGAAGAACGCCTTGTCATGGCCTGCCTTATGCGAGTAAGAGACTTGGATGATGCGTACCTGCATACGCGAGGATCGTTGATGATCCCGTCGGAAAGCTGGTGGGTATGGTGGTCAGGTTCACCGAAGTTTCGTGTAGGTTACGAGCTACGTACACCATCCAGGGCGTCACACTGACACATGACTTCGGGTGCGATCACGTTGATCCAGACGCTTTCCGGAATGAAGCGCGACGAGGTCACCGGGAGGACGTTCAAGCTCATGTGGGCGGCCCAGGCCTCGTGGTGGGTCATGAAGTTGGCAGGTGCACCAACCAGCTAATTGTACCAGACATTCAGCCCCAAGTTCAGAGGGTACCCGCCTGCGGTCGACTCACGATTCCGTCAAAGCTATCCGGGAACATCTGGATCTCCTTAAGCCTGCGTGGTATAGCATATAAGTCCCTGTCTGCTTGGGAGGTTTTACGGCTGACATACCCTTGACGTCCACCTGGGTGCGAAGAGTTCAGTATTGCAGTGACGGCTGGCGCTCCGTCAGAACTGACCTGTAGAGCATCCAGCATAGTATGACTTTTTCGGAGTTTGGTCATAGTACTGCGAGGCAACCTCCTTGCCCGCCACGACACTCAAATGTATAGCTCTCCAGCCCCAGTCAACGATCGCGTTCTGGGGGAAGCCGTAGATGTGAGCACAAAACGCACCACAACCCTCGTAAAACACTTACATCGTTATGGGGCCCGGCCCAGCTACCATCCAGGACTGTAGAGTTATGGCCTGTGTTCGTCGATATTCCTACGACTGTGACGACGATGTGAGCCTACGGAGCGCAGTGACGCAAAGCGCTGAGTGCACGTACACCCTTGGGGGACAGCGATCCCTCCGAGGTCAGCGACGGTCACTGCAGGGGGGAAATCAGCCGGGCCGCTGCGTCGGTGTCCGGTTAATATGAGTTCGTACCTCCTCCGCCGAATCCGCCGTTCCCGATAGTGAGTGTACGCCCAGTCCAGGCATCGGGGAGCCACACCTCGGTGTTCGCGAAAGAACCAGCGGTCGCGTTCGTCGTGACCTTCAGCTCGACGCGGCAGAACGCCGGAAGGTCCGTCGTGTTGATGCTGGAGAAGATATTGGTGATGTCGACGCGGGCGTACGCAGGGAAGTAGGTTGCTGCGGTGACGGTAACACCAGGGATGTCGTCCGGGGCGAATTGGGCGCACGCACTGGCTTGCGAGTCGCGCGCGGTCGCATCCCCAAGAGCGGCGATGGCACTGACGAGTAGAGCGAAGGCTGCGAAGACGGGTGCCATGATTGAGCACGAAGTGACCCGAGTGCCCGACGGGGTCCACAACGTTACATACCTCCGCTTATATACTGGCTGCAGACACAAGAGAAACAAACACTCGGAATCTCGCCGAATGTCGCACTCATCGTGATGGGTCAAGCTCTGAATACACTTCGGCGCGACTTACGATGAGTTGACTGTCGCCAGTAGCGAAAGCCACAGAAAGCTCGGTCCGAGAGTCTGCTTTTGAGTGATTCCACTCGCCACGCAACTGCGCGTAAAGCGTTGCATGGAGCTGCGCACAGCGGGGTAACAGCGGGGTAGGGATCACGGCGTGTTGGTGCGCAATCACCGGTGTCGGGCTGGGGAGAGCCCGAGCGCAGTGAGAAAACTATGTCCGAGTTGTCATAGTAGATTTAGGACCCTCGACTTTCGCAACGCTCAAACATCTGTTAGAGCAAGTGAGAAATCCGGTTGTCGAGAGTCAACGAGGTGTTCTGACTTTCCTGCACGGTAGCGTCATAGTACGGAGGCAAACAGGTAGCGTACTCGAAAAAGGACTCGGGCGCGATACTGGACGCTTCGACAAGCGCCGGCGGGCAGGCGCTCGCCGCTCGCTCAAATTCAAAACTATCAACCTCTCCGGCTCCCCGTAGTAGTACTGGGCTATGGTAGCCCTGAAGTTAAAAATAGGTGCAGCTTCAATCGGGCGCCTGTACCAGGGGAGAAGGCCGCAGGCATATGGGAGTGGTCCCATACGCTTACCGCTGAGCAGACCTGAGGCGTATGCACGAGCTCCGTCGGGCAGACATCTCGTCACCACCGCTCTCCGGGCCTGTCCTCATAGCGCGCAGGAGAAATGCACATACGCGCTGTGCTGATGTCCGCCACAGTCAGACAGCGCGCAGAAGCACGTCAAGACGGCTGAGGCTGCTGCATGTGGGACGCAGCGTCGCAGGCCCGGAGAGAGGCGAGCGAAAGCGCATGTGCACCCTGTTATAACGAGCCATGTGACGGCGGATACAGAAATGGTGGACGGGCCCTCCGCACTGACCGTCGAAATTAAGGCAAGATACCCTACGGTCGGCATACGAAAATATCACGCCAGCTGTCCTCCGGAGACTCCACCTTGAAGCTCTACAGCTTCTCCTTCGGGCTCTGCCTGGAGCTCCTCCTGCGGCGGTGCAAATTCGAGACATTGTAGGTCTTCATCGTCGTTGTGGAATGAGCAGATCGAGCCCCCGATGACGCCGAGAAGTTCCGGGAGCTCAGAGGAGCCTGCCCTCGAGTCGCCGCCGCTGCGGGTGTTGAAACAGAGGGATGATACGCCGGAAGTGTCGGTCGCCCCTTCCAGCCGCGCGTTTGTCTCGTGGAGGGCGAGGAGGAAGCGGCCGTTCAAGATGGAGGAGATGCTGTGGTGAGGGCTAGTGAGTAATGGCGATGAATGCAGCAAGATAGATGGCCTTACGGGTCGATGAAGACCACAACGTATGAGGCTTGATTCTCCGGTGGCACGGCGATCTTGAAACAAAATTAAGGATCATTGCATGTATGCATTTCCAAGCAGGGCACGTACGGACAATATGGCAAACGTCATGTCTACCGCATTCAAAGTGACCAAAATTCTGCAAATGGACTCATCAGAATGCAAGCTGTGATATGTTACCACAGCATGGGGAACAAACAAAAAGTAGATAATCCCTATATAGCGGATAAGAGGTTGCATATGAGTTTACCATTCGGGCGTATCGAGAGCAAAGTTGTGGTCAGCCTACCATTTTCCCACATCACCTGTTCGAGAGAAGGCCGATCCAGGGTGCCCGTCCTTCGCTGAATCGCCGCACGTGTTTCACGCCAGGTGACGGCGACAGCTAGTGAGTCTGCAAGGATCAGACAACTCCTTGAGGCGCTGGTTACTATCCAGGTACTAGGTCAACAGCTGTCTGCTCATCTGGAACCGCTGTACTGACTTCTGCCATGCCGACGACTCGGAGTAAGCGTGATGCACATAATGCTGAGTGCAATCACAGGGAGAAGACCCACCCGATGTCAAGGCTTGTGCTCGCCGTGCTGATAATTTGACAATTCACCGGTGCGGGGAGGTTGATTGGTATGTTGTGATATACAATGCCCTGTGGCCGTAAGCATCAGCAAGTGCACGGTGATGTACAACTCAGAGGGCTGACCGTGTTGAGGAGGAAGGGTGCCATGCTCAGCGCCAGTGCCAGCCCGCCGAGGATCTTGTTCTTCTTTGACAGTGCGTATATTCGCAGGGTGGTGAACACTGGCACATCTCGTCAGCGGATAGGTCTGTACTATAAGTAGCATCCGTACTTACGAGCAGGCCCAATTAGATTTAGCATCTCTATGACAGTGACGAGCCAGGCGAGCGACGTGCAGCTTCAACAGGCCTGGCGTGAGAGAGTGCATGCGATGAAGAGTCAAAAAGAAGCATTTACGTCTGTGGACGTATGATTCGTGTCAATCTGTGCATAAGCTTAAGGGCGGGGCGATCGTACTCACAGGGTCCGACAATGGCGGGATGCCCGCGAGACCCAGAATAGCACCCAACAAGTACATGTACCTGTTCCACACATAGATGATCCGCGAGAACCGGGACTTCGATGACTGCCAGATATATCGGTATTCTTGCCCTGAGGTGAGGATGACGTCGTACAGGAGCAACGCTATCGAGCGCAGGTGAGCAGCTTCTGTAAAGGGTGACCACTGAAAGGCCAGGTAACTCGAAAATATGTACCTGGGACTACAATGCCAATCATGTTAGACGTTGTCCTAGACGGTTGTGCCATCAGTTGAACCCGCAATAATCTGCATCGAAATGCGCACACTTACACTTCCTGTATTTCGGCGACATACTGAGCATTGAGAGCAGAGCTCGACGACGAGGCCATATTTTCGCAATCCAAGACCAAGGCGACGAGTCACAGCGCGGATAGGTCGAGACAGAAGGATTTGAGTCGGACTGGGATGTCGCTCGCAGTGCACATTTAAGCGATGCTCCTCCAGCGGGCGCATCTTCGAACCAAGGCATTATCAATGTGCTTAAGATAGGTACCAGTGAGCTGCCTCGGTAATTTCACGCATCTCGTAAGGTGGAGGCTGTATCGTTGCGCGCTCAACAGCAACCGGTGCACGACTCTTGATAACGAAGCGCGAAAGGAGGTGGCGGTAAGGTCCTGTCCCGGCGGTACGATAGGTACATTTACTTCACTTCATAGGAAGCTGTGCTGCAAGAAATTCACCGCTCGACAAGATGATCATATCACAAGGCTTCACTGAGCGTAGCGCCAGCGGTGAGCTCATCCGTTTCATGTCCGAGCCATGCAAAATGTTTACACATGTCTGGTGAACCTGCGGGGAGAGGGTATTCAGAATAAGCATCTTATAACGCATCCCGAGACTGCAGATTCAGACAATGTAAAGAAATCATTGGGGGAACCAGAGGTGGCGCCGTGATGAACGAAGCGGGCGCTGGTGTATTTGAAACGGACGTACCATCTTAACTTCACGAAGCTACCTTCAGCGGCTGCGCTGAGCCACGATGTGGCTTGGCATGGAGGTAACGGGGACAAAGTATGTAGGTCCCTGGCTCATGTAGATATGAACAGAGAGCTCCGACCGAGCGCATGGCTGATTCAAATTCGAATGAAATCGGAAACCGCGGATGCCATGGATCAGCAAGGAAAAGGGGGACATCAAGCGCTGGCGGGAGACACTGAAGCCTTCCAACAGAGAAGCTGGGTGCGGATAGGGGTGCGCCGCATGGGGCTCCACCAGCACCGAATACAACTGCGCTGAGCCCTTGGACCAGCGCTGCGAAGGCGGACATGCCAAGCGCCCCACCGAAGATCGAGCTGCCTGCGGAGGATTCGATGTCCTGCAGTGAGCAGTAAGCTGGCGTACCGCAGGACGGTGCAAGCGGTCGTGAATTTCAATTGGTACCGCTATGATTGCCACTGGTAATAAATTCACCAGTCGAGACTCGGGATGCCCATCGTAGAACAAGGATGCTAAATGGCAAACGGGCCCTGCGCCTGATCGTAGGATGTCCGATGAATGAAGTACGAAACACCAATATACGGGATGGATTGAGCAACAGAATACCAGGACACATCCACACCTCAACACGCGCCACGATGCAGTTGTATAATGATCACGTACCTGATTCCACCTGCTCTCCCCGCTCTCTTACCCTCGTATCGCGCGCAATCCGCGTACTTCTCGCGGAGGGTGGGGGAGATTTTTCCCCGCAAAGATGGATGGATGTCGGAACAATTTACACCAGTTATTGCGCGTAAAAGTGCGATCCAGAATCAGAAAGAGCCCAGGCGTTTGGATGATAATTGAGGGAGACACTGCAGTCCTTGCAAGTCGGAGAGGGTCAGAAGAGTCAAGACGCGGGAGGACGAGATGGTTACTCGGCGTTTTCCGACGCCACGAAGTTCGTCACGACGAAGGTTGGGCCGCCTTGGGCGCCCAATTTCGGCTCCGCGCTCAAGACCTGGCGGTCGCTTGTGGACGACCATTCAGCCCTCCTTCCCGCTGCTCTCCACGCTTGCTGGTGCTCCATAGCTCTATAACAGCCGCTCTTTATCATGCAGGCTTCTTTGGATGCAGAGCCCATAGTGCGCATTCGCGACCTCAAGAAAAACTCGGTCAACTTCGTTCTCCAGAATGTCGACCTCGCGTTCGTGCCCGCTCTCCCCAGCATGTCCTCGCCGCACCTAAGGCTTACAGTCACGGCTGCACAGATTCGCCAACTCGTTCAGGAGAGTGATGATGGCGGATATACCCACTGTCGGTGAGTATCTGTCCTCGCACGTCTCCCAGAGACCCGCGCGTGCTTATGCAGCAATGGCGCGTCCCTGCAGCCATTGACATGGTCGAAATCGAGACCAACACGACCGTCCTCCCCGATGAGTTCATTGCGCATCGACTCGGAATGATACCTCTCGTTAGCACGAACTGCGACGAGGCCATGCGGTACACTCGGGTACGCCCCTTCCCCTTCCTGTTCCCTAGCGTCGGTCCACCAACCTTTGCTCCAGGACTGCACATGCGAAGTGCGGTGTCAGTATTGCGCAATCGAACTCATGCTCAACGTCTCCTGCCACGAGGGGGGCCACACAATGGACATCACTAGCGACATGCTCGAGGTCGTGCCTACTTCGCGGCCAGGCTTTGGAGGATTCGACGCGGACTCTGACGGCAGTGAGGAGCTTGCTAAGCGCGTAGAGTCTTTCGGGCATCCAATTGGCCAAGGTACGTTTGCGTTTTGCAGCCATTAAGCATGTCCTTCATGCTAAACATCTGGCGCTGCGCACTCCAGGCGATCCCTCAACTCCCCCTATCCTCATTTGCAAGATTCGGAAAGGGCAGGAGCTGCGAATAAGGTGTATTGCAAAGAAGGTATGTACCCCACTCAATCCCACACGTAATAGCAGTACAAACACCTGGTCTGCAGGGCATCGCAAAAGAGCACTCAAAATGGTCTCCGTGCGCCGCCGTCGGGTTCGAGTACGACCCACACAACAAGCTGCGCCACACATCGTACTGGTTCGAGTACGACGCGCGCTCGGAGTGGCCGCTGAGCAAAAACGCAAAGGACGAGGAGCCCGCACGGGACGACCTTCCATTCGACTACAACGCGAAACCCGAGAAATTCTACATGGACGTCGAGACGGACGGCTCCCTCGGCGCGCAGGAGGTCGTCATGAAGGTCCGTCTCCCTTTCTTCTTCAGAGCATACTCCCTTTTGTCCCAAACCTCCTCTGACGCACATGTGCTGCAGGGCCTCGCGGAACTCCAGACAAAACTGGCCAACCTAGTCCTGGGCCTCAAGGGCGACCCCCCAGAGGCCGACGGTTTCCAGAACGGCGCCGCGGCGCTCAGCGGACCCGCCAACGGTGCAGAGCCCGCTGCGGCCGCCTGGGGCGCGCCCGGCGGCGGCGGTGGCTGGAGCCCTGCACGCGGAGGAGGTGGCGCGGGTGGGGGCGCGACCAGCTCATGGGGCGCAGGTGCAGGCGGAGGCTCGACCAGCACCTGGGGCACCAGCCCGTCGCGCGGTGCGGGCGGGGGCGCGACCGGGGCATGGGGCAACAGCCCTGCTGCTGCGCCAGGGGGCTGGGGAGTGCCGGCTGGAGGCAGCGGAGGTGGTACGGCAGGCGGATGGGGCAGCCCTGCCGCTGGCGCTGGCTGGGGGAGCCCGTCGCAGACGCAAAACGGGTGGAACGTCTAGAGTTCTACGTTCGGTTCGGGCTTGGCTGTATTATATTGTACTGATGTATTTTGTATTGACGCATTCTAACGTCGTGTCCCATCGAGGGAACTCTACATGGCACTGTCACTCGACTACTGTGCGATGGAATGTCTGTCGTTCGACGACGGTACGCATTATTAGCAGACGTGACGTAGCGTAGATAGTCGTGGACAGCTTGAAAACAGGAAGCAGGATGACCATGTGCCCAAAGCAAAGAGCGGATAACGATATATGCTACACAACATGCACGCTCTTGTGCTCTCTAGATCGCCTTCGAGACTGTCGCCATGCGCGTCCTTAGGGCGCGAAGGTCGACGCGTTACTACGGGGAGCCTGCAGCTCGATCTCCTCCATCATGGTCTGCGGCGACTGCGTGCGTGAACTTGAGACGGGCACGGGCATCGTTGCGGCGACGGGCATTTGGGGCAAAGGCGGTATTTGAGGCATCGGGGGAACTGAAGGGTCAGGCATCAACGGGCGTGAACGCTGCTTGGGAGTCCCAGCTGGGGTCTGATTGCGGGGACCGGTCATGTAGAGCTATAAGGATCCTGTCAATTCAATCGCTAAGCTGCGATGGAAACCGTACTGACCTGGTCGTTCTCGCCAAACACGTCCTGCGTCGGGTCCACTGTGCGTCCCCAGACTGTCAGCATTTTCCGAGGCATTCCACACCAATGGCCAACGTACCAATCGTGCTCTTCGGGTCCGAGAACATCCAGTCGGCAGTCGGGAAGCGATTGTCATGCATGCCCGGGGGTGTCGCATGCGCCTTCTCTGCCTCTTCCTTCCGGACGACCTCCTCGTACGGAACGAGGGTGTACTTGGACGGGCCGGAGGGCGCGTTCGGGTCGCCGGCGGGGCCGAAGATCTTTACCTTCTCCATGGACGTCTTGAGCGCGCAGATCCACTTGTTGCGGCGTTGGGCTGTATAATCGCGGGGGTTATATACATGGGGAAGGGGGTCAGAAGGGAGGCGCGGACCTCGGAGCGTGCCCTGCTGCCAGTTGCTCTTGTACTTGATGTCGGCACGCAGAGTCATCTTTTCCTGACCGGGGATGTCTGCAGGTCACCCGTCAACTTACGCCCGCTTTTCCTGTCATTACGGATCCGGACGCACCGACTACGTTGACGTCAAATGCTGGCTGGAAGTCACGGCGCTCGTTCTTCAGAAAGGAAAGCATCACTTCACGCAACCTCTCGATTTGCTCGAAGGTGGTGCTGAATGCCTACCGTACGCCAGTTCAGCGGAAACATTCGTCACAACACAATTGAAGGGTGCACGTACGACATCGAATGAGAACGACTCAGACATCTTCCCAGATCCGGTCAGTTGCCTCCCAAGACACGGAATGCACTGAGACGCACCTGCGGGCTCCGGCGAATGTTGTGGATAAGCTGCGTGTTCATCCACGTGTTCGGTGCTTGCACCTGGCACGCGTTGCTGTCGAGGAAAATCGTGCTGAGAAGGCGCATCTCCTTCACCGTGTACGTCTCGGTCGCGATGCTGATGCGGTCGCCGACGTCGTACGGGTGCTTGATGAACAGGAAGATTATGCTGGTGAGCACCTCCGAGAGGCTGCCACCAATAAGCCAGCTGAGACCTACATGATGTGAGCGGGCGTGTAGGGGATGGTGGAGCGGAGAACTTACCGAGGACAAGGGTTCCGGCGCTGGTGATGAGCGTGGCCAGTTGCGCCTCCTGCGGGCGCGTTCAACTCGGGGTGTTCTCGAGCGGGCCACACGGGGAACTTACCAAAGCGACTGCGAAGATGAGAATCACGATGACAAAGTACAGACTCATGAGGATGTTGTCCAAGCGGCCGACAGCGCTGTCCAAGTCACGCATCGAATGCTCTATCGAGAGCTGTTCACGATGCACCTCCCTGTGCGCACCCATCAACACAACGCAATCGCGCGTCTCGCATTCCCAATGTCAACTCACATGCAGGCCATCTCAACCTCATCCCGTTTAGCGTCGCCGTTCATGTCCTTGTCGAAAATCGCAAACGCAGCATCGGCGTCGTCCCTGGTAGGGAAGAAGCGCTCGATATCCTCGACTCGGAGGTGTTCCGACCCAGGGCGCACAAACGAGTAGAACAATCGCCGTGCAAGCTACCACACTCGTTAGCATTCCACCGTTCTTCGACCCCCATTTGATCAAAGCACTCACGAGCCTCGACTTGTTCGCGGACTCGAGCGCCGTCTTCACCATCGCCTGCGGCGAGTTGGGCTGCAGAAGCGATGTGCCCGCAATTTCAGACGCGACCGTGCCCAGCACCGTCGTCGTCGTGGTCGCGGCCGAGCGCACACCCTTTAGCGCCTTCTTGAAGACCTTCTGCGGGTTGAAGGTGGACTTGCGCTTAGGATCTGTGGCGCCGCCGTCCCGGAGCGTGTCCGCGCGCCACGGGATGTCCGTCGAGTGCTGGTAGAGCGTTACGAGAACGCGCACGGCGAACTTTTGACTGGTGATGCGATCTGCACAGACGCTTGGAGTCAGGTTCCCTGAGGGCGCTGAGCAAGGAAGGTGGACCGACCGGCATACGAGCGCTCGTGGAACTTGCCCGCGATGAACTGAATCGAGAGCTTCTCGGCGAAGAGCACGCACGCGGACAGCATAAGCGCGAAAAGCAGCTTGCTCAGGGTGTCGACCGCCCGCTGCGACGAAGAGTCGTCCGTGCTCTGCGTGGAGTTTATGAGCGGCTGATACGACACGAACACTGTGATCGACCACGCCATGAATGCGGCATATCTGGATGGAAAAGATGAGTGCCGAAAAGCGAGTGTGCAGGCGCAGTCCGTACCGGCGGAGGGCGTCAAACCACTCGATGTACTTCCGTGAGTTGACGATTATGACACCGATAGTGACCCGCAAGAGAGGTGGCAGTACCATGCTATACATCGGGATAGCTTTCAGTAGCTGCGCTCAAACAGGGCAGCAAAATTCCACCTACGCCAAAGCCAAGCAAGACCACCAGCCTGTATTTCAGTGTGAATGGGCAGTTCAAGGCGCCTGCAAAGAATACTTCACGTACCGACCCAAATGACGCTGAACCATATACTCCAAAAGATCAGTTTGACACCATAGATCTACAAAATTGTTCAATATGACGGCCGCTGGATAACACTGAAAGTGCCTACCCTCGTGTCGGGGTACTTCGTAAAGCCAAGAATACCAGGAATCCATAGTATGCCGAGGACCGGGATGATGAAAAGCATCCAGCGCGTCACGATGGACACATTCAGCAGATAGTTATACAACTTGGACAACTGCGCATTTCTGGAGTCAGCGTTTATGTCCCTCCGACCACCACAATCCCGGCGGAGCAAGCCTGAGCCGGAAACGCACTTTGTTTTTGGGCACATCCCCATCCGCGAACGTGAGGTGTGCCTGGCTCGCGTTCCTCGAGTCGAACTGCTCGTACCCATTGCGCATGCCCGCGAGGAGATCCCAGCTCCCGCTCCTGCTCCCGCCATGCGACGGCGGCATGCTCATCCCCGCGTCGTCCTCTCCCGGCATCGGCATCTGCACCCCTCCCCTTCCCGGCATGCCCCCTACCGGGTACGTCTGCGCGCGCGCAGCGTCGTACTGGCGGAACGCCTGGTTCATCGTCTGTTCGTCCATCTGCACGTGCCGTGCAGTTCCGCTCTCGGGCTGCGTGGTCGCGAGCAGCGGGCGCGCGTGCTGCGGGGGGTAGCCCGCCCGGGTGGCCGGCGGGGAGTGCTCGTCGGAGAAGGGGGAGCCGGTGGAGGAGGAGCCGCTGCGCTCCCGCCCGTACGGGCGGCCGTCCGTGGCCATGGGTCGTCGTCTAAGTGTGGGGGGTGGAAGCCGCTAGGGCTGAGGCCGCCGAATCAGTCAAAGTATATGTACGCGGGAGGGGTTGCCGTAGCGCGAAGATCGTCTCGGTAGGCGCAAGATGACCGAAGGGCGTGGCAACGGCGGTGGACGGTGGTGGTGGCAGTAGAGAGACAAGAAAAGACAAGACGGGCGCAAGTGGGACTGCGCAAGCAAGGATGTGAGACGTGCCAGCAACGTCAAGGGTCGGTGCGTACGCAGGCCCCGGAATGTTTAGGATGTAAGCACAGAGTTTTTGCGAAGGAGAGCACCCTCTATCGCGTGAGTGGTTCTGCCAAGGCGGCACAGGCAACCATCCCGATCGAGCAATTGTCAACTGCACCGCTCGATCAATTTCGCCGGGCCTGCCGCGGGCCGCTTCGAGGGCATCCAGGGCCGCCATGACGCGCACCCACGCGTACCTACGGCGCCACGCATCCCGGTCTTCAATCTGACGGCATACCGGGGAGAACGAGTTTGAAGGAGAGGACATGGGGGAATAAGTGACCGGGTCTTGGCTGAAAAGAGCGGGTATGTTCTGCTTTATATACGCTGATACCCCACTGCGCTTCTGCGTTGCTCAGACATGTGTCACAGAACATGCGAGGAAGTCTCGATCGTGAACAGGGTGGCTGCAATTTGCCACACTTCGGCACCATATGCCCATGCGTATACTGATCATGATCATAACTACTGCGCCCCCTAGAAATATAAGAACATAGCGTACGGCGGAAACGAATAAACAAGTATCGTATAGAAGTAGATGTGTAGACAAGTACTCGCCAGAGGCCCGACCCGGCTGGTGCACCACACGCGGCACGCAGATCACCTGTACGTCCTCTTACGCAAGAGCACGCCCTCCACCGCCTCTCGTACATGCATCTGCACCCGTTCTGGTGTCGAAGCGGCCGATGCATCGTCCGTCGTCACGGCTGTCGTCACCGGATTGGACGCGGGGTCAGGCGATGTCGGCGCAGGCGTGGCCGAATGCCGCCGCGGTTTGAAGATGAGGGCAATGATGAGGCCGAATATGATCAGCAGCAGCAGGAAGATACACTGTCGCCGCCCGGTGTTCTTCTGGTACCTAGACGAAGCAAGGAAGCGGGGCGGAGTTAGCGTCCATGCTAGAAGGGGGGGAGAGCGACAGGAACCTGGTCTCAGAGGGGAAGAGGGGTACGGTTGGTAGAAAGGAAGCGCGAGAAGTGATACGACGCTCTCAGAGTTCCAGGGCACGAACGTATCACGGGAAGACGATTGAGAAGACGAAGGGGGAGAAGAGGGACGTACTTGGTTGCTACGTCCAGCTCCCGTACCGCGTCTTCCATGTGCGCCGCCGTCTGCTCGATGTTGTATTCCACGCTGTCCAGCAGCGTTCCCTGATCGATCACCAGCGCCGACAGGTCCTTGAACAGTTCCGCCAACGACGCGATCGACCGCGCGATCTCGGTCAGCTCCCGGTCCCGTGTCTGCAAGTTGAGGTCCGTCATCTGGCGCACTACCACATCCTGGTGGGACTGCACGCATACGAATGGTCAGCACAAACACCCAAAGAAGCACCGACGAGCACCCGGTGCATGTGAACGTGACGCACTGCAGCCGCTGCCTCTACATCCTCGTCCAGCGCGGACATCCCAGCCGACCCCTTAAGGGAAACCGCGCCCGACGCTGCAAGCAGGTCTTGGTTCTTGATCGCATGTCCCTGGAGCTCTGTGAAGCAGCGCGTTCAGAATCCGCTCCAGGTCGGCCGCGTGCCACCGATCGTCGCGCCCGTGCGCAAGGCTGCGCACTGCATTCACTCACTTTCCATGTAGACGCGCTGTTTCTTCCGGAACGTCGCGCTCAGTTCCTGGATGCGCGCCGCGAGGCCGCGCTGAACGTTCTTCGCCGCGAGCTCCTGATGTCGTGACTGCCCACCTAGGGCAGGCGGGAATGAGTGCTGCGGTATCGACCCAATCCGCTGGATCAATGTATGACACTGGCGGAAATCCTGCCCACGGAACGGAAGCAATCGCATGCCGGAGTCAGCGGAGAGTAATAGCACGTAAAAGCGATAGCCCATCTCTTACCTTCGTGATATCGGTCGTCGCGGCCTCGATCTCTCTCTCTTCCGCGGACCGGTCCGAGAATCCGGGGAGTGCATGCTTCGCATGCAGCTTGTCGAGTACAGCGACTGTTAAAACATGAGGTTAACGTGGGGGCGTGGACGGTGTGTGGAATACAGCGGTTTGCGAGGACTGGGCGTAGAGGGACATACTTTTAGCCTCAACGCCTGCGAGGATCTCTTTTACTTGGTCCGCGATATCAACCCTGTCGATCCCACGATGGATTAGCATGCTTCATGGATAGCCAACATGAGGCGGCAAGACTGGACCCCAGCCGCCGGGCCGGCCCCACGGACACTGAGCGATGCTGCTGGAAAGCAGTATGTTTCTCTCGAAAGAGTATGGCATGTATCGCCCATCACGAGTCTGACCACTGCGATTATAAACATATTCACGTTCTAGCCAAGGTAACCACATGACGGAGTGTCATCGCGCTGGACGCTATGGCAAAGGTTCCAGCATAGTGGGCATCGTGCATGAGATTGCGTCCGACGTATATCGGAAGCAGCAGTTGCACTAGCATCGTGGACTCGGAGCACGAAGCACGTACAATGTGCACCAGCGGACTGTTGGGAGAATCATGAGCCTAGCGAGCAGTCGCTACCGGCGCAGCTCTGCTCCAATATGACCGCGAGGAGGCTCACTTGACACGCCACCGGAGCTCAGAAGCTACGTAGTGCCACACTTGAGGGTGGCCAATATCACAAGCGACCATCCATGAACGGCGCAATGCGGGAGATATCATCATCACCTTGACCAACTTCAAGGTGCCACCTGCGGTATGTGGTGTGGGAAGAACTGACGACCAAGGGAGAAAGGAAGGCAGCTCTTCGGCCAGAGACCACAGTCACGCCGAGATGATAGCAACTCCGACCGAAGACATGCCCGGGAGAGAACGTCCTGGGGACCGCGGGATGTGTTCCGCGGAACGTGTTCGTGAATGTGTTCTGCGTTCCGGGTGACCGAGTGTGGTAAAGATGGTCGCAGTGGCGGCGTCCACATACCGTGCCGAGCGTACCAGGGCAATGCGCTCGGCACGAGCCCGCCACCCAAGTACTCACGTTGGAGGGGGCAAAATGCCACATACCGCACGACATTGGTACACCACTGGTCACCTCTGTCACCCAAAGAAGCTACCAGAATGCGGAACACGAGCCATAACGTGTTCTGCGGGACAGATCTCTCTGCCGCCGGGACCTTCTGGACCGGGGACTGTCTTTGCTGGTGCCGGTACACTCAGGGAGGTCTCCGCGCGTCGCTCAGGTCGCCATTACGTGCATGCCAGTACAAGGACCGCCGTGCACGTAAGGCGTTGAGCTCGTTGCCAGGGACAGAGCGCACGGACTCCAAAGACCGTGATTTGCGACTCACCATTTAGGCGGAAGTTCTGCGTCTATGGAGATATGTCCAGAGTCGGGATTAATGAGGTGCTCGTGCTCATCGTCCTCGTTCTGCGCAGCGTCGTAGTTGGTGATGACCCTTGAGCGGCGTGTTCGTGAAGAGCCGGCGCGGGAGTCCCTGTAGGAGATGAACAGGAGGGTGCGGGAGCGGGTGGTTGGGTTGAGGGAGGAGGAGGAGGCCATTTGGACGGCGGCGGAGCCTGGCGCTGGCGGAGGGCCCGCGAACGGTCGTCATGCCGGTGTTTGTTTGGCCGCGCCGGCCGTGCGCTCGCGTGGCCGAGCGGGGCAGGAACCCGGAATTTGGCATGAAAGTCAAAATCTGCGAGCGCCCGAATATTGCCGAGCGACGGAGCGCCCGCAGCTGACGGAATCGGAACACGGGGGCGGATGCCGGAGAGCTTGGAAGTGTGGCTAAAAGGAATATTGGTTGCAGACGGCGCCCCATGACCAGCGCGCGGCTGTGGATACAATGATGCTCGTCGCCGTTTACGTGCAGGGCGAGGAGCGCCTGGGAGGGTTCGGGGCTTGCATTGTTCGCGAAGGGCGTCCGCGTCCGCGCCGACGCTGGGAGTGGCACCGCGGGCGTCGAGTCGATCGGCGTCGGAGTGTGGCCTCGGAGCCCCTGTGACCGCCCCGTCCTGGATCTGCCATCGCTTGTCCATCGCCTGCCCTTCCTTGCCAACCGCGTTGCATTCATCCCCTCCTGCCGGCCCTTATCGATTGTCTTCCGGATCACCCACCGCCCAAACCTGTGACTCTCTATTCCGGTTTTTTCAACGCATGGTCGAAACACTCGCATTGTGATGCCCCTTCTTTCCCGCTCGCTATAAAGTCTCCCCCGTCCCTCCACCTCTACCTTAAGCTCCCCAGCGCCCCTCTATACTCCACCGTCTCCGCGCATCTCCTCCCTAATACGCTGGACCGCAAGCTCTCTATTCGCAACCTACACCCCTCTCCTCGCCGACGACCTCTTCCGCACCCGATTGCCCCCATCATCCTCCGCATCGTCCTCCGCACCATCCTCCGCCCCCATCTTCGCCGCACTATTCCCCTCCGTCGACCGTGATCAACAAACTTTTCCGTATCGTAAGCGCATCACACCGTCGACGCTTCTCCGCTCGCTTAAGTCCATAAACTTTAGACTTTCCATCACAGCTGTGCAACATGTGCTGTCTCGATACGTGCGTCCAACTTCTTCGTTCGTAGCTGCATGCCCTGACGTGCTCCGCTCGTTCTACAGCGAAGGCACACGTTATTTCTGCGGTGTAGGTGTTCCTCGTTGATAGACTTTCCTCGCGCCCTGGCTGACGTCACTCCGCCGCCCGTTATAGCACTACATCATCGTACGTGCCTTTCTTTCTTTGTCCCTGTGTGCGCTTGTGCTTATGCTCTTCTCTGCAGACCAAGAAGCTGCGCAAGCACGACTGCCAGAGCCCGTGGTGCTGGAACTCTATCCGCCACCGCTGTCCGCCCAACTCCGGCTGCAGCTGCGACCGCGTATGTCTTTGATTGTGCTATCTCGCACACCACGCACTAATCCTCTCTTGCTAGTACTTCGGTCCTGACGCGAATGAGACCGTCACCGAGGTCAGCCCCGACTTCTGCCCGGAGTGCGCCCCCCATTTCGGCCCGAAACGCATCAGGCGCCGCCAGTAGTCTGCACCAGAACGACATGCACATCCCACATCTGCCGGTTCCACCCTGCCCCGCGATCTGTCTACACTACTAGTTCTCATTCCTAGTCGCGCCCCCGTTCCATCGCTGTATCCCATGCTGTCGGAATCCTGCCCATGCTGTCGACATCACTCGAAGCCAACCAAGCACGCACGCTTCGAACGTGTTGTACCATACTACTTCCGTATCTATCACTTCTTTATCCTTCTCATCATTCGTCACACACGCTACGTCGTACATGGAAATCATTACCTCTCCCCCTCCCCCAATCGTCGAGCGATGGGAATGTAGTATATATAATATCTCCAGTTATCACAACAAGTCCTTTTCGATCACATAATAGGGCGCCGATGCTCTGCTTCTGCAGCTGAAAGGGTTCACATGAAGGGGCGAAGCTTAAGTAGAGTGACCTGCACGACTGCTGCTCGTACGTGTGCACACTGTAGAATAACCCGTAACGCCGACATTGGTTTTGGAACATGGGATGGTGCATACACCAAGTGTTGCACTGGCGATACCTTAACGAATGAGAGATACTCATGAGCTGCGAGAACGAGCTGTCCTGCATCGCTTGTCAGGTCGCAAGGGAACTGTTTCTTGAGTCCAGCTACGGGTGCATATTACAAAATGGTCTGAACGACACAAAGGACATACAACGAGATTCATGTACCGACATCACCACTTGACCGCAAGCCCGACGACCTCGCTCTCCACAGCGCGATACTGCGTCCTGAATAGCGTCCGTCGACGCTCCTCCGCCGCCACGTCCAGAATCGACGCCCACGCAGTCCTCCCCTCCGATGATGGTGCCGCGCCGGTGATCTCCACCAACACCCGCCCGGCCAGCTCGTCCGCATTGTCAAAAACAGATCCGGTCTTCGAGCCGAACGACGATGAGAAGCCCTCGGCAGGTGGCGTCGGCGGCGGTGTCGGGAGCGTGTGCCAGTACGCAGTTTCCACTTTCCGCGTCCATTCCCGGTCACCCCACTTGGGCGCGACTGGAACAGCAGGCAGCGGCTCGTCGATGTCCATCTGGACCCCGCTGGCTGCCCAGTCGCGTGGCAGGCCCTCCGCGTCGGTCGTGGTCTTCGACGCCTGGTGCACTGGGCGCAGTTGTCCGCCGCCGTTGACGCAGCCTCCGGGGCAGGCCATGACCTCGACGTAATCGTATCCTCGCTCTTCCTGAGGAGCGCCTTCCGTCCCAGCGGTGCCGCCTCTACGCACCGCACGTCCTCGCGCGCGAAGCCCCGCCATTCGTCCTGCCGCCCCTCGGCCGACCTGCACGCCGGCTTCCCGGCCGACCTTGCGCACGACGTTCTGCAGGTTTCGGAACCCATAGCACTTCGCGCCTCGGAATACGACGGCGCCGGTAGATCGATCCGTGAGCGTGTACTCTTCGTAATCCGCGGTCCGGACCGTCTTCGTCGAGAGCTCGAGCACGGATGGGTCGGCCGCGGTTGAGGTGAGCGTGGAAATGAGCGAGTGCATGTACGAGCCCGAGCTCGTTCCGGGATGCATGAGGAGCTCCGGGAGGCCGTGGTCTGCACCCGTGTTCGTGGCGTTCATGGCGGCATCGATGGCACTAGCGCTTCCATTGACGATTCCGTGGGGCAACGTGGGATGGGGGCGCGGAGGCAGATTCTCGTCGGGCACCGGCATTGAGAGTTCCCAACCCTTGTCCTGCATCAGGAGCTGGAGCTCCCCGGTGGTAATAACGCAGTCCACGTCGCGCGTCGAATACACCTCGCTGTAGAAGTCCTGCCGCGATGCTTCAAGCTTCTTATCGTAGCACGGCATCACTGTGACGTGGTATATCTGATCGGGCCTGAGAAGACGATAAGTCGAAGGTGGTACGTCGGCGATCCATCAATACAGCGGGGGTAGAATCAGCGGCACAGGGAAAAGAGAGCGAAATGATCAGCGCGTCTGCATAATCTGAGTGACAGGATACGCACTGCTTGCCCCATTTCGCGCCTAGCCACTCCTTGACGAGAGTACCCATGACCTGTTGCGGACTCTTTGTCTGTGAGATATACGGCAGCATCTCGGAGTGCGTCTTCTCCGCGTAGCACACCCAGCCAGGGCATGCGCTTGCGAGCATCGGGAGCTTCCCATCTCCCTTCTTGCGCTCTGCGAATTCTTTCGCGTGCTCAAGCAGAGAGATGTGCCGCGCGAATGTGGTGTCATACACGTGGGCGAAACCAAGGGCGGACTGGCAGAATGCAGTTACACGCCGGAGGACCTGCAGGAGGCTCAAAGTTTGCGAAGAGGTGGAGGAGATGGAAGCAGCAAGTGACGCGAGGCATTGGGGGGCAATGGAGATGACTGGGACCTTGTGATCCTGAGACGTAGAAGGGGGATTATTTTCCAAGAAGTTCAAGACCTCGGTGTGGGATTGCATGGTGATGAGGACGGACTCCGCGGACGTGATACACCCACTGAGCACGATGTTTCAGTTCCTCGCACATAAGGCCCGTGCACAGAGAGCGTACCTGCATGCCAGACAGTCATTCAAGCTAATCTCCGCAGTTGCAAGCTTCTGCTTGGTATCCTTCCCTGTCTGTGTTGCGGTCTGTTTGCTAGTTGCGGACACCTCGTAGTATAACCCGCTCGAGTCGACCTGGATTTCGGTCTACCGAATCGCAGGCGGTATGTGAGTTATGCCTTGTGAGACTGTCTCACATGCGCGACTCACGGCGGCGGCACCAGCATCCTGGGGCTCCGGTTTGTTGGTCTGCTCTACGGGCTTGATGCAGGCTAGCGAGGGCGTAATGAAGTCATTGAGATCGGTGAGCGTCTACTTTTCCAGCATCAGCGACCTTCCCATCTCCGTGTCCTAGGTCAAGAGGAGACAAACCAGGGCTCCAGAGAACGCCATGTTGCGCAGTAGAGGTGGTGGTGGTGATGGTGTAGAAAAGCGGTAGAGAGCGGCATTTCGGAGAAGAAGACGGAGCCGGAGTCACTCCCAGCCTGCCTGACAAATCGGAGATCTCGATCGGCTCCAACACTGCCACTCATCACCTCCGTCCACATCCAGTAGGTTCTGTTGTTCAGCGCAAGAGGGGGGCAAGATCTGAATCGGGAACACCGACCTCAAGTTGACCCCCCCACCCCCCCGGTGTCCTGGGTCCCGGTTCGCGTTATGTTAGTGAGAGTGCCCAAAATCTGTGCTTCAGGACGATTTGGAAAGTGATTTTTGGTGAACGCACTCTCGTATACTATTCCATCATGTCTGTGAATTTTGGAGGCGGAAGATGGGGACAGAGGTGACCCCGTCGCTCATTCAGTTGGGCGGGAAGTGCTTAACCTGCACGTGATCAGCGCGTCGCGCGCGTCGGCTCGAAGACGCGCGCCCGGCGCCTGTGGCAGCTGTCTCTCAATGCGCCGTACGTACCCGCATTAGCCCTGCTACGGCATGAACATTTGGGAAGCTAAGAGAATTTACTGTGATTCTGGTACTTTGTGCTCGCTATTTCTGCAAGCTTCGATAACCCGGCGCGACTGCTTACCTCTACGGCAACGAGGCTTCAACAAGCTAGCTTCAACTTCGCTTGACAAGACTCTTCAGTGCAATAAGTTGAGTGCCGCTGAGCTCAGTCGCGATGAGTGTTAGCTTCGCTACTTCAAGCACCCTCTATTCAATGAAAAACATTCCGGAGGTGCGTACGTTCCACTCGAGCTCTCAGGTCCATCACTTTCTGAAGGCGCCTAACATCTCGTTTAGCTCGGCAAGGTCGCTTAAGGGGGGGGAGGGGGTACCCCCCCGGTTCTCGGGGTCCCTGAAATCTGTGAGGTCAGTGTCGAAAAATCTGATTCTGCCCCCCTCTTGGTTCAGCGCACAGCTCAAGCCAATGATCAGTCTGCTGTTTGTGTTGACGAGATTCGTCAGCTTGGCCTCATTGTGAGCACGACTGAGTGAATACAGGTAAAATGTTGAATAAGCAGATAGTTACAGCAATACAGGCTACATTATTCCAGATCCAAGTCCAAATACCTAACAGAGATTGCGCGGTTATAAGTCTACAAGCAACATGATGGGAGCAGGGGCATAGAGGCATAGAGCATAGTGGGGGCATAGGGCATGAGGGCATACGATGAGACTATACTACAATAGGGAGATGAAGGTAAAGACATTAGAGCCAAAATAACGGAGACAATTCTGAAGCAAGATAAAAGAGTAACGCGAAGGGAATAAAGATACAGTGGCCTTATGATTTGGGCCTCAACAGCAATGAAACCTTCTCTCTCGGCCACTCGGGACGGACTTCGGGTTCGGGGGGCACAGTCTTGACTGGAGGAACCACCCACCGAATCTGGGGCGGCTGCGCCTTCTTCGCTCCGAGCCCAAAGCCGTTCTTGGCTTTCTGCCACAGCTTGCTCGCGGCCGACGGCCCCGGTTGCGGTATCTCCGTGGCTGCAAGGGGTTGCCCCAAATGCGAGTCCAGATTGCGTAGCGACGCCGCAGAGCGTGAACCGATATAGTTCGCATACATCCCGCCGCTCCTTTGTGTCTCTCTGATCTGCTGCAGCTTTGGGGAGTCGCGGAAGAGGAACGGCCCGGGAACACTGCGCGCGCGGCGCAGCTGCGACTGCAACTGTTCAGAAGCATCGGCCTGGCTGCGCCCCTTTTCGCCGGACACAAGTAGGGGTGTGTCGATAGCGGCGGCAGCAGCAGCGGCGAGGGGACCGCGCGTAGGCGCTCGCAGAATTGACAACGAGGAGTATCGTGGCGGGGACTCCTCGCTGGGCTCCTCGATGCCTAGGGATGACGGCACTGATGACGGAGACTCCCCGCTCTGCTGAAATGGCGGGGAAGTCGACGACGACGAGCTTCTCGGGGAGGCGGCGTCGAAGCGGACTGCCCTACTGCTAGAGGCTCCCGCGGCGTCGACAAGATCGTATGGTTCTCCTAGCGCGGAGCTAACCACCTGCGGGCGGGGTTTCATAGCCGACTTCAATGGCTGGGGCCGGGGCTCCGGTTGTCTCAGCGCGACGCTATGCTGCCGATCGAGCTGAGCTGTGCTCTCGTTCAGGGCCTTCAAGCTCTCCGCAGCAAAGTCGGACGACGCGCGTGAGGGTGCAGACGGAAGCGGCCTAGTGGGTGCTCGGAGGATCAGGTTCGACGGTAGTGAGCGGTAGACCAAGTCGTCGTAGTCGTCGTCGTTGTCAGTGTCCTCCTCCACGCCTCTTTCGAACGCGGTAATCAGTTTGGGCGACTCGCTCCAATTGTCAAGGTCCAAGACGAACGATGCTGCTGCTGCGGGGGACTGCTGAAGAGCGAATTGAGGTGGACTGCCACCGCACGACGTCTCAGTCCCAACGACGGAGTGGCCTTCCGAGGGCGCTGCCGAAGAGCGTTCCGGCGATAGGTCGCGGGCACGTTCTTTTCCTTTCGCGCTGAGAGTGGTAGCCCTTGTGCCAGAGGAAGAGGGCTTCCCAGAGACCAGGAGGGAAGGGAGCGGCGGAAGAGGGGGCAGTACGTGGTCGATAGACGCGACCTCCGATACCACGGTATCCGCCTTAGATAGCCTCGCCAGACGTTTGGCGACCTCTTTCACGGGCATGCCCGTAGACGCGCAGGCGGCATTGGCCGTCGACGGTCGGACGTGCTTCGGAGAGGAAACCTTCCCCACCTTCGAAGACACCACTTCAGTGTTCGACGCCTGGATAGGGGGAGTGACAAGGCCACATTCGGAATCCATGACGGAGGGAGGCATGGCAGCGGAGTCCATGTTCGAGACCAGGGAACTACGATGGCTCGGCGTCGGGGTTGGACGCGGTTGCGGTGTCGTCGCGTTCAGGGACCGAGCCTTTTCAACAGACCCACCGGCGGCGACTTCTACCTTGCGTCGCGGCGCAGCCTTGCTCTCCGCACCCTCGGTCGCGACCTTTCGATGGGTGAGGTGGGGGCTAGATCTGCTACTTGTCTCAGTTGTCAGCTTGGAAGGCCTGATCGTCTCAGAAGAGCCGACAGAGCTGGCAGTACGAATAGATGCTGCGTCGGGTGGCGAGGGCTGCTTTGCTGTGCGGGCGGAAGGGGGATTCGGATGTGCCGGCGAGGGAGTAGATGGAGCCGGGGAAAGACTGAGAGCAGAGCTGCTGCTGGATGACGACGTCCGCGTACGCAGCTTTACGGGGGCTTCCTGGAACGCGGGGGTCGACGAGCATGATGAACTGCTGCCAGAGGAAACCTGTTCACTCTACGTTAGAAATTGTCAAGATACTAGAAGCCGTGATTAACTTACAGATCGTTGGGAACGAGCTTCATCGCTCTTCGCGGTATGCGTGGTACTCTTCGGGGACATGCTGTTTGTCGACGTGGCTTCAGACAAAGTTGACGGCAGAATCCGCCTCATTTGAGGGCTCCGCTTCGTAGCCTCTGACGGTACATGTTTGGAGGGCGGAAGATCTCCCCCCTTCAATGACTTTGTCGAGGGAGGCGCCGATGCCGTAGATGTGGCGATGTCGCGCGTCGAACGGGTGGGAGGGAGTGGAGGGCGCGCGGGAGGTGTGGTTTGAGTACCAACGGTCTTCAGACGTGGCACCTGCGCAGTAGGCGGGTTTGGGCGCACCGCTGGGTGCGGGACAGCCTTCGGGGCAGGCGGAGGCGTGGCAGAGGCTCGTCTTGCGGTAGGTCTTGGTGCGGTGGCGGGCGTTGGGAGATGGCTGAGCCGAGGTTCTGTCGTAGGAGTCGGCTTGGCAGCAGCTGCCGCCACTGGCGCGCGCGGGGACTGTGCACTCGTCTGGGGGGCCTTCGGTGCCGCCTGTATCAGCGTTGAGTGATCGGAGCGCTCTGAAATGTCAGACAGCGCATTCGTCGCGATCTTTCCAACCGACGATGGTGGAGCTGACGGAGAGCAAGCATTCTCTGGAATCGCATCGCACCAGGCATGTATGTTAGCCCTCCCTATCAATTCGGCCGCCGCCTGTTTGGCCGCGCGGGCGGGGGTAATGGTTGCTTGTGAGCTGGACTGCGAGACAGAGCTCGAGCCATCGTCAGACAAGGCTCGAGGCGGAGAATGCGCCACAGCGGGAGCAAGCTTGACTGCAGCAGTGGACTGAGCGGCCGGGCGTGCGTCGCTCGGAAGCGGCCTCCCTACGCGTGATGGCGCATTAGAATCCCTGGTCGGACGCGGTGTTGTCCGTGGGGGTTGAGTCTTTGTCCCCGCTGCTTGCGACGAGTTTTCAGCCCGTGCCGTTGAAGATTTCGCATGGACTAGCGGAGTCGCTGCTGATGGAGACGACTGGGAGGTAGCGGGTGGTTGTTGGGCGGCGGCAGCAGCCTCGGGGTCAGCCTGTGGGAAGATAGGTGAGCACGACGACAGTCGCAGCTGGAACAAACGCACACGGCGTACCTTCAGCTTAGCTTTTGCCGCACCGGACCGTGCTGCGTCTTCGCGAGTGAATGGCCTGCGATTTTGTAAGATCTCGGCGAGATGATCCAGCTTTGTGTGGCAGTTATCCATGTGCTCTTTAAGAATCTTCCCAATTTCCTCATCGCTCATCCGTGCGGATCTGTGCGCTGCAGTAGTAGTCGGTACTGGGGCGCGATGTGGGGTCTGCTCATCGGCGTGGGGCAAGGTGGGGGGACGCGATTTGGGCGTGCCGCTGAAGCTTGCCTTGGGTGTGGACGTGGTTGTCGACGCTGAGGGATCAACCACAGGTGTCCGGCGCAATTTCGGGGAGGGGGTCACACGAGGGGCGTGCGTCTTCGACGGCGTACCAGCTGGGATGATTGGTGTGGTAGTGGACTTGGCGGGTGCCGCGTTCGAAAGTGTAGCGGTAAGGGCCGTGTCTGTGGGTTGGGCACTCATCACCACGCGCGTAGAGCGTGATCCTCCTTTCATCCCCGCGCCGGGCCCGCTAGCGTATTCTTTTGCATATGGGGCGCCAATGGGAGTGGTCGTGCAGCGCACAGTTTCTGTAGGATGAACGGAGGCTAGAGGGCACGATGAGGTGATTAGGGTCTGTCTCATGACAAGGACACGCGTCGTACTTACCCTTCGATATCTGCTGGGCGCCCTGCAGCTCTTTAGCCACATGTCGGTGGCTCGAAGACCCGTCGCGATTCTCCGACGCGTTGATGCCTTTGGGTGGGTGCGGGGCAGGTTGGTTGTGGCGGGCACGTTCATCTTTGGGATTCCTCTGCCGAGGGGACTGTGTAGATGCGATCCTGCGGGAGTCGGCCTCAGGAGCCCCACCGCGAGCGGGACCACCGGCGGGCGGCTTCGGGGGGGAATGGTGCATGGGGGGCATCGGTCCAATAGGCAGGACGCTGTGGTGCAGCGTCAATGGATGGGCGTGAGTGTAAAGGTATCCCGCAAGGGGTGAAGGGTGGAAGAGGTGGAAGGAGGCAGAGAGAGGACGCGTCGCGGGAACTACAGTGGCTGAGACGGAAAGACGCGCCGGACCTTGCGCGCAAAGGTCTCGCGGACATATGTATACCCCGTACTGGCCACCGCTTGGACCATCGCTGTCCATTTTTGAATGGCCTTTGCCAACTCTACTCGACAACCCTGCCCTGGCATGACCATGCGCAGACGGCCATTTGGATATATGGATATCTTCGGACGGGCTGGCGCTCGACATCTTGAGCTAGAGACCCTCACAAGGCCAAGCGCTTCGCGTGTTCTAGCTTTGACCTGTCAGACGCGGGTGTAGCCCCTTTATGAGGGTGTGCGGCTCACTCGAGCGATATGAATATATGTATTGAAGAAACTGAATGCATCCCAGCATATGAACGCGAGGGGGATATCATCCAAGTGCGCCGAGTGGTTCCACTTCAGACTGCGATCTAGAGTGCCCGCAGGCCTGAAGTGGGACCCAGCACAGCCAAACATGATCAAAATCCACGCTGACGTTTTGACATCCATCACTACAAGTGGGTACCAAGAAAAAAGTCGGGAAACTGATATCTTGAGGTACTTACAGGTTTGATCCATCGCAGTCGGCGAGAGTAGCATAACTAGTAGCTGGGGAGGGGTCACATAGCATTGGCTGGCAAAGTGTCGGCCCCCTCCACTTATGGCGCCATGGAGTGGCTCCGACTTGATAAAGGCCCCTTCCCCCAAGAAATACAACTATGGCAGCTTGTACCGTTGGTTTCATGGTCCTGGGTTAGCCCATTCTGCTGCGCTTTTCCGGATATCCGTTAGCCTGCAATGTGCGCGACCACGGCGCTTTGGTGACCCACCGAATGAATCGGCGTTGAAATTGTGACTTCTTTGATCTCGACGGACAAATTCCTTTGTCAGGCATGTCGAGAGCCATGAGATAACGCGATATCCAGTCAAAGCGAGCGGCGTGCATAGCCTGGTGGATAAGAGAAGAGTTGCGGGCATGGGGCGCAGGACCTGCGCAACCCGGCGGGTCCCGAGCACCGCCGCAACTTGCCATGCCACGTCAACATCGGTAAGTGCAACTTTGCGCATGTACCCTCCGTGTTAAATTTCCCGCAGGCCGTATGAATAAAATGATTCACGCTGCTAGATATCACACTCGTATCAACTCTGCCATTTAAACAGGGCTCCAAGACATCTAGTTGTATACTACGTACGATCAACTCGTGGCACGCGCCGAGCGCCTGATCGAGGGACCAACAACTACCATCACGCAACAGTGACGTACAAAATACAAAGCCATGGACGCTAGTATATGGCTCCCATTGCCAAACTGGCAACAGGTGGCCGTAATATCTGCGTTGTATGTCCGTCGCATGCGCGACAATATTGCGCAAACAGATATAAAGGCAAACCTGTCGCATACAAAGTACTACGAACGGGATTTGCATTCCCTTGACCCTAAACGTTTAAAATATAAAGGACAGCCATGCTAGGGTTCACCACCAACGGTCCTGGTCCTCCTTGTCCACTGTCACTGGAGAAACCAACCGGCGGGAATGCAATGTGGGACAGCAGTCTCGCAAATAACTTTCCAGCAGGTGACACTGCCCTTGCCCCTCCAGTACCAGAGCTTGTATCGAGCCCAGGTTTTCGCCCGTCAACAGTTGTTCTATGGTTGTCCAATCTAGAACGCGCATGTCCTCGAAGTAGGCAGGAGAAAGGTTCCGGACGGCACATTCGGAATTTAGCGAACGGAGGTCCTCCACGTTGTCGACAACCAGCGCGATGGTGATGGTCCGGAGGAACGGCGACGAAAGTTGTGAGAGGATGGTCGGGATCGACAGGAGAGACTCGTTCTGTGCGACGCACATCTCGCCGAAAGCGAAGCGCAGAGTGCATGTCTCCAGGACCGAAAAGGACTCAAGCCAAAACTCGCTTCCCCGCAAGGCATCTGGAAGGGCATGGTGAGTCTTCGCGCAAGAGTCATGCAATGCGGCTCCTGCTCACCGGTCATTCTCCCCTCAGGAGCAAACACGATCTCTAGGTTTTTCACGGTACCCGCACAGAAAATGGCTGTCGCGTCGAATTGAATAGCATCCCGCGGATCTTGGATGGTATGTTGTAGGGACAAAAGACCAGGAGTTGCCGAGTGCACTTGGAGCCAGCGGCTGATGAGGGGAGCACCATCACTTGCTCGGGATTCCAGGCGACGCAGAGGAGGGAGTGGGGTGAGATCGTACGGAACATCCGGTTCAGGCGGGAAGTGCACGTCGATGGAGTGCAGACGGACTTCCCGGAGGGCGCGGAATAGGGAAAGACCGGACAGCAATAGAGGTGCAGTGATGACTCCTGGCCCGCATAAGAACAGCGAGGTGAGAGCAGGTATGTGAGAGGCGACCACAGCCAGATGTTCGACAGAGACCCGCTGGTAGGCCGGCGTGACCATGCCGAAGGAAGATAGAGCTGGCAGTCGCGTCAAGAACTCCAGCTCCTGCTTCGGGTCCGCCCAGTCCTTGAAGCGCACGCATACCGAGTTTATCGCAAGGGCGAGATTCGGCGCCGAGTCAATGAGTGACATGAGAGTCGAGACTTGTCGCAGATGAAGAGTAAGGTCGCGGAAGCGGTGGTAGCGGGAGGTCGGCAGCATGACATGGCTGGCAAGGGCACATGCTGCAAGGGCTCGCCGGTCTCTATGGAGGTGGTCGAGGATGCGGTCGATGAGCTCGGGCGGGAGCTGCGCTGTTCTTATGAGCGTCATGACTTGAAACTGATGTACGCAACATACCAGGCATCGTTGCGAGCGAGAGTGGCGAGTCGCGGAGTCGCACTGCGCAGTTCCGGAGGTCGTGGAGGTCGCGGATCAAGCTGTGTGCAACTGCACGCGCGCGCCTCCAGCTGGGATGCATCTCAGAACGCACGCCCACGTCGCGCGCACCGCTCGCACAACACCTTCACCTCTCCGTCTTGCTCGCCGGCCGTTCCATGAGCTCTCGGCATGCTTGGCAGATCTAGTAGACCGCGCGGGGGCGACAATGACGCAGGAGTGAGCCAACCACTGCTGCGCGGCTCCGACGAAGACCTCCCAGCCACCGCACACAACAACGTGCTCTTCTCCGTGGACGACGACGCTGAAGACGACGAGGATGACCTGCCGCTAGCAAGTGCGGATGGTCTCGTAGACCAATCGAAGCCAGGCCATGTCCGCTTTCAGGAGGAAGTCCAGGTGATAGCGCCTCCGCTACGGTCGACCATGACGAGCCGAGAGACTGGTGCGTGAGTCCTTCCACGGGAGAAGCTACGGGCTATGAAGGTTTAACTATGCCTCAAGAATATGAAATGGATACGGACGACCTGGACGCCATAGCTCTATCGCAGCTAGAGTCCTCAGCTCAAGACCGCGCAGGTCGCACAGGAAGCCGCCGCTCACGACGAGAACAAACTATGCCACTGCTCGTGGGGTTGATGGATTCATCCGCTGTTCGAAGAAGCGTGGATAGCCCAGGAGCCAACTATATCTTCGACCAGAATGTCGACCTTGAGGAGCTCGCAGCCAAGCAGACCGCTGGTGGAGGAATGCTGGATTCGGTCGCAAACATGGCAAACTCAATATTGGGCGCAGGTAGTCATCGTTCTCGTTTTATCATGAAACTCAGCTGACCGGAATATCACCAGGCATCATAGGTACGTGTGTGCATATCGGTGGGTGAGTAGCCTAACGTTGCTTCTGCCAGGCCTCCCGTACGCAGTCCGACAGGCTGGTTTCTTTACGGGTCTCATTCTGCTACTGGTGCTGTGCGGAGTAACAGACTGGACGATCCGCCTCATTGTGGTGAACGCCAAACTCAGTGGTCAGAACTCCTACATCGGAATCATGAACCACTGCTTCGGCCCCAGTGGTAGAGCCGCTGTGTCGTTCTTCCAATTTGCTTTTGCATTCGGAGGTATGCATTGGTCTACACAATTCACCATCGTCTCGCGTACTAAATATGGAGGGAACACGCAGGCATGTGTGCGTTCGGCATCATTATCGGTGTGTTGGATTGATATAGCTCACTCGGAAAGTAGACACTGAGATTATGCAGGCGACACAATCCCACACGTCATCCGCTCTGTCTTCCCTCACCTATACAGAGTTCCCGTCCTCAAGCTACTCGTCCAACGACAATTCGTCATCGCGCTATGCACAATATGCGTCTCATACCCACTATCCCTCTACCGCGACATCCACAAACTGTCCCGCGCATCAGGGCTCGCTCTTGTAGGGATGATCATCATTGTTGTGTCGGTCCTCGTCGAAGGCCCAAACGTCACCCCGGACCTCAAAGGCGATCAAAGTCTACGATTCACTTTCCTAGGCGATAACGTGTTCCGAGCCATAGGCGTGATCAGTTTCGCGTTCGTGTGCCACCACAACTCGTTGCTCATCTACGGTAGCCTGCGCACACCCACGCTCGATAGGTTCAACAAGGTGACTCATATATCCACCATCATCTCTCTGGTTTCGTGTTGCACCCTGGCGATATCCGCGTACCTCGTCTTTACCGACAGGACGCAAGGCAACATATTGAACAACTTCGGACCTGTACGTTAATTTTCTGCAATCCGCTCCGTCCATACCTCCAATCTTACCCTGAACCTAGAATGATACTCTCATTAACGTCGCGCGGTTCTGTTTCGGGCTGAACATGTTCACTACGCTTCCTCTTGAGCTCTTCGTATGCCGTGAGGTAGGCTGGCCTTCTTCAATCTATCAATAGCCGCCGAATCTAACTTGTACCCAGGTCATAGAGCAGTACTTCTTCGAAAACGAGCCGTTCCATATGCAGCGGCACGTCTTTTTCACCACCGCCGTCCTCTGCTCCGCAATGATCAGTAAGCTTGCCTCTCTCGCCCGGTTGAGACCGTGCTTGACGCTTCATTGCAGTCTCCATGATCACCTGCGACCTCGGCGTCATGCTCGAGATCACGGGCGGCGCTTCCGCGACCGCCCTTGCGTTCATCTTCCCCGCCGCGTGCCTCATCAAGCTCAGAGCGCCGCAGAAACCTTGGTACGCGCGCGAGAAGCTCCCGGCGGTCGCTTGCGCGGCGTTCGGCGTCGTCGTGCTCTCCATTTCGCTCTTCCTCGCGCTTGGGAAGGCGTGGACGCCCGCCGGCAAGGCGGTGATGTGTGTGTAGCGTCTGCCCGTCATCGTGTCGTTCTCTTCTTGCTTTCGCTAGGTTAGCAATCCCATTGCCGACTCGTGCTCTCTCTTACACGTACGGTACAGCTTTTGCCTGCCGCGGTAGATATTCGCGGGCAGCCCCATGGACGGACTACTGGCATGGACAGACTTCCCCTACATGTATACCAGACGATATAATTTCAGACCGGACTTCGCCCCTGCCCTGGCTAAATCTCGTCTACTCCATAGATATCTACATCGTGCTAACATTAAGTCGCGCCCCGAGTCATCTCCCGCATGCCCTGCGAGCGCGTCATGATTCGCGTACAATATCCCTGAGTCCGGGGACGCTGTCGAGTGCCTCCACGCGCACCCCCATGGCGATGCTCTCGTTCGCAAGGAGCGGCGAGACATCGAGCCCCGTGTAGGTACTCCACACCCGTTCGACGCGGGTCGAAGGCAGCTCCTCCGGCGGGCAGTTTACAGGGTCCAACACCAGCAGCCAGATCGCGTCGTAGCCGCCCGCTGTAAGCACAGTCAGCATGCGAACAGACGCACAGAACAAGATGACACGTACCTCCGGGGACGCCGCCGCCGACCACTCCCGCGACAGAGATACAGGCGTCAAGAAGCGCAGTTTGCTCAGGAGGCTCGATGGGAACATCTGCGTGTTGGCCCATCGCGCGCATGTTCGCGCGGATGCCCTGTTTCAGCCACCGCTGCCGTCAGTAAGGGATCTCCGCGGACGCGAGGACGCGCGAACGTACCTCGGACAGGTTGTGTGCCTCGATGAACCCCTCGATGACCTCTTTGAGGTCGCTGTGGTCGCTGTTGACCGCGATGTTCGGGTTCGCGAGCCACTGCGGGGACGGTGTCAATCAAGGGAAGCGGGAGCCACAGGGAGGCGGACCTGGACGCTCTGGATCGTCGAGATGTATTTGACCGCTTTGCGGTACGCGGTCGGATTCTTCTCTGCAATGGCCGAGAGGCCTAGGAGCGCCCTGCTCAGGCCCTGGTTGAGGCTGTCAATCGTGTCCCATAGGGTCTTCGCTGTCCGAAAAAGTTAGCGAGGCGCTTGAATGGTGATTTGTAGGACATACCATCCGCGGCGTTGGCTTTCCGCCATTTGAGGACCTTGCCGACTAATGAAGGAGTGTCGCTGCCTGCGTCGACGTCCGCGAGCATCAGACGCGTCTGAGGAGGGAGCTTGAAGGGCTCGACGCGATAGTTCCATGCGGGATTTGAGGGGGCAATGACAGGATGAAGTGCTTGACTTGCCTGTGAAGCCGACAAGACTGTCAGCGCATAACACCATACATCCATGGTTCCTGGCGTACGAGGTTCTCGCTCATAAGAGGCTCGATGACCGCGGGGTCGAACCGCGTGTATAGCTGGCTGCCGAACACCGCCGCGGAGACGTCGAAACCGCTGCCAACCTTCCCTTGCGCCAGACAGTGCACATACTGCGCAAGGTTGTGAGCGAGTTTCCTGCCTTCGCTCGCGGAAGCGGTGCCGCCCTCTGTCGCAAAGGAGTCGGCAGGGATGACGCTGAGGTGAAGAAGAAGGCCGGAGACGAGAGAGGTGATGAGGGCGGCAGACGAGCCCAAGCCCGTTTTGTGTACATCGGCGATGTGTACACCTGTCTTGTTGAAGGGAGGCAGTTTGGAGAGCGACTGGAGTGTTGGAGGGAGGTTGCGCGCCGTGAGCTGCAGGTACAAATAGGTCACGTGATCTATTTGTATGCAAAATGTGGCAGGCGCAGCAAGTGGTACGAACCTGAGCTCTCTGGGAGTAGAAATCGTTGTCGCCGACGATCGTGATGTCGAGACCGTACGAGAGCGTGTTTTGCAGCGTTCCGACGCTCTTCAGCTCCGCGGCGAGCGTCAGGGTGCGCTGGAGCGCTAGATGTACGAACTTGTTCTGGCTGGAAGCGCCGTTTACACTGTGAAGCACCATCGTCAGTTCCGGCTACGATAGCAAGCGCCGCGACCAGCGAAGCCGTGGACGCAAGGGAAGGTGAAGCCTTGCCTGTCTGCGATGTGCTCGACGCGGACCCCGTCTGGGCCAGCGAAGTCGACAAAATAGAGCCAGGACGCGTTGACGAACTGGGGCGATCTCACGCGGATCTGAATCGGGCCTTCCACGCGGTGGGGTTGTGGGAGCGTTTCGATTGTGGTGTAGAAGCGCGAGCTGGTCGAGACGACGACGCCGGAGTACGCAGGGTCGAGTACAAGGTACCCTCCCGCGAGAAGGACCTTTCCAGGAGAGGAGATGACCGTCGGGGACGACATGGCGGCGAGCGGCTGCTGGTATGAGCAAACGGGGCGATCGGGCAGCGGTAGCCTACTTGCGGGAGAATCGGGGGATGCGGGGATTATAAAGGTACGGCTTGACGCCCTCGCCCGATATTCTGCGCCGGTATGTGGACTGGTAGGGAGCGCTCGCTGCTCGCGGGCACTGTGGGGGTCGGAGAGCGGGAACAAGACGCGACGCACAGCTTTGTGGTCCGACTGCCACCACGCGCTCCGGCGCGCACTCCGCGCATCCTGCCACTCCTCCTGCCATAGCCCACCCCTGGCCTGTCCGGTACGGGCAGGCGTCCTGCCACGCCCGTCCGCGATAGTGCGACTAGACCGGACGGCCGCCGTAGACGTCGTCATCTGCTTTTTGGATCTACATGCAAGGCGCCGGCGCGGCCGAGCCGCCTGTACGGAATAATTGCACGACGCGGGCGCTGCACGACACTTCCCGTCGTCGGCCTGACAGCCTGTGCGCATGTACACTTAAGGTTCACCGGCGCCGGGATGTACGTACATACAGCATGCGCCTGACGCCGCTATGCGGGAAAAAAAATCGGCGCTCGAGAGGTAGAATGACGGGGCTGGGATAGCGCTGGTACTGGTAGCGTGAGTACGAGCAGCGCGTCGTTCCGGGCGTAACGCGGATGCCGAAGCCAAAAGCGTAAACGCCGCTAACACTGCTTCTGCGGACACCTTCTCTCGGGGACTAGATAAATATGCACTCGGGGTGAGGTGAATTCCTTGTGTTCGACCCGGCGTTGGATCTAAGGGGATACCGCTACGTTCTACTCGGTATGCCCTCGGTACCATACGGGTTATCGCCTCGGGTGAACGAGATCGCAAGACGCCGTGGGGTGCTTCTGCCTATCTGTACCTAGTACCGCTGCACAGCGGTTGACGTGTATACGTATTCATGGCAATCGCCGAGCGTCCAGTGCACGCAGATGCTGCACCTTCTAGCGGAAGTTGCTGGCTCCGATGTGCACGGCGTAGATCGGAGCGTGCATTAGTTGGAATGCCGAGAAAACATCACAATGTACCCCCGGCGGACATAACGGGGGTGCTGCGTCGAGCGAAAGCGCATCTGTTGCGTCCGGAGCTCCGGACATGCAGGATGGCGATCTGAGCAATTGGGCGCCCCGGTGCGTACCAGTCCCAGTCGCCCAAGGTACACTAGTATCGGCGAATTTCTTGGCCGGCAGGTACGTCACATTACATCGCGTTTGCCTTGCCACTCCGCGTGATAGGATCATAGGTGCCGGTGGCCTGGAGTTATGGACAGATGGGCGCGAGGACGCAGTACGCAGTCAGGTCCAAGGTGCCAGAAGTGGCATGACAGGCAGACCAGCCGGTTGGAGGCGAGAATAGGACTGTTCCATGCTGCAATTCAGTTGTCGCGAGCGAGCATCAACTGAAGCGATGCTACACACCGTACACCATGACGTCGTGGCGCGGCGGAGTGCGTCCGTGGTCGTGGATGCACGCAAGGTCCAGGCCCACAGCGCCCGAGGAGAAGCCCAACGGGCGGCACGGGACGGTCGGGCCCCCACACCAAGGTCAGCTCGAAGGAGTGGGACCAGAAGCGAAATTGTCAGCCATTGGCGGCGGGGGTGATCGCTATGGAGATCGATCGGTGAACATGTACATCGAATGTCCAGTCATCGAAGGAAGTCGAGCACTTACGTTTAGTGGGTACCCCGAATCCATTGACGCAATCTGTAGAAGAACGGTGTGCTTCAATATAACGGGGATGTCCTAGATCGCGGTCTAGAAGCCTAGCAAGCTGGGCAGTGGACGGTTGCTCCGAGCACGCTGTCCGGCGTATCGTCAGTTAGTGCATTCCTCACGACACCGCCGAATCACATGGGAGCTACTTGACGTCAACAGTCGTGGTACGAATGGTGGTGGTGGTAGCGGTGTTGATCGTCGTGTCGCTTAGTATCGCCCCCAAGCGCGGATAACCCCGGAAAACGGAGGCACCTTGTATTACAGGCACATTAGTATATAGTTGTCATTAAAACGCACTCTCGGTGGATAGGATTTCGAAGGCGTTACAACGCGCTCCGTGAGGGTTACGGGGCACCTAACATTCATGCCCTCGAGGGCAATCAGTCATCCTCCTTGAAGCCATCAGTGATCATCAAGTCCTGGACCGTCCTACGTCAGTATGCTGAGGGAGCTATGAGAATACAAAACATACTTCTGGTCTGAACGGCCAGTTGTTGAACGCGCGTAAAAGCAATGTCCAATCGGCAATTGTCAAATCCCGCGGGCTTTTAGTTGGGTTCACGCGCTGCTCCAGCGGAACTCGCGCGTCCGTGAGGTCCTTGATCAGCGAGGTCGCCCCGGGTGCCAAAGAGCTACGATGCGGGTCAGCTCACGCGTTAATAGCGATGTGGACTGCTGAGACGTACTTGAGTGCGTTTTTCAACGGTGTGTTCTTGAGCACGAATAACCGCCGCAAGCAGAAGTCCCACTTGTCGGTATCGCCCCGTTGAATCACCTTCGTGGAGGTGAGCAGACTGACAATGCGCCACAGTCAGGAGACCGCACCTGCTCTTCGTAGGGTATCGCGGTGAAAGCGTGCATCGGCTGGCCGATTCTCTTGGAAACGACCTTGTGGACGCCCGCTACTACGGGTATCGGATGGAAGTAGTCTGCATAGGGCGCGAGTTCTTCGGGGTCGACTGCAGGCTTTACGTCCGCTGTGGCCTCGGAAATGACCGCGAGCTTACAGCGCCGCGCGTCCCGCGGTGGCGCGCTTAATCGCTAAGTGAACGTACTCCGGTGTCAATGGTTTATGCGACATGAGTGTGCAGGTGTAGGACGTACCGACCAGACGTAGTCTGTCAGGATGAGGCTCATCGGCACCCGACCGTACTGGAACAGCCAGGAGCGCTCGGGTATGCAGCGGAAAAGCTGAGCAATCAACTGTTCGCCCTTCACGCTGACAGGGAGGTGGGATACGAAGTGAAGATTGGGTACTGAACGAAGGGTCCGAGGGTATCGTCAGCCAATATACCGGGGCAAGGGAAACCATGCGCAGGGCGGTTAACGGAGGCACTTACCTGGGCCATCCCAAGGCTGGGATTCTACGTCCTTCAATAGTCCTGTCTCCTCAATCTGACTATAGGTGTCCCAGCTATGCCCGGACATAGGGACTATTGTCACACGGGAGTCCGCTTCTTGGAGAGGCTGGGTACGTCAGGCTCGAAACAACGCGGTCAACTACGCGAGAAGGCTCACTTTGAGTGCTTCCAGGTACTGCTCATCGTCTTCGAGGATGATCAATTTCCTAAGCTCGGACGAGGGCAACTCAAGCATCGCGCGTGACAGGGCGCCTGGACCTGAAGACACCTCCGTCAGTCATGTCTTGTAGCGCTTATGATGTGTGCGACATACCAGGGAAGGCCTCAATGACTATCTTTCCACCATTGTTACTCTTAGCCTGAGACAGGAAGGATCGCGCAACCAACCTGGCTGCGTCTGGATCTTTGATGACTGCTCGCTCGCGTCTCAAGGTGTTGTTTATAGGAAAGCGCGCTTTCCATTGCGCCGGTGGGGGTAATGGCGGTATTGAGGGCTTGGAGGAGTATTTCCGGAGTGCGCTAGCCCGAGAATGGGAGCATGAGCAACGGTGAATGCGAAGGACGAGCATGGGAGAGACCAAGTTGTGCAAACGCGAAGTCCAGCGTGTAGACGCCCATTAAATATGGCTTTGTTCTCACGTGCGTTCACTCCGGACTCTCGAACTCTTACGCCGACTCGAGTGTCCTGTCGGTACCTCGGGATTCGGAGTAATTGTGCGTACACTGGCACTGCATCGAGGTGTGTTCGAGCGTGGTAGATTATGGGAACATTCACCTCATTTGTCGCTGCGGACAGTAAATAACTGACTGCCTTTGTCCTACAGTGCCCCCACTGCCGACGATATAAGCCGCCAGCACACTGTGTGGATGGGTAATATTGTTAACTTGCACTGATTACCATCTGTCATATCCGAAATTCCAGCGCCGGTCTAGATGAAGTCGAAGGTGGGCTCAGGGTGCTAGTGCACCTCTTTTGCTGCGGTAATGTCCCAGGTGGATATAAGTAAAGTCCTTGCCGTCTCGACCACAGCGACTCCCCCCTCATTGTCTGTGTCTCACTGGTCCTTAACCAGGACCTTTATATCCTATTCCGATACAAATCTCTCTGTTTGAGAACAGTTCCAAGACCTTAGACCACAATCTTGGTAAGTGCACTGAGAACTCCGTGATTCCCCACAAATAAACATTATTACCCAGATATGAGCCACCATCTCGAGGGGCACGGCGAAGTCTTCAGGCCGTTAACTCACGATCCAGCGAACAAGCGAGACCAAGTCACTGAAGGTCAAGACTATCCAGACAATATGCGACTACCGAAGGCTCCGCAAACCCCCAAAGAGTCGATCCTCGCATTGGAGCAAGATGTCAACTCCATGAGGCGAGTACATATTGTGGCACATACACAAGTGTGATTAACATCTTTGCGGCTCACCTCGGTGTAATCTACAGTGCGGATATGGTATGTGCAATACCCAGCATGGTTGCTTGTTTCTGAGCCTCATACCGTCCCTTGAAACAGCTGTTTGACATCAACGACAATATTTGCAACGTGCTAGGCTCTATCCAACGGCGGCCTGAGATTCAGAATGAGGTGGCGCCCGCGCCTGTCATCCATCGTCTGCCACCCGAAGTTCTCTTCATAATCTTCGACACGGTTCGTGCTCCTCACAACCATCCTCCCCATGGGTCTTCCTCCCTCCCTACACTGGATAATGGGTCGCCGTTATCATTGCCCGACTACCACTCCCTTGTCACGGTGACTCACGTTTGCAGACAGTGGCGGGAAGTCGCTCTGGAGTTCTCATCCCTCTGGACAGATATCGTGACCGGTTCATCATCGGCACTCACTTTTTCTCGGCGCGCGAATGGTTTACCACTCACGGTGCACACCGAGATCGTCGGCTCACGACTGTCCCCGGTACAAAACAAGGCGCTGTGGCGCTCGAAACCACGCATTCGAAGGCTTATCCTGCGACTACAGTCTCGATTCGAGGTCAAGATCTTCCGCAGCATCTTGGCCGCGCTGGCTGGGACACTGGAGTCTTTGGTGGTTATGATAGGGAAGTCTCGTGCCTACCGGAACCGGGATCGGGACTTCGACCCCCTCTTCCAAGGGTGGACCTTGTTCGATGGAGTCATCCCGACTGCGCTGAAGTCGCTCCTGATTGTGTCCGATCAGGCGATTATCCCTGCGGACAGTTGTCCCAACCTCCAGACGTTCACGCTCAAGACATCATGCTGGAGAGCACACTCATCAACGCCAACTCTTCTAATTCACTTTTTGTCCCATGCACCCCTACTCGAAAATCTTCGGTTGGACATAGGTTGTTGGTTTGCCCAAGGACGGGACATTGACCCACTTCCACTTCCGCCTCCTGCGCCCCTCTACCGGCTACGTAACCTTTCATTCCGAATGAGCTTTCCAGGTGTTGTCTGGTCCGACCTTGTATCACCTGCGCCCCTCAGCTCTCCGCCGCTTACGCCTATAACGAGCAAGCTGACGGATGCGGTTGTCGACACCGTCCACCTGGGTGGCCTCAGCATGCTCGTGAGTGGCATGTCCCGTGCAGCTCCCCACTTGCATGTCAGCTTGGTTGGTTTCCCTGGACTCGGTGGCATGCCCGGAAGCGGGGTCCTAGGATTCGGACTGTTGCCTCAGTGGCTGACGGAGAGCACGAAGACCCTCCGTATCACCTTATCCCAGAGCGGGCCTAACCTCCGTGGCACGCGGTCCTTCCTGTGCATCCACGCATTCCGTCTGCTGGACACGCTCATCGTCCGGCTCGCGGTCGGGGGCTACTACCTCGGCCAGCTGGGCTTCTGGATCGCATGTACAAATCCCTCCATATGTCCGAGTCCGTTCTTGCGCGTCCTCGTCCTGTCTATCCTCAACCCGGGATGCACGCTAGACGCCCTCCACCCTCTCTACAAGGCAACAACGCGCAGGGCTGAATTCGGACACCCGCTCAAGAGGCTCTTCGTCTGCAGCCCCGCACACACGGGCCCAGATTACTCCATACGCGACTTCCACGGCGTCGAGTGGGTGTCCTTTTCCAGCACCGATGTGGGCGCTCCCTGCCGCGATCATGTCCTGCGCCCCACGAAAACCGAGGAGGGTAGAACAGAAGACTTGGCCGGTCAGTTGCACGCTGAGCTACCATCGTCCTCTCCGGCGTACGACACCGCCTGGGAGGCGTGTGCTACGGAAGGCCTGGTCGAAACGCACGCACGCATGCGCAGTTGGTACAAGGGTTCGCCTCTATGGTGAGCTTAACTTCCGGCGCACATAATGGCCAAACTGTATGTCTGATGGCCACACCCAACTTGTCCACAGGAATACGTATACGTAGTTGGCTATGGAGTTTGATGATGCCCAGGCCCCCGGTGCTCCCACATGTTGGTGTCGAACTGCTTTCTAGAGGCTTAGCCGTAGCGGTAGTATTAGGGACGGAAGCATTCACGAAGTCACCTTTCCTGTATGATATTCTATGACCGGAAGCATGATATGCACATGTACTATAGTTTCATCGATATCTACCTCCCTGTACTTTCTATTCTCGTGATATAAATGGTCGCCTCCCCACTGATCGCCCAGCGCATCGTCAGAGACCCTGATAAATTATGACCACGGTCATGCCGCAACGGAGCCTGAGGCCTGAGGCCTGAAGGCCTGAGGCATGCTTTCGGAACGGGCGGGTATGTACTTACTGCTATGCTTCGTGTGGGCGAGTAGAATCACGGAGGTACAGCTGCCAGGCGGCCCCCCGCCGACGCGAACCTTTGCTGGTGATAGTAGGTGCTATGATCACACGATATAACGTCGCAAGCAACACACACGCAGTAGTACATTTCAATGATATTATCATTGCAGAATAATCGCACTGGTACAGTATCAACGACTCTATGGTACGTCTACCACCCTCCATCTACTCGAAGAGCCGGAGATAGAGGACAAGTCAGTGGGAGCTGAGTATGTACAGTACGATGGTAGGCGAAGGTAAGAAATACAGAGCGACCTGATACGGGACACTTGTAAGCTTGATGTTGAAAACGAATAAGAAAGGAATGGAGCGTACCAAATGCTCAGGATCTCATGCGGGTGGTCGGAGCCAGTCCGAGGGTGACGGTAGTTGAGTCGAGTTGAGCTGAGTCGAGCAGAGCACGAGAGCAGAAGCGGCGACCGACGAGAGAGGAAGTAGCGAAGCACGTAAGCGTCGAAGAGCAGATGCAGGAGCGAAGAGCAGATGCAGCAGCAAAGAGCAGAACAAAGCAGCGAAGAGCACAGTCACGGCACGACAGCAGGAGCATGAATGAGTGTTGCTGTCGAAGGCCATCAGTAGTAGGGCGTAGGCTGTAGTAGGGCGCAGGCTGCTGTAGGCTGTAGGTGCCAGAGGTTGACCGGCGCGAGAGGATCCGCGTTGGTAGTTGGCGGTGGTGCGAAGTCCTGCAGATCGGCAGGGCACGCGGGCAAGCGCATCGTCTGTGTATTGAAGACGATGCACCGGTGCGTCGAGCCACCCTGAGAATTCCACGCTTGCAATCGTGAAGTTTCCAGAGGGGATCTAAGAGGAGAACTGTGAGCGCGAGCTTCGCAAATGCAGCAATAAAGGCGCACTCACCAGACGTCGGGATGAACAGGATGGTGCTGGTCCGAGCGATCCTGAACGCCGAGAAGGACTGCAGGGGCGTACCAGGTCTCCCAGGAGGTCACAGGCATTCACCGTGTAACTCCAAGCAGACGACTGTAGAAGCGACTCACGATGGTCAGCACTACGAACCAAGATACCGGACAAGTTGTACTCACCTGACACCACTGAACACGAACGAAACGATGGCTGATGAACAAATATCGAGCCGCCGCGACGAATGGTCGAAGGGGGCGACCGATGGCCCTCGCAAGAACGGGAGGGCCGAGGTGGGTGAGAGTATCCTCGCGATATTGGCGACGCGAGAAGTCTTCGTAAATGGGTGAGGCGCCGACATGACCGGATGTTGTCTGGCGGAAGGCTTCACCTCGGATGGCAACGCGTCGGGAAGCGTCGGGAGTGAACAGCTGGGACGAGCGCGTGGCGGTCGTCTCGATATAATGGAATGGTGAAGCAGATCGACTTCACCCGGGCGGTCACGAATGCCGCCGGTGCTCTTAAATATGAGAAAGCCGAGAGTCGTCGGTCGTGAACGCTGTGTATAGCCGCGAAGACGGTCGGATGATCGGGTTGGGTCGGTGGTGCTGCGCATGGAGGCGGGTGCCCTGGAGATGCTGGGCCCAGCGTTGCAGGCGGCGTCGTATGGCGAGCATGCTTGAGATGATGTGTCGACTGAGAACGGGATCATTGCGGCTGAGTTGTCGCGGTCGTGAGCGGGGGCCAGGACAGCGGCGAGCCGTGATCGGTGGTGCGCGTCAGACCTTGCGGGTCGTGTGGAACGCGGGCGGGGCTAAGGCGATTTGGTTAGAACACGAGTAACACTGTGGGAAGGTAAGAGGCTTACCATGCTGGCTAGGATGTGCTACTACTGTCTAGGATGTTGTGCAGGGTATTTGAAGTGTTGTGGTATATATGAATAGATGTTGTGGTACAGTAGGTCTGGTAGTCGTGTTGTGGTCTTTGCAATCGCGTTGCGGATGTTGTGGTCGTGTTGTAGATGTCGTAGTCGCAGATGTCGTAGATGTCGTGAGACGCTGCGATTGATGCTAAGGTCGCTATGTGAGGAGATCGTCCAGAGCCTCCTAGTTCTCCCGCCATACACCGGGAAAAACAGGAGCCGGGGCGGGGCTGGGCACCCGAGAAGTGGCGAAGTCCATGCGATCCACGGAGGGCGCGTCTTCGAGCATCGCCAGCCCGGAGTTACCGCCAGAGAGTCGGGTTGCGCAGATAGGTTGTTGAGCGGACGTAGTGTCGGCAGTGTCATAGTCAAGACCGGAGGCGAGGGCGTTGTGAGAAGCAGAAGTGGTGTCGAGATCCATGGAAGAGTTCGGGTAGGGGACATTGCCAAGTATAACGGAGTCGGCGGCGGCGCACGGAGAGGTCGGTACGAAGAAAGACAAAGTCCAGGGAGATTCGACGGGCGAGCCGGGTGGAGTCTTGATGCCGTAGTTAGAGATTGCTGTGGGTGGGTGGCTTGGAAACGCGTAGTCGATGTCGGCCATGGGGCCGGACGCAGGAAGGGCAGGTGACGGAGGCGCAGAGTAGTATGTGTGATGGGCGATGCCGTCCATAAAGTCGGTGTAGGAGGCGTCGTAAGTCATTTGAGCGTCGCCAAAAGAAGCGGAAGGTGAGACCGAGTCGTCCATAACATCGGGCCCGGAGGACACGAGGACGTCCGCATGAGAGGTCGTCGGAAGAACGCAGGGGCTGTCTTCACAAGACCACTTGTCGAGGTGGGCGAAGAGGGATCCTAAGCAAGGATCGGCGACTACTTGGATGTCCTTCGTCTCGGCCGTCTCCTCGACTGGTATTACTACTGCTACTTCCTCCTCCAGGTCCGGAGGGACGGGTGCGTCTCGGAGCAACCAGGCGGCGGGATCTGCTACTGCGTTGTACGACACGGACTCGACACCGTAGCACTCATCGATCTCGGAAGCGTATGCCGACGAGTCCTCGCTGTCCGCATGGTATAGGGACGGCGGCGAGTTGGGTGCTTGGGCGATGTCGGCGGTGAGAAGAAGGCTGGCAATACACGTGTCGTCATCGCAGTTGTGGGATACCGAAGTCGCCGAGAGGAGCTGCGGCGATGTTAACACTGGCGATGGCGGGAGGCTCGTGCGTGCGGTCTAGTCGACTGATCAGAATCTGAGTGTTGGGAGTGGGGGAGGACAGTTACTGACCTCGTGATCCAATTTTTCGAATGCGTCGCAAAGTACATCAATTTGCTGGGTCTCACTTGTGCCCTTGGTATCGGCCAGAAGCTCTTCCAAGTCTTTCTCGTTGACAGGAGCAGGAGATCCCTCCAGGAACTCCAAGGCGATGTCATGAACGGCGTCCTCCACGATGACTGGGGAGGTGGTGGCAGCCAGGTGATGGAGTAGGTTATCCTGCGCATTCCGGGACCTGCTGGAGTGCGTGGTGGTCGTCAAGGTTTGGCGCCTCCCTGTCCTAGCGTACGGGGTTGCAGCCGCATGGATCTTGCGGGACGAGGTCTTCCCAACGCCGCGGATGGCACCCTTGGGCTGGGTCGTCTTGAACTTGGTCGCCTGGCGAGGAACCGCCGCCGCCGTAGCGGCAGCGCGAGCAAGGAAGCGTGAGATGAAGTTCTGGACGTTGGGGACTGTGACCTGAAAAGTGTCGGCCATGACCTGGTCTTCATCTCCGGATGAACCTGCTACAGCGTCGAGAGCGAGGGCGTGCTCTGACACGATCTCCATCTCCGTGTAGAGGTTGGAGATTGAGGGCGATAGTTCAGTCGAGCCCACAGCCTGTGGACCGTCGATTGACATCGGGACAGGCCGGTGCTGCAGGGAGACGGCGGGGGTCTGGCTGACGAGGTCGATGTCCATGGCTGGTAGGGACACTTCGATGTCCTCCATGGCGTCGAGGCAGGGCGCGAAGGACGTTAGGACGAAGGTGAATGCGTATTGAGCACCTCCGATGTTGTCGGGCTGGGCTGGGATGTTGCGCAGAGACTTGATGTAACGCTTCCGCCGCTGCGAGGAATTGAGCGGGATGAACATGAAGATACCGATAGCAACACACCTCGACAGCCTTTCCTTTGTCGCGAACACGCTTCTTGCCCGTACGAGTCAGAGATATCTTGGAGAGATGCTGGTTGATCTGAAAACTAGTGAGCAAGATCCCGAGTTGTCGCAACGATGCACTCGCCTGCTCGGGACCGTGAGACTGCTTGAACCTCTTGGCGGGGTGGATGGATTCGTCTTCGACGTCGTCGAGTTCGGAAGCCTTACGGCGACGAGGGATGACCGGGACCGTACGCGGGCGAACAGAGATGCTGGGGCACAGCCCCGAGGAGGTGCTCCTGGCGAAGGTTGACATGGTTGAGGGTTGACGCTGGCGGACAAATAGGATGGCTTGATGGTTGAGCGGAGGACGTGGTGTGAAGGAAGGTGTGTAGATGGCGGAACACTGTCGAGCTTGTGGTTCATATACCAGGGGCAGGGGGGAGCCGACTTGGGACCCGAAAGGGCCGGTCACTAAGTTGAACCAGTGGTGGTTGAACAGTCAAGTCCTTCACGTCGATCGTATAGTCCCCTCCCTTGAATCACATAGCCGGCCATCCCCACTCCACCGCCAGAAACCTATAAGTACCCGGCCTAGACAAGGGCTTCCGGTCTCTAAAGGACAGGTCCTTCATGGGGTGCAAATGCACAATGCCCTATACATGCATCTATTAGCATCGTTCCCAGATGCCAAGGGCCGTAAACGTTTCACTGACCTGAATAACAATTCCGGGACCGAGAAGCATTATAAGCTTTCCTGGCACTGTTCAAATCAGAGCCACCTGCAGATATTTTTCTCGAACTACTGAACGTAGCTGACCGGGGATAGCTGGCGCGCAACCCTGGGTCCAGTATCGCCACTGTTTCCATCAAAGCCTGTGTGTTTCCAAGAGCACCGGTGAGTGAAATTGTTGCAGACGGGACGTTCCCGAAGTAGCAAGCATGGCAACTTAGAGGTGAAGTTAGCATATGGACTCACGTTGCCTACGGCCTTTTCGACATTGAATGCCTACAATACGTGGTCCTCGCCATCGAGCACTGAACAGGCTGGGTTGAACGTAAGAATGAGCAGAGCACTCGTGATGGATGCACAGTGGGTGGCTTACATGCGTTGAAGACGGCAACAGACTCGACTGACCGCGACAGGCAGATTGGATGGGCAACAAACATCTACAGGAGTTTTCCTAATCATCTACTTCCAAGGGAGCGTTCAAGTAAATGCGAGGGTTTCTGTCAAACCTAGCGTGAATTCACGTCGGGATTCAGAGGCATACCGTCTTCTCGACGGACGCGCTGGGGAGAGTACCGTGACGGGGAAAGTGAGAGAGAGATGTCGTGACCAGATGTGACCAACGCGTGCGTAACGCGTACGCATCACGCACGAGTGCAGGTGATCGACGCGGGCCACAGCGTTCAGCCACTTCCCTCCTCTCCTCTTCCTTTCCCCTTCGCTCCCAGACCTCGTACCTTGCAGCCGACGGGAAATCGCAGGAACCTGCCTGGGAACCCTGTATACCCCAATCTCGCTGGCAGTGTCCACACACGCCGTCCTGGAGCTCGTAGCTACAGCTGCTCGCCCAACATGTATATCAAGACGCTCACTATTCAGGGATTCAAGTCCTGCAAGTCTCGTGTTTTTATGACTCTACACTTCGGGCTCATTCTGTATGTTTGCAGACCGAGACCAGACGCAGATTGAACCCTTCTCACCAAGACACAATGTCGTAGTAGGGCGTAATGGGTCGGGGAAGAGTAATTTCTTCGCAGGTGCGTCCCATCCGCCGTCAGTCAGTCTTGCATGCCCAATAACGCGATGTTGCCCCAAGCCATCCGTTTCGTACTTTCCGACGCATACACCTCCATGACTCGCGAAGAGCGGCAGTCCCTTCTCCACGAAGGTGTCTCTACCGCCCAAACACTCTCCGCGTTCGGTGCGTTCACACCCTATTCTACGGCAAATACCCAAGCTAACTGCAGCTCTCTTTCACGCCCCAGTCGAGATTGTCTTCGACAACTCCGACAACCGTTTCCCAACCGGCAGGGAGGAAGTCATCCTCCGACGGACCATCGGTCTCAAGAAGGATGAATACAGCTTGGACAAGAAGAGCGCGAGCAAGGCCGACGTCATGAACCTGCTCGAGAGTGCCGGCTTCAGCAAGAGCAATCCGTACTACATTGTACCGCAGGGGCGAATCACGGCTCTCACGAACGCGAAGGACCACGAGCGCCTTGCGCTCCTCAAGGAAGTGGCGGGTACGAAGGTATACGAGCAGCGGCGGTCCGAATCTCTGCGCATCATGGCGGAGACCGATTCGAAGCGGTCAAAGATCGCAGAGTTGCTCGAGTACATCGACACGCGTCTTACCGAGCTAGAAGAGGAGAAGGAGGAACTGAAGGAGTTCCAGGAGAAGGACAAGGAGCGGCGCTGTCTAGAGTACGCCCTCTACCAGCGCGAGCTCGAGGAAGTCGGTGCAGCCCTGGAGGAGATTGAAGAGGAGCGCCGGGGAGAGGTCCACAGCGCGAATATCCGACGTGAGCAGTTCACAGACAGGGAGAAGCAAGTCCAGGTATGTAATGGACACCCTTCTAAGGGAGAATATAGGCTGACCGGAACCGTAGAACCTCGAGCGCTCCCTCGCTCAGATCAGGACAAACCTGACCACGCTCGCGCTTACGCGTCAAGGAGCCCAGTCTGAACTGACAGACCTCGTGCGCTCCCGTACCGAACTAGAGTGCACGGTTGCCGACCTCCGGCTTGCTGTGCAACGCGCAGGCGGCCAAAGGGAGGCGTTGGAAGAGGAGCTCGCGACCGTCGAGGACCAAGTGACGCAGAAGGAGGACGCAATCGCAGAGCTCACCCCCGAGTGGGATCGCGTGCGAGGCCTTGAGAGCGAGGAGAAGCGGCGCCTGGACGAAGCCCGGGCAAGGCTCGATGCCCTGTACGCGAAGCGCGGACGGCTGGACAAGTTCCGCACGAAAGCGCAGCGCGACCAGTTTCTCCGAGCCGAGATCGCAAGCATGGAGGCGTTTCGTGGGACACAGGACCGCGCGCTGGCGGGGCTCCAGGAGGAGCTGGCGCGCGCGAAGGAGTCGCTCAAGGAGGTTAACGAGAACATCGCCGCTACGCAACAGAAGGCTGGGGACGGGCGCGACCGAGTGCGCCAGTTGGGCGAGACTATCGCGGAGCTCAAGGATAAGCAAGCCGAAGATACGGAGCGACGTAAGGAGCTGTGGCGCGAAGACACGAAACTCGAGTCGATGGTCACGCATGCAGCCGACGAACTACGTGGCGCTGAGAGGACGCTGGCGAGCATGATGGACAAGGTTAGTTAGTTGCAGTTTATGCTTTGCGAATGTACGCTAACGCTATCGGTTTAGGACACCGGTACGGGCCTGCGCACCATCGACCGGATAGTAGCAGAGCGCCCTAATTTCGACGGGGTGTACGGACCTCTGTACCGCCTGTTCGAAATCACCGACGACAAGTTCAACATCGCTGTCGAGCTAACCGCTGGAAACAGGTACGTGCGACCCAGACCCAATCATCGTCTAGTACTGAGCGCGCTGCAGCTTGTTCCACGTCGTGGTTGACACAGACGAGACCGCCTCCCGCGTACTCGACATCATGATGCGCGAGAAGAATGGCCGAGTGACCTTCATGCCGCTCAACCGCCTCAAACCCAAAGTCCCCCCGGCGCCCAATGCGCAAGACGCGATCCCCTTACTTGACAAGCTGCGCTACGACCAGAAGCACGCCAAGGCGTTCGAGCAGGTCTTCGGCAAGACGTGCGTCTGCCGCGACCTTACAATCGCCGCCGCGTACGTGAAGAGCCACGGGATCAACACGATTACGCTCGACGGTGACAAGGTCGACCGCAAGGGTGCGTTGACGGGCGGATACCACGACGTGCGGCGCTCGCGCATTGAGGCAATCCGGAACGTCACCACTTGGCGCGCGAAGTACGACGAGGGCCGCGCACGCCTGCAGGAGGTCAAGACGACGATCGCCACGCTCGAGCAGACGATCACACGCACGGCGGGCCAGATCCAAGTACAGACCGCCCAGCAGGCGCAGGCGCGCGCGTCAAGGGAGGGCATCGCGGAGGAGATGGCGGTCCTGTTCCGTGAACGCGAGCGGCAGACGGCGCGCATTGCGCGCTTGGAGACCGAGATTGACGAGCTCAACTCGGAGTTGAGCGGCCTTCGGGCGCGGATCGATGGGTTCCGGGCGGAGCATGCGAGCCCGATGGCGCAGAACCTGACGAGCGCGGAGGAGGACCTGATTGAGCAGCTCGGACGTGACATCGAGCAGCGTCAGAAAGCCCTGGTCGAGCTGGGAAAACAGAAGAACGAAGTGGGTACTCGTTTGGGTCCCGAGTTTATGTCTTCTAACATGGGGTGTGGTAGCTTGGAGGCCGCAAGAACATCCTCGAGATCGAGCTCAACGAGGGTCTTGTAAGACGACGCGAAGAGCTTCGCCTCAAGATCGAGACCCTTGGCGCCTCAGAAGCAGGCGACAGCGGCTCAGAGGAGGCATTGGACGCGAAAGCCCGCGAGCTGAAGGCTCTCAACAACACCATCGACTCCCTCACCAAGAAGATCCAAGGTATGTCGTATTTATGCCCTGCAATCACTTTCGCTGACGCCCGCTAGACACTGAAAAGGAGGTCGAGAGGGCCAACCAGCAGCTGCAGGAGCAACGATCTGAGCTGGAGAAGATCCAGAACCAGCAGTCGGAGGACGTCCGCGGTATCTCGAAGCAGCAGAAGAGCACAGAGCGGTATCTAGCGAAGCGCCAGATGCTGCTCAACCGCAAGGACGAATGCAACAGGAATATCCGTGACCTCGGCGTCCTCCCAGAAGAGGCTTTCGAGAAGTACACCAAAGACAAGCTCGATCGCGTAAGTTTCAGTTGTCTCCACTTGATTAGATTCTCGCGGCTGAACGCGAACGCGGCTCCCATGTAGTTGGTTAAGAAGCTGCACACCGTGAACGAGGGCCTGAAGAAGTTCGCCCACGTCAACAAGAAGGCGTTCGAGCAGTACAACAACTTCACGAAGCAGCGCGACCAGCTCATCCAGCGCCGCGAAGATCTTGACAAGTCCGCGCAGTCGATCGAAGAGCTCGTCGAGGTCCTCGATCAGCGTAAGGACGAGGCTATCGAGCGCACGTTCAAGCAGGTCGCGAAGAACTTTGAAGAGGTGTTCGAGAAGCTTGTGCCCGCCGGGAGAGGTCGGCTGGTTATCCAGAGACGCATCGACCAGGTAAGTTTTGATGCGGCGGTTTCCCGTTATGGCTGTTGAAGAAATGTCTCTCAGGACGAGGAAGACGCAGAAGAGGCTGATGAGACTCAGCAAAGCTCCATCGAGAACTATACCGGCGTCTCTATCCGGGTAGGTTGCGTATGCGCTCTGCTCGTGATACAATATCTGACGGACGTCGGTACTAGGTGTCTTTCAACTCCAAGGTCGATGAGGGTCTCAGGATTCAGCAGCTATCTGGTGGTCAGAAGTCTCTAGTTGCGCTTGCCACTGGTACGCGACGCGCTTCTACATAATTGTGAAAGCGCTGACTTTCCCACAGTGTTTGCGATCCAGAAGTGCGACCCTGCACCATTCTACCTCTTCGATGAGGTATGTCATCATTTGTGCACCGTATGCGTTGTATCGCTCACGGGCCTCTAGATCGATGCCAATCTCGACGCTCAATACCGAACAGCCGTAGCTGGTAAGGCCCATCGTCTGCTTGCTCCGACACGAAACTAACCGAGAGTCAGGCATGATTCACGAACTCTCGAGCACCGCTCAATTCATTACGACCACCTTCCGACCGGAGATGTTGGCGACCGCGGACAAGTTCTACGGCGTGCTGTTCAACAACCAGAAAGTCAGCACCATCCGCGCCATCAACCGGGACGAGGCCATGCAGTTCGTTGAGCAAGTGAGTAGTTTAACACTCTGACTGACTGGAGGGACACTAAACGGTGCATGTTCCTTCTGCAGGAAGCTCAAGCTCAATGATGTGTTAGCTTTACCTTTATTTCTTGCACCCCTTCTCTTGCTGTTGTCATGCTATCGTCATGTATCCTGTACCAAGAGTATTTGTACCAATAGTGTCTCCCCCAAGTTGACTGAATGTCGTTGACCTAGGTCAACGAACTTGACGTTAATGGCCCAGCCAAATGTCACGGCCTTTCGATGCCAGTGGGGTGGGTGCCGGTCCGGCTGTCCGGTCTTCCCCGCGTGCGAGATAAGATTAGATGGAAACGTTCCGCGCCGCCGCGTCGCGCTCACCAGTGTCAGTGGTGCCGCAGACAGCGTTCCTCCTCTCTCTCTCTCTCCTGAATTGCTGCGTGGTTGCCTCCATTCTCTGGATATAATCGAGGACGTGGTTCTTGGAAAGGAGCGAGAGAGAATCAGTGACCCCTTGTGTGTCTATCAACCTCAGGTGGGTAGCCTCGTCGCGTAGCATATGCAGACGAGCTAACTGCCCATGCGCAGTGGCACGCCTCTACCACGAGCATTGCCAGCTTCGTCGGACGGCACACAAGATCACCCTTCACTATGCCACAGGTATCGCGCTCTCCTAAGAGGAAACGTGTGAGACGGTACTTTTCCGCTTCTGCCGCAACCGGCGCACGATGGAACCCCAAGCCAGCGTCCGCTTCGAGGACCCGGAGCCATCGACGAAGCTCTGCAGCGTCCAGCGACGACGAAGCGTACGACCTCTCCCCGACACATACACATCATGAACTTCACTCCGATGACGAGAATACATTTCGGTTCTCAGAGATTGCCAATGCCTTCCCACCCTCCGAACAGCATGCGCAGACTGCTCATGCTCCCCGTCAACCGCTGGCATATGCCTCCCTACCGCCCACACCTCTGTCACCATCACCGCCGCTTCCTCCAACGCCTTCTCTATCGGCACCGCTGCCCTCCTTCCCCAGTCTGGATAGCTTCTATGAGCCGCCGTTCTCAATATGGGACTACCTCCGCGAAGAGCTGCTCGCCACAGACTTCGACTCCCATCAAGAGCTGAAATGGGAAAGGGTCAGTAACTTCCTCAGTATGCCTATAGCGATGGAGAAGGTGCGTTTGAGACACTGCTATATGTGATGCTCTCTGACTGACCTAACGCTACATAGATATTCTTCTTCGGGTTCATCGTCTGCCTAGATTCCTTCATGTATACCTTTACCATCTTGCCCATACGATTCTTGCTCGCATTCTGGAGACTCATCATCAACACCTTCTCCACCACCCCCCTACCGCTCCCTCCGTCTCAGAAAGCCGACATTCTGCGAGCGATGCTCCTCGTGGTGTCGGTTGTGATACTGGCGCCGATGACTGACGCCAGTAAGATATACCACTTTATTCGAGGGCAGGATACCATCAAACTGTATGTGATCTTCAACGCACTAGAAGTATGCTCAACACACTCCCGCACTCGATATCCAAGAGCTGCATGCTGACTCACTCTCCATAGATTGCAGACCGTCTTTGCGCCTCCATAGGCCAGGACATCATCGATTGCCTGTTCTCTCGGTCTACCCTGGAAGTAATATCACATAGGAAGCGACCAACATCGCATTCACTACGACCATTCTTCTACTTCCTCCTGGCAGTGTCGTATACTGGTGAGCTCCTTGCTTGTGGAAGATGTCAATCCCCTGACATTTGCAAAACAGTCGCACATGCGCTTGTCATGATATACCAGATGATATGCCTGAATGTGGCTGTCAACTCGTACGACAACGCCCTCCTGACGCTGCTCGTCTCGAACCAGTTTGTCGAGATCAAGGGGAGCGTCTTCAAGAAGTTTGAGAAGGACAACCTTTTCCAGATCACCTGTGCAGACATCGTGGAACGATTCACGCTTGTCCTGATGCTCATCGTGGTGGCCTTCCGGAACCTGATCGAGCTGTCTGGCTCGACCTTCGACTTCAGCGAGGGCTTCACGCTCCCGAAAAGCTTTGGGTGGTTCCGCGGGAACAACGTCCTCTGGACGATCTCCTACGTGGGTTTACTTCGTTCTTAGGCCAGTGCACAGGCTTGCTCACTTCTCGCACAGCCTGTTCTCACTGTTCTAGCGTCAGAGACCCTCGTCGACTGGCTCAAGCACGCATTCATCACCAAGTTCAACCACATCCGCCCCTCCGTATACGAGCGATACACCGACGTGCTCTGCCGCGACCTCTCCAGCGGCAGCGCAGTCAGCCGACGTGGCGCTCAGAAGGTAATCCACCCAACCTGTCCCACCGAAACACGTCTCACCTTCCCTCCCACAGCACACATACGTGGACCAATCGCCCCTCGTCGCCCGGCGCCTCGGCTTCGCCTCCCAGCCGCTCGCGGTCCTCGCCGTGCTCATCGGCACGCAGTCCATCGTGCTCTTCATCTCGATGCACGCGGACGAGTCCTCGCCGTGGCTCCGCCCGTGGGAGGCGTACACGCCCGACGACTGGATCAACGTCGCGAAGTGGGGCGCGCTCGCGGTGCTCTTCTGGGCATGCTTCCTGGTGGTCAAGATCATCCTGGGCGTGCAGCTGCTCACGTACGCGACGCGGCGGCGCGCGGGGATGGAGGCGCGCGAGGAGGCGGACAAGATTAACGATTTTGGGCGGAATCCCATTGGGGAAGGTCAGGAGGAGCAGGTACGGCTATCCTTGCCTTGTATGCGCGTGCTGCAACTAATGGTGTTGTGCAGGCATACAACAAGGAGCTCAAGACTCTACTGGACAGCAGGCATGACGACGCGGTGCCGGTCGCGGAGATCGGCGAGCGCAAGCCCGGGCGGGACGGGGACAAGGACGGAGGCAAGCGGAAGAGGTTGCCTCTGGAGGAGATTACGAGATTCACGATGGTGAAACGTATATGGTGATCGCGTTGTGGATCGCTATCGTCTCATTGAATTACATCGTGCACGAGTTGAACGCTTCGCTTTTCAGCAGCTACCTGAAATGACATCATATTGTGAAACACTGAGGTAGGTACAGGGCCACAAACACTGGCCGAGTACTGTCTAAGGATGTGAGGGTAACAAATACACTATACGGATACAAGACGGGCAGTATGTGGACAAGGAGAGTGTGCTGCGTAGGGCAGGAGGAGGGTCTACGAAGGTCTAGGGATACAACGGTGGGGACGTCGACGTAGGGCGTGTACAAAACACAATATAACCGCCGGTCGAGGGGATAATGTATGGGATGGATACATCAGGGACACGAAGTGACAGATAATGAATGTGAGCGCATGCACATGCATCATAACCAGGGGAGAACGAAACAGCAAACAAGGACCAGCATAGCGTCAGGCTCGAGCACATACGAGAGAGCATAGCGCATGGTGCATGGACAACGACGAACAAGCACTCAAGTACTCACATCCTACATCGCGCCCGCCATCTGCCGGCTCTTCTTCGTCACCAGCGGGCGCACCGTGCCATACGCACCGCCCGACGGCACCGCCGGGCCCACGCGCCAGTCCGCCGGGAGCGCGTACGCGCGGTCAGGGTCCGCGAGCGCGACCGTGATCTCCTGCGAGAACGCGTCGGACATGCCGTAGTACTCGACCTCGATCGCGCGCGTGTGCGTCGGCCGCAGCATGCGCCTGCGTTCCTTGTCCTGCGCGCGGGCGAGGTGGCGCGCCTCGCGTTCACGCTCGCGCTCGGCCCTGCGCTCCCGTTCGCGCTCGCGCTCGGCGTCCCGCCCAGGCCGCACCATTTGTGCCGCCATGGGGCGCGCATGCTCCTGCGCGGCGTCCACGCGCACGGGCCGCGGTGCCGCGGTCTGCTGCACGCGCAGTCCCGCCTGGACCTGCGCTGCTACGCTCTGCTGATGGTGGGCTTCGTAGTGGGAACGCAGCTCCTCGCGCGAGCGGCGTGGGGTCGGGAGACGTTGTGGGTTGTACTCGGGCGAGACATCGCGCGGGACGTTGCGCGGGCGTGGTTTCTCCACGTGCACCAGTGCCCGCTGCGGGCTCACAGGGTACGGATATACCGGGGCTGGGGGCGGAGGTAGTGGGACGGGCTCGCGCTCGCGACCGCGGTTCTCCTGCAAGCGCAGGGGCGTGGACCGGCTCGGGCGCAGATCGGGGTGCCGCCGCTCACGCTCGCGGTCGCGGGGAGGCGCGTTCTCATCCCGGGGACGCGAGTGGTGCGGGGGCGGGTGGACGTCCCCAGTGGAGGAGATGCGGCGGACGCGGGTGTAAGGCTGAGGAGTGACGGGCTGCGCCACGGCGTACGGGTAGGGCCGCGGCAGAGCGGGATCGTACACCTCGCGAGCGACGGCGGGGGCGCGCGCCGTTGGGGCCTGCTTGCTCGCAGGGACCGACGCGGACGCGAAGAGGTTGAGGAACGTGTCTCGGGCTGGGGCTGGCCTGGGAGCGGGTGGCTGCTGTGCACGCCCGCCTGCCCGCGCCTCCCTTGGGGGCTCCGGGAGGGGCTTCTCGCGCTGCATCCTGCCTACCTCCCCCGCGCGTTCCCGTTCTCGCGCGCCGCTCCCCGGGTGCGGGAACGGCACGCTGCTCCGCGCCTCCTCTGCGTGAGCGCGCGTCTTGTGCGGACGCCGCGCCCCCACAGCCGGAGCTGGGGCGACGTAGGGCGGCGCGAGAGCCTTAGGGATGCTCCCTGGGGCGCCATACGGCAGGTCCTCCTCGCGAGGGCGTTCGGGGCGCTTTGATCTGGCGCGCGCGCTGAGGGCATCGGCGCTGCGCTGGCGGTCGAGTTGCAGCTGCTCGAGCGAGGGCTCGAGGAGCGGGTACCGGATGTCCTCCTTCGAGACGTGCTGGCCGTTGCGGAACGAGGGGCGGCGGTGGATGGGGGCGTGGGCGCGGGCGGACCCGGAGGAGAAGGAGGCGGTCCAGCCCTTCTTGTCCTGGTCATAGTTGAGGAAGGAGTCTTGTCCTGCGGACTTTCTGGAGGGGTTGGGAACGATGGCGGAGCTGGAGCATGCACGACGCGTTGGTTATCTCAGGATGCATGGGGTTCGCACAGAGAGGGATACTCACACGAGCGAGTCCGAGAGCTTGCGAAGGCGTTGGAAAGTTTGTGAGGTACGGCGTTGAACTTGCATGGCTGACACGTAGAAAACTGGTGAAGGGGAAAGAAAAGAGCAGAGAGCGAGAAGAACGAAGGACGGCGGCGGGGAGGCGCCTCGGCGCGCGGGGGTGCCTCTGCGGCGAGCAGGTTGTGCAGCGTCAGTATTGCGAGCGGTCTCCGTTCGCGCGAGCGAAGAGGGCTGGGTTACTTGTACTCCCCCTCTCTATTGCCGAGTCAAAGCAGGGAGCCACTGTCGTGCAAAGCCAGGAATGAATGGACGCCACAGCAAGACCCTATTCGGCCAAAGCCACTGCAGGCACTGCGCTAGGATGGCGAGAAGAATGCCCGATGCCGTGGGTTGTGGGTCCAGGGGGAGGAGCGCAAAGAACGATGGTGGGAGCGATGCATTGTATGGAGGGCGTACCGTGCCACGTACTATCATGCCCTTGGCCTGCGGGACGCCTGGCAGAGTAGAAGGTCCGACAGGCGATATGAGGGCCTTGAGGGCCACGGGCGTGCATGGCTGCCCGCTGGCTGTGCCAAAATACCCGCAAAGCCAGAGGTGTCCAGGACCAGCGGCAGCCTCTTCTCTGCCAAGGCTAGAGGTGTCAACATAGAAACATCTCTTGGTCCTTGGGGTGAAGACATTTCATAGACGGACGCCCATGAAGGCACAGTAGGTGATTTCCGAGCATAGGTCAAAGCGATGGCAAGGACATGTGCCACTCGACACCCAGGCGGGACAAACAGCAGTAGGGCGTGCTTGCGCGCATTGAGCCACTGGGAAGCTAGAAAACGCGATTATATGGCTGCACAACAGACGAGGGCGACGTGAACAAGCGAGGGACCCGAGGGGTAAGAGCACTACTGCAAGCGGTGGTCAGTTACACGAGCGCGAAGCAGGGGCACATGCGAGAAACATGCCGGTGGGTTCATGAGAAGACGAAGCAAAGATAGACCAGGACTCCAGCCAATTCTCCAAGATGTGCCATTCAGAGTGGTCTACGAGATGCGTCCTGAAGCAGTCCGGGCGAGTTTGAGATTTAAGGCCTCGTGCTTCCGCAAAGTCCTTTCTGGTCCGCTCAGTGCAATGTATGCGCCTGCCATTTCTCCATTTCGATGTTAGGCATTTGAGAGGATGGTCAGCGGTCCTGATAAGCACTGCCTGACGGAAAGCGCGTGTTGCCGCAGCAAGGCGAGGAGGTGCACGCGCAGTCGGCTCGTCTGGGCATTTGCGAAGTCGAATGTGCTCGAAGAGCCGACAAGCATGCGAATAGATGTCCTGAGCGAGGTCGGCATGCATTGCCTTGCGCATGCGCAGCACAAGAGGCGGTGGGACAAACGCCGGAGAGATGGCGGAAGAACGGTATGTGTTGCGCATTGGGACGCGGGACGCGGGTTTGCGCAGCGGATGAGTGCGGCGTCCTGTGCCGACATGTGCACTCGATGTCGTAGAGCGAAAGGCACCGGCCAGGCCACTCGAACGCAGTCCATGGTCGACGTTGGAGCTCGAATATTTTGCAGCCGCGACGGCGGGTCGGGTGACCATGGGCGGGAGCACTGGGGACAGCGAAGAAAGGTCGGTCGAGAACGTCGATGGAGCAAACCAAGGGCGAACAACCGGCACCGTGCGCACCGACCGCTGTGGCGTCCCGTTCCTGTGACCTCAGCCACTCGTTATGGGCGCCTAAGCGACCGATGACGCAAATGGAAAGCGGTGGCTGGCGGTGACGTCAGGCCGCCACTCCTCTTATATTCATCCTCGAATCTGTCCTTGGCCTCCCCACTCGTCGCCTCCCTGCCACGATCTCCCCTCCTCGTGAGTCCCCTCCGCGCAGCCTACACGCCGAGCACGTTGCTCACCGTTATCTCCCTCAGCTCAAGTCCTCAACCTCACGACCCTTCACGACTCATCCATAATTCACAATGGCCGCAGGAGCAGCAGTACCAGGACTCTTCTTCGCCTTCGCCGCGATGGTCCTTCTCATCTTCGTACGTCTTGCTCAAATTTCCCAGATTTTTTATCTGCTCACATATTATCGTCTTCAGGCCTCCATCTCATCACCAACATGGGAGCGCATCTCCTACCTTGATGTCCCTACAGGCGCTACCACAACACACTTCGGTGTCTTCGGCTACACGGGCACGAAAGCGCACGTCGGCTGGTTCTTCCCAGGCACCCTAGCGTACGCATTTGCTTCAGACTATGCGAGGGCATCGCTAACATTGTATCCTTCAGTGACAGCCGGTTGAACGGCCATCTCTTCCACAACCTCACCTCCGTCCTCATCCTCATCCCGATCGGTATGTCCCTATCATATCGCACCCATACATACACATGCTGACCATCCTGCTAGCCGCCGGCCTGTCTGGTCTTTCCGTGCTCTTCGGCCTCTGCGGCGCAGCCTACCACCGCGCGGGCACCGTCTTCATGACCCTCCTCAGCGCCCTCGCCTTCCTCGTCACCCTCGTCGCATGGGTCATCGAGATGGTCCTCTTCGGCGTCGCCCGTAACCACTTCCGCGACCGCGGCATCGACGCCAAGTGGGGCAACGCGAACTGGATCGTGCTCGGCGCGCTCGTCGCCCTCTTCCTCGCGTTCTTCGCCAGCCTCTGCGGCTCCTTCGGCCGCTACAGCTACGGCCGCAAGCGCGCCGTCGCGGCGTACTAGGCGGATCGGTCGCGTGTGGACTTTTTCTCCTGTCGGGCTCGCAAGTAAAACCACTATCGATACCTCCTCTTCGTTTTCCATACATTCACGAACCTTGCTTGTCCATGACTGCGATGCCTGTGACTTTACACTGCTCCCCTTGCTACGCTATTCTGTATCAATATTACTTGCGCCTTATATTCCGAGCCGAGACTATTCACGGCTTCGTATGCCATCTACGCTGTAACGATAGATTTGTTTAATGGATGACAGTTACATCCGCTATACACACCTTGTGCCTCGTATGGCGATCGACCGACAAGGAAAGTAAGATTCGCTGCGGCAATAATTGGATCGTTCTTCAGTATGTCGTCTACAATTTTTGACCTCGTCCATGTGCATTTGTCTGATCCATTGTCAGACTCCCGCAGGGGCTATAAGTTAGTATCTTCTTGTCGCGGCGACGAGAAGCAACGGATACATGAAGCTCATTGTCCAACAGTACATAATTCACAACAGCTGCGACGCGCATGCTGCACATATACATGTCCCGTCTGACAAGCAGTCGTACGCGTCAGGCCGCGTTCTCGACGCACTCGCGCATCTTGACCTGCATCAGTTCCCCGGTCAGCCACAGCGCGCGAGTGCGCAGCCTCGACGCACCTCTTCACCACTACCTAGTGTGCCGGTGGACGAGCGCAATACCAGCACGCGTGGTGCAGTCAGCCTCGACCTCTGCGCGTCTTCCCAGCCCTGCTCGGAATCCTACAGCCCTAGTGTCAGCCTCGCGCAACACTGACGCTATCGACGGAGGTCGCACCGAGATAGTGCCAGCCCCGTCCACCGTTGCGCTGTATTCGTTGTCCGCGTTAGGGAGCGTGTGTTGGCCGTCACGGAACTGGAGCGTCGTGACAATGGTGGGGGCGGCCGCCGTGGTGTCCGCAAACGCGGTGCGGTTCAGCGACGCGCGCACGTTCAAGCTGACGATGCGTGGGGGGAGGATGCCGGTCAGCCGCAGAAACAAACACATAGACGGGGCTGGAGGATGACAAGCGCGGCGTACCTCGCGAGCAGTGAGTTTACGTAGACTGGGCATGGGCCAGGTGGGAGCAGTGAGCGCTCGAGCCAACTTGATGGCGAGAGGGGGAAGAGGGGGAAGGGCGTACGTTTTCCGACCATCATCGAGAAGATTATGTAGACATATCCGCGCGGGATCGCAACGAGCTGCAGGCGACGTCAGGTCGCCTCTGGACCGTGCCGAGCGTCTTCGAGGAAGACATACCGTGACCAAGGACACTCCTTGTATGACACTGTCGAAACAGAACATCATCGTACGTCGTGAGTGCACACATCACACCAGACACATTCACCCCTACCGCATCGCGGCGAGGCACGAGTACTCACGTCACCAGCGCACCCCGATTGATCGCGTACACCATGAGTTTGTCGACGAGCGCGTTCGTGCGCGCCCGGCCGCCCGCGACGCGCGCGCCGCGGATGTAGAAGCAGAGCCCGCCGGTGATGAGGATGTCGCAGAGGAGCGTGAGCGCGGTCTGTAAGCTGGCGAGCAGCGATACGACCCGGGAGGTCGCGGGGAACAGACGCAGGCCGTCTGCGCTGTCGCGGAAGCTGCCGGTGGTGAGTGGTGAGTGAGTGGTGGGCAGGGCCGGCTCCGGGTAAGCTGCGGTACGCACGTCGCGACTAGGGTGACTGTCAGGCGGGGCGGCGGCGGGAGCTGGGCATGAGTGAAGAGTGCGGCTGTGTGGTTGGTAGCACACTTACAGATTCCTACGACTGTGATGGATGGACGAGAAGCGTCAACGATGCGCTATGTGTCAGCAAATGTGTGGTCACATCGGGCCCACTCACCAATTGTTGGGATTGTCAGAACGACCTGTGAAGCCGTCTGTCAGTAACGCAGCGTGTGGGGTGGAGGATACTCTTCCGTACTATCGATCCCGTGAAGATCTTGTTTCCGTGGCTCACTGGGATGCAGCGCTATCAACACCCATGGCAATAATTATCGACGCTGGATACAATGGCTTACATTTATAGAGCTGGTTTGCGAAATAACTGCCGGAGTTGTACGTGGCAGGTATCAGCGAGGTATCAGACTTCGATGGCCCATGGCTTACAACTGCACCGCTACAACGATAATGTCCTAGCGAATGAATGCGTGAGCAACTGGGTCGCAAAGGCGCATCATGAATCTGCGGGAGACATACCGTTACAGCTACCTCGAGCTTCCGGTGTCACGATCAGCTAGGAAGCGTTTCTCAAGGGCACGCTCACGTACAGCAACACTCCTATGATGCGACAAGAGCAGACCGTTCAGTTTTTGTTGTTCTTCGGGGGGGGGGGGAAATACGACTCTAGCTCCAGTGCTCACCATGGCAGCTCGACGTCGTCGGCTAGATGCGCCAGGTTCAGAACGAACATGTTGTATATGGCGTGCGATATCAGCGCGATAGTCAGCGTGTCCATCGCCCTGCCATGTATCTGTGTGAGCAAGCTCGCCTTCGCAACCACGCACGGCCAGTACGTACCACAAACCGCCGACCTAGGAGGATGCAGCCAGTCAGCACCGGGTATATATACGATGATCGAGACATGCGCTTTACCAGAGACTTTAGCGCGGCGCTGTCCTTTGGATAGCGGCGAAAGTACAAGTACGTTTGCAGTATCGTAATGCCATATATCCTGGGATTTCACGTCAGCGTCGGCGGCGTCTGAGAGCCTGAGTTGGGAAAAGACGTACGTGGTCGCTATCGGGAATCCGATGATCGCGCACGCGAAGAACTCTTGCAGGGGTCCAAACAGCTCTGGCGGGATACTAGCAGAGACGGTGTCCGCAGTGCGTGCAGCGTCGATCGCGGGCATTGGGAGTAGCACTGGGCAGCGATGCGGTACGTCGAGCCTGCTCGACTTCGATACATATATATGCCGTCGTGGGTGGGGCCGAACCTCTGCCCATCATGATCTCGAGAAGAGTAGAGACAGCGAACTCTGTCCGTGTGTCACCGTGGGGCGCAGAAAATCCGGCACTGTCATGGGTTAGGACACAGAGATTGAAGGCTGCTATTACGGAGAACTCCTGGGTGAGCGGCCTTCTCAAGCTTCGCAGGCTTTGGGCGTGTGACGCGAAGGACGATGGAGGGTTGAGAGAAGCTAGCCTCCTGACACCGTGTGGAACGTCCTCCGAGCCACTTGTACGTGAATTTGCAAGCCTGTTGTGTTAAATCCATCGGCGATCGTGAGCATGACGAGATGAGCGGCGTACCGGGCTCTTCCGAGTTCTTCGATGTTCAAAATCGGAAGAAAGAAAGAAAGCAATATCAAAGGCGCAAGTTCCAGCCCTGGCCTTGGCAAGCTCAAGAGTATCTCAGGCTCCTCCACAACTATTCCAATCTGACTATGCCGCGCCAAATAAACCTTTTTCAGCTTCAACACCACATAATTCACAGCGGCCACGATACGCATGCCACACATATAAATATATCCCAGAGAAAATGGTCATCGTCGCACGCGTCAGGCCGCGTCCTCTACGTGCTCGCGCGTCTTGACCTGCATTAGATCTCCCGATTAGCCACAGCGCAAAGACCCGTCGTCGTGACACACCTCTCCGCCACTGGCTAGTGTGCCGGTGGATGAGCGTGGCACCAGTATGCGCGGTGCAGTCAGCCTCGACCTTTGTGCGTCTTCCCAGCCCTGCCGCCCCGGTGACCGTCAACCTCACGCAACACTAGCGGCGAGCGGTACGCACCAGAACAAAACTGGCGTTCCCACTGGACTCGCTGTTAGCGCTGGGGGCGTCGCGGAACCGGAGCGTCGTTGCCATGGTGGTGGCAGCTACCGTCGCGTCCGCGAGCGCGGCGCGGCTCAGCTACGCACGCACGTTCAGGCTGGCAATGCGCGGGAGGGTCGAGTGCCGGTCAGCCGCAGAGACGTCGGAAGCGGGGTGTTAGCATCACAGGCGCAGCGGCGTACCTTGCGAGCAGGGAATTTACGTAGACTGAGCGTAGGGCGGGTAGGAGCGGTGAGCACTCAGGTTAACTTGAGGGCGGAAGGGGGAAGAGGGGGAAGCGCGTACGTTTTCCGACCATCATGGAGAATATGATGTAGACATGTCCGTCGCGACGAGCTGCAGGGGACGTCAGGTCGCCGCCTTTGAACCATACCGCGCGTACTCGAGGAAAACATACCGTGACTAAGGATACCCCCTGGATGACACTGTCGAAACGCATCATGACCACACGTGAGTGCGCAAATCACCCAAGACGCGGGCACTGCGGCACGGCACGAGCACTCACGTCGTCAGCGCGCCCCGCTGGATCGCGTACACCATGAGCTTGTCCACGAGCGCGTTCGTGCGCGCCCGGCCGCACGCGACGCGTGCGCCGCGGAAGTGCACGCAGAGCCCCCCGGTGATGAGCATGTCGCATAGGAGCGCGAGCGCGGCCTGCACGCCGCCGAGCGTCAGCACGAGCGGGCTCGATGCGGGGAGCAGGCGCAGGCCGGCCGAGGTGTTGCGAAAGCTGCTGTGGGTGAGTAGGGGGCAGGGTCCGGCGCTGGGTGACGCGCCACTGGAGTACGTACGTTTCAACTAGGGTGACTATCCGGTGGGGCTGATCGTGAGTGAAGAGAGCGGCTGAGAGGTTGGTGGCACACTTACAGATTCCTATGACTGTAATGGATGGACGAGAACTGTCAACGACGTGCCAGTGTGTGCCTGCAATGGCGTGGCCGCATCGGGCCCACTCACAGATTGTTGGGATTGTCAGAAGGACCTGTGAGACCGCCTGTCAGCAACGTAGATTCAGTGGGGTGGAGTATATCCTGCCGTACTATCGATCCAGTGAGGATCTTATTTCCGCAGCTCGCTAGGATTGGGATGCAGCACCGTCAACAGCCAGGACAGTATTTAGGGACAATACGGTGGCCTACGTTTATACAGTTGGTGTGCAAAATAACTGCCGGAGTTGTACGTGGCAGGCATCAGCGAAGGATCCGACTTCGATGACCGATGGCTTACCACTGCACCGCTACGATGATGACGTCCTAGCGAATGAATGCGTGAGCGACTGCACCGCGGGTGCGCATCATGAATCCGTGGGAGACGTACCGTTATAGCTACCTCGAGCTTCCAATGCGACGATCAGCTAGGAAGTGTTTCTCGAGGGCACGCTGACGTACAACAACACTCCTATAATCCAACAAGAGCAGACCAGTCAGAAAAAGACGACTTTGGTTCCAGCAGTGCTCACCAAGGCAGCTTGACATCGTCGGCTAAATGTCCCAGGTTCAGAACGAACAGGTTGTAGATGGCGTGCGATATCAATGCGATAGTCAGCGTGTCCAGAGCCCTGCCATATCTGTGTAAGCAAGCTCGCTACCACATCTACTAACAGATGACCAGTACGTACCACAAAGCGCTGACCTGGTAGAAGGCGACCGGTCAGTGCTAGTCAGCATCCGGTATATCTGCGATGATCGCATGCGCTATACCAGAGACTTCAGCGCGGCGCTGTCCTTTGGATAGCGGCGAAAGTATAAGTATGTTTGCAGTACCGTAATACCATATATCCTGGAATTCCGCGTGAGCGTCTGCATCCTCTGAGAGTCTGGGTTGGGAAAAGACGTACGTGGTCGCTATTGGGAATCCAATGATCGCGCACGCGAAGAACTCTTGCAGGGGGGTAAACAGCTCTGGCGGGATACCAGCAGAGACGGTGTCCGCAGTGCGTGCAGCGTCGATCGTGGGTATTGGTGGTGGCACTGAGCAGCGATGCGACACGTCGAACCTGCTCGACTTCTATACATACATATACCTGTCGTCGTGGGTCGGGCAGAACCCCCGCCCATCATGAATGATATTGAGCAGGACAGAGACAGAGAACTGTCCGTGTCATCGTGGGGCGGAGGGGATGCGGCACTGCCATCATGGAGAGGACACAAAGATTGAAGGCTGCTACTCGTGACGGAGAACTCCGGTGTGAGCGGGCTTGTCAAGCTTTGCAGGCCTTGCGCGTACGCGAAGGACGGTAGAGGATTGGATAAGCTAGCATCCTGACATGTGGAACGTTCTCCGCGCCACATGTACGTGGATAGGTTATGCTGAGTGCATCGACAATTGCGCGCACGACGGCATGAGCAGTGTACCGGGCTCTTCCGAGCTCTTCGATGATCATCATCGGAAGGAAGAAAGCGACATAGCTGGCAGGCGCTTGTCAGACACTTTTAGAGCTCGAACGCCCGAATCACGCCTCATGAGAAAACTTCAATGTGTCAAGAAAGATTTGTTGCACGTTCATCAGACGGGTCAGGCCGCATTTTCGACGTGCTCGCGCATCTTGATCTGCATCTGTTCTCCCAGTCAGCAACAGCTCGCAGGCCCGCAGCCACGACGCACCTCTTCACCACTACCTAGTGAGCTCGCGGACGAGCGCGACACCAGCATGCGCGGTGCAGCTAGCCTCGACCTCTCTGCATTATCCCAGCCCTGCTCAGAACCCTGCAGCCCCAGCAAAGTCAGCCTCATGCAACACTGGCGCGATCGACGAAGGCGGGTATGAAGGAAGACCCACTATAACAATGCCAGCCCCGCCCGCTGTCACGCTGTATTCGCCGTCCGTGCTAGGGACCGTGTAGGGGTCGCCGCGGAATCGGAGCGTGGTAGTGGTAGTCGCCGCACTGACAGTCGTGTCCGCGAGCGCGGCGCGGTTTAGCGACGCGCGCACATTCAGGCTGGAGGAGTACGGAAAGCGTGTCAGCCGCAGAGAAGGGGCTGGAAGATGACGGGCGCAGCGTACCTTGCTAGAAGCGAGTTCACGTAGACTGCGTAGGCCAGGTATGCGCAGTGAGCGCGCAAGCCAAGGATAGGATGTAGAAGAAAAAGACATACGCTTGCCGATCATCATAGAAAAGATGATGTAGACATGTCTGCGCGGGAGCGTGACGAGCTGCGGGGGACGTCAGTCATCTCGCGAACATAAATGTTACACAGGAGAACAGACCGTGACCAAGCACGCTCCTTGGATGACACTATCGAAATGTGCCGTAATAGTAGGTGAGTGCATGTTCCTCAGGACACGTCGCGGGGGGACTCACGTCGTCAGCGCGCACCGGTGGATCGCGTACACCATGAGCTTATCCACGAGCGCGTTCGTGCGCGCCCGACCGCCCACGACGCGCGCGCTGCGGAAGTGGAAGCAGAGCCCGCCGGTGATGAGCATGTCGCAGAGTAGCGCGAGCCCTGCCTGCACCCCGCCGAGGAGCGACACGAGCGGGCTCGTTTCGGGGAAAAGTCGCACACCGTCCGCAATGTCACGGAATCTGCAAGGGCGATGGTCGGCTGTGAGCCAGGAACTGCGCGTGTGGACACGGCAAGCACGAGGACGGGAGGGAAGCTTGTACTACGCACGTTTCGACTAGGGTGACTGTTCGAGATGAGTGTCGCTTGTGAGAAAATCGCCGTCCACTCAAATCTTCATGACACACTTACAGATGCCGACAACTGCAGGGATGAAAAATATCAGTGAGCTGCAGTACGGTTGCATGGGTATCTCGGCCCTACTTACCGATTGTTGGAATTGTTAGGAGGATCTACAGGATCGTCCGTTAGTGATGGGGGGAAAGGGAGTCGGCTACAGGAGGCCGTACTATGGCGGCAGGAAGGAGCTTGTTTCCGTGGCTTACTGGGATACGAGTCAGGGAACACCCAGGATGAGGATTTGGGATGGAAACTTGCAGGATACCCACGTTTGTGCAGCTGGTCCGCGAAGTAGCTGATGCAGAAAGTAGCAAGCATCAGCAAGGTTGTCTGTTTCGGTGACCAACAACTTACTACTGCACTGCTACTGTGATGATGTTCTAGTGGATAAATATGAGTTGGGTCACGAGCGCATGATGGGGATTCGCAGGAGACACACTGTTACAACTATCTCGAGCTTTCCAAGATGGACAATCAGTCAAGACGCATTTCTCGAGAGTACACCCGCGTACAGCTACACTCCTAAGATTCAACACAAGCCTGATCATTCAGCTTCTGTCGAAGGAATATAACGACCGCCAACATATATGTGCTCACCATGGTAGGTCGACGTCGTCTGCTATATGGCCCAGATTCAACACGAATAAGTTATAGATGGCGTGTGAGATTAAGACGATGGTCAGCGTGTCCAGCGCCCTGTGATATTCGGGTTGTTACGTGATCACAGGCACGCACTGGCGCGGCACGTACCACAAACCGCCGACCTGTGAGCGCGCGAGCTGTTAGCTCTCGGTATAAATACGACATATGATTGGAATATGCTTTACCAATGACTTCAGCGCCACGCTATCCTTTGGGTAGCGGCGAAAGTACAAGTACGTTTGCAGTACCGTGATGCCATATATCCTGTGAGGCCGCGTCAGCGTTGAAGTCCTCTGTGATGGGGAGAGGCATACGTGGTAGCTATCGGAAACCCAATGATCGTGCATGCGAAGAACTCCTGCAGGGAACCAAACAGTTCCGGCGGGATCCCAGAGCTGTCAGCGGTGCGTGCGGCATTCTGAATCATGGCCATTAGCACCGACTCCGGCCTGCGCCTCGCCCCCTCGCTCGCGACCTATATACATACGATCGTGGGTGCGCCGTACCCGACAATCACGAGAAGGCCCGAGTCAAAAAGAGTCCGTGCCGACGCGGTGAGAACGCGGGATAGCGCGGGATGCGTGGCAGACAAGCTTCTGGCGATCGCGGGACTGCGGGGAACCGAGGGGTGATCGCCACGTGCAGTGCAATGATAACTCAGGCACTGCGGCTGCAGGGTGACTGTTACACGATGAAGACGTACAGCTTTTCGGTAGCTCCGCGAGGTAGCCACGCGGAGAAGCGAGTGATTCACATTGTGCAATGTTCATCAGCCGTGGAGACTCGTCTTCGGTGTTCCATCATATATCCAGTGAGCCAACCTGAGCTTAGTTCCTCCGGAGGAGCCTCCGGAGGAGGCAGGTTTCGAGGCACTATGGGGGAAGCCCGGTACTCTAAGGACACATGCTTATGTGAGTGGAAAGTCTGTGAACCATGGTTTGTGCTGGGAACTTACACCCAAAGCCGATACTCCGAGAACATGCCAGGCACGTAGTCCCCCGAGGCCCGTTTTCGGATATAAGCATGGCGTGATGAAAGGAGCTTGCAGTCTGAGGGCAACTCCGACGAGTTACGGGGCGAGCAAGCTTCGAGATGAACGCCATAGACATGGAGCGTGCACGGAAGTCGCAACCCGGACCGATGTCGCCCTCTGCCGTGGTCCTGCGTATATGTCTTGGTCTCAGGGCTGTGTCGTAGCACAGCCGCGGATACCTGGCTGATACTACATCAATGAGTTCATATTTCCTATGTCAGCCGAGAACGTCGAGCAGATCTATACTGTTTTCGTGATGACTCCTACCAACGCCCATAGTAGGCACTTGTCGGAAGTCCTACATATACATAACTGAGATGCTGACATGCCACACGAGCGATGCGGTTGATGGGGGCGGCCAGGGTCGTTTGTGTGGCGCGACCGAGGCTGACGCACGCCGTGAGACCCCGGGGTCACAAAGGACTCAGGGAAAACTCGTATGAGCCAACTCTGACACGATGCGTGAGCTTTTCGACGGCGGACAAGCTGGAGAGACCACCATACCGAGCTCTAACGAAATCCGCGAAGACCAAAATTCATCGAAAGAGACAACATGACTAAGCACTTGTTAGGCTCGTAAACAAGCCTCACGTTGGGGAGCGGATTTAATCCTGAGCGAGGCCTTCATCCACAGTCCGAGAGATCGAGTGTACTGCTGGCAGAAGTAGTGCATGATGATGGCATGAATAGAGGAACAAACCAATCAACGAGCGGCTGCCTGAACGTATGCCTACTATTTAAGCGCCTGTGTAAAGTTACGTAGCACTAGCGGTGCAGGCGCCGCCTCCCTCGGCGCCGGCCGGATCCGCCGCAATTCCCCGGTCAGAGCTGGTCGGTTGCGTACTTGGGCAACATGGTACTGTACCACCTGCAAGCCATGCTAATATCTTCACTAGATTTCCGTCGAATCACATCGTTTTCTAGTAGTACTATAACGGGGCTTACCAATGCTTTACAGCTCGACCCGAGTTCTGTCAATTCCTACGGGAGCATTCCTTAAACGGCAGCGCGCGCCGTCGGGCCTTGCGTACGGCGGGGCGTCGCCGCGAAGTGTCGCCAATTCCAGCCATGAGCATCTTGGACGCCCCCTACGCAGTCTCTACGCAGTCCCTCCGTGCGGTCAGGACGCGTCGCCTTGAGCATCAATCAAACTCGGGCTCTTCAGGTGTACCACAAATTGCGCTTTGCAGGGCGCAAGATCATCTTCCCGTCGACAGGTCGCGATCGGCTTTCAGTCCAATTGGCTGCGATTCCGCAGCTATACGCACATGCACGCACACAACACACCCCACTGCCAGCTGCGTAGAGACATTTACGAGTCACTGCGCTGCATCAATCACTCTGCTCCAGCATACGCCACCACATGTGTACGCATTCGGTGACATACTCCGCAGCTCGGTGTCCCGTCCGTGCCCTGCTCGTTCTGTGCCGCGCTCGGGGCAAGAGTAGTACTTATACTGAGCTCGTGTGTGGCACCTTAGAAAGCATCACCTCCGCAGATCCCATTCTCACACGATGCGCCTCTTGACAGTCACAGCACTCACTGCCGCAGTCTCCGCCCACGCGGTAGTTCTCAGAAACGAAGATGCTCGTAGCTTTAAGGTAATGTCTTCTATCTATGAGCGGGCTCACGCATCTTACAAATGTTTCAGGGAGGCAATCATGCCGCGTTCGAATGGGGTGCTTGCGATCCGACCTTGGTGCAAGATCCCAACGTCTCGTGCAGCTTCTTCGAGATCCCTCTCGACTACCACAACGCCAAAGCAGGAACCGGGCGGCTCGCAGTCGCCAAAGTAAACGCCACCGGGGAACGACTGGGAACCGTCTTTTTCAACCCAGGTATGCTCGAAAAGAGGAGCATCGCGCGGCGTCACTCATGTATATTTTCACCGTTTAGGTGGACCCGGAGCCTCTGGGCTAGCAACCATGAATGAGGCGAGCACGCTGCTTCTCGCCCTTACCGGCGGAAACTACGACATTGTCAGTTGGGACACGCGTGGCGTTGGTACACTCACTATGTTCGTACCAACCTCTTCATTTTCATCGCACCGGATGCAGCTGACCAGCTTGCCCTCTCTGTAGCCCTGGAGACATAGTCTGCTTCGACAATGTGACAGACTACAACGCCTTCTGGAACGGCACGATCCAACTCGACGGCATCGAGTATACCGGGAAATTTACCGATCCTGCTGACACGAAAGCGTTGCTCGCTCAGGCGACGGTCATGGGGCGCAAGTATACGGAGCTCGGGAAGCGTTGCCAGCAGCACCCCACGGGAAAGTACATGAAGTACATCGGGACGGCCGCTACGGTGCGCGACATGATCGCGCTTGCGGATGCACTCGATGGGCCTGGGAGCCTGGTGAACTACGCAGGTATCTCGTATGGCACGCTGCTGGGTGCGTGGTTCGTGAACAGTGAGTGACGCGACCACCTTGCGCTTGTCTGGTGACTCACGTGTCGCCATGATCCAGTGTTTCCCAAGGTGTGTTCAACTTCGCGTGCAGAAGCTCGTCGTTTTCGCAGAGCTGACTGCTTTTGCGCATTTAGCGGGTCGGAAGAGTCCTCCTCGACGGCGTACTCAACCCGCAACTCGTCGCGACCCAAGAGTCGCACAAGGTTCGTCTCCTTCGCGCATCGCTCCGTGTCATTCTGACCTTTCTCTTGCCGCAGGTCTGGCCGCAGCAGCTTTCAGATACCGACAAGGCGTACGAAGCGTTCGTCGCCGGATGCGCGCTCGCCGGACCGTCAGGCTGTGCGATCGCCACCGCCAACGCGTCCGCTGCGGACGTCGACGCGACCATCCAGACGATCCTCAAGCAGGCACACGATGCCACGCGCAAGAACGCGTCCGTTGCGGTGACGTCCGCGGACATCCGCAGTAAGTAGACGCACTGGTTCTCCACACTATCCTGGTGCTGACATAGATAGGTGCACTGCTGTCGGCGATGTACTTCCCGGCTACCTGGGCGGACCTCGCGAACACGACCTTCCCCGAGATTGCCGCCGCCGTCCAGGGCGAGTCGCTGGCTCGCAGGGCACTCGGTGAAGCGGCTCAACGAATGTATGTGCTTTAGCCTCGCCTTCAGACGTCCGCTGAGCGCGCTCCTTCGTCTGCACAGTGTTCGGAGGCATCTATCGGACGAAGCGGAGACGTACGGTGGCATCGCGGTCGCGTGCAGCGACAGCATTGATCCACGGGGAACCTCGATGAAGGACGTGTTCAAGAACACGATTGCCGCGACTCAAAGCGCCAACGGCTCTCACCTTTGTACGTCTTCCGCCCCGCGAGTTGTTGTACACGCAGCCACTGATCGCGCGTGGCGCAGTCACCCCCGTCTGGCCAATCTCGTGGAACTACTGCCCGTTCTGGCCCGTGCGCGCCGTGGAGAGGTACACGGGGCCGTTCAATAAGAAGCTCGCGAACAAGGTTCTGATCGCCAACAACCGGGTAAGTTTGCTCTCTCCGTGCTCCTGTCGCCCATTCGGCCTCGCTGACGAACGAACCTAGTTGGACGCGGCCACGCCTCTGAAGGGCTCCCAGGCGCTCTCCAAGATTATGGGGGACAACGCGGCCCTCATCGTCCAGGAGGGAATTGGGGTGAGCAGGGTTGTGATGCGCACGCGACTAGGTTACTAATCTTCTCTAGCACACCACGCTTTACTCGCCCTCCCAGTGCATGAACGATATCCTGTTCACGTACATGACCACTGGCGCAGTACGTACTCTTCTTTATCATTGCCTAGAATCTTGCTCACGCTTACATTTGCGGTACAGGTCCCGGACGGAAACGACACGACGTGTGAGGTCAATACGGACTTTGAGTTGTTCGATGGGGTGAACACCGAGGCGATTATGGCCGCGCTTGCCGCATAGAGCGCATTTATTTGTCTGTCGTGACTGCAACACAACCTTATTCCAATGAACGGCGAACATGCGCTCCCGGAGCCATGTTACCCTATAGCTTGAACGTGGAATTCAGTGCCCGGCGGAGGTGCGCCTGCTGCAAGTGAACGTCGAGTTCAAGCGAACGTAAGATTTCCATGTAGAATATACATAACATGTGATGCATACATAGTCGCACTACAGGAATTGACTCGTTGAACTAAGTATGTGAAGAAGCTAGAAACATGACGATTGAGCACGAAGAAAACAAAAGGAAGATGAAAGCCTCAAGCCCCCGGGGTCAAATCTCCGCTCTCTCTGCCGACCTCCAGAACTTCTCCTTCAGGCTCGAGCTGGTGCTCCTCCTGCGGCGGTGCGAATGCGAGCTCGTCCAGGTCTCCGTCATCGTCGTGGAACGAGTGGATTGAGCCCCCGATAATGCCGAGGAACTCCGGGGGCTCAGGTGAACCTGCCCCCGGGTCGCCACCGCTGGCAATATTGAAAGAGAGGGAAGATATGCTCGTGTTGGTCCCGCCAAGACGCGTGTTCGTCTCGTGGAGGGCGAGTAGGAAGCGGCTATTCAAGCTGGAGGAGATACTGTGGAGCAGGTTTGTCTTGGGGGTTAGTCATGGCGAAAAATGCAGCAAGGGTGAATGCCTTACGGGTCGATGAACACCAAAACGTAGGAAGACTGATCATCCAGTGGTTGTGAGGCGAGCTGCAAAAGAACCAGAAGATTATTGCACGTATACTAGCTGTCCAGGCATAGCACATACCGAAAGTAGAACAAGCAACAAGTTCACCACGTTCAAGGAAACCAGTACGCTGCAGACAAGCTCGTCAGAACTTGAGTTGTAGTAATTGTTTGATACCTGACGGACCAGAAGTAGACAGTGCCTATGTTGCAGACAAGAACGTGTAAATCAGCATGCAACGCGGGCAGAGCATAGCATGGACTATACCATTTTCCCACATCACCTGTTGGAGGAAAGGCCGCTTCATGCCAGTACCCGTCCTCAGCTGGGTTGCCGCACGTGTTTGGCGCCAGGTTACGGCGGCGGCCAGCGAGTCCACGAGGATGAGAGATCCCCTTGAGGCGATGGTCACTGTTGAGTCCGGGTAGGTCAATAATTGTCTGTTCGCCAGGAGCCGCCGTACTAACATCTGCGATCCTCATGGGTGAGCGTGATGTACTCATTGGCGCATACAATCTGTGGAAGAAAACTCACCTGATGTTTAGGCTCCTGGTGGCCGTGTCAGTCTCAGAGCAGTTCAGCGGTGCGGGAAGGTTTATGGGCATTTTTTCTTTGTATACGCCGCTCTGTGGTTGTATCCATCAGCCAGCACTGCCGTTATATAAGCCAGAGAGCTTACCGCATTGATGACGAAGGGTGCCATGCTTAGCACCAGTGACACCCCACCCAGTATCTTGTTCTCTCTTGAGAGCGCGTATATTCGCAGAGTAGTGAACACTTGTATCGTGTCAGCGGCGAGTTTAGAGGTGGCGAGTAGCAAACATAATTACTGGCAGGCCCAAGCAGATTCAGGATCCAAGTGACAGTGGTGAGCCAGACAAGCGCAACGCAGCTTTCAAAAGGCTCGGAATTAGGGAGCATGTACGATGAAAGGTTGAGGATAAGCACAGTTCACCTCTGTGGGTGTATTGTTTGAGTTTGAATCAGTGTGTTGAGGTACGGAAGATTCTCACTCACAGTGTTCGACATCGACGGAATGGTCCCAAGAATTAGGAGCGAGTACAACAAGTACATGTACCTGTTCCACATGTACAGGATTCGCGTGAACCAGGACTTCCGTGATCGCCAGATGTATAGGTATTCTTGCCCGAAGGTGAGGAGGACGTCGTACGCAATCAGCGCTATGGATCATAGATGAGCATTTTCCGTACAGGAGGAAGGCGAGGGCACTCTAAGACGATATTTGCCTGTGGTCGAGATGTTGACTATGACGGTTGTCATCCTGCACCGGCGTACTATTAGTTGAACACGCAATGATCTGCTATCAGACTTACACCCCCTGATATGTGGCGATTACTTGGGCTACCGCAGCAGAGCTTAGAGACGACATGTCTTCGCAGTCCGAGTCCAGTATGCCAAGTTATAGCGCGATTGAACCGAGAGCCAGGAATGTGAGTCAGGGAGCGTTGTCGCTTGCATGGCACCTTTAAACGATACTCATCCAGCGGGCGCATCTTCGAAGCAAGGAATTAGTACTGATTTTGCCAAACATAGCACCTAGTATGCTGCACCCTCATGACCTCACGCATCTCGCTAGAAGCCGTGCGCACAATAGAAACCAGTCGGCACTCGCAAATTTGCGCAGCGCGCGGACGCCCGAACCTAATCCACGGAGCGAGAGATAGTGATACAGCGCTATCCCAGCGGTACAACGGGCGCATTTTCGTCACTGGTAGGGAACCAGGGTGCAAAAAAACAACGAGTTCAGTTAGTTTGATGATAAAGTATCATAGACTAATGTAAAAATGAGATTACTCCGGCCATTTATTCACCTGAGTCCCTTCATGTGTGCTATTATCTCAATGGAGAACGAGTTACTGAGGCACATAATCCGGGCACCACCCAGTTTATCGACCAGATAATCCCCGGCCCAACCCATTTATCCACCAGGTAATCTTGTTTGCCCTCCGTTCATCCTCGATGATCGTGTTCTGTAAACTTGGATCATCCTACTTGTTGTAGCCAAAAGGTGGGCGCTTTCATCCTGCCGCTCAAAAAATGGGAACAGCGGGACTCGAACCACGATGGTCAAACAAGTACACAGGTGCCACAACCCCTACACCAAACACACTATACCTTAGAACTATCATTATGCTTGATATGTGAGTCGGTAACTCACACACCGCAGGCACCCTCTCATTATCACTCTCAACGTCTATCATCTACACCGTTAAACCTCTATCATCGACACCGTTAAACATCTATTATACCCTCGATAATCCACAATCATTTCCACGGTCATCGACAATGAACTCAACGGTCATCCACAAACCTCTATCATCGACACCGTTAAACCTCTATTATACCCTCGATAATCGACAATGAACTCAACGGTCATCCACAATGATCATCCCCTCCTACCCATTTAACGGCTTGCCGCGGGCCCGTCCTCCACCTCGCCCTCGTCCCCTACCTCGCCCATTCCCACGCGCCGATGCACCTTCAGTGGGCGCATCCGCGGGCGCATCAGGTGCGCTCCCCGCTATCGTACTGTGTGGAAATATCTCGTCATCAGCACCATTCGTCCAAACAGTCCCCTTCCTGAGCATACCTCATCGCGCCGCCCACGCTTCCGCCTCTTCCTCCCATTCCTCGACTGCCTCCCCGTCCCCTCTTGCTCTTTCCCCGCGTTCCTGTGACGTTGGACTTGGTTCCGGGACCCTGCCCTAAGTTTTCACTGCACGACACATCGCACATCATTAATGCGCGATGGCACAGAGTTGAATCACACACTCACCTCGCCATAGTCTCCAACGGCGGCTCGTTTTCGTCCCGCTTTCGCTTCTTGGGTCTGGCGCCCGGCGCGACGGCGACGGTCCCATCTGTTTCTACAGCAGGCGTGTCTTCCGCTACCACAGCCGCCGATTTTCTCGCCTGTCGCAGCGACGTCCTACGACCGCCCCCCAGGCCCGGCGTCGCACTCACCGTTCCAGCAGCCGGCGGCGGCGCCCCCTTGCCAGGTGCGAGGCCTGACACCTTGCTTGCTGCTGCAGCAGGCTCCTCTGCCGTTGCGTTCCCCGTCGCCTCGCTCGACCTCGCCTCCGTCGTCACAGCAGCCTCCGCTGTCGCGCCCGACGATGCAGCATGTGCGTTGGCGACCTCCGCGTCTTGTGACGCCCGAACAGTCCCTGTCTCGATGCGTAGTCTCCCACTCACCACTGCCATGTCCAGTTCCTCAGACGGCGGCTCCATCTCGTCGTGTTTTCGCTTCCGCGGTGCGGGTCCGTCCTCCACGGCCATGGTCGACACTGCTGGTGCAAGCAACGACGCCTCCGCCATCTCAACCCCTGCTGTCCCGCCCACCGCCGCTTTTGTCGCTCGTCGCAGCGATGTCCTGCGACTTGTCCCGCCGCCCAACGCTGTGCTCGGCGTCCCAAGAACTCCTGACGACAACCCCATGTCCGCCAAGGTCGCCGTATCGAGCGCATTCTCCTTTGCCACCTCCGCCGTCTCGCTGCTCGTGGCAGCTGCATGTGCCGTCGTGTTCGCCCTTGCCTCGCCTAATCTCCCGTTCGTCGTCGCAACAGCGTCGTCCGTCGTGCCCGACGGTCCCGCAGCTCCCTTCGCAACCGCCCCGTCCCCCGCGGTCGCGGTTCCCGTCGCATCCTCGTTCAGTGGTCCATGTACTGTAGCCTAACATTAGCATACACGTGCCTGTAACATGAATCTGCAAACCATACTCACCGCCTTGCGCATGTTCATCGCAGTTCGCCTCCTCATTTGCGGCCTGATGCGTCTCTGCTTCGCCTGTCACCAAACCGTCCCCACCCATCAAGCTCCCCCGGCCCGTTTGTATCGAATTCCCGTTGTACGACGCACCATCTACAGCAAGATCCGTGGACGGATCCTCTTCCAGAAGGCTAGGCAACTTAGAAGCCGCCGCCGCTCGCGCGATAGCCTCCGTGCGAATACCCGTCGTTGAGGTTTCTGACGCCACCCTACTCGGCGAAGGCCATACCTTGCGCGTCCTGGGCCGTGTTGGCGTGTCAGGTATTGGTGTGCCCACCGCTATACCGCTCGACGTACTACGCTCTTCGCTTGGTGCAGCTTCACCGGCTGTGGCCATAGGTATGTCGCACGACCCAGTACCTACATCATAGTGTCAGTTCCATGCAGATCGCTTGTATGGTGTCCCAGACGTCTTACCGGATATGAACCGGAAGCGTTGATCGGTATCCTGTGCGTCCACTATGGCGTCGTAGAGGAAGGCGCATGTCGACAACTTCAGCTCCTTCGGGTCTTGACGCACCGCTGCCAACCATTTAGACTCCAGGAAACTGCTCGCGTCGCTCAGAACGTTGGCCCAGACGAGCGGTTCTTCATCGCCGCGGCAATACGCTGGGCCGAAGGTCAGTCCACGCCGTAAGACATGCCACCTGCCGCTCACCCCAGGTGGCTTGCATGAAGGCGTCCATCACGCTACACATTTCTACTCCCGTCCAATCATTGCTGACGGGCGGTAGGCCCGGCCTTCCATCCGCGAGGCTCACCAGCCTTGGGTCCCTACGCACTGGGTTCGCTGATCGCTGTATTAGCATTCATTGCTTTTCCGTTCGCTGGTCACTCACGCAAAGCAGACGTTACGAATCGTCTCCACCGCTCGTTCTCCCTCTCATCCGCCCCGCCTTCGAAGTTGGCGAAACCGCTGTGCCCCTCCGGCAGTCCGATGGACAATCTGTGATACACCACCATCAGTCCACGCCGTCACCCGATAACCCTGTCGACTTACTGCTCCCTCATGATCATCCCATCTTGGTCTCGCATACCGAGCCGAATATGGATGATCAGCGGCCCGAACTCGTCGGCATCCATTCCAGGGAACTGCTCAAGCAGGCAGGCCAAGAGAGGCACGAACTGCCTCTGATTCCTGCAGTACAGATGATCGGTTAGTCATGTGTCACGTTAAGATACAAGAACGCTGCCCACTCGTAGCACTGATTCGGGTTCGACCCCCGCTCGTCCTTCATTTTGAGCGACTTTTCCTTCCACTCTTGCTGTTTATCCTCGGGCAACTTCTCGAACAAGCCCTTCACGATGGAGTTGCGCTCACCGACGTGATTCCCGACTCCAACGACGTGAGGCGCAACTTCCTCCTCGTTGTCCCTCGCCCACAGCGCCGATGCCGTCGTGGCGCGTCCTCTCAGCATCTTCAGCAGCGGTGCAAGGTCCTTTTTAGACACCAGCTTCGGGGCTGGTACAGCCCCATCCCCATCTGCCTTCGCACCCGCCACCTCCGTGTTCGCCTTCAATTTCTTCTTATGGTTTGCGAACCAGTTGACGACGCACTATACCTCGCCCTCAGCTTCTTTCATTCATCACGAAGTTCATGCACATCACCTTGCTCAGCTCCGCATCGTTGTACCCCGGCACCTTGTAGTGCGTGACGACATGCTTTGTTATGTTGTCGAGCATCGTCTTCTGCTCCGCCACGTCCGCGCAGCTTAACCATGCCGGGAATTGAACCACCATGTACCGCTGCGCGTCCGCGGCAGGCCCGGCCGTCGACCAATGTATTCGTTTGACCTTGTCCCGAGCGACCCCCGTGCCATGGACTCGCTGCGACGAGGTTGACGCCTTCTTCTTTCGTCTCGGAGCTTTGCGTCGATCCTGGCCCTCCTGCTCGTCGTCGGTGGAGTCGAGCGCAGACCGTGAGCCGTCACCGTCCTGAGCGTCATCTTCGTCTTCGTCTTCGCCAGTGCGCACCTGCCCATGCGGGTTCCTTCAGTCACCTAAAACCAATCCCGCACGCACTTTCACTCACCGATGCTTCATGCTCCGATGTCGGGGCCCCCTCAGAGGACGTGCTCGTGCTGGGCTCCGTGGAGGAAGACGACGGGTGGAAAGACGCGTCGTCTTCGCTAGCGTCCGACGACAGTGCCGCAGACGAAGACGACGCGTCTCCCTCCTTGCCATTCGCCGCACGCCGTCCTCCGCTGTTCGCGCTAGTCCCTCGCAAATCCGGCGTTGAAGCGGCAGTCATGATTTTAGGAATCGAGCAGCTGCTTGGGGTCAAGGTCCAGCGGTGAGCAAAAAGGGATGGGACTGAGCCGCGCGCTACTGTGAACCCAGCATTGCCGACTAAGCCCTGACCCGATCAACCGCGCCCCCTGCCCTCGAAACATCCCAGCCTCTCGTTCAGCGTGAACCTCCTCGCGTGCCGGTTAATGCCGCCGCGCTGCACATTATCGCATCCCCCACCTCTCCCACATGTCCACGCAATTATTGTGCTCCCAGCATTGCGTTCCTGCGAAGCTCATCCCCCAGTTTATCCGTCTATGCTCGATCACCTGCTGTCAGCGTTCACAGTTCATTCTAGCGTAGTATGACTGGTTTACATGCTTGTCCATTGATACACATATCCACGAGGGTGCGACGAGAGCCTAGTAACGGCAGCGCGACCATGGTGGGACTCTTCTATTCGATTGTAAAACTGGACCACCTCACCTTGGACCATCAGCCCACCTTCGGGAATCTACGGGGCACGATAGGTGCCCGACCCGCTTCCTCGTAGAATCTCTGCACGTAGAAACGCGCCATCTGCCGCTCCTTCTCCTCGATGACCTCCCGGCTCATGCTTGTCGCGATACTTGGTCCTTTGTGGATGCACGGCGGGCAGCGCGGCCATCGGCAGAGCACATTCCGGAAAGCCTCGAGATAAGGCACACGTCGGAAGCACAGGTCGTCGCTGAGGCCGCATCCCGTGTCCTCTGGCAGGCGCTCAACACAGTACAGCGCCCCGTCCGGGAACACCCGCCCGATGAAGTCCTCCCGCATCTCCTCGTCGCCGATTTCACGGCTCATGGGGACGAGTATTCGGTCCAACGCTAGGAGCTCTTGTCGGAATCCCAGCTCGCACAGTTCCCATATGATTGCCCCGCATACATTCTCCGGAATCTGGTCGTATCGTCGATCGAACCAAGCGGGTGGTACGGCGGGGTTGACATCGACGTCCCCCAGCTGAAACGCTCTGCTGAAGACATGCGAGACTTGGCGCACGCGGACGCTTCTCCGGGTCTCCCTGTCGCCCTCGGTCCGCGCGATCTCTCCGTACAGGAAGTCTCGCCACCACTGCGGTGGGATGGAGCACAGGTTCGCGTCCCGCACGCGCAGCATGTATAACCACGCCGGGCGTACTCGCAGCCAGTTCATGAGGTACTTGAGGCCGCGTTGGTCCGTCTTCGTTCGAACGAACAGTGCGGGTTCCGGGATCCAGTATCCCCAACTCTTGCGGGAGGTCGGGCCCACGTGAGCAAGGTCCACTGAGCCCAGAGCCTCCCGCCACGGTGGCAAGGCCGGAGGCATCCATCGGTGGCTGACTTCTTCGAACTTCTCCGCCCCTACCCGCACCTGCGGACGCCCTGGGCGTTTTGTGCGGTCTACGAATGGGATCAGCACATGGCACCTTTGTATTCCATATTGTCTTACATGGGTGATAGCCATGCCCGTCACGATTGGTCGCCCGCCCGTCACGATTGGTCGCCCGCTTGCTGATAGAACCCCGGACGCCATTCCGCTGAGTTGTCGTTTGCTGCGCCGTCCTCGCTTCATCGGTACGCTCGTTGCTGTACTGTTTACGCGACACCGGCGTCGCGTACCCGCCCTCGGTCTCGACGATCAGGATGGGCGCGCGCGAGATATCGAGGTACGTGTGGCCCCCTCTGGCCATCATGTCCAGGTGCTTCCGGCCCACCAGGCCTCGATACAGCACCGCTCCGTGTTGGGGACCAGCGTTCACGGATACGCCGCGAGGTGGCTCCAACTTCGTCAACTCGTACACCACGGTGCTCTCCAAAAGCGAGGCGTCCTGGCGGACGAACCAGACCGGTATTCCCGCTTCGTAAAGATTTTGCACCACCCCTGGATCGGTCGTGAAGGCGCCCATCAGGTCTGTGTTGAGGGGGTTGCTTCGCCATCCCAACCGGATATACGTTCCGTAGTAGTCGAGGTACGCGCGGGTCATCAGCCAATAGCGCTGGACCTCCCTGACCTGCATCGCGGCGTCTCGAAACGTGCACGCAAAGTTTCGCAAGCGATCCCGCGCATGACGCATCGCCGTTGTCAGCCAGAGCACCCGGTCATCGACGACGTGCAGGCGTCCGCGGTCCGAGTCTGCCACCTCCGCGACCAGGTCGTCCACCATCCCGCTCAATTCCCGGACGCACTCGGGTCGTAGGAGACCCAAGGTCTTGATCGTGCAACCTTGCAGCAATTGAAAGTCCTCGCCCTCGTCGGGGGTCCACCATAACCGCGCAAGCCGGTGAGGAGCCTCTCGGTGTCGCTGCAATGCGCAAAGATACTCGTACCCCGCGGAATACAGTTGAGGCCACTGAATAGGATCAACCATGCCGTATCGATAGTCTTCTCGAAGGACCACCTCCAGTATTCCAATCGGAGGTGTTGGAATGAACTCCATGTTCGGTGTCGTGATAACCCACTTGCGGTCGTCGGTGAAGGCCGCGCAGCGCGCGTCCGTGTAGTCGAACACCTCTGCGCTACGGTCAGTACTGTTACAATACCACACACGGTGGTCCGCGCAACAACACGGACTTACTCTGCGCGCGGTCACTCTGTCGAGTTTCCTTCTCCAAATTTCTCAGGTCTGGGACAGACACCATGGCCTCTATGTATGACGGTGTTTTCTCCGTCTCTTCGAAGGCACAAGTCACAGTGTGGTACGGCGGCGACAGACTCGGTCGAGGGCGATGACGGAGGTAGTGGCGGTTACCCTGGCTTTGCCCTGGCTTTGCGTCTCTTGAAGCACACGACGACAGCAAGTCCCCGGTGAGCGGCTCCCAGCAGACTCGAAGTCTCTCTGGACCGCTGTGGTTCTATGCGAACTAGGATGCCTAGATACTGCTACCAATGCGTATAGTTTTGGGAAAGCTACGCGAAACGCGTTGCGCACCTGATGCCTCTGCCGTACTAGCCTGTACTAGCTCCGTCAATGCCACACCCACTGCTCCTTAGATGTTTCACGCGCAGGCTGGATATTTTGCAACGATTGTTGGGTCCCAACGTTCTTGCAGGACAGAGCGGCGAGCCACACGATGAGCGTGATTGGCAAGGACGAGGGACTGGGTTCGGGCAACTCGAGGAGGGAGTTATGCTGGTAACGTACACAGACGCTCAAGCGCTCATCTGCAACCTCCAGCGTGGGAAAAAGAAATTGATCACAAAGAGTCAAGAACGTCTCTTCAACCAGCTCTCCTTTACGGAACGCCAGCATGCGACCTGCCGGTCGTATTCCCTGAAGTCTCTGTCTGTTGAATCGAATATCCGGCCTGTGGAACCAAGAATCGCTGAGATATGCATTCAGCGGAGCTGCTCAAACGACTTTTGCGTCATGAGCAGCTCATACGCCTTACCACGGCGTGCGCAAAACTTGTATAGGGTGATGTATGTTGCTTCAAAGCGAAAGCAAGACCCGCCACGGTATGTCACTCTACTTTCTCGAGCATCGCTAGCGCACCCGGCTCTCGCCGTGGCTTACATTCTATGGTAGTACGTCTCTACTCCATCTCGCTCTCGATCGCTATCTCTCCCTCCCTATCTGACTCATCTCCCGTGTCACTCCCACCTTCACCATGGGACCACCCATTCACGACGACCGGCGCGTCTGCCACAGCGCTGTTGCCATACTGGGGGAACGCCGCCTGGCAGGCCCGCACGAGCGGTCGCGTGAGAGATGGCTCACTATGACATCGAAATTGCCACTTACCGGTATCCGGTGCAGCGCCCACTGTGACAGTGCCAGGAGGGGATTCTCTCCAGGGCAGGGCTCCCACCAGCTTGATAGTATACCATTGGTCCGCTCCAGAACGAACTCTGCCCAAACCTGGCGGAGGTCGTCATCCTCTTCAGCGTGCCGGAACCAATGATAGACGGAGCATATGCTCCGGAGCGCGCGACATTGATCAACTTGCATGCCGGGGAAGTCTCGATCCGTGTAGTTGAAGTGATCGGTCCACGTCTCGGGCGGCTCGTTGCGAGCCTCATCCAACGTCCTTGGGAACGTGATCTGTGAAGATATCGTTGAATGGACGGCACCCTGCTACCTGAAGCGTACGTACGGTCGTGCCGAAGCTGTAGCCATTAACGTGCCTGGTCTCGACGAGCAAGTCAATTCCGACTTGCGAGGATCCATTCTCTTCCAGCAGTGCTTCGATGGAGTCTGTCGTTCTCAGAAAGAAAGCGACACCGCCGTCAGCCACTGCGTTCTGGACTGAAATGATGTGGCCATTATTGGGGGACCAGTCTCCTGGAGGATCTCCCCACTGCCGGCGTCCCAGGTCCACGCGTACGGTGTTCTCTTCACTCCGCTCACCCCACCCCACCGTCGGGACGTCCTCCAGCACTTGATTTTCCATGCTACCGTCCAACCGCGTGACGTCAATTTCGTCTGAGGAGTGGGAGAAGTTGTGGACAGCTCGTCGCAAGAGACTTTGGGGAGGAGGGTGCAATGCAGAGACAAGATGCGGACCTCCCGACCTACCCGCGCACGAGGTTAAAACTTGACAGATTCTCCCGTCTCTCCGCTTCTAACTTGGCTCCGAACACGCCAAATGGTTTGTTATTATTATTTGACCCCCGTCACGTCGGCTCATATGTCATGCCGTGGCCGTTTAAGTCGTAATACCTCGCCGGTCCGTGGCCAAGGCCTTGCACGAGCCGGTAATCCCAACTCGCCCGCAGCAAGGCAGCCCGCCTCGCGTGTTTGAATTTCCTCAGCGACTACCACGACGGAGCAGTGCGGTCTTCCTATCTGGTCTTCCTGATCGCCCTGCCCCGATCGCCATCTTCCACCAGATTTACTGGCGATCTTGAATTCTTTCCCCGTAAGACTTTATGCAGTCTTCCGAATAATCAAGACGTCCTCCTCGCTGCTGTCGTCACCACCCACGCGCGCACACCACGACGTGACTTCATCCACCTCCGCACTATACCTTTCCCTTTCCCTGCACGTACTCCCGCCTACGCGACTCTCATGCGCTCGTCACAATCCCATCTTCCAGCACAACCATCGCCGCGTCGTCAAGAAGTCAGGCCCTGTCCCAATGGCCGCCTGGCTCCCGCCCGAGTCATTCTTATGACCAATTCTCCCGACGCCCCAGACACCCCGGCTGGATTTACTCTGGCCATTCGTATTGTGGATGATGGCTGTATGGTTTTCCGGGACGTCAGTGGTTATCGCACCTCGTCTGCTTTAGCTGCGACACTCATGATATTCCTTCTCAGTTTCACCTCCCAGCGAGCCAGGAAGAATATCTGGCAAGACCGTCGGACTCATTCACAATAATGTCCGACATTTTCGCCCACGACATGCAATGTCCTACAGCGTTATTAGGTCGCAAGCAGCGTGGCGCCCTCATCGAGTTCATGGAGATCTGGGACAATTGCCGACCTGAAGACATCGGGCGGCTTATCCGAATGGTCGCATTGCGCTCTTCCACCGACATGGGTAAGCCATGGCGCACGGACGATACCGCAAAGGTAGAAATGATATGCACCGTCACCCGTGTTTCCAAAACGGTCAGCGCAGCACATCCCTCAGTCGATTGCCGTGCGCAGTGCGTTAACTTGGCCTACACAGAGTGTTTGACTGTTCCTTTTTGCGCCAGTAACCCACGACATGAAGTTACCACATATGTTTACGCTCTGTTTGTATTCTGGGTTTACAGTGAGGGGTAGTCATACTCTTACGTTAATCAGCTTGTCGCCGTGATGTTAAACGCCAGACTCGGTCCGGGTCAATACCTTCGGCAGCTCTCTCTCGTCCAGTGGGAAACTGACATCGCGTCACTGTCAGTTGTGAGCGGCTACTTGCGGCTACTTGTGGCATGAGCCCTGCTCGTTCTCGCGCAGAACGCCCTCTCCCAATGTTGCCCATTAGACCAACTCGCGCGGGTCAAAAAGGATGACGTCGGGCGTGAGTGAAAGGAGGAATATGTAAATGTGAGGACTCGAACGACCGGACACAAGTTGGGCGCACAACCCAGAGTAGCGAGGCGTGCCAACCGTTAGACCGCCGGCATTACGTTGTCTGGGCTGCGCCTGGCACTGAAACACCGGGCCCGCACCCCGAGGTTCCCGGCAATGGCCGTGATCGATCAAGATAGGAGCACCTTCCAAGTTCCCTCTTCTCTCGCTCGACTCAAACATGACTCATGTCGGATCATCCTCCTCCTGTCCGCCTTCAACATCTCGCTTGGAAGCACTGCCAGGTCGTCGAGCGCCTCCTCACTCCTGCTCGTCCCACTTGTGTAAGTTCCATGTCGCTGATGTCCGCGTGTACCTCCGTCGCCGTGGCGGTTAAACGTTAAACCCCCACTGACTTCTGCCGCAGTACGCATCACACCATTCGCCACTGCACCCATGACAGTGTTCGTTTTTTATCGCAACTTCTTCCGCAGCACGCATGACACCGTTCGATTTTCATTGCCACTTCTCCGCACCGCTCCAGAAGCCCCCTCGAAAGGTATGTCGCACTACCCCATCACGTCGACTCACAACTCCCGTTATGTTCGCTGCAGTTATAGAATCCAGCGAATTCAGATGGTTTGCCGTGCGAGGTCTCTGTTCGCCGCTAACACGCCAGGCCGCACGGTGACTGTATTCAGTAAGCCTGCGAAGTCTTGGTTCAGCACTGACACGCGGCGCACCGAGATGCACCTCACCGCGTTCGTGGGTGCATCTCGCTCCACGTCGGACGTTTCCTAGAAAGAGTGACCATCATCTACCCTGACACCTCCGTGTTCGCCGCTCACACGAGGTTAATTGAAGATGCAGCAGCGCAATTCCATAGGTGCTGCTCAGTCCGACAAGCTTCAACCAGGCCGGAGGTCCGCTTATCTCCTCGGCTATACGACACTTTAAAGTTTTGAGCTGACGGTCAGTATGCAGCGTCGCTCAAACGACTACCTCCACCCATTCCCGGCCACCCCCATGCTCAAACCCAAGTACGTCAGCTCCGCTATCGCTGTCTGGCGAGAGGTCGTCAAGAACCCCTGCAAGGAATGCATCGCTGCCGGTGAAGAGCGAGCTAGGCAGTGTGAATGGCGCCCCGGAAACACTTACATGTGTGTTGACTGCCGACTGAACCACAAGAAAACGATCAATTGCTCGTGGGCTCGAGGTTAGTGCCTACACTTATTTTTGACATCCTCGTCCTTGATCGCTAACTGCCTAACAGAGATGGGTCGCCAAAAATACGGTGGGCGTCACAAGGTGGGCAGGGTGACGTCCATCGACTGGGGCAAGAAGGTCAAGGCCGACCAGAAGGCTCATCCGTATACCGTCAACGGACGCAACACCTGCACACACTGCGGCGGCTCTGGGAAAGTGGCCACGTCATCCCACACTCCCGGCACAAGCAATGCGATCACCTCCCGCACTCGCCGCACCAGGAAGTCGAAGCGGCGCGCCCATCAGTCGTCCTCGCAGGAAGATTCGGCCCAGTCCTCCTCCGATTCCTCCGAGTCTTCGGTGTACTCCGTGCACGACCAGTCGGGTGACGGAAACCCCGTGGCAGAGATCGACGAGGTCGCCAACGACGACGACGACGACGACATCTGGGAGGATGTGCAGGATGGCCAGGGCGCAGTCCCCGAGGACGCCGGTGTCAGCGACGGCGCTAACTCTCAGGACAACCTGCCGGGCGACGACGACGGTGGCGTCTCCCAGCCCGACGACCAATACCCTATCCACGAATTTCCCCTCACGCAGCGTCCCAAACAGCGCGAGTCGTCCGTAATATCGATTTCTTCTGCACCTGTGACACCCGTCAGTCGCCCCCGGTGAGTGTCCCATCTCCCCTTTGCGTGATTATCGACTAATATACCTTATATTAGCCTTGTCGACAACTCCCCCATCGACCTGTTGTATCTCGACGACGACATTCCGGTCCCGCAGGCATCTGGTCGAACTGTCAAGCGCTCCCGCAGCCCCGACGACGAAGACGATGCCTCTGCGCCGCCAGCCAAAGTCGCGAAGGAGGAGAGGACCTCGTCCCACGAGCACTCGGAGTAGGCACGGGTACCACGGGAATGGGTATAGAGTACACCGCATATGGCACGCATGCAATGTCGTCAGAGTAGTCAGTACTGTTTTGTAAGAATACGAATAGCAGCGATCATACCAGTCCTACTTTGTGTAGCAGTTTTGCGGCGTTCAGTACCACCCGGAATTACATGCATTGAGGCCGTCAAATCGCAGATATGCTCGCGTGTTGCCAGAAACGAGGTGCAAAAGTTCCGTGTATGGCTATTTCTGTATTGGAATCGCCCGGGTCCGCTCGGCGTCAAGGCGTACTAGAGACATTTCACCCCATTGCATGACCGAATAAGGACATCGGGTATCTGCATAACCGCCAATAATGGCAAGTCGCTTGGGCGCTCTTCTGCTGTTCGTCTGGCGCCTCCAGCTAACGCTTGCCTCCCGCTCTTTACACACTAAGCCCAGCGTTACGACTGAGCGATATGCGCGCGGAATTGCAACAGCACGCCTGTCTGACGAAATCGAAGCGGGGCAAAGCGAAGACATACGCCGCCGCCCATCCGTGTTTCGTCTGTGCAGATCGTGCTGCTGGGTCCAAGGGCTCTACTGGCTACTGCCAATTCCAAGGTAGATCAATAGCTGCGAATGGTCGTAGACCGTGTCATCTCTGATACCCATATTCTCAAACAGGATTTCGATTATTTCATTTCCAAGATGATGGCTCTGTCTCAATCAGCTTCTCCGAGTTTGTGGGTTCCGACGCGACATCCAAGAATTTGGTTTATCCCGGCGTCTTCCACGTCCCACCCACTCCTGATGATGTGCGACAGCTACAGGTAGGGTTTTGAATATCAACGGATCTGGTCAAATTTCTTATGTAAGCTTCCAACAGTTGAAGCTCGCCCCGTTGATGCATCCCATGTTGGGCCGACTTCAGGCTCATGAGTCTCGTCTGGGCATGATGCGGAAAGACGGGGACTGCCAGTACCGCATCAAATGCGGTGTGTTACGTTCAATGGCCGTTAGCCCATTGACTACTCACAATGTGTCAGATTCATGTGATGGACCAATCATTTTCGATTGCTTTTTATGCGCCCGTTGCGGTGCGGAAATATGCCATCGCTGTCATGACGATACACCACTGTCGTTCAACCCACCACCCGCCTGTGTCGCCATTTCAAAGGTGCGCGAGCGTTCCAGCGGATCATTGCTGAGTAGACTAAAGGATGTGCACCACAGGGGCATGAATATCGTCCACTATCTCGACTTCTGCCCGGAGAAGTCGATGCGGTTCTTGCCGAGGTCAATACGGCCATGCTAGATGCTCCCCGACCACTGCACCCCAACGCGCGCTGCGACGCTCTGCGGGCTTCGGCTGATGTTTGCAGATGGATCCCTGAGCTCTCCCCGGGGCAAGTTCCAATTTTTCGTATGCTCTGGGGGATGCAATACCCTGTGGTCGTGCACGGCATTCAGAAGAAGCTCCAGGGGAATTGGGCACCCCAGAGTTTTGCTCAGTCCTATGGGGACGAAGAAGCGCTGATGCTCCACAGCGCCTCACCCACTGCGCAAAAAGTCACGGTGAAGACCTTCTTTACAGAGTTTGTCCGGAGCCACGAAGAGAGGGGTGGTACCATAAAACTGAAAGTAGGCATATTTGCTTGCTCCCTACGGCTCTGTATTTGTTATAACTACGGCATAGGATTGGCCGCCCTCCGCATCTTTCGCGGACTTACTGAAGCCACTCTGCAAGGCTTTCTTCGACGCGGTCCCGATGGCCGACTACACGGGTCCAGATGGAATACTCAACTTGATCACGCATTACCCTGAGCCGCTACGATCTAGCGCAACGATGCCCGACGTCGGTATGTCTGAGCGATTCCTGACACTGGCTCTATTACTGATGTCTCCTAGGACCGAAATTGTATTCCTCAACACAAGATGTTGCCGGCGTTGGATCGACGAAGCTGCACCTCGATGTCACCAGTGCGGTCAATATACTAGTGCACACCTCTGGCGAGGGGGTACCGGGCGCTTTGTGGCATATCTTCCTGGCCGCGGACACGGACAAACTACGCGCATACCTACGTAGCAAATCCGACTCTGGAGATGACGAAGACCCCGTTCACGCCCAGGGTACATATCTCACCCCAGCCATGCTTGCCGAGCTAGGACAGCTCGGCGTCCGACCTTTCCAGTTTCAGCAAAATCTGCACGACGCCGTCTTCATTCCAGCGGGATGCGCGCACCAAGTAAGTTTGATGGATTTGTGCAATCTCGCATTTGCTCATGCTCGATCTCTTTTAAGGTCAGCAACACCTCCTCATGTATCAAGATCGCGTGCGACTTCTTGTGCACCGAAGGAGTGACTGCAAGCGCACAGGTCGCGGAGGAGCTGCGTGTAGCATCGCGGGAAGGCGTCTTGAGGCTGGACGCGTTGCTGTGGCATGCCTGGATTTCGCTCCGAGTCACCGCGACCGCACTCGAGGAAGCCGCCGCCGCCCTACAGGAGACGGAGGTTGAGCCGCCCTCGACTCGAAAGGAACGCAAAAATGAGAGGCAGCGCGACACTGATCGAGCACGACAGGATCGTGCCCGGCGTCGCAACTTGAAGGAACTTGAAAGCAATAATGGCTCGGATTCATCTGACCGCAGCCGCAGATGTCCGCATGACGCGTGTTCCCGATCTCAGAGGCCGTTTCGCTCTTTGGAAGCGGTTTTCAAACATCTGTGAGTATCAGTATTATTGCTCTGCTACCCGATGTATTCATATTTAACAGGTTCGATAGACACCAGGCGGTCGTGCCGCGCAGCGAGTGGGGGCGCTTCGAGCCACTGGATCCACCTCCTGTGGTAACTCTGATGCACCACACGCCGTACGCGCCCAGGCACCCCTTATGCACCAACGGCCGTACATTAGCGACTAATCTGACATAAGCGTCGGAGATTGTATTTGCCCTCCAAATGCGGTAAGAGGCCCCGGGAGAGGCTGCAGGGCCTGTTATCTCAATAGATAACAGGCGCTTTCTTATCATTTCAGCCATATCAGGCAGGCACTTACTAATCTAATCTACAGGGCGCTTTTTACGATCACACTTCGTCCAAATCAGGTAGGTGGCCCCAATCCTGGGGTGGACCACCATGCAGGGGTACCCCCACCTGCCTTAGCTCACTCTATTCTTATGCGATTAACTTAGTTCTTTTTGCAGTACGTTCGCATTCATTGGGCGCTCAGAACGCGCCACTTTAGACGGTGAACGGCTCAGTAGTAGTGCCAGTATCAAGAGAGCTAATATCATGTTATAGGAAACGCCGTTTCGCGCGTTGCGCTCCCGTTCTGTACCGCGTCGACACAGAAATAAACGCATTTTGAAGGTATGTACTATATCTCTCGGACGAGACCTTCCGCGCGCGATTTGGTGCAGATACGGTGGCGCTGCAGCGTATGCAGTGGGGGGAGGGCTGCATACTGCAGCTCCACCAAACCTCCACCAAATCGCGTCGTTCTTTTTGCGACTGGTGCTGATTGTAATGTGTAATCAGGGAGTTCCATCGGCGTGGGACCGCGCGCACTCAGGACCGCGCGACGGAGCAAGCTCTGCTCAGCCACACCCCCTTTCCCAGGATGATCACGCAACGGCCGCTGGGCGCATTGCAACATAAAGTACATTTCCTAAAATTCATTGAATGTACCTATCTGACGGTATGCTACACGTCGCGATCCGACCGCTGGTTGTTCCGGGGCAGGGTATACATCCTCCTGGTCCCCTGTCCCCTCTATAGCTGGATTCATCTATATCCCTTCGCTGAAGCAGCTATCTAATGCCTGTTTCCTGTTCATAGGCCACATTATAGCGTATATCTAGAGTTTCAATGTCTAATAGGATGTGTTTGTAGCATAGGACACAATATACACATATTCTGCACAGTTCTGGCAAAACCGCGTCTGCAGCCACGGGAAATGCGTCAATCACGGCGCTCCTTTTTGCGTTCGATAGCCGTACTGTACATGTATAGGCGTGCAGAATACCAGAGCGATCGGAAACAAAGTGATGCCATAGTGCGGTTTGTACCATGTCACATTAGATGGTCAATACCGCGGGCACATCATCGCCGAATAGCCTATTAAATGCATATTCTGATAGCGAATGCATAGCACTATCTACGTACAAAGTTTCATAAGGTTTGAGGATGAAACGAGCGAGCTATGTCCAAGACAGTGCTCCAGCACTCCTGCCACCCAGGCCGTCTTAAGACAGGACCCCGGCAAGCCCACCAAGAGCTCATATCCCAGGAACCCCGAAAACGGGCCCGAAGGGCCCGAAAGTTACATGATTTTTCTATCAAAACCCCCGAAAATCTGGGTCCTCGGGACGGGAGCTACATCTAGATATGCCCCGAATTTTGCGCTCAGCGAGGCAGGTCTCATCCCGCCAACCCCCGAAAATCAGGCGTTGAGCGGGCCGGCAGGGACCCCAAGTAGATGTGGTGGCCGAGGTCTGCCTGGAGCCGGGCGCGCGCCTTATCAAGCATGCCTACCAAACTCCTTGAACTACTTTAAATCACACTAGTGTCGCCACTCGAAACCCATTATAACCTTTACTAGTTCGAACGTTTAGTCCATCAAAACGTATAGAAGCGCTGCGATATCCTACTAGTATGGGAATACAACACTTGAACACTACTCTAGCCTGCCTTTCAAAGAGTCAAGTGTTCGCTGCTCGGCGACTCAAAACTCATTTTTCGTCACTACTGTCACCAACACTGATCCATTGCGCCCTTTCTATATGGATTCCCCACCCTCTCACCTGCTTCAAGCATTCTGTCTGCCTCCGGAGCTTCCTGTGTCCGCTCTCCTGCAATCCCCACATACCCCCAAACGACCAGGCAGTCGGAAGTTTGCCTTACCTCCGTTGGAATGGCTGTCTAAGGAGAAACCAACAATCTCCGAAATTTCTGCAGACGACTTTCTCCTCCCATCCCCGAACATTTGTCAGGCCCTGGAGTCCCTACTGCAGTCTCAGAAGAGCGATGTCCACTCAGTGCAGCACCCTACCAATGAACGGGTCTACTTGCCACTATGGGTCATTCCTCTCTGGAGAGCGGCCGATGAAATGCTCAAGATGCGGCAGTTCTGGCGCGAGCGGATGCTGTGGATTGAGAGAACAGCGAAGGCGGAGAACTGGAAGGCGGACTTACTTCATTCCACCCTGGAGTGTGTCCGACTAGCTCCGTGGACGGCAGGTCTCCTTCCCCTCCAGAGGGGAATGGTGACCGTGGCTCACCTTGCACGGGTCCTGCTCTCAGAGAAGTGGCTGGATGATGAAGTCATTGACTGTCTTGGTGATGTCTTCCACATGGACCTACTCGCGCAGGTCAGCGGCGAAGACACGAACAGTCGCACTCCTCTTGTCGCAACTGCACACCTCCGCACTTGTCTCTCGAATGAGCAGTCTGGTGTTTCTCGCTACTATGCGGAGAAGCTTGTCGCTGGCTCTGCTACCCGCCTTCTCATGCCGTGCAACATCAACGGGGTCCACTGGATACCGGTAGAGGTTGACACCGCCCGAGAGACCATCTGTCTTGGAGACTCAAAGCCGAAGGTGTCGCAGGCGCATATCCCATGTCTAGTGCGTGATGTACGCGCCTGGCTTGAACGCATACTCCCTGGACGTACATGGACCGTTCACATGACCGCTCTGGAGACCGGACTGCAACAGGATAGCTCATCCTGTGGTATCGCAACTGTCAACGCACTCGAGCGCCGCATCTTTCCGACTGCAACAAAATGGTCGCCCGCTGCTCCTGGGAAAGCACGAGCGCGGTACTTCTGCAGGTGCCTCCGAGCAGGACAGTTGATGGTATGCGCCGCCTTTGTCATCGATATAGCAACATTGATACACGTATACTCATGATGTCCCTTCAGGCGAGTACGAATGAACCTACGGGAGCCGGCGAGAGCATGCTGCAGCACCTTGTCTCTTTGGAGAAGGACACCATCCCCGCTACACCGAGTACAGGAGAGCGCCAGCAGGGGGCATCGACAGCAGGCCACGGGCGTGCTTCGCAGCCGGTCCTCGGTTCCGTGACCTCGTCCTCTGAGGACGGCGACTCAGACGACTCAGACGAGAGCTCGTCTGAATCTGAAGGTGCCGACAACAGCGATGACCTGGGCCTAGGCGGACTGCAGTCCCGCGACACTGGCACATTGCGGCCTGGGAAGTCCACGACAAAGCCGCTGTTTGCGACTTCAAGCATCCGTCCGAGTCTGAAGATCGCGCCACACGTTAGTCTCCATATATAGTGTCTATATTGCCTGAGAGAAGCTGATGCTCACCACACACAGTCTCGGAAGAAGGAAGACGAGCCGTCCTGGTTCAAGACAAGTAAGTTCCGCAAGTTCCAAGCAAAAGTCAGGGCGGACGATCGGAAGGCCGATTTCAGCTGGCACGACCCGCGAGTTGTCCACTGCTCCCGCTGTCTGAAGGCGGTGACCATGCGGACTTTGAACGACACCTTACGATGGAAGGAGCACCGTCGCGCGAACAAGTGTCGCAGCGCAAAAGGCGGTCAAGCCTTCATCACAAACTTCTTCCAAACTCGACAGTCAGTAGTTGCTGCTCAAAAGTCTGCTTCGAAGGCCAGCTCTTCTTCCGCCTGTCCCGGACTTGGCTTCTCCCAGGACCCTCGTATCCCCACATATCTCGCGCGCACTGCAGTCGAAACAGGGGGGGCACCTCGCCGAGAAGTTCTCAAGCTAGAAGTCATGCGTGACCACACACGGTCGCGTTCGCGAAACAAGCTCTCTCCGAAGCAATTGGCGACGCGCGTCATGGCCCAGGAGCGCGCGCAGGCGAAGTGGCTCAACCACCCAACGAACGGTGTTGTAACCTCGGCCCACTGTCACAAACGGGGGCAGCTTTCTCCATCCGGAGAGCTGCTACCATGCTCTCAGTGTCTCAAGCTCCTGCGCCTCAAGACGTTCCGGAATGCACTTCGCAAACCTGCCCCCGCGCCAGGGAGATCAAAGTACACGCCAAAAGCATACCGCAACCCGGTCACGGGAGAGACGTACCTACGACACTACGATGTCCAGGAGCTCATGGAGATGGTATGTGCTGTAATTACTAACAAAGCGTTAACGTGGTATTCTTGAGCATGAAAACTAACGTACTGATTGCATAGGACAAACACAAATTTCCATGGAAGGTGCTTGCTATACGGGGGGTCCAGGGGCGGTATGATGATCGACAGGCATTTCTCGGGATGCTGGAGACCATCATGCTGGCAGAAGAGCGCATCAGCAAAGGCAAGACCGTCTCCGGTATACGCTATGATGCAGGATTCGATGAGATCTGTAGCACAATGGCGCTTGTATCTCCACGAGCGTACGCCACATTTCGCGCCGAGTTTGGTGGGCGAAGTCCTCGGAGCATGCGGTAAGCCCATAACACCGATGCTTCAAAATGATTCACTAAGTAGCGAGCGCACCATTAGGATGATCCGCGCTCGACACGGCCAATTCAAGCCTGGCATAGACGACTCAAACTTCGATGCAGCAATGGATTGGGCCAAGGCGTTAGGGTGGGATGGGCCTTTCATCCTCGCCGCGGACGACACAAAGGTCACTGCCGCTCTTCGCTCGTTTCACGACGGAGACCAGTGGCGCCTTGGTGGTATACACGGAACAGTACACGTGTTCTCAAGCTACGAGGAGCTCATCGAGCTAGGACAAGTTGAACGGGGTCAACTCGCTGAGAAGGTATAGAATCTACATGCAGACTCGGATGTTGAGCCATTACTCACCTCAATTATCTATCTATGCTAGACACGGGCGTGGCATCTCATCATACCCGTAATTGGTGTGCCCCCGAAGCTGATAGCGACGATGCCCCTGAAGAACAGCGTCAGCAGATCCGAGCTACGTATGTGGCATGATGAAGTCGCAGAGAAGCTGGCCACTCGCGGACTGCACACCGTGTCGTACAACGTCGACGGCGTCGAGACCGAGAGAGGCCTCACACACGAACTGCAACAGGACGCCATCGACGCGGGCAGGTCACGTACATGGACGTACCAGCATCCGGTGGCAGGACAGCCTGCATTGCAACTCACAGCTCCCCTCCTCGAGAACGGTAAACCGTGTGTCATGTCTACGGACGGGAAGCATGCAAAGAAGAATGGACGCGGAAGTGCAACTGCCGGCACGCGGGCCCTCCCAATCGGACGTTACCTCGTGCACTTTGGATTGCTCAAGCAGGTCGCAGAGGGAAAGAACTCACCGCTCATGAAGTCCGACATCATTGGCGTGGACAAGCAAGACGACCGCGCGGCAGCGCGGCTCTTCTCCTCTGCCGTGATCGACTACACTTCTCGCATCCTCCCGGACGAGCTTGGTCTTGTCATCTACCTCTTCGTCATCGGGGAGATCGTCGACGCACAACAGAACCGGACACTCACACACTCAGAGCGCACCAAAATGCTCTGGCGCGGGCGGTTCTTCCTGGATGGATGGCGGCAGCACATCATTGATCATCCTTTCTATGCTCTTCATACGCACTTCATCACTCGTGAGCTCTACGACATCCTATCTATCTTCATCAACGCCATGCTTCTCCTGATAGTCACTCACCGAGACTATTTCCCCGATGCCCCGCTCCTCCACTGGCTGAACTCAACCGAGACATGCGAACACTTCTTCGGGTGTGCGCGGAAAATCCAGAAGGATTTCACATTCGTCGAGTGGCTTCTAATGATCCCGAAGATATCAGCACTCATGGCCGGTGAGCTTCGGAGCAAGCTGAAGGGCGCACAGGAGAAAGCTGCGGTGGCTCGCTTTGGCTACCATCACTCCTACTTCGACTCTCGCGGCGTGGACCTCGCAAACCTGGCAACATTCCCGTCAGACACCGAGATTGAACAGCTGATCAATGTTGCACATACCGAGGCCCAATCGTTGCTAGCGATTGTCGGGATCAACCTGTCCGCGCTTCCTGTCGTCGACCCGGAGGCCTTCGCAGAAGCACTAGCGGCGCTGTCTAACGACCCACTCGAGGACGCTCCCGCACCCCAAAACGCGCCCGCTGTGCGCCTCGAGCAATTGTTGCAGCACGACAAGGAAGAGTTCTTGAACGGAACGAATCGTCTAGCAAACGACGAGGCGTTAACCAATGCGGGAGTGAATGCGACTGCAACGGTGATTCATGATCATCTTAAGCTGTATGTAACTTCGTTATTTACATGTTGTTGTGATCGTTTACTCAACCTGTTTGATCCTGTCAGCGTCGACCTCAGCCAGGAGAGTCTCTTGGAGGACGACTCGTCCACTTACCGTGAACACATCCAAGGCGTGCTCAAAGCCATCCAGACAGAGCTCGCGGAGCGGAAGGCTCGGGAAGGCGCGACTACATCCGAACTCCCCAGCCCGCAGGACACACGTAGAGACGCAGCCGCATCGACCGCGCACGACGATCATGTGCAGCAGCCAAGAAGCGATACCGGGAGCTTGAAAGGCGATGAGAAACCTGCAAATGGTGAACAACGAGCGGGACACGTCACCTGACTGCTCGTCCCACTGGTGTTCGGCACAGCACGCTCCTTCAACTTCAAAACTCTGGTCAGTGAACGACAGCGCCACGAGACGAAGGAGACAACCAGTGCCGTGACGTACCGCTATAACAACGCCATCGCCATGGGTGTACTCGATTCGCTTCGGGAGCCAGAAGAAGTGGGGACTCAGACCGCGAGTACGCCGGTGTCGCGAGGGGACAGCACGAAGTTGAAGTCGGCGCTGGTCTCCCAGATAACACGGGTGATATCGGCGGAGAGGGCAGCCGGAACCGTAGGCGTCAAGGAAGATGGACGCGCTGAGGCATCGGGCGTCGAACGCAAGACACGCTGGGAAGGTGCGCCAGGGAAGAGGAAGAGGACGGGCGAGCAGGGGATGGGCGAGCAGGGGGTGGGCGAGAAGGAGGCGGAAGGTAAGTGACAGAGCATCTTCGAGCAGGCCAGGATTTGCTGACGGCTACCCTTCGACTGTTCAAGGCGCTACGCCGGCATCAGGGGGCTATGCGGCGCGACTGAGCGTGTATCGTGGAATGGAAGCGAAGATGCCGTATTCCCTGACTTCCGGTGGCATATCTCCCTTCCATCCGCTTCGGCACGGCTCCTGGGTTGTTGTGTGCCAGGCGGGCAAGCTCTATCTTGGTGAAGGTGAGTGAAGCCTACAAACAGCTACAGGGGGCCGCCATTTACCTGTAGTGCACCAAACAGCGATGGTATTGTACCTCAAGGGGGGTGGGGCCCGCCCTACACACAATTATGCCGAAACCTGCGAGGACATCAACAAACTCTCCCGCATGGTGGTGCTCATCTACTCGTTTATGGGCGACACCTTACTCTCGCCTCTCACGGTGTCTATTTTGGGGGCATCTGCCGCTCCGGACTCTCCGTCATTCCTGTACCTGCATCAGGAGAATCTCGTCACATCGCTCGACGCCCACTGCCCCAAGCCCATTGAGAGCAGGATGAGTGTTCAACCCGGCTTGTCCGTGCTTACCGTCAGTAACAGGCTCGTCGAGATGTTCCGCCACCTGGAAAGGCATTCGACGTCCCTCTGCAAAGCCGTGGATGGCGTATTCAAGGAGACAAGAAAGCGCAAGAAGCACGCGGAGACCGAGTCGGAGAAGTCGAGCTTGGAAAGTGGTAAACCGGCATCGGAGCGTTCAAGGGCGTAGTATAGATCTTTCGGAACTCGTGTCAGGCTAGCTAGGTGAACGCTATGGTATACGTAGGCGGTAATTTGACTAAAAATCTCGTTCTGTACACCGAACTGGATGTTACATGCCAGAAATCCCCGAATCCGGCGAAGCCGGGAGAAACTTATGTGAAAAACACCGAAAATCGCCGGATTTTGGACCCCCGAAAATGGCCCAAATGGGCTTCCAACCGGATATGAGCTCTTGGTGGGCTTGCCAGGGTCCTCTTAAGACGGTGTGGGCGGCTGTGCTGATATCTCTCTGTGCTTGCAGCTAGTGTTGCTGCAGGAGAGCACTGCAACACTCATTAGCTCGTATCTTTGCGACTTCTTCACCGAAAATTACGATCTTGGGCTCGGTGTGAAGGTATTCTCAGCGTGTTTCTAGCCTGGGTAAACATCGCGTTGTATCTACACAGCAAATGTGTGGAAATGAGCGATCTTTGTCCATACTGATAAGCCTGCAGCACGCTCACCTGGACGCCGATAAGGCTGAAATTTGGGCATCCTGTGCGGAGGGTACGCATACGCTTCTCCGCCAAAGCGATTGCAATTTGGGTACGATCCCGCCCTCTGGCGGCGTGTTAAACCTGCAGGTCAAAGAATCAGCCCAATTTTCGTTTTGTGCATCTTACCAAGGTCCTAGATCTATGTAGGCTCATAGGAGACGTTGTTCATATATCCCTGAGTGTGATCAAGCGGGTTTCTACAACATTGGAGGGCATAAATAAGCAGAGGGTGGGCATGTGAGGCAGGGGAAGGCCCACCTTGTCCCGGAACGACCAGCGGTCGGATTGCGACGTGTAATGCACCGTCAGGAAGGTGCATTCAACAGCTTTCCGACGATGTATTTCGCGTCGCGATACGCGGAGTGGCTGGCGCGCGATCGCCCGGGGAAAGGGGCTGTGGCTGAGCAGAATGCTGTCCTTCGCGCGGTCCTGCATGCGCGCGGTCCTCTGCGAATGATACGCCCTGGTTATAAACGTATATTAGAACCTGTCGCAAAAAGAACGAAGCGATTCGGTGGGGATCTGGTGGAGCTGCAGTATGCAGCCCTCCCCACACTGCATGAGCTGCAGCGCCGCCAGATCTTCACCAAATCACGCGCGAAGGGATTCGTCCGAAGGATATTGTGCGTACCTTCAAAACGCGTCTGTTTGCGTGTCGATGCGGTACGAAACGGGGGCAGAACGTGGAGAACTCCGTTCGCTATAGTAGAACATCTGTAAGCCCCATAGCACGAGCAAATGCCCACCGATTTGCGACGTAAGGGGCGCGTTCTGTTCGCCCTAGAAATGCGCACATACTCCAAAAAAAACGAAGTCAATCGGACGCATAATGAGTGAGCTAGAGGAGCCGGGGGTACCCCTGTATGGTGGTCCACCCCAGGATCAGGACCACCTACCTGATTTGGGCGAGGTGTAATCGAAAAAAGCGCCCTGAAGATTAGATCAGTAAGTGCCTGCCTAATGTGGCCAAAGAGATAAGAAAACACCTGTTATCTATTGAGATAACAGGCCCTGCAGCCTTTCCCGGGGCCAGTTACTGCATTTGGAGGGCAAATACAATCTCCGACGCTTATGTCAGATTAGTCGCTAACGTACGGCCGTTGGTGCATAAGGGGTGCCTGGGCGCGTACGGCGTGTGGTGCATCAGAGTTACGACAGCGGCTGCTGGATCAAGGTCAATTCAGAACGCTGTTTATCGAGGTCGTGCGGGAGGTGTCCCCTGACAAGGAGTCCTGATAGGGAGCTGCACAGTATCGGTACAGTTATCTGGGGCTATTGTCTCGGTCGTCGATGTATGCCAGATTCTTAAGCAGTAATGCATTCATGTCCCGTCAGTTGGCAGTGTCTGAGTGTTAACGAGCGTCGAACACCGGGATCTCAGATCTCATTGGTTGCTCGATCGCATTACTCATCATTTGTTTGCTCGTGTTTGGTGTCAACCTCCACCATTCACAGCCTCGTCCGTTTCTCCCTTCCTCTCACATAGTTCATGGCTTCAAGCTGTTCTGTCGTCAGGTCTCCTCCACCCGGCAGTGAAAGTCTGCTCGATCGACCCAGACGTCGGCGAGCATGACCGGAGCCCGCTGGCAGATCGATGCTGTTCACCTTGCCAGTCCATCAGCTACTCCTCTCTAGGCGCTGCGCTGGCACGCTTATCCCTCCCTGCTCAGGTTTCTCTCTCCATTATCCCAAAACCCTCTCCCCTCTTCTGTCTAAACATGCCTGCCCACTCTACAGCCTCAGCGTCGCCAGGATCAATTCACCTGCCCCGTCTTTCGGATTCGGATTACCTCAAACATCCTTACCCAAAAGCATCCGGCAGCCAAACCTCGGCGCCGACGGTGACGACCCTATCTGAGCCGACACACTGCCGCCTCTGATGCCTGGCGCAATCTCCAAGCTATGTGGCACCCGCACTCGGCCACTCCGCGCACCAGACCAAGTCCCACGCGCACCACCAGGAGCAGTGCGAGATAACCCGCCATCGCGCCCGGGAGGTATGCTGCCCCTGCCAACATGGAAAGCACCATGTCACCGCACGTGATAGGTCACCGCACGTGATAGGTCACCGCACGTGATAGGTCACAGGCAGCAGTTTCGAGCGCTAGTTCAGGTCGTGCGAGTTTCGACGTCCTCGACCTCCAACTCTCACCTGCCATCTGCACTCGCCACCTCCAGTCGCCATCACTGCTATCGATCCCGCTATGCCGATACCTCGTCGCTACTTCAAGGTGGGTATCACGTATGTGTACGTCTTAATGTCTACTGAACAACATTATGCGCAGATCTTGCAGGCGCTCACCGCCTCGGCCAAAAGTGGTCAGCCGACCGTCAGGTGGGACGAATTCCACGGAGTACGCCCAATCTTGGAAGTCCTCCAAGCCTAGCTCATGTCAATTTTCAGACTTTCAAGAACTACTTCGACTTTGAAGTGCGACGGGGGGCGAACGGCAAGCACACGTTCACCCCGCCTGTTGATGGTGCCAACGGCCGCTGGGGCTTCGGGAGCACCAAATTCCGGGCATATGAGGTCAGTTACTCGTAGCTTTGACATTACCTCACTGACTTGACGCCTTTAGCCGAACGACAAAGAATTTTCTCCGCGCGAGATGATGGAGTGAGTATAACATCGACACTCGCGGGCCGTACTAACCCGTCTCTTACTTGACAGCCTCAGGAAGACCTTGAAGGCGGCCTACGGCTGGGGCCCGGACACCTTCTCGCGTCGGTGAGAAGGGTAAGGTGAATGGTAGCATACTCTTTGTACTGGAACGCCGTGCTCGAAGTGATCCTGAGATACATGGTTGCATGTATATGCAGTGGGTAGTAGAATAGATAGCTTAACTAGTGACTGATGCAGCTCACGAGTCCAGGTTTTCAGGTTAGGACCTCGGTCATCACAACCCGTTGGTCCTAAACCGCGCGCCGACTCACGTCCCTCCTGGCCTCGCGCCGCCGTCTCGCGCGCACCGACATCCTCCAGCGTCCCCCCTAGCCTCGCGCTGCCGCCTCGCGCGCGCAACCCTTGCCCGCCCACTCGCGTCACTCCTGGCCCCGCGCCTCGCGCCTCGCACTCCGCCTCTCTCTCCTCGCACCCCGCCTTTCGCTTCCTATGCCTCGTCTCTACCTCCTCTCGCACCCCGCCTCTCGCGCCTCGCGTCTCGCGCCTCCCGCCTCGCAGCTGCTGTTGTAACTCTGATGCATCAAACTCCGGATACGTTCCGAACATGCGTTGCATCATAGTTAGGTTGTTAGGGTACTACTCTAACAGGCCCTGTTCTTCGCTTATTTGGGGTCTGAGTTTGAATCTACCTCCCTAATAAGGCAGGAAAGCGCAGATATGGCTGCAGGGCTGTTATCAACTGTAGATAACAGGCATTTTCTTATCTCATTGGCCTAATCAGGCAGGTACCTTAATCTCTTATCTCTATGGCGCTTTTTTGATCACTGCAGGCTTATCTCCCTGGCCAGATCAGGCATGTACTGTAATCTCTTATCTCTAGGGCGCTTTTTTGATCGCCACCTGTCCCAATTGGGTAGGCAGGTTAGATGGCAGGTAGGGGCACCAGGAGGGGTTGCTCCCTGGTGGCCTCTATAGCTCAGTTTTTATCTAATCAGCCTGCTTGTTTTTGTATTAGATAGATAGTGATAGGGAGAGTTGAAAGGGCCATTCCATAGATGACAAATACTA